TTAGGACCGGTAACTAAGTAATAACGGGACGGTAATATTATACACACATAAGCAAATAACGACGTTTATTACATGTAATTGTACGGGCAATTAAATTAATAAGCGAGGTGTGAAATTACTCCACTTAGTGGCGTTAAGCTATATTAGATCGCGTTGTTGCAGGGAAGTCGCTAAAAGACCACCGTATATGCCCCCAAACAAGCTTTGCGCTAAAGATTGTTACTCACTCGTGCCCCGCGACGTCCATCCTTTGATGATGCCCCAAACATGTGAAAGCAACACTCTCCGAAGTAGCTGCTAAAGCTGCTCGCATCAATCTCCTACCATGCCTTCGGCAGATCTCAGTCCATTGGAGACAAAGACACAACATGGGACTTTCGATGTCGTGTCAACGTACCACCGCCTGCTGGCCGAGGACTCTGACCTTACAATGCCCGTTGCTGCAATCGAAAGTCTCACTCTCGGACTCGCGAATACTCCCTCAAGCACCGTCTCGGAGACCCTCGACCTCGTAGACAAGCTCACCAAGCAACTCAAAAGCAGCATCCCAAACTCCATCTCGCTCTCAGCAGGAACGGACCTCTTCCAGCGATACCTCATCACCAGTCTTCGAGAATCAAGCGGCGCTTCAGACTTCAATCAAATACGCACCCACTTGGTACAGAACGGCGAACTCTTCGTGGAACGCGCAAAAGCGGCGAGAGCCACAATCGCAGCTTTCGGCAAGAAATTCATCAGAGATGGTAACACCATCCTCACCAATGGCGGGTCTCGCGTGGTCGGCGCACTACTCAAGAGCGCCGCAGACTCAAGCAATGAGAGTACAAGAGGCAGCATACGCTTCCGAGTCATCTACGTCGTCTCAGCCGACGGCAAAGAAACGGAAAGCACGGAGAACATTGCCGCGTTACGGGAGCGTGACATCCCAGTCGCAACAATCCCGCCTACAGCTGTCGCGTACTGCCTAGATCAAGTCACGCAGTGCTTTGTCGGTGCAGAAGGAGTGGTGGAGAACGGAGGCATCATCAGTAGATTGGGGACCTACCAATTAGCGCTGCTCGCCAAAGCTGCTGGAAAGCCATTTTACGTGGTATCGGAATCGCACAAATTCGTGCGCTTGTTTCCGCTCAATCAACAGGACCTGGGAATCGAACAAAACGTCGTGGACTTCAAGACTGCCACCGGCTCGGAGAGTGAGAAACCACCTACGGAAACTGGCAAGGAAGATGCAGACAACTCAGTCGATTACACGCCGCCGAACCTCATCAGTGGAATCATCACCGAATCTGGAGTCTTGCTGCCAAGTGCTGTCAGTGAGGAGCTCATCAAGATTTGGTTTTAGGCGATTAAAGAATTGTGGCGTGTCGCAAGCCAGCCAACGAGTGGAAACGGTTGCGAGGCTTGCGAGATGCTTGATGGGACACGAGAATTTAGAGATCTCCGAATGAAAAAAGAGAATCGAAACTTCGAAAATTAATAATTCTCGTAGGCGTTGTTTGACTCGGTCAGTGCCGCCGTTACCATGCGTGATGTCTACCACAGTCTGTCCTATCATGAGCCATCTACGACCTTGGCCTGTCAACCCTCTTCCATCATCCTTCTTCACCAAGCTCTGCAAGCTGTCTCTCCGTCTCCAACAAACGCCGCCGCATATTCTCCGCCTCTCTTTGCAGCTCTGCTCTGCGGCTGCCTTTGGAGTCACTTGAGCCTGACCCGCGATGCGGCAAAGACGGGTCTATGTTCTCATCCTCCAGCGGCGTTCCCTCATTTTGATAATGGTCCGTGTCTTCGCCATGCCCTCGATCTGTGAATGTCCTCTTTCTGCTCTCACCCGAGACCCGCCGTTGCTGAAAGGCTTCTGTGAAGTCCACTGGGATGGTACGTAGGGGAACGGTCTCATACGCTTGTGCGTAGGACTCGCCTTCGGGTCCCATATCCATGAGCGAGGGCTGTACAGAAGGTTGGTCTGAATGGCCCGAATCGCTCAAATTTTCGTTGGGATAGGGATGTTCGACGTGCTGGCCTCCTGTCGCAGGGACGACTCGTTTCCGTCTCTTGATTTCCGCCTTCTTCATCTGGACTGGCCGGTGGCTACCATGGAGCTTGTGGTAAAGACCGCATGCGTTGCAAATAGTGTGGCCTGCCTCATCCCGACGCCATAGCGGTGTGACCGTCGTCCCGCAGTTCTGACATGCCACAACGACGCTTGTTGCTGATTGAGAGGGCGGAATGTAGTTTTGTACAATGGTCTGCATGTGCTGCTGCKAAGGAGTCGGTTCAGATGGATCCGTGGTTGCCTGTCGTAGCGCAAATTGGGCTGTCTTCGAGATGCGGTTGTTGTAGGCAGGACATCCACCACAACCCTCCTTTCCACCCGTACCATTGCAACGACCACCTCCTGGACATGTTCCAGCCTGGATTTGGTCCGCCGCGACATATGTCGCACGATTAGATGGCGGCGAAGGCTGTCTGTCATGAGACTGACCATCAGCAGGCTGAGAGGTTGAGGCTGCTCCTCGCTTCATTTCCACAGGTCGCATCTGATTGCGAGCTTTGTAATAGAGACCGCATGCATTGCATATTACTGCACCTGCGGGGGATCTTCTCCACAAAGGGGTCTTGGTGGTGCCACAATTGCTGGGATCGGTCAGTTGCAGGCAGAGACACACAAAACAAAGGTGTAATAACGCACCTGCACAWCTGTCCTCCTGGTGATGGGCCGGTGGTGGGTGATGTTCGTGAGCTGGTAGCCGACTCTGCGATTGATGGTCCGGGCGAAGGTTGGGGATTTTGCTGATGCATGTTGCCACCCATATCGCTGTCACGTCCGTGTGCGGCAGCTATGAGCTGTTCTGTAGTTTGCTGCATGATCCGGGACGATTCGTCGGATAGTTGTGGATCGTACTGCGGGTACGCAGACTGTGAATGCTCGACGAGTTGCCTTGCAACTTCCAATTCCTGTTGAGACGGCTGTCGTTGGAGCAAGGCCGGAATCCTAGGGGAAAGAGGTCTCATTTTGGAATGTTCTGTAGAAGTGCTGGACATTTTGTCACCGCCACATGGGGAGTGAAGCCGCGTGGTTGTTCGGCACGTGTCGAGAGGAGAAGAGGAGAGGCGATGAAGAAAGCGAGGCGAATTGCGGAGTCTATCAGATGGCTTGAATCTGATAATAGCCCTCTGTTACACGGCGTGCGAACAGGTATGACCGTAAGCCTCTGAGTAAGCTAGTGCAGGCAGCGGATCTAGAATGGTGTCGAAAAGGTGGATGGTCTGCAGGCGCCACTGAGGAACGAAGCTGCGATTCGTTGATTTTGCGGGCTGTGAGACCGGGGAGGGTACACGATTGGAAGTAGATATCTCTGCAGCCGTCCCGTCCATGGCTTGATTCGACGTCAAACGCGTCTGTCAATCGCAAAACTAGCGAAATAGCCAATCACAGTCAAGATGATTACGACCGGGCTGAGGGTCCGAAGTTGACCAAGCTCCTTCCCTATAGTTACAGAGTTTCGGCTTCTGCGTCATGCACGTAAGCGAAATTGTTTAGCGTCCGCTATAGTTCCTAGATGTGATGTTGGCCGAGTGATGGTATTACTGCTACGACAATTGCTGCTATTGTCCTGTATTCTTCCCTCTTCTTCCTATGTACAGTATGTATACCGAGCTCTCGTATCCCTGTATAATCTACATTCCGAAGCGAGGCCGGGGAATGCAGTCTGGGGTTTGCAGGGATATCTTCCGACTCCCGGTCCAATGAGATAAATGCCAGCACCCATCCAATGGAAGTCGGATTCTTCGTTCTCCGTAGGTCTCGGTCTTACTTGGACGGATCCGTGAGGTTCATCGCTTCGATGTGACGCCCCGGTCGCTTCGATAACATCGGTCAGTCCAATTCGCACGGAGGAGAATCTACTCGTAGAACGATGTGCGTAGGAGAAGATATGCGCGGAAGGCGCTCTACGCGTTTGATGCTGTTTACCCAGATGTTTTCCTTGGGAAGACCCAGCAGTAGTCCCGTAGTACATGCAGGCATCTAGGCTAGATTCTGATAAGCTATACGCCAAGGTCATCAAGAGCTTCGACTGAAAGTCTTGGTTGATATGGCCATCAGACAAGTGATCCACATACCGTCCAAGCGAAAGCCAGATCCTCAGACACACTGTTCGTCTCTCGTTGAGATAGGGGAAGCGGTCTTCTGGTTACGTCGTAGCATGCAATGGKAGAGACAGTTGTGTTGCGTTGGCGCTATCGGCCTTTCCTCCTGGCTGATAAGGATTCGACTGATTTTGGGAGCAGGTTCATGTTYGCGAACCCAGCATTCGGCACAGATCGCCTGAATCTGGTAGTCGTGAGTCGAAGGCGTCTCTTCATGCGTTGGCGCCTCAAAATCGAGCTCTTGCCCAAACTCCCTTGGCTACGGAATTTCACTCGTAAATGCATGTGGGCTACTGCTATCAGTACAACGGAAGTGGGACCCAACAAAATCGAATGCGTCAGACTCTTGATTTCGTCGATTTCATGGGGATACTTAAGCAACGACGTCGTTGCCTCGCTCGCACGACAACAACCCCAAAACATCTCCCTAAATTCCTACGCCTGCGCTTGACAAGACGAGTCCACTACCGGCCGACTTCGCTGGTGTATTGTACAATCTGATCGAAGGATCTTGTGGCACACGCAGCGTTCCACTGTCGGAACACCACGCCGGGAGCACTACAGACACAAGCTGTTTCTCCCTGATCCGTGACAAAGTCCGTTCATTGGTGTCTCAGACCTGCTCTGCACCCCAGCCGGCATCCGATGCATCGCGCATGTTCGCTGGGGGCTCGATCGATGGGACGAATTCCAACGCAACGTATGCAATACCAATAATAGCCAAGATGGAGCCGGGCAACCACCTGTACCATTTCCCATCAACTGACAGCACCCCGATGAAGATGTAGACTGCAAGCGCAGTCAGTATATGGCCTCATTCTGTTCGCCCATATTCTCTTACAAGCTCCTCTTCCAACAAAACTGAACATGAAACTGGCGTAGCGGGAGACCTGCGGTGGGATTTGGAACTCTGCGCGAAGTGTAAGCGAATAACCTAGGGCGATGTGGATTCGAGGAGGAAATACCAAGGAGCCCCGTCGCTGTTCAGAGTTTGTATCAGCAATTGTCAAAAGGTGGAGGACTGTATGAGATATTACCTAGCCCGAAGATGAACAGGTAGATTCCGAGGATGACGGCCGCGCTGAACACAGATCAGTCTCCAGCTTTCCCACACCACGCGCATCTCCTTCTTACATGGTGAAGCCACCCGAGATGAAGCGTGTCACACCGGCGAGAATCATGAGCACGCCTGCTCCAAGGTTGACAATGCGACTGTTTTTCGAGGTTAGCATGAGCTCCAGCTCCAGCTCCAAGCTTCTGATGACAACGCATGCGTCGCGCTCGCATAGCTACTAACAAGATGTCTGAAAAATCCATCGTGTCGAAATGTGATCGCGGAATCCGATGGAGGTAGATGTAGGAGGACTTATGAGAGGTGTGATGATGGGAGGGTGTGAGAGATGGTCGTTATTGTTGCTGCCTCCATTCGCATGCGCTTGCGGCTCGTTTCTCCCCTGCAGACGTTCTTGGCGAATGACGTTGGAGGAGCCACGTTTTCTCCGTGGCCGAAGCAAGATATCCAACACTTCACATCGGACAACATCGGCGAGGCCATTGACGACCTAACTACACTGAGAAGACTATGCAGACACGATTGTTTTGCGCGAAACAATCAAGCTGCTTCTGTTGGGATGCCATGAACTAATCACTACAGCCTCGCCTTCTCGAGCAATGCTTCGTCGACCAACTTCACCACAGCGGCCGTGGCACCATACGAGGTCTGATAGCCGTAACCGCCATGACCGTAGTTGTGGACCACAGGCACCTTTCGTCCAGTAGTTCCGGCGATGACTTCCTTCTCAACTCGAATGCCGTCCTTTCGCATTGGCCTCAGCCCGACTCCATGACGAATGACGCTCAAGGCTTCAATGCCTGCACCTTCAGGTACCATATTAGGGCACAACTCAACTGCACGCTTCATGATTCGGATTGCCAGGTTAGGATCCGGTTGACTTTCCCAGTTGTTCTTCTGCAAGCATCCGCCAAGGACGCAGCCTCCGCCAGCAGCACGATGCATAACATATACAGCTTCATCGGGTCCATCGTCGGTTCCAGAAGCCGAGACCATGATGCCTGGATCGTTGCGGACAACCACTATCTGGCCGCGAGCGGGATAGAGGGTACTGTCTTCCACACCTCCAAGTCGTAGTGATGAGAGGCCGGTGCAGTTCACAATTAGGTCCGCCGATCTACCTGTATGGTGAAGCTTCGCTGCATCTGTGATATGCTCGGCAATGCCTCTCCGAATCACCGCTCCATGCTTGAGACATKGGGACGCCAGCCACGGCAAGTACAGCGCAGTGTTGATGCAGACGGACGTGAATGCGGTCCCTCCATCCATGCCCTGCGGTGTCTCTGATTTTGACAATACTCGGAACTACAATACCATTAGTCCTGCTTGTAAACGACGAATTCGAGATGCTTACATTAGGTACGACATCCTTGAACCAGGCGTCCTCTCTGATGAGCTCTTTGAACCAGTCGCCAACAGGCGTGTTTACATCCTTCGATCTTCGGTAGAGAAATGTTTCTGCGCAAGGTTAGACCTGCTTTAGTATAAAGGAACGGTTGATAGAACGATACCTTGGAAATGTACGCCGGACTCGGGAAGATCTCTCGCCAATCGCTCGAGCTCCGGCCACGTTTCTCGCTCAAAAGTCGATGTCTGCGTGCCTGCTGCGCTGAAGCTACATATCCAATCGTACACATAAGCATCTACAATCAGACTCCAACTCCTGATGAGTCTCAATCTCAAGCAGTTGCTGACTCACGGAAGGTAATTTGCTCCAGCCCATGGACTTGCGTATTCGATATCGTAGTCTCCAGGCATATGCTTTGCTACAATTGTAACTTTGTGTCCGTTCTCTACCAATCGCAATGCGGTCGTAAGACCACTGACTCCAGCGCTACGAACAAGAGAGATCAGCGGTGTCTAGCAGTATAGGGATGTCGATCTGGCTTACCCGAGAACCACGATGTTCGAAGGCATGGTTGTGGGGTTGTGTGATGATTTCGTGGAAGAGCAACGTGGACCGCTTGTGATGGAAAGATCTGCGACTTTTTCAAGATGCGATGTGAGCCCTTTGTTTTTCGTATCGACAAGCACGCCCTACTGCTTACAAGAAAGTGGTCGTTCTGGGCAGTCGGAATTCTAGCGAGCGTTGCAGGGCGCGGCGGACTAGGTACATCATTTGGCCGACACCGCTACTGCTGATAGGCGAGCATCGTGATGGCAAACAATCTACACAGCAAATCCTAATGGCAAACATTCCACAAAGCACATACTTATAGCAAACATCCAGACTTGAGAATGGTCACAGGGTGTACACCACGCAATCAGTACTAAAGAAAGATGAGGACGTAGTGGTGTTCGTTGCTTCTTATCTGCCTCCAACAAGCAAGGTCTGTAGAGCAACAATGGTCGGCCTGTCCTCAGATCGAGCTTCTCGCCCTCTATCATCCAATCTAATTGTACAACCATGCTTTCAGAAACTACCACATGTTGGTGGATACTGGACAGCCTCCTTAATCTGCTTCTTGAAAGCATCGACATCGATCTCGAGAATGTAATCCACAAGCTGCAACGTCTGCACCCGCGGTGCAAGTTCTTTCTGGTAAGCATGGATATTGCCATAAGTTGGTGATCCATAGCTTGTATCCACATCCAGATAGAATTGAGTAGAGTTCTTGACGATCGATGGGTCGACCATGACGGCGGCCGCCGTCTCATCCCAGAATGGAAACTCGGTTCCGTAGTGTTTGTGCATCAACTCCGAATACGGATTCTTCACTTCGTAGATCTCGTCCAGAAATTCTTGGGTAGAAATCAATGTGTTCGCGACGTTGCCATTGATGGTTATTTTCGGGAATGGAGAAGTCAGAACAATCTTTGAGCTCTCCGGATCCATTTTCAGATTGATATCGCTTTGAAAGTCGGCCAGTCTCGTGGAACCGGTCGTTTGCAGCAGATTACCATCTAAGTAGCCCCCCATGATGACCAAACCCTTGGTATTCTTTGCAAAATTGGGATCGATGCGTGCAGCAAGGGCGATGTTCGTCAAGGCGCCGGCGGAGTAGATGGTGACTTCTCCAGGATACTTCCGGACTTGCTGCACCATGAATTCGGCAGCAGAGATGTCGGATGCGAAGGTGTTGTTTGGATATCCCTCCTTGAATGCTGACTTGGAAATGCGGTTGGGATCTCCACTCGTTGGATTGTTTCCCAAAGCTTCCTTGGTCTGGTTCTCGGGAGCAAAGGCTCCCTCCCACGGAAGACGTCCATGAACGTCTGCCCATGCTCGGTAGAGGCCAGGAGTGTTCAGGAGCGGGTAGTTCGCCCCTCGATATACGGGGATACATTCAAGATCCCCCACTTCCAGAATCGCGAGTGCGTGAAGTCCACACTGTAATGCCCAGGAATCGGACGTATCGGAGACCAGGCCCAAGACATCCCAATTTGCCTTTAGCGCTTGAAGGAATGGAACGAATCCAACGGAGTTCCAGTCGTTGTCAAAGATAACCTTTGGCCTTGGGATTGTTCCGTTGACGTTGCCATCCTGGTGTGTTGAAGCTGGTACCGCAGAGACAATAGTTGCCGACAAGGCAAGCAGGAGCGATGACAGCATAGCGAAGGTGTAACTAAGATACAACGCGGGTAGAAACCAGTAACCGGGAGGATAGCTCTGGTTACATATGCACCGTCGATAGCTTTAGTGATCGATTTGCCCACCTTTTGGGGTTGGTAAAACTCTTACCTTTCGGCAGGGTCCGGCGTCGCCATATCGAAGGCATCCATCACCACACTGCATGAGCGATCCTTGCCCTATCGGATGCCGATTTTTCGCCGTTGTATATGCCCAATGCGCTGATTATTGCAGTGCTATGACATGCCGCTACGACATGACTCGTGTGTTCGTCAGGGTGTCCGTCAGAGACGGGGATCTCTCGAGGATAGAATCCAAGGCTGAGCGGCAGAAAAGATGTTGTCATACCGCAGGATCGGGAGATCGTCAAAAGCTCAAAGGGGTTCAGATTCAGAAGAACTCCTCTCTTCTTCACAGTAATAAAGCAATCGTGACATTCCAAGACCGACGGTATACTAAGGTAGCTAGGACCATCAACAATGCAACGAGGATAACCCGAGAAATTCCTGACAACTTATCAGCGAAGCAGACACGCTATGCCATGTTGAAGCACATCATCGTGATTTCTACTCTGGTCGCCGTCCTTGCGGTGTTGTATCCACATGTTACAACATCGCGCTTCCTAGGCTTTGGAGCGTATATGACAGGCGGCGGAGGAGGTGCGTCGACATACGACACAGTCCTGGCATGCCATGCTTATCTCAATACCTCTTCTCCGGCATCTTTCAAGGTCAAGCTTGATTGTTTTGGACCAGCGACCGGAATTGTGTTCAAGGGAATTGCATCATTTCTTGCCGGAGGCGAAATGGAGAAGCTCGCTATTGGCGCCTTGGAGCTGTGGCTCAGTCAACGAGGGAAAAGTTGAAAGGTGGAAGAAGCCTTCAATATGAAAGATCAAAGGCATCGAACTGCAGCTTTCAAGATTGCATGGTTCATATTCGATCTCTCGTTGGCGTGACCAAAACTACCGCCTTTTATCGGGTGTCAGTCACACGACTACCTCGAGGCCTAAATCACTCCCTTGACGCAGTGGCTTAGCGTGTCGTTCTTATATTTGTCCTTCGGGACTGATATGGTTTATCCTTTCAGGTTATGCGAAAGTCGCGAGTTCGAAGTAAGTTTGTTTACTTCTCTCAACTTTAGTTGAGATTGATCTCGTGCGTTGTACTAACAACTTTCGTTAGTCTCGCAGGGAGTATCGATTCTTTTTGCCTTATTTCGTTCACCGTTCTTTGACATTACTGTTACGTGCTCTGTAAAGAGTCGTTTCGTTTTGTCGTTCACTTGCTTGCTGTATTTCATGTTGCTAGCGCAGTAAAATTAATCGCTTCGAAAGACAGACATTTTACACACTCGCCCTCCTGCCGGGCCTCAAAATTTTCAAGCTCGCTTGCAAACCACGTCTTAGCTTCCATGAATCGTTGTCATCATTCTCAGTGACCTTTACAGCGTCACATCCGATGACTCGCATCCTGGCCAAAATGTCGTTTGGAGCCTTCCATCTTAAGTTGTTCAAGTAACAATACGCAACGAAAGCAAAAACTCTTTCCTCCTCACTTCTAACCTCCCTTGCTATTCTCAAAAGACTCATGTCAAGCTCGTGTGTCCATGGCGCGGTGCTGTACTCATACCCTCTGCAATTTGCCGAAAGCTGGCACAATTTCTTCCGCAATACCCGTCTACTCTTGCGGGGTCGACCGCGAGGGAGGAATGTAAAGAGGAACATTTGCTTGATGTGATCGATCAAGAAATCCCGCTCTGCGGGGGAATAGATGAGCCACTGCAGTAGCCAGATGTTCTCTTCCTCGTTGAAGTCGAGTTTGCGGCTATGAGCCCAGAATATGTCTTCGATGGCGAGGATTACTGGTAGGGAGGTGCCATGGTGACTGAAGACCGAAAGAATATGCTGGGCCACAGCATGGAGAAGGGCGTCGGGTTTTGTGTCGACGCTGAGGACAATTTTCTCGTACGCGTTGTTGCCATACCGACTTTCTTGATATCGCCATTTGTTGATGAAGACGAGTCCTGCTTCGAGAATGCCTTCGTCGCCGTCGGCCAGGAGGGAGTTGAGCATGTGGATCAGGTGTCGCATATAGTCCTTCGCGAGGATGTATTCGCCTTGCTCATCGTTTGTGTCGAAATTGCCGACTGTGATCTTTTGCCAAACCGCAAGACGCTGGGCTTTCCAGCAGCGAGACCAGTGTTTCTTTAGGGCGCCTTCCACCAGCTCTTTGCAAAGATAGCAGAAACCAGAAAAACGATATCGCCAGGGCGACATGCTATTGCTTTCGGATCGCTCCATGTTGTGTTAAACGAAGGATACGAGAAATATGGGAGGTTCAAGCACTTTGAAGGACTGCTCCATCTCAGGAATGATGTGTTGGAGAGTGGAGCATGCACCTTCTTCCCATCATCAGCCAGCGCTTGCTTGAGTTTGGCAATCACTACAGCAATCGCAATCGCAGCATTGTCCTGCGTTTCACGAAGAAAGAGCAACCAGGTTGAGGGCGTTTAGCATGTTGATCAAGATCATCTCGTCGCATGTAGGCTTCGTGCATCGTGTGTACAATTGAGCATTGCAAGCCGAAGACACAGTCGCGCCCAGACTTCGAGTAGCGGTCGTGATGTTGCGCAGTAGATGCTGCGGTGTCCAGGATATCATGTCAATGAACATCAGGAAGCGGTTCACGATACCGCCCGTATGTAACACCAGGCATCCTGCATGAGACTCATGACGATGGGACCAAAGCACGTACAACCCCACCAAAGCAGATTCTTTTGTCGGCTCGATGCTGGCTCAGCTTTTCAGAGCCTCCAAACGCCCTCTCATTTGAGCCAACATTTCCTCCTGATCTTCCTCCTCCTCCTGTTGCGGCTGTGCTTGGATGGGTCCCACAGGCTCCGAGGGTACCTGTGCGGCAGGAGTCTGCACTCTATCGCGTAACACTTCCCCGAGAATCTTGTCCACTTCCGACTCTGCCTCGTCGTCTTCCCCTTCCAATAGATCCTGATTTGGCATGGAGTCACCGACCATCTCCTCGATGATGCCTGCCTTGACCAGCTCCTGGCTCAATTCCCTCATCGTTCCCGTAAGCTCCGGCATTCGCACCAGCGTATTGACGTCTTTCATGATTCCCACCGAGTTCTTCATGCTGACCTCGATTTTCCTCATGCCAAAAGCCTCGTTGACCTGCATTTCCACCGAAGCCAGGGTGGCTTTGGAGGTCGTAAGCCGCTGTTGCTGGCGCCGGACGCGGAGAAGTTCGCGCGCGAAAATGCGGGTTTCTTTCGAGGCTTGCGCGGCTTGTGAAGGATTCCTTTGCGCTCGTTTTGAGGCGGCGACTATCATGCCACGGGTCTTGGATTCGAGAGCCTTGAGCGATCCGAGATCACGATCTAGCTTGCGCACGTTGGAGCGCATCAGGCTCTTGCACTTGCGTTGCTGCTCCTCGGGAGTGGGCCCGAACATGAATCTGCGCACATTATCCATGATGATGCTGCTGGTGGCGGTGGCGATGATGGTGGTGATTAGGAGAGGTCATGCAGTTTAGGAGGGAGATTGAAGGAGGGGTGTTTTGGGTGCTGGCATGTGACGAAGGCAGTAGGTTGGGAAGTGACGTCGGAAGGCAGTGGCTTCTTCCAATTCCAGCCTGAGCTTCGTCAAGGTGGAGTCTGAATTCGAAGGAACGGGCGGTGCCAATTCATCACTTGCCGCAAACACCACAACTCACCATCTCGAAGCGCCGGTATGTTCGCCCTCAGTCGCAGCGGTGATCCAATGGCAGGTTCGCCGTTGAGTTGCTGCCCAAGGATTGCCTCACAGCGACCTGGTGGCAGTGTGCATCGCCCATTGCGCCGCTGCTTCTACATCCTTCGAAGACCTTCCACATGAAGCTGATCGTTTAACAAACAGCACTCCGAGTTGAACTTTCTCCGTCCAACAAACACAATTCCTCTAATATCAACTCCACACCCTGTATACTCACACACAACACCGCAATCATGAGCGCTCAACCAAAGGATACCACCGTCAGTCGTCCCCTCCAACACCGCCCCCGCATTGGCTCGAAAATCCAACTAACAGCTCCATCACAGGACGCCAAGGAGTTTCACAGCAAGACCATCACTCCCGAAGTGACCTGGGCACAACGCTCATCCGCCAGCGAGCCTGAAAAGAACCACATCTTCCTCACCATTTCAGTCCCCGACGTCGACCCAAAGAAGAYCAAGCTCGATGTCCAGCCCGGCAAGCTGAGCTTCACCGGCTACTCCGAGTCCAAGAAGGCAGACTACGCCGTCACCCTCGAATTCTACGCCGACATCGACCCATCCGCCTCCAAGACCCACCACTCGCCGCGTGCTGTGGAGTTTGTGCTGCAGAAGAAGGAGCTTGGTGAGGCCTACTGGCCGCGTCTGCTCAAGGATGCGAAGAAAGTGCACTTCCTGAAGACCGACTTTGACAGAGTGAGTAGAAAAGAGAGGAAATCATCGAATTGTGTGRTGCTAACAATTTCTTCAGTGGGTCGATGAGGACGAGCAGGACGAGGCTCCAGAGGACGACGACTACATGTCTCGCATGGGAGGCATGGGAGGCATGGGAGCTGGAGGCATGGGTGGCATGGGCGGAATGGGAGGTGACGGTGGCTTCGGCGGAATTGATTTCAGCAAACTCGGCGGCGCAGGAGGTATGGCTGGTATGGAAGGCCTTGGAGGCATGGGAGATGACGATGACGATGATGACGACGACGACGAGATGCCAGAGCTGGAGGGTGAGGGCAACGCCGCCGCTGGCGCAACCTCAAGCAAGAAGATCGAGGAGGTCGAGTAGGCCTGTCCGTCGCATTCTATGTATGCATTGCAAGGGGTTTGGCAAGCAGGAGTTGGCGATCGCCCGAAATGAATCATGAGCAGGATGTACATGGATAACGATTGCGCATGGGCGCGTGGTTTTGTCTTGCGATCTTTCTGCAGGACAGCGAGCGTGGCTGTTGTTTGCATGCATCGCAGGCTATGGCCTAATTGGTGTCTCGTGGAATCTGAATCAAGAGATCTTCAGGAGCACCGTAGTAGAGATGAAAAAGGAGCAACTTCGGAAGCATCCCGTTTCAGTCAAGTCACTGTAGGTCCTGAAAGACTCTTGGAGCATCCACTGTCCACGGATCTTCAGTCAAGCAAACGCTGAGTGTCCCCCGGAAGCGATCATATCAGCCTTCCCGCCATTGTATCAAGGATGAACGAAACATCAGTTCATCACATTTCAATCGCAGATTCTTGGCCTGTTCGTACGAGTTGGCATATTCTGCGGGAAATGGATCTTGACATACGTGTTTGCATAGAAGATGGCAGGCAATTCCAACGGCACCCACCGGACCCCTCTCCGCGTACACTTTCATCTGAAAGTCGTGATTTCGTGACACTTTCACGTTTTGAACATGACGTCTTTGCGCCTTGTGCTCATCATCGATACGCAATATTTTATGAAAAACATGGGACACTTTCCCTGAATAATTGAACTCCATTCATCATGTTCAAACGAAACCTCATTGAAAGAGCTACTTTGAACACCTCAAGGCTCATTAAGAAACCTCAACCAGCTCTGAATTGTATCCGTTGTATAGCAAGCTATTCTCAAACTTCAACGCGACCAAGACAGCCGACTGCTCGTGAAAGAAGACCGTTATCAATCCAGAGATCCTCTTTCCAATACCAACTCTCGAACATGGCCACTTCTTCACCAACGTCAATTGCAATCGTCGGTGCTGCTGGAGCCGTTGGAAGCACAATCGCATACAATCTTCTCCTCAACCCCATAGCAGGAAAGATCATACTGAGCGACCCAAACACTGAAGTCCTACAAGGTCAAGCCGATGATCTTCGCGATGCAATCCTTCAAAGCGATACCACAAGCACGCGAATACACGTAGCGCATGACTCCAAAGATGCTGGACAGGCCGATATCATCATCATTTCAGCTGGGGCTGCACAAAAGAAGGGAGAGAGCAGGACGGATTTGGTGGGGAAAAATGCAAAGATTCTGAAGTCTGTGGCTGAAGGGTTGGGCTCGGTGAAGAAGGAGGCTATTGTGCTGGTCGTTGCCAATCCGGTGGATACAATGACTTACTTTGCGAAGCAATTTATTGATTTGCCCGCTGGGCAGATCTTTGGCGCTGGAACTTTTCTTGATTCTGCGAGACTGAAGGGAAAAATTGCGGAACAAGTAGGCGTATCGCAGWGCAATGTAGAGGCTTTCGTGCTGGGCGAGCATGGTGAGACTCAGGTCGTTGCATGGTCTGCGGTATCGGTTGGAGGTGTGGCTCTCGATCGCATTTCTGAAAAGATTGATCGGAAGAAGGTGGAAGAAGAGACGAAGAACAAGGCTGGCGAAATCATCGAGGCCAAAGGGACGACGAACTTTGGCATTGGATCTGTGACGGCCAGCATCTGCAAGGCGATATTGTTCGATCAGAAAGTCATCAGACCGGTCAGCCATTGGCAGGAGGATCTCGGCGTGTGCTTGAGCTTACCGGCGGTCTTGGGAAGAAAAGGCCTAGAGAGGACGGTCACTCTACCTCTGAGCGATGAGGAGAAGAATGATGTGCAGAAAAGTGCAAAGAGCTTGAGGGAAGTTAATGAGGAAGCGAAGAAGGCGCTCGAATCGTAGAACGGTGCCAGGATAGAATGATGAAAGCCAATTGTGACTTCAATTTGCTCCTTGTCCGCTTTGTGCTTCTGATAGTGAGTCGTGGTTGAGAATGAATGTTGAGAAGACGTTGGTGAGGTATACTCTGCCGATGTCAATATGCTTCGGCGCGTGCGCGATGCTCGATGGAACTGAATGATCCCATGACATTCCTGAACGTGAGAGAGGTTCGATTGAAGCCTACACTGGCGTATGGGGCGTTGTGAGGAATTCATTCAATAGTTGGGTTGATGTCGCCGAGAGACAAGAAGAGAGTTCTGAACGTCGAGCTGACATTTGACAACGAACGCTAAAGTTGGCTAGCATCACCTTGAAGTACTCTCACTCATCAACAACATTGTGTCAGAAGAACCAACCATGGCAGACTCTGACTCCGACGACTCATTCCACTCTCTTCACGAAGAGAAAGAGGAATCAAAACCACAATCCGAACGATTCACTCCCGAAGAAGAGGCATCACTGCTCACAGCCTCCAACGAGCTCAAAACCACCGGCAACCAACAATTCGGCTCAGCATCCTACAGTTCCGCAATACAAACCTACGATCGCGCTCTCGCCCAAYGTCCCAATTACCTCGACTACGAACTCGCCGTCCTCCGCTCCAACATCGCAGCCTGCCATCTCCAGCTCTCGGAATGGAAAGAAGCCATCGCCAGTGCTGAGAAAGGCATAGAGGGACTAGACCGTCTGGAACCTCTCCCAAAACCAAAACCAACACCACAAACTACAGCAGACGGCAAGCTAGTACAAGAACAAGAAGGAGAAGAAGCAGGCACAATCGAAGAAGTCACAGACGAAGAAGCAACTCGTATAGAGACTCTGCGCTCTTCCAAATATACTCTAGACCAAATCCGCAAACTCCAAACGAAATTACTCCTCCGCCGTGCAAAAGCCAACACGAATCTCTCCACCTGGTCCTCTCTTCAAGCAGCAGATGAAGATTACAGAATGCTACTCTCTCCCCCAATGGAGCCGTGTCTGTCACCCACGGATAAGAAGACCATTGTGCAAGCCGCACAGGCTTTGGCGCCGAGACTGAATGCTGCAAAGGATAAGGAAATGGCGGAGATGATGGGGAAGTTGAAGGGACTGGGAAACAGTATCCTCAAGCCCTTTGGATTGAGTACGGAGAATTTCAAGTTTGAGCAGCAGGCGGGTGGTGGGTACGCCATGAACTTCGACCAGAATGCTGGGAAGAAGTGATGAGACCGAGGGATTCATTACAAGGATCTATCTTTTCACGTGCGGTTTGATTTCCATTAACGAGCACCGATCTGATTCGACTCGGCCTTTCGACGCATCACCCTTGGCAAGCCTGGACCATGAGTGAGGCACCGCAACGGAAAATACGTGTGTCRACTGAATGAGGGTAGAATGGGCTCGGATTTGAGCTATTAGCGTTGCTTCTCTACATTCGCAACATACTGCCATCAATGTGAGAACATCTAGGRAGGCGTTTCGCCGCGACCGAATGGATCTCGAAACAGCAACTAAGCGGGCCTTATACCTCTTCGCTCGCAGTCGAGGGCGGTGCCGAAGGAGGCGCTGACCCCGGCGTGCTCTGCACTGCATGAGGAATGGCTTTCCTCCCATTCGCCTTGTAGTACAACACCACATCTCCACCTCCTCTCCAAATATGTGACCGGATTGAGGCAAGAGTCATGTTTGGAGGAACGCGCTGTCGAGATCATCAGCGAAAGCGTCAACAAATCACAATCGCAACACGACTTACCTGATTCTGACACCACAACTCGAGATACTCTTCCACCCTCAGCGCGCCCTCTTCCTTCTCTTTCGCCCCAGGTTCAATGCGTTCCGCCACATACGCCATAATTTTCTTTGCCCTCAGCATACGATTCGCATTCAATCGGTTATTCCCCTCGGACGCGATACTCGGGAGAACATTCCCCCAAGGCTCCAGAAGAAAGGAGATCTTCACGACGTCCTTCGACACGATATGGTTTTTGAGCAATACGTCTCCCAACCACATTGGTGCTGCTTTCTCCACAAGATCGCACATTTCTGCCAGTTGGCCGACGGTACCTTCGAATAGATCTGCGACTCCGCCTGCTTCGGGACGATCTTCTTGGATGATGATCGTGGTGTTGAGAGGTGGTCTCAAAACTGGGGTGTCGGCTGGTAATGAGGGAGTGATGGCACTTGGGAGTTCCACTGCTTTTGCTTCCACTGGAAGGCCGTTTTCATGCGCTTGCTGTTGTTGAGTCTGCTCTTGGAGTGATTCTTCGTAGGCCATGCGGATCTTCCGGACCGTGCCAAGGAGTGTGTCCTCCACGACGCGACTGTTGCTCGTCTTGCTCGAGCGTGAGTCGCTCTCGGTTTCATGAATCTCCTTCTCCTCGGTAATGGCGGGCTTGTCGTTTGTCTGAGTGCGACCAATCTTCTTCATTCCGCTAAAGGACATACCCATGCGGAACTTCTTACCGAAAAGTCCCTCCTTGCCAGGGGTGTTTGCTTCCTTTGGCGGGCCCTCAGTTGTAGGCGTTTGCGGTTCTTGGACCTCTCCCGGTGTCGTTGCAGCCTGCGATGTGCCTGCTGGGGTGGTGAGATCCGCGCTTGGTACACGAGGCGTGGAGAAGTAATCGGCAATCTGMCCGCCCGTCTGTCGCTGCGACTGCGACGAAATCGTTTGCTCCAATGCAGCACCATCTTCTCCTGGCGAGCCCACAGTTGCAGGTGTCATCCTTGGGCTTGAGATGCCCGGCGTTGCTAGACCGATGTTTAGACCTGGGGTTGCGGGTACTCTTGCTGTTCCGTTGACGCCTGGAATGAGTGTTGTGGTCGATTGCCCGGCCGAGGAGTTCGCATGCCATCCATTCATCTGTGATCTGGGCATTTCTATGCTTGAAGGCGCATTCTCCCGCTGGAACGTCTGTCTTTCGTGCGTATCGAGTAGCTTCTTTCGAAAGTCTTCGTCTCGGCGAATCTCCTCCGAAATGAGATTGTCAAATAAATAGCGAAGTACCCATCTTCCAAGGTTGATGCGCTGGTCTTCTCGAAATTCAATGTTCTCTTCGAGCTCCAACTCATCCGCGTACATCTCGGCGTCGAAACACGTATTCTCCTCGAGGGTGACAGTAACACTTCCAGTCCTCGTGTCAACTGTACACCAATTCGAGACAGTGCTAGCCGTCGTGACTTCGTCCTTGACGTCTTCCAAATGTCGTTTTCCATACGAACGAATTGGCACGCATTTGAGTAGATCCCACATTACAACTTCGCCCGCAGTGTCGATTGTCAGAACTCGTTTCCGGTCGTTCAGCATTACGTGCTTGATGAGACCGTTCTGGCCTTCAATAGAGTAATCGGGCTCATCTCGAACCGGACAGATGATGGATGCGTCGAGAGGCAAACTCTCCAAAGGTCCCCGTCGAGCACTTGGGGGACTTGATTCCGTTTCGGACAAGATTGGGGTCGGAAACCATGCAGTATTGCTTAGACGAAGCATGTGCTTGAGGGGAATCTTTCGTTTCCCGCCCGCGCCTGTCGCAATGATTGGAGGAGCTTGCGGATGCTCGTTCTGACTGGTCGCACTTGGGAGCCTCATCTTCGCAGRGCTACGTCTGCGGGTATTGTAGTCTTCCGGAATGTCAATCTCGGCATTGTCAGTGTTGACATCACGCCAGCGATTTATACTGGGTCTGCTGGTCGCTGTCCATATGCAATCTCCAGCAGCAACCACTTTATGCACCCCCTCATGCTCCTGACAGATGGCCACTGAAAGCCCTTCGTCAAGTTCTATAGTATTCCTCGTATCGGTCTTGGCCACCAATCCATTCTTGTCGCTGGAGTAGACCACAGACAAATCAGGATCTGTGGAGAACAGTGACCAAACGCTGGCATCGTGCATGGTCAGGGTGTACATGCATCGTCCCGCAATAGTGCTCCAAACCTTTACAGTCTGGTCACTGCTTGCAGTCACAATGGTCGTCCCGTCCTGACTGACCAATATGTCTCTCACATTATCTGTATGACCCACAAGCTTCGTTATGCGCCGACCACTTCGACAGTCCCACACTCGAACAGTCTTCTCGGGTCCACCACTTGCTAAAAGGGAGTCGGTAGCTGCCAGCGCATACACACTGCCCTTTTCCCGCATCTGCATCGTTGCTGCTTCCTCATCACCGCCGTCAATGCTCAGCTTTTGTCCAGCACCACTCAAATCCCACAGATTGATTTTACGATCCAGTCCACCACTGGCTACCCAGTCACATGTCGTGTTCGGCACAGCGAGCGTTTTGACATAATCGTTGTGCACGCCAATGGTTTGAGGGGGCTGCCCGTCTGTCGCTGATGGTCGCCATACTTTGACGGTGACATCCGAAGATGCCGAGACGAGCACTTGATTGTTTTGCGCCAGGGCGATATCGTTGATCCAATGTGTATGTGCTTGCACCTGCTGCCGATATGTCGTAGCCGTCGCGGCGGGAAGCTTCGCGTCATGGTCGGAGGTCACAGAATGTTGGAGATCTCGATTCAGATCCCAGGCGCATATGACTCCATYGCGACCTCCAGAGTATAGCAGTGATTTGGCGCTGTCTACGGCCAGTCCATTCACGCCGAGCCGGTGGCCTCCAGCAGCCGAGTTCGGGAGTGGAAGCACATATGAGATGCGGTGCTTCGCTTTACGGGCCATTGATTGCAAGTGCTGGAGYGGGACTGTGCGTATAGCTCATGTGCGGTAAGCAATGCGGTATGAATGTCGTGTAGCAACCCCGGCCGGACTATGCGGCCCTGTTGCTGCGCCGTAATGGATTCGATGATTTGAAGTGTTTACACGGTATGACTGGTCATGTCGCGCTGTCGATATGCTCGGAGGAGTTGTAGCTATGCGATGTAGAGAGTTGATTAGACACGAGAACAAGCAGAGATACTGAATACCAGACGTCTTCGCTTCGGCGTTGGCTCGATTCGAGCTTCGAGAGATCGGCGAACGAGAGGTGACGTGTGGGCGGACCCCGTGTGACCGGCAGGTGCGACCGGAACCTTATCCCGCCCACGTGTACGAGCGCCAAACGTCTTGGCCCCCCGCGACGCCTTCGATTGCTTCTACGCGACTTCTTCTCGTGGAGAGAAGGGAGACTGTACAGAATCATCGGCATAGGCACCAATGCACATCATAGGGGCCAAGCGCTGATGAATATGACCTGGAGCTCCAGTCCTCGTTGGTTCAGGAGCTTTGATTCTGTACGAGTTGATCGAAGCACTGTGTGGTCATCAAGGTATGGTATTCGAATAGGGGCTTTCCCTACTCCCGTCTAGAAGGTTTGACGGCAACAGTATTGCTAGTAACCCTCAACAATCCCTGCATAACAAAACTCGCCCCAATACTTGCGAAAAGGATCGCAATCATCACCCAATTACTTCCCACATACGCCGGCGACCTCTTCACGTCTTCCGGCCAGCCCGAATATAGCGCGTAATTCGTCACCACACTTCCTAGATTCCCTAAACCAGAAACGAGAGCGCAAGCAGCCGCAACGCCAATCTCTCCGTGTCGCGGCTGGAAAATCTCGGCCGTCCAGGTCATTGTGATGGGGACTGTGGGACCGAGCCCGAAGCCTACTATGAGAAGGCCCACATAGCGACCCCATCTTGCTGAGTCGGAGCTTCCGGCGTAGGTGGAGATGAGAAGGCCTGCTATTTGGAGGGCTGTAGGGATGCTGAACCAGATGGCTCGTTGTTTGTGAAAGTGGTCGCTTATAGGGGTTATTGCTAGGATGCCGAAGAGGTCGCATATCCTGTTTCATAGTCAGTCGAATGTGGTTCGGCATCAGATTGGAAATACTCACCATATTGGAGCATACAACAGACTCAATTCAACGCCAGTGAACGAAGGATTGATAGATCTCAAGATCACAGTGCCGTAGCTTTGGACTCCATTCCCGACGCCAACCACACCAAAATACATGACTAGCAAAGGCCAGAACCGCCAGTCCAGCAAGACTGCCAGAAGATCCCGTAATGTCCATTCGGTATTATGATAGGCCTGGCTGAGGTCCTTGTAATGCAGAACAGCATCATCACCAGACAATGCCGGCTTCGGTTTCAGTAGCCATTTGTTCCACCAACTGGGTTTCCGTTCCTGGCCTGGAGGAAGAGGTCGATCGGGCAGCCACCAAATCAGACTGAACCCAAACACCAAAGTAACAAGACCCCACAACAAGAACATCCATTGGAATCCAACAAGTCCACCATCACCATCCATCTTCTGAAATCCCGCACTCACCAATCCCACAACAGCAGCAGAAAGTTGCGAGGCAGTAAAATACCACCCAACCCTCTTCGCCATTCTCCTCGTAGGATAGAACAAGGTGAGATAAAGAGACATACCAGGCYACATGCCGGCCTCAACAGCACCAAGCAAAAGTCTCAGGACATAATACCCAGCAGCATCATGCATCCCCACCATCGCAGTCCCAATGATTCCCACACTAATCACAATCCTAGCCAGCCAGACCGAAGGCGAGAGTTTCGACATGGCCAAATTGGAAGGCACTTCAAAGACTACGTAGGAGACATAGAACAGAGCCAGACCTGTGGAGACTTGATGTGGTGAGAGATTGAGCTTCGCTCCGAGATTATGTCCTTCGGGGATGTTCATCGTTTGGGCCAGTCCGACATTTGATCGTACGGCTGAGCAGAGGAAGTAGAGGAGCCAGAACGGGGGAATGATCCGTCGATCGAGTTTGCGGTAGACTTTCCGCATCCTCTGCACGGAATCGTGGTCTTCAACATCGTGGTCGATGGAATCAGTTTCCTGGCGTGGCTCGGCGGCGTTGGATTCACGAAGGCCTTTGTGAATCTCCGGACTCTCTTCCACTGTAGCCATGACTCTGGGAGATGGCTTGCTGGTGTCTCAACAAATTTACAGAAGACATGATGAGTCCGTAAGTGGCTTGCGAGATGTATAGTAGCACGAATTTGCAGATCGTGGAAGGTTTGATTCTCGGCCCTTTTGGCTCGGCAAGCCGATGTCGGCGAGGGATTCACTTACTGTATACTACATGCCTCCCTCTTTGAACTGGGACGTCGAGAAAATGTGATGAGACGATTCATGATGATCATCACTCTACGTTCCATTCATCTAATCATAGCTCTTTCGCTACTCTGCGAATGCCCTGGCGTTGTCGTTACGCAACACCTCGCTAGACCGTCAAGTATAGCAACCAATGCGAGAAAATGCTCCTAGCACCATCAAATGCATATCAAAAACCGCTCAGAGTACCCACCCAATGCAATCACATAACCCATCTACAACTCCCAGTCCTCCTTGAAACCTCCGTTGATGAGGACTGCTACCATCATGTTCCTCGCATCACTCATACCGTTCGTGGCGACGACGGCAGACGGAGGCTTGTTCTTCGCGCTTGCCAATGCGTTGACGCAGGTGAAGACACCGCAATCATCCCAGTTCTGCTGTATGGAACTCTTGGCTGAACTGTGCTGCCACTCATCTGGGTTGTAATCACCTCCAAGCTCCATGGCCAGCCAGTCGCGGGCAAACTTGAGAAATCGAGAGGAGGAGCCGCCAGCGCTGTCGAAGACTTCGATCGTGCGACTTTTCGGTGCAATGACCAGGAGGATCCAGTGGTTGCCAGTGTTGACTGGGAAGAAAATCTTCTCCACACCCAAGAGCTTCTTGCCGGAGATGCCCTTTCGCCTCGACCAGCCGCTGAGAGCCTTGGCTCCTCTTTCGTTGTAAGTCTTCCAGAAAGCCGAGAGGTATGACACGATCGAGGGAGTGCTGTTGGGTCCTTTGACGTATCCTTCCTTCTCCTGTCTGCGTGCGACAATCATCGCGACCCAGTTGTCGACGCACTCGTCGTTGAGCCAGTTGGAAGGACCTCCCTTACCGTTGACGCTGGCACTGACTTGACTCTCATTCTGCTGCGGCAGAATCCTGCCCAGAACGTATCGCGTGATGTCGGTGCCGTCCGGGCTTTGGGAGAAGACCTTTTGGGCATTGGTGACGTTCATTGCATTGCGAACGATTTCGGACCATTTTGGGTCCAGCGGTCTTATCAAAAGATTCTTCCGAGCATCTTCAGCAGCTTGCTGAGCTTCGAGGGCTTCCTGTTCTTTCCGCGCTCTTGCATCTTCCTTCTGCTGAGCTTCAAGTTCTGCTTGAGCCTTTTGCTCTGCTTGAGCCCTCTCTTCCTCCTGTACTCTACGCTCCTCCTCTTGCCTTTCTCGTACTCTTGCTGTGGGTCCTTTCTCATCCGCGAGACGTCGTTCGCGTAATCTCCAACTTTCTCTCACCTTTGTATCCTCAGCCGACTCGTGTGTGACTTTCTTGAGTCGATCAATAAGTCCATCGACATCTGAATCTCTGTTGGCGTTGGTGCTTCGGCGCAGTCCGGTTTGCGATTGCCGGAAGCTTCGTCTGTTGTTGATGTCGGCGCGAGGACTCGAGGTCTTCTTCGGGGTGGAATCGCGTTTCAGTATTGCTGTAGGGTACGATTGGCGCAATTCGGGTGGAGCCTGCTGACCGCGTTCCTCGAGTGCCCTTAACCTTTCGAGTCGCTCGATGATCGGCATGTGATTCCTGTCATATGCGCGAGAACGCAATAACTGGGCATAATCATCGTTCGCAGAAACCGGGGGAGCGATGGAGCGATTCACGGGACGACATTCGGGCTCGGGTTCTTTAGCGATTTCGTGTGCGGGTGCGTCTTTGGTCTGAGGCTGGTTGGTCACCCAAGCAATTAACGCCCGCCAATGTGATGACGCGTTTGCTTGAGACTGTGATGTCGCGTCACCCGGACGCGGAGGTGATGGCGACGGGGTGACTGGTAATTTTGGCGTGGGTCGAGCTTCTGGTGCTGGTGAAGATGTTGGAAAGTGGCCTGGCATCATATCAACGTCTTCGCGTGCGATTGCGCGGCGTTTTGGAGCGTTGCCGGAGGATGTGGGTGGGGTTGTGTTGACAGCATCTATGGTTTGCGACGTGAGAGCGTTCCACATGCTAACGAGCAATGCGGGGATGTAGCTGGAGAAGCTGAACGCTGCTGGCGATGGCAGTGGTGCTGGCTCCTCATGGAGATCGGACGGGCGTTGGCGTTTCATGGTGACTGTGTTAATCCTCGTGGCACGCGCTGGTATGCTGCATATCTCCGATTTGGGGCAGCCGTTTCTTATGGTCGCTGGGAGTGGTCCGTGCGCACCTTTTTTTGTTCATTGTACAAAAGGTACAAGTGAGATTTCTTCCGCTATTGTAAAGATTATCCCGTGATCTGCAAGCTCCACTGTTTGTCGACAATATCAAAGAATGAAGAAGTTGGGTTTCGTGGCTCGGGCTTGTAGCGAAGTTGTGTGCCGGCTGGGTGACGCTGGGAGGTGGAAACCAGACCTTAGCGCGCTGTCACATGAAAGGAAATGCACTCGAAAGTGAAGACTGCACCTAATCACGTTGAAGACGCGCTTGGAAATTGTTTTTCGTCGAAGTGGATGGGCTAAACCGAACTGTTAGCAGCAAGAGCACTGAAACCAATGCTCCTTTCTAGATGACTCAGGGCGATCCCAATGTTCGCCCTTTACACGTGTCTTCGCGAGACACTGGCATTTGTAGGCGTTGTCAAATATGCTCCCGCAACTGTGCAGAGTCAAGTATAGGACGCGCTGCTCTCGAGGCCAACCGCCTTCCGAGCATCAGCTTTGCGCCGGGCCTTMCACCAGAAGTTGTATTTCGTCACAGCTACTCATACTGCAGGACGATATGCGAAGCGTAACGATGTACCAGGCTTTCGAAGAGATAACATCAAACCGGCATCGACGAAGGATGAGAGCTGTGTAAAGACAACAACACCCTTACAAAACTTGACGCTGGTCCCGGTTAGGACCTGCCTCCGCACCACGCTAAGGTATCTTCGATCGACGCGGGCCGTACCTTGTATGCTTCTGGAACCTGGGACGACCAGGTTACACAGCATACCTCACTTGAGGTACAGCCGCTTGCGGAACAATTTTGTACAAAGACGAGTGACGGTAAATATCACCTCCCAATCCGGGCCCTCTACGGTGGTGACTGTGAGCAATATTGCAGCCACACAATGCGCCGAATGCGGCGAAATTCCATCTGCACCATTCTCCCCTGAACATCACCACCCGAACAGCCCCCACCGCTGCAAAGGTTCACCACCAACACCGCCACAATGGCATTTCTCCGTCGCATCTCGGACAGCATCYGGAACTATGTCTCACCAAGCAAGAGCGATAATGAGCATCTGCCTACTCCCAGGAGCGAGCCAGTGTTCAAAGTACCGGCCATTCCCCACCGTCGCACATCAATGCGGGATATGACCACCACTGCGCGGTCCATGAGCCCACACGAACGAGTTGGATCCTGGCAAATTCGCTCTCCTTCTAGTCAAAGCAGCTCGGTTGTCAGCCAATCCAAGAGAAAGAGACGTTCCACCCCAAGCCCCAGTGCTCGCCGCCGTCGCACGAGGCAGAGACTCAACGACGACAACGCCGAAGTTGGAGATGATGACGAATCTCTCATGAATGATGAAATCTCCTTCAACGACGGATCAGACCATCAAGGAACTGAATATGCGGCAAGCGATACGCCAGTGCGACGTCGAATTCGTCGTCGCGGACGCACCCCTCTCTCAGCCGACCCCGAGGACGACCTCTCCATGAACACCAGTCTCATCATCGAAGATGAATACGCCGACCCTCCTGACCGCCGTGTCGCTCCTCTGCCTGAGCAGCATAGAATGCGAGACATATCAGATGACGCACTACGCGGTCAGGGGTGGGACGACGACTACATCACTCTGGTGCAGAAGATCGCTCTCCGTGGTTACGAGCCTCTCCTTCCATCATACTTCAAATTCGACTTCCGCTGGTTACCAGCTGAGTTATTCGAAGCCAGCGACGACGGCTTCATCGGCAGCGTACAAGGCCGCCACTTCAGAGCAAGCAAAGCATTGGGTCTGTTGTTCCAATTAGGAGGTCATATTCGCGACCGCATCGAGTATCCTGGCAGGATTTCCCCAGAGCGACAAATGCGCMGCCAGCTTCGAGCATTCAACGATTGGGTGCAGAAGGACGCAGGACTTGACCAACGGACCGCCATTCCAGTCCTCACTCTCAAGTTTCAACCTGCAAACACCGATCCCGCGATCCTCATCGACAATGCAACGCAAAAGTGCCGCCGTATCGCGGCTCAATATCGCGAAGCACTTCAAGTCCAACGCTCAGTGGAGCTCTCTCCTGAAGGTTCCATGCACACATTACTGTCTTACCCACTGCCGACGATCTATGCGATTATCGGATCTGGAGCGAAGCTAGCTCTGATGGCGTATGATCCAAAGAAAGGCCCGGAAGAAGTCTGCGAACCAATCGCTTTCTTCGATTTCGACGATGTGGGCTATGATGTGTGGAACTCCCTGGCGTTGGGCATTGCCATCTGTCATGCGAGGAACGTGCAGATGGTTATTGCTGAGGAGACTGGAATTGGTGCAAGACTGCCCGAGGTTGATGATGAAATKGATATGGTGATTGATGATCCCGATGCTTAGGTGGGATCAAAGGCGAAGCATACGCGGAACAGTATTCCGCGTGAGAAACTACACGGAACAGTCTTCTGTGTCGTCGGTCTGAACTTCCTGCTCCTATGAGAAACGCATTATACCCCCGAAGGAGAAGAAGCAGGACACAGCACGCTTTTGGCCCGTTTGATTTTGCAGATACCCAATAATGGAGATTGCTTATAAAATCGGTCATCAAGTTGATACGTAGCCAGCTCCAATATCAGCTGGGAGCATGCAGAATATTCTTGATCTGCCCCTAATCCTGCAAGTCGACATGTTCGTGTGTCTGCAGCGAGAATATGCCTAAATACCAAAGACCCGATGATGCATAAGGTAATATTCTACCTAACTCCACTCGGCGCTTCCACAACGGGCAGGAGCCTCATGTCGTGCTACTTCTGCCGGACCGACGATTCAACAAGGAGCTCTGCGCGACACTCCTTGAGCTCTGCTTCACGTCGCGCACAAAACTCCAGGAATCGCAAAATAGTCCGGAATGAATGAAACCATATCTCTCGAACGTCGAATCTGCTGTCCGGAAATTCCAACACCCYAACGGAAAAGTGGTTGTAACCAAAGTTGCGCTTTGAGAATCGAGGAAAAGCACTTTTTAGGAAAAGCCACTCGTCATCCCATGCAGGATCCTCCGTGTCCTGGTCATCTTTGCGAAGCCATGTGTACGGTACACCTTTCTTGACGACGATGATGTGGTTTCTGTGGTATTGCCTGTCATTGGCGACGATAAACCTGAGGCTACAGTATTAGCGGGCATAACGTTAAAAGAGAAAGAACGTCGTGCTCTCACCAAGGCTCTGCTAGCGATCCGCCCTCTTTCGTTCCCCGCACTGCTGTGTACAAAAGCGTAGGTAGATTTTGTTCGTGCATTTGATCCAGTTCATCACTCAATTCGTCCAAACCATCGAAACGCCCGTCTTTGAACTCAGGTGTTGGCACCAGAGTAGTCTTGACATGTTTACGAGCCAGTAGAAAAGTTCTCAGCACTTCGGCCGCTTCAAGCAGGTCACAACTCTCTGGACGCAGATTGTCGAGGAAGAATCTCGTGGCAGCGGGATGGGCTTCAAAGACCTGGGCCATATTCCGCAACGTATCACCGTAGTCCAGACCACCGTTCTGGCCTGCTTCAACCATCTCGACCAGGTATTGAACAAGACATGACACCTTGATGTCKCGTAATGAGGCACGAGGGGTCTGCCAAGCGAGGGAAGTCTCTGGCAAGCTCCAAGATGAAAGCTGCTGAAGTCGATGGCGACAATGTTGAACGGTGTACTTGAGGACTTCGTCGTAGAGCTCACGAGGAAGATCGCAGATTCGTTCGCCGAGTGTGAGTTCTCCGGGAAAGGTGGAGCAAATGTTGGTGTCGCGCGATTGATTCTGGCGGACGGAGACATCGGCTTGATTAGCCATTGCTGCTGCGACAGAAGCCGTGGTGACGGATTGATGTCGAAGTGACGAAAGTGGTACGTGAGTAGATGGGAGTGGAGCTGATGAAGAGAAGTGGACGGCGTGAGGTGTAGACGAGAGGAAGGTGGATGAAGTTATGCCGGCTTTTGTGACGGAAGGGACGGTGACCTGAGTGTCGATCACATGCAAATTTGATTCGAACCTCTCGCATCTGTCATCCATCCAGCCATCTTCTCTCGCATGTGAGTGCGAGTAGACCAATTGCAGCAGTAGTGGCGTGGAAGAGAGCTTTCATCCCAAACGGCAGTCGCGGCGAGAGAGACGATCACATCTCGGACTTATCGACGAAACAAGACTCGGCACGCTTGCCAGACCTGCGTTCCAAGCCGAAGAATAATGGGAGAGATACAACGTGGATGGATTTTCTCACTTACAAAATCTCCCAGCTTTCATTGGAGATATCACGGCCTCTCCATAACGGCCTTGAATGACGTTACATGCAGATCCATACTACTCACCTTTCCTCCTTGACAATTGCATGCAACTCCTACATGTCCGCTTTGTCCCCGGGATCGAAGGAGTCCAGGTCACCTTTGTTCTTTTGCAGGAACAACACCTCAAAGCGTCCAGTACTTTCATCGCCTTTCCATCTCTTTGTCTCAAAGCCAGACACACTGTAATCTGAACTATCAAGTCCAACGTTATTATCCTTCCATAGTGGAGAGTCAACATATCATCATCATCACTCTCGTTCTTTTCCCCAATGTCGCTCACTCACGCCATTCCAGAACAAGACAGATCCTTCCGAGCCTGGAACGTAGACGGTCGCAATACACACCTCATCCCAAACGTCTACCGTATCGACGAGCACCGTCTTCGTGGATCAGAATGGCCCGCAACACGATGTCTACAAGGTCTCTCTTCAAATCGTATGAGTGARTTAGTTGAAAAGAAACTCCACAATCCAAGTAGTACCACAACATGCGAACATTGTACGTCCTCTTCCATTTCCCCCGAAAGAACAGAAACTTACAATCTAGGCCTCCTTCCCAGCTCCGATCCCCTGTGTACAATCTCCTGCTACCACGACTTCACGGCCTCACACTTCTCCCATCCCTTGATCGAACTCCGCGGTCCCGGACCCCTAGGCTACGGGGCTTTCGTACGCCGTGGAATCACCATCAAGAAAGATCAATGGGTGGGAGAATATATCGGAGAACTCCGCCCGATCAAACGGGTGAACCGGGATCTCAAAATCTACGGGAAGCAGAGCATGTATCGTTTTGACATTCCGGTGGAGGGGAAGGAGGATGTTGTGGTGGTTGATAGTGAGCAAAAGGGAAATTGGAGTCGGTTTGTGAATTCGAGTTGTGGGGCGAATTTGATTGTTTGGTAGGTTCTCGGCTTTCTTGGGATGATTACGATGAGRGGAAGGGGATGCTGACAATATATGATGATATAGGGCGACTTTCGTTGGGAAGAGACATGTTTTGCTATTGAGGGCTAAGAAGGATATCAAGGAAGGAGAGGAGTTAACATTCTCGTATGGGAAGGCGTATTTTGATGCGGCGGGCATATCTTGTCGGTGTGGAGCGAGGGAGGGAATGCATATGCCGGGCTCGTGGAGGAAGTGAGGATGAGATGGAGGGATGGGCATAATATGAGCCTCGAAGAGATGCGTTGATGAGCCAGATGTGCCGTTGGGATGGTATTATTTGGAGTGTTACGTCGTTGTTATAGAAAKGACGACGTATATCGCACAGAAGGACATTGTAGATGGATATTCATTCAGCCGGCGTGAAAGGCAGCCAATCATATGCGTTCAATTGAATTGACATCAACTTTTCTTGAAGCTCCGACATCTTCCCCCAAGACTTCCAGTGGGACCTGATGTTCAGCATCAGTCGCCGCCTAGTGATCTCACGACCAACACATTTCCTTCCGATGATGGCGCAGAAACGGGGATTCAACGAGGGYAAGAGGCATTTCAAGAAGAACAAGAAGCAGAAGACGGTGGGTGCTGTGAGCGACGGATCCAACGAAGATGTCTTGCTCGCCGATGTCAAGTCGCTGTTGAAGAATGTCACGCTTGCCGATGAGAAGTCGCTCCCCGCGGAACAAAGTGAGATTGAGGTGACCATCTCCGAACTCTCCTCGACCGGCGATGGATTGGCAGTGCATGCCGGCCATGTCTACGTCGTCCCCTTCTCCGCTCCCGGCGACGTGGTCACGGCCAAACCCTACAAGCACAACTCTCAAGACGGCTATTCTCTCGCCGATTTCGTCAAGGTCGTCACGCCCTCTCCACACCGCACCGAGACCCCCAAATGCCAGTACTTTGCCAAATGCTCGGGCTGTCAGTTCCAATATCTGCCCTACGCCTATCAATTGCAGCACAAGAGAAGGATTGTGGAAAAAGCATATCAGAACTTCTCCAATCTACCAGCGACTTCTGTCCCCACGGTGGGAGACACGATTGGATCGCCGCTGCAGTATGGATACCGGACGAAATTGACTCCACATTTCGATGGACCGCCGGGAGGAAGGAGGGATAAGCGACATGGCAAGGCCGTCACATGGCCGGAAGTCCCGCCCATTGGATTCATGTTAAAGGGGACGAGGAAGACAATGGACATTGAGGATTGCCCCATTGGCACGGATTCGGTCAGAATGGGCATGAAGCGGGAGAGGAAGAGAGTGACGGATGATATCGATGCCTATCAGAAAGGTGCTACGTTGTTGTTGAGAGAGAACACCAAAAAGATCACGAAAGATGAATCTACAGAGGTGGAAAAGGAAGAAGACGCCATTCTCGAAGACCATGCCACCCATTCATTCCTCAAAACCTGCATCACCAACCAAAAGGCAATCTCCACCGAATATATTGACGGTTTCCGCCTGGACAATCCTGCGGGAGCATTCTTCCAAAACAACAATTCTATCCTACCACTCGTCACCCAATACATCCGCGACAACATCCTAGGTCCCTCCACCAAAATAAAGAATATGATCGACGCCTATTGTGGCTCGGGCTTCTTCACAATCACCCTCTCCCAAACGTTCAAGCAAAGCATCGGAATCGACATTTCCGCCCAATCCATCGATTTCGCCTCCAAAAACGCAGCCTTGAACTCCCTCCCAGAATCTTCTACACATTTCATCGCGGCGGATGCAAATMACCTCTTCGCCGCCGTGGATGTCGAGAAATTCCCACCTCAAGAAACAGCCGTGGTAGTGGATCCTCCGCGAAAGGGTTGCGATGAAGATTTCATTCGACAGTTGTTGAAATATGCACCGGAGAGAATTTGCTACGTGAGTTGTAATGTGCATACTCAAGCGAGAGATGTGGGATGGTTGGTCGGTGGTTTGCCGGAGAGTGGGGAGGATGGATTGTATGAGATTGAGAGCGTCAGAGGGTTTGATTTCTTCCCGCAGACTAGTCATGTCGAGGGCGTGGCGATTTTGAGGAAGAAGGGTGGTGGTGATGTTGCTGGTGTGGTGGATAGTGAAGTACAAAGCGCTGTTACTGCTGGGCAATCAAAAGGGGGAAGCGAGGTCAAGGAGGAGAATGAAGAGGTTAAGGTATGAAGCATCGAAATCTTCGTGTTTGGGAACGACTTTCACAGTATACTCTCCATGACACAATCTGGAAATCCAAAGCTTCCACTGCATAGTGTTGTTCGTGATCGCATGATAAACTGCCTGATACCTCATCTAGAACCCTTCACAAACGCATCGCTAAACCCCTAATACTGACTCCCATARCCGCCCTGACCATAGCCATGCTGTTGCTGCTGATCATAACCCCCATAACCACCTTGCGGCTGCTGCTGCTGTTGTTGCTGCTCATATCCACCTTGCTGCTGTGGCTGTTCATACCCTCCATATCCCCCCTGCTGCTGCTGCTGCTGTTGTTGAGGCTGCCACGGAGTCTCATAACCCTGCTGATAAGCCGTCGGATACGTCGCATTGCCCTGATCGTACTGCGCAGGAGCATGTGGTTGTTGACCATACGCCCCTTCGGCAGAAACTTCACCCAACTCTCTTCGCTGCGCCAACATATCGAAGACTCCACCTTTGGTAGCGCTGTGGCTTCCCGTCCCACCGACATTGAAGCCGTGTTGTTGGGCAATGTTTTGTACACCTTGCATGCTCGAATGTATGTTTGCGACTTGGTGGTTCTTGCCAGCTCGGACGCTCTCGGAGCTGAGGATGTCGTTCAAGCCGTGACCGCGATCTGAGCGCTTGTGCACCCACTTCTCGACGATAGAGAACATCTTTTGATGGATCTCGACGTTCGGATCGCGGATCGCCGGGTGGTGGAAGACTCGGCTTATGTCGGCGAGGACTTCTTGCTCGGGCACACCAGGGTTGTCCCAGGCGTAAATTACTCGAGGTGCGACATACTGGAGAATCTCTGCGGCCAATTCTCCGGCAGGTCCGTTGAGGATGTTGGAGAAGTGATCTTTGCTGAGCATGCTGTGTGTTGGATCGGAAGATGTGGGGTCAGTCCAGACGAGATATTGCTGTTGCGCGGAGGAATCGATGACACTTCCGGAACCCTGCTTCAGAGCGTTGGAGGCAGATGCAATGATTGGCTTGATGAACGGAGCGAGGAGACCCATGACGAAAAGGGTGACCTTTTCGGTGATGGTATCGATCATCTTTTCCAGTCCAGGAATCTTGGAAATGGTTGCCGAGATGCTTCGGACAACCTTATCTCTGAAGGAAAGGATTGGGTAGATCTTGGCCATCGCTGCTGCAGCGTCAATCTTGGGTGGTGCGGCGAAGCTGGTTTGGCCTTGGGACTGTCCCGGTGCAGCACGAGAGCTGCTGTAGTTATCATACCCTGGATTGCCGCGCTCATTATCGGCAGCTTGCGCATCTGAGGCCCGTTGGAGATCCACAGCCTCTTGAATCAGAGAACCGGTTCCGGGGATTTTTGCGAGAAGATCCGTCAAAGGGGATGCCGCGGAAGCTGGATCACCATTGGCACTCCTCTGTGTGTTGGCAGAAGCCTGTCCCAACGCAGCATTCAGCTGATCCACCTCCGTCTCGTTGACCTCTGCTTGCGTAACGTGATCAGTCGCCTCACCAAGGACGGAATGGAGAAAGTCAACTCCGCCGAAAGTTCCCGTCACGAGTGGGTAGACTTGCTTGCCTCGAAGGTTGATCATCGTTTGTGTTCCGACATGAGGGAAGACGCCTTGTAGTCCCATCTCCCGGAGAGCAAGCYCGGTGTAGTTGGTGTGGGCACCAAAATCTTCCATGCAGTGCAGACCCTGTCCAAGGCATCGTAGAGCCTCACAGAGATCCTCCTCACGACCCTTGTTGGCACCATGCGTGTACAGTCTCCCGAAATGAATACTTCGAGCAAAAGACCACTTGACGTAYCCCAGTGAGGTGGCGATTCCGAGGTTATCGTTGGCAATGTAGTTCTTCATGCCTGTTTCGGGATCAATGGCCAGCTCCATCGGCGCAACGGGCCCTCGAAGTCTCTTGTCAAACTGACGCGCATCGACATTGTCCGCGTAGTCCTTTGGATTGTCGATGTGCTCCTCTGGTCTGTACACGCCCAGTCGATCTGCCGTAACTTCAAACTCCTCGGTGGCGTAGCCGAATGACATGAAGGCGAGAATCCAGACCAGGACTCGGATGGTGTCAGCAGGAACGCCTTTGAGAGTGCCGACGTCAACTGCTTGGGAATAGTCACGAAGCCAGTTTCCAAAATACGCTCTTTTGACCATCATACTGGTCCATTTGTGGCCACGCAGGAAGGCGACAGTGGTGAGGAGATCCTCGATATCACCATGTCGCCAGTTGTGGCCCTCAATCTGTGAGATGGAGGCAATGTTCCCCGCCTGAAAAGATGTTTCGTTAGCACAGCATCATCCATCCGTCGTCTCATGTGAAGACAGACTCACTCCAAAAGCCGCCACGGGAGATGCCAGAAACACGAGTCCGACGACGCAGATTAGGAGAAAGGTCGTGGAGCCTGCCATTCTGCTGATGTGGGTGTTTGTGGCTCGAAAATGCGGGATTGAACAGGTATTAGTACTCCCTGGTCAGGATTGAATTGAGGAAGGCAGCTGAACTTTGTGGCTGAGCAGCTAACTAAGTACCCAAGGCTGTGTCTGTGGGTGGTATCGTACAATCCTGGGGTATCGAGGAAGAGATCGGTCACAGGAATGGATAAGTTACAAGGGCGTTGTTCGATGTTCAATCTTCTCCAGCAAACATTTCTCGGATGCACGTACATGTGAAGAGTAGAGCACCCCGGCACCCATGAAGAAACTCATCGCGGGTGGCCCTGACGTCATGTGACCAGAAATAGCCAGTCATCTACCAATCAGCACTTGCGACTCAAAGCTTCTCCATCTCTGCCTCGCGTCTTCCAACAGAGGTAAGGTATCTCCATCATGCTTGCCAGAATTATCACAGTCGAGATCACACCGCCTGGCATGAGCGAGCGTATGGAGAGGATGAAACTCATTTCTCGGCCCAAAGTAAGCACAACGGCGGGCGACGTCTAGCTGATCCTTCTCTCAACCGCGAGATTGTTACGCAAAGGGTCAGCACAACGTACATCAACAATCAACATCCCTCTTCCCATATCCACATACCCATACCCATAGCTGGTAAGACGGGATATCTTCACCATGGCCGCCAACTACTGGGATTCCACGCAGCACAAATTCTGGACCTTTACGAAATCGGAACTGGCCGAGACCAGAAAAGACTTGGAGAAGCTCAATCAGCAACTGCACCTCAGATATCCTATGCCGGACCCTCGCTTGATGAGCATTTACTTCCAGCAGCAGCYGGGGAAATTGGCACGTAGGATGGGTCTACGACAACAGGCTCTTGCAACAGCACAAATCTACATCAAAAGATTCTACCTCCGTGCTGAGATGCGGAAAACCAATCCCTATCTCATCATGACAACGGCCGTCTATCTGGCCTGCAAGATGGAAGAATGTCCTCAGCACATCCGACTCATGCTTGGCGAGGCTGCACGACAGTGGACAGAGCTTGGGATCACCGAGACCAGTAAAATTGGAGAATGCGAATTTGCTCTGATCTCTACGCTCTCATCACGGCTGATCTGTCATCATCCGTATCGATCGCTCACCGAACTGGCTCCTGTATTTTCACTCAGCAGTGATGAAACTCAGCTGGCGCATTCCATCATCAATGACAGCTACAACACGGACTTGGCCCTGCTCCATCCTCCGCATATATTGGCTGTCGTTGCCATTTTTCTGGCCGTCGTACTTCGGCCGTCCGGTCAGCCTCCGGGTCTACAAGCACATTCGAACCAGGCAGGGAATGGTTCTGGAATGGTCTCACCGAGCTCGTCATCGATGCCTGGCTTTGCTCCAGCAATGTCGGGTGCGACGGCACAACAAACTCTCGGCGGGTTTGGCGGACTCAAACAGTCGGGTCCGAAACTTGGCAAGCTTGTTGATTGGCTTGCCGAGAGCAGCATCGACATGGTTGCGATTGTCGATGCGACACAAGAAATGATCAGTCTGTATGAGATCTGGGAGAGCTATAGCGAGAGAGCTTGCAAGGAGAGCATTATGAAGTTTGTGAAAGACGGGACTTTGAAGTAAGAGGGATGAATGCTCTTGATCAGATCTGCCAAAACTGGCAGTGACTATGAACAGCCGACATATCACTAGGAGAATGCTCTGTACATTCACAGAACGTATCGACTGGAAAAATGTCAGCTCGTCTGTCAATTGGAAGTGGAAGCTGTTCACTCACAAGGCGAGATTCTCGCGATCTGTCAGATCGAGCATGCGCGAATYGACAACCTCCTCGGATGTGCTGCCTTCGGTGTGGTGCTGCACGACCCCAACTTCAGCCACCAAGCCTTGCGCCTTCAACACATCCCTGCGAGCATTCTCCTTGGATAGGTACCACCTCAGGAATATTACCAACAGCATGGGAAAGATGCATGCCAGTCCAAGAATCACAGACCACGTGACAATATACCTCGGTTTGTACTGCGGTTGGAATAGTTGTGGCGAAAGGATGTTTCCCAATCCATAACCGACGTGATAGAGCGCAATGACGGTCGTCTTCTTGGTATGCCCAGCAGAGCAATTGGCTGCCCAAATCATTACAACACTATAGGGTATGCCATTGGTTGCACGGATCCAGATCGCAGTCAGTAGACCCCACCGATTGGACCATGGAAGGGCGATGAGGAGGATACAGGAAACGATTGGAGGGATGTATGCGCCTACTGATAGCCACGCACGGCAGTTTGTCGTCTTGGCCAGGATGATGGCCGCCGTTGCTAAAGATACGAAATTGGCGACGCCAGTAACACATCCGAGTAACGTCGTCTGGAGAGTGGTGAAGCCGAAGGATTTGATGATGAGAGAGTATTGATTCGTCACGCCGTTTGCCATTTCCTGCGACCAGGCGTGGATGAAGAACATCCAGGTTTTAGAATCCTTCATCGCTTCGATGAACTGACTTCGCTTGAAGAACTTTTGTTCGATACCAGAATGGTTGCTCTTGATTCGAAGCACAGCCTGTGCTTTCTCTTCCAGGGAAAGGAAGTGGGCACTCAATGGACTGTCGGGAAGCCAGAACCAGACCGCAGCGCCAAAGAGGACTGTCAACGCTCCGGTGATGACTCAATACATGTCAGTACGCAGCAATGATCAAAAGGATGAGCATACGCACCCATTAGCCATTTCCAGGGATTGAACGCGCCCGTGTCGATCCACAACACTCCATATGACAGCAGTCCACTTGTGATGGGGCTGGAGTTACCAACTGCCCACATGCACGACATCAACACGGATTGTTCGTCATATGTGAAGAACATGCTCAGCAGTAGTAGAAACGCCGGCACAATACAAGCCTCCGCTACACCGAGCAAGAAACGCACAACGAACAATCCAGCAAAGCTCTTGCATGGAATATGTAGGAGTAAAATGCCTCCCCAAATGACAATGTTCAAACCCAACCATTTCGCAACTGGAAATCGCTGCAGAGCCCAATTTTGAGGCCATTCTGCGAGGAGATATCCTAGGTAGAAGATTGAGGAGAGCCAGTTGTATTCTTTGGCCGTGAGATTGGCATCTTTCATGACTCCCAAGATTGCTGAACTTCCAAGCTAAGGTAGGGATATGTCAGTTGGGATTTGAGAGAATGATTATTATTAGGGCCAAACATACCGTCTGTTTGTCAAGGAACATCAAGTGGTACCCCACGCAGAGGAATGGGAAGATCCATTTGATGCATTTGTTACGAAGACGTTTTGCTTCCGCTGGGGTGGGTTCGGGGACATCAACTTTTGAGAGAAGCTTGTAGCTTTCATCTGCGAAGCGAGATGCTAGCTTTGGGCCTGATTTCTCTGTGGATGGAACTGCGGTTATCGTTGCTGCACCTTTCGTTGTTGAAGACATCTTGATACAGACGGTAAGAGCGTCAAGATTTGGTGGAGATATCTATTGTTCACATCTACGAGATCTGCTACTCAACAACCACAAGATTTTTCTGTCGCGACAATCACATCATATCGTACGAACGGAACTCGCCGAATCAGCGTGTTGCAAAAACTCTCGCGTTGTGGAGATCCATCCTGCCTATCTCAGTATCTGCATAGCGTTGCGCTGAAGAGTCGCCTAAAAAAAACATTTTTCGCTGCGACAATGGCGTGCTCCAAACTGGCTACCTTATCGTATCACCAAGTCCCCACGAGTTCAACCGGTGAAACCCCGCGCGGATCAAGGCGAGAAACCAAGGCTTGATGATGAGCTTGCTTGCATACTGTACACATTATTGTCAAACTCAACATTCAACACTCCAACATGTCCGACTCTTCCAAACTTCGAATCGCTATCATTGGAGGTGGTATTGCTGGCCTTGCAGCGGCAATTGCACTTCAGAAGCATAATGGAATTGATGTGCAGTTGTATGAACGAGCGACGGAGATCCGTGAGATAGGTGCCAGTATTGCTCTAGGACCAAATGGAATGCGAACGCTGGAGAAGTTGGGCGTCGATGAAGCTCTTAGTAGGGACATTGCCTTTCCCAATGTATCCGGGCACCCTATGATATACAGGTGAGCCAGTCGGTATTGTTGATTAAAATAATGGTAGCTGACTCGACGAAGACACTGGGCGACCAACGAGATTGTCTCCGTCGACAATCATCATGGTCATGTGGAAGAACGACATCGTACGAGCCGTTTCTATCGACCACATCTACAACAAGCATTACTATCGCATGTTGAACCTCGTCGCGTTCATCTTCAGAAGACCTTCTCGGCGGTAGAGATTGACTCCGTTACCAACACGTTGTCTGTGTCATTCGCCGATGGTTCTGTCGTCGAAGCAGATGTTCTCCTTGGTGCCGACGGAATCAAATCAGCTGTTCGACGCCACTTTGTGCCGACTTCAGCTCCTAGATGGACTGGATGGGTGGCTTTTCGATCCGTCTTCGATGCGAGCCTCGTAGAGCACATCCCCAGCGTGCTCGACGAAGCAAGTCATTGGTGGGGAYCAGATCGCACCTTTTTCGCTTCGAGGTTGGGTAAGAATGTATTCACGATTGTCGGTGGCAACCAAAGCGACCCTGATGCGCCTGATGCACCTTTTAAAGACTCCGTCTGGAACACGGACGATAATGTGGAGAGTGTAAAGGACATGTACGCGGACTGGCACCCTGTGATTAGGCAATTGTTGGACGTTACACCCAGCATTCGACATTACCCAAATACTTTCGCTTCGGGTTTGGAGTCGTGGGTGCATGGGAATGGACGAGTCACGTTTGCAGGAGATGCGGCACATGCGCATGGCGGGGCGTTTGCGGCTGGGGGATCATTGGCTTTGGACGATGCGTATGCTTTTGCAATGGCGATGTTGCACGTCTACCCTCCAGGATCGCAGAAACCGGATCAAGACCAGATTATCAGAGGTTTGAAATTGTATGAGAGTACCAGGAAACCGCATACAGATCGCGTTTTGTCAACGGTTCATGCGAAGAATGAACAAGCTATTAAGAGAGTTGGGAAAGTAGAGACGGATGAGCAACTCAGGAGGAGGATGCTTGCGAGAGAAGATCTTTACTGGGTTCATGAACATGATGTCGATGCTACGTTTGCGGACGTTTTGGCGCAAGAAAAGGTCGAACTTCAATCACGGCTTCAATCTTCTATTCTACCGGACCAGCGACAAGCTCCGCAATCCGTCTGTGCATAATCTTCTTGGCTTTTTCAACTTCTCCAGCCATATCAACTCCCCAAATCCACTCAAATCGCTCTCTTGTGGTCCGCTTCCACTCTTCCAGGTCCTCGCCCTCGAGCTTGCGATTGAAGAAATCGAAGAGTCGCGGCCCGCCTTCTGTAGAAAACCTTTGAACTTTGGTGAATCGCGGCTTCCGAACCTCTTCTACCGCACATAGAGCCGCTTCGACGAAGCCTTCTTCAATTGAGCTTTGATTGAGTTCCGCGAGCACTTCTGCAAGCACACATGCATCTTCAACAGCTTGAGCAGCTCCAGCTCCATGATGCGGCGGCATCGCATGTGCAGCATCTCCTATCAAGAGGACTCTGCCGTCTCGGAAATGTTCTGGTTGATGGACATGCTGATGCGAAGTCCAGAAAGCAACGTCTTCGGGAAATAGATCCAGAATCCTCTTCATAGTCTCTCCCCATTCCTCAAAGTCCTTCATGAGTTGAGGCCGCTGATTGTGCTTCACCCATTCGTCGCAGTCCCACTCTTCGTCTTTCTTCCCCGGCCAGGCTCCGCAATTGACAAACCTTTCCCCCAGAGACGGGGTATGTTATGATATATCCTTTCGGGCCCAGATATATAGTCCCGCGTAACGCCCCCTCCTCCCCAATAGCAGCAACCGCCTTCTCCACGGGGATTACAGCTCTATAACAACCCGTATAATTATAACTCGGACTGCTAACAACATTCTCGGGCCCACCAAACATGGCACTTCGAACCTTGGAATGAATCCCATCGCAAGCAATCACCACACTCGCCACCTCTGTACTCCCATCCGCAATATTCCAATTTCACCCCCTCTTTATTATCCTGTCTATACCCCACAAACCTCTTCCCAAATTTCACATGCTCTGTAATTCCAACTCCCTCCGCTAACAACTTCAACAATTCCCGCCTATGAAACGCCATGTTCCCCGTAGGACTGGCTTGCAAATTCCAACACCACCTCTCCCTCCTCACGACGCAATGCAGAATCATCATCATCCTCCGCGGCTGCTCCATACCGAAAATAAAACCCAATCTCCTCATCCGGAGGAGGATTTCTCGTAGCAGCAGCAAACAAATTTCTCGCCTAGAGAAGGGTTGATGATTCGGAGGGATTGTAGAGCTGAGGGGTTGAAATTTTATTCCTGCGCCGATTTCTGTTAGGGTGGCGCGGGATTCGTAGAGGGTGAAGGGGATTGGAATTGTTGGAGAGGGATGTTGCTAGGGTTAGGCCGCTTAGGCCGCTGCCTATTATTGCTATGTGGAGGGGTAGGGGGCATTGTGGGTGAGGTATTCTGTTGTCTGTTGTTTTTTTTTTTTGGGAAGTTGGGGGGAAGGGAAGAAGGGGGGGTGTTGCAACGTGGGAGGAGAGGCAATGATTGATAGAGTTGAGAGTTGAATAACATTGACTTGTATCTACTTAGCATAGTCATCGATTACTTCAACATTCGTTAGAGCTGAGCTCGCAGCAAGCTTGCATTGAAGTGGGTGAGACGTGTGCGGAGAAAGATAGGCCAGTGGAGGAGCAAGCGAGAGCGGGGACTGCGATTTTTGTGCCCTCTCTACATTTAGGCCACCGAATCTAACATTCACTCAAGATAGAGTTACCAAGATAAAGTTTAAGATCAGCGCATGCCAAGACCGACCCATCAAACAATCTTCTAAAAATTCCAACTCCCCATCCTCCAAAGCAGTCCACTCAGGCCCTTCCTCTCCCCCAAAAGCACTCAAAAAATAACTCGACCTCTTTATCGAAATTCTCCCGCACACTACTACTACTACAACTCCCAGGACCCACGCCCTCGTCCTCTCCACCACCCCTAACACCAACCCTATCCCACCCAAAATCCTCCAAAAATTTCCTCCCCAACCATCTTAACACACCTCCACAACCTCCCATACTGATCCGGTAATTCCTCATGTATCCAAGGTTCCACATGCTGCGGTTGCTCATCCCAGAATTTCTCTTCCCGTTCCGAAATTTCAGGGGGTTTTCCCCCGGAAACAATATCAAAGGGGGAGTAATTCCTCACTACCAAACCTCGAGCTTTCTTTTTTTCTAAACGTGCCACGTGGGTTTTCGTGGGGAAGTCGTAGGGGTCTGGTGGAAGGGTGTCGCTGCTGCTGGGGGGTGTTTCGGGGGAGGGGAGGGTTGAGGGACTTAGATCTATTCCTAGGCCGTTGGGTGTTATTTGGGGACCGCGGATTGTGGCTAGGGAGCGGAGGGAGGGGAGGTTGATGGGTTTTATGGGGGGGTTTTTCTGAGTGGGTCGGGGTGGGGGGTTTGGGGGTGGTGGTTGCTTGTGGGGAGGTCTTGGGGATTGGATGAGAGAGTGTTGGATTTTTGGGTTGGAAGTAGATAGTTTTTGAGGAGGTTTTATTATCGAGGTGGATGTGTTGTTGTCAGGTATGGTTGTGTTGTCGGGTTGCTTTTGTGGTTTTTGGGTGCGTTTGCTCCTCCTGACAGTCAGAGCTTTTGGTGCTTCGTCTGACTGCTTGGCTTTGATCTTTCTCCTCTTCTCTGGTCTCGCAGTCTCGGCCTGTACGATCCGTGGTAAATTATCCTTTGATTTGTTGTTGGTTGTAGTATTGTTTTCTTTTGCTAAACCCTTGCTCTCAACACCTCTTGATACAGCCTTCAATGCTTCCTCTTCGTCTGGTATTTCAACCTTTCTCTTCCTCTTCCTTTCAACTTTTGCACCTCGTAATGGCTTCTCACCAGCCTCGACAGACCTCTTCGAAGGCTTGGGCGACTGACGTAAACCGTATGATGACATGCTGCTGCTTGCCTATGACGAGGGAATTTTTTTGCAATGGTATTGGAAGAAAAACAAACCTCGAGAATTCCAATTCCCCAGTGTGAGGGAGTTTCTGCTACGTTCTTTGTTACCCATTGCTGTTTCCGTGATTTTTTTCCCCATGTCTCAATTCTGATCCTGCGAACAAAGGTTTCTTAGAATGTAGACGGCCAATCGCGTGCAAAATGTCTCACACAAAGACAAAGAAGCTGAGAATAGATTTTTTGACTTCACCTTCAATGCAGCGATGCACGATAGAGTTATGTAGATGAGCCCCTAGGGGTGTTCACTCATCGGACAGCTGATATGCAAACACGCACGCATCGTTAGTGGACCCTTCTAGTGTGCTTATTAGTTCGATTAAGTTGGTTGTTGTTAGCTAACCGGATGGTTACTAATTGGTATAGTTAGCATCTTTCGGCCTGTTAGTTATAGTTATACCTATAGAGTAGTTAGTTACCGGTAACTAATAGGGAACTGTTCCGATTAGCTATATATAGTGCGGAGGTCCACATCCTTCTTAATGCGGTTAAAAATGAGGCTGAGTGAGTAGTAACTAGTCATCTATATCATCGTCAATTCAACGCTATTCGGAGGCTGGCTAATTCTGAGTGAAGGCGTCACTAATGTAGTGACTCTTAATCCTAACAGTGCAGCGTACGATAAGTCCTCCTAACCTACGCGTATCACCATCCAAGGGGTACGATGTTCTTTTTATACACTGATTGCCTATTCAGGAAGCTGGTAACCATTAGTTAAGTTGGTACTCACTTCAAAAGCTACTAGTTGGTATGATGAGAGCCGCTACCTGCCGGTAAACCAACAATCACACTGGACCCTTCCCCTTTAAGATTGATTCTGATTCTCCCAATCTACAAGTTCAAGATAATTACTCTCAACTACTACTTGTCCCCCACATCGTCCAAAGAACGCAGCCATCCTGTGTATTAGAGCTAAGAACTCCCCCATCCTTTCCGCACTTCCCCTGAATCACCTCCATTCGCCTGCGACACTCATCCCCTTGAGTATCAAAACTACGTGAAGGTGCGCAATCCTTCTGATTCTGACTGTTGAATTGCGTTCTAATGCGAACTACAACATCACCCGACACTACATTGTCATAAGACTCTCCAGAAGGAGTATCTTGGTGAAATTGATTGTCGCTCTTATAGTTTGGATCCAGAGTCAAGGAACGACCACAATAGCTGTCAATTGCCGCTTTTGTTGCATCGGGTGTTAGATCTTTTGCTCTAGGATATGCGTTGTGGCCACATTGGATCATCTCTTCGATTTCTGTTTTAAGAATGAAGACTCCGCAGCCGTCTTGAATACTGCCACCATACTTTCCCATGGATCCTTTGAAACCGACATCGCAGTCGTCAATTGTTCGTCGTAGGAAGCGCTCGCAAGCAGCACGATCGACGGTGTATGGTGTCGAGGCTTCCTTTTTGCATTCCGCATCGTCGGAGTATTGGGCGGACAGTATCATGTTTGAATTTCCAACGCGAGGTTTGTATGTCTTGTCGACTTTTTTGGAAGGATCAAGGGGTGATTCCGCGAAGCTGGAACAAAAGTCCTTGATATTCTCAAGTGCTTCATCGCGGTTGACACCGGTCCCTGCATTATAGTCAGCATGATCAAAGTAACTCTTCGGATGATGTAATTACCATCTTTGAGCGTGGTACCACAGGTAAGGTCCCCGGCGTTGTATTCAGGTTGCAAGTTCCAGATGAAACAGGTGTCACTGACTTTGCCACCACGCTTCGAAAGTGTATCAGTGTCACAGCCATCCAGAGCCTCGTGGAGGAAGTAACTGCAATCTTCCGAAAAGATTGTCGATTCTATGGCATTTCGCGTCGCACACAAGGGATATTGGTTGACGGTGATGTTCAACGCAACGCCAGCACCAACGTTGTAAGTTTCTTGTGTGATGGTCTTCTGATTAACCACGGTACCATTTTTGGAATCACAAAATTCCTTGATCTTGGATGATATCGTGTCTCGACCCACGGCTGGCGTGTCCTCTGACGAACCGCATGCAATGTCGTTGCTGCTATACAAGACATGAGGTGTGCCAAAAACTTTCATCCAGTTGGAGACGGGCAGTGTTATCATTTCTGGCTGCGCCGTTCGACTGGCGGTGGAAGTCGCCGAAGTTGTCGACTTGCTGGAGGGTAGACTTGGCGTTGGTATCGATGTTATTGGTGCTTCAGGTATGATAGGTTTTGGCACAGCAAGCAGTGCCGCACCTCCAGCAAGARTCACGGCGGCAATGGTTTCGCCAGCAGTGCCCGTAGTCGTGATCGTTGTCGGCTTTGTGAGCGTCGAGTACGCGGGAAACGATGTGGCAATGTATGTCTCATTCCAAGTTGACTTTCCATTCGTGGTGGCCACCACTGTAGTGCTTGTTTGCCCGATGAAGTTGCCGCAAGTGACACTCGACCCAAGAGGATCAGTGCACTCAGCTGTGGTAGCTGGAAGTTGACCAGACTGGAATCTCTCGAATTTGTCTGCTGGTAGGGCGCTGACGGAGTGCGCCAATATGTTTATGAGGTATATGCAGGCCGAAACGGCCGATTTTGATCGAGACATGATGCGGCGGTGGATTGACCTGCCATCTCGTTACGTAGGGAGCCTTTAATACAAAGTCGACGACATGTTACACGCCCGTATGCAAGCTATCAGCCTCGGTGTTGGCTTCCAGAGACTAACGTCTCATGTAGCGCTTCTGGAAATCTAGCCGCCCCTGTGCCGCATTCACGTACAGCAAAAAGGCAAACCTAAATCGAACGTCAGCTGTGCCGCTTCGGTACAGCAGATTGCGTAGCGAACCGCTGGGCGGTACTTGACGCCCTACATCCACCCTCGCTTGAGGTCTGCATTTCAATCTGCACAACAGCTATTCCTAGATCACATTGAGCGCTTCCACCATCTGTTTGGTTTATCCTGGACAGTGTAAAACGGCAAAGTCAAGCGACCAACGCCTCTTTGGCGCCCCGAAGTGCCTGCTAATCGTGCTTTCATTCGACAGCTGCTGTATTGAAGGCATGTCTGACGAATGGCGTCCGATCTGCGGATCAGAAACCAACACCGTGTTGACGCTCAGCACCTCGTTTCTCGAGGCCATATGTCTATTATAGCATGATGGTGTTTCGGTAGACGCACGAATCACGCCTGTAGTCTTTCTACCGTCAGCCGGAGACCCTCAACGTCGGGAGGCCCACGATGGAGCTGAAATAGGAGCGAGATCCTCTCTCAATGGAGATGTGAAAACAATCGTCAGATATGTTGGCCATGCATTTATCCCTTCGTTTCGCCTCCCTTGTTCTTCTATTACCCTCATGGTGGGGCACAGGTCTTGCCTATACTATCGATGATTCGTGCACAGTAACGCAGCAGGTGGGGATCAGGGCAGCAATACAAGAGGCAATCGACATGGCTCGTTACGGTGAATGGCGTGTCCAGCAAAAGGCTTATCCGCTTGGGCAAGTTACCGAGCAACTTTTGGGGCCCAATGCATTGGAAGTATTCCAAGGTGAATGAGTGTCGGAAGCATAGGATGAACGCAGCTTACTTACTTGGGATCCAGGGAAAATGGAGAGGATTCCATCGACATTTGGACCAGACAACGGCGCATGGGATGTGACCAACCCACCTCGTAGCGATGCAACGCTGATTTTCAAATGTGGCGGCCAACACCTGGAGCCAGGGCTGGGCGGAGACAGTTGGTTTGATCCTGATTTCCCACTGTCCGGGAGCATCAGGTMGGCCAATCCATCGAAACCGAACGCCCAACCTTGCACACAAGGATCCGGCGAAATGGCCAAGACATATCTGACTGGGCTTTCGAGCTCGGCTGGCGTTCTCAACGGCCCACGATTTGTGATCATGCTGTGTGAAGGGTGGGGCAATGCGGTCCTTTCCAAGCCTGCGACGCTGGGGAGATCGTGGTCGACTGTGGATTGGACAGACGTCGATTTCGGACGATTCAGCCATGACGCCATGTCTGTCACGGTACTGCACGAGGCGATGCACAGCATGTGGTTCTTCAACGTAGCAGAGAGAAGTGAGTAATAGCCCACACGAGGTGTGCAAGCTCGTTTGACGAATGCCAACAGTAACTGGTCGCCTGCCGAGTGGTAGGAGGGAAGCATATGATTTTGAAGATATTCAGAAGCTCTCATGGGATGCAAAGGAGAAGAATGCGCACAGCTATGCCTTGCTGGCTGTCTGTAAGTCTTGAGCCAGGTGATTCCTTTGTTGGAGGCTAATCCTAGCAGTGGCTTGGCTGAAAGGTCACGATGTATCCAAGTTCGGATCGATGGGACCACAGAAACGAGCCGCACGTCGCCTTGGGCCAGCGCTGACGATGCCAAACGATCCGCATCCGTAGTGATGGGATTGAGCTAGTCGCGGGGTCATTCTTAGTTTACAAGTCGTTGATTCAATAGGGTTGTGGTGGCTTCCAATAGAAGTCGAAGGCATTTTCCGCCTGTTCGTTGTGTAGCGATAAGGCGGATTCCCAATATCCTACTACCGGGCCGCTCGCCCCAACTTTCACAGCTTCAGCCGCCCGCTCTGCATCTATGCTTCGAGTTTGTAAGGCCAGTTGCCCGTCTTCGAAGCTATTCCCCGCAGGCTCGACTGCAAGGTGCCTCTGCAGGAGCGCAAAAGGATTGCCGCGTTCGAATCGCAGCTTGTCCAAGTAAAATGGTGGCATTGATGTAAGTCGCACATCAAATCGGGCGAGCGATTGTCTTCGCTCTTTCAAATGGATGAAGTCGTTTTGCACAGTTGAATTCGTTACTGCGCTGCGAGGGGGATCAAAGATGTCCGATTCGCGTACTTCGATGTCGCGGTACACAGACAGGAATTTGAGTGTGGGCACGACGCTCGCTACATCATAGATAAAGCGTAGATACTGCGACTGTGTCAGACGTTGGACTTTTGGCGCAAAGAATTCCACTCACTGGTATATCACTGAATGGTACATCGATCGCTAGGCATGACAGCTTTGTACAGAAAGATTTCATGGAGTGAAATACCTCGCTCGATAGCAAAGGTCTGACACGATCGGGTCGGTATTTAGGCGTCCTTTCGTGAACCGTCAGGCTTCGCAGGTCACCGCCAATGCTCCGAAGAAGGCTGGGAGTGACTGACTCGGTGCTGTTTATGAGTTCTAGGTGACGCAGACATGTCAAACTCTCCAGCAAAGTGCCCGTGTACTGTGCCGTGGCGGCGGATGTGCACGTTGTGAATTCGCAATCGCGGCCGGAAGGACAGGTCAGCGTCAGCGAAGTAAGCCGTTGAGCCCTGCAGGAAATCTTCTCCAATAGAGTGACACACGTTATCGTGAGGCTATCGAGTCGATTCCAGTCTACTTGCTCGACCCAAGTTGGGATTGCGGTGTCTGCGCAGACGCACACATTTGAGAGCTCTAGGGTTGACAATCTTAGGAGATTATCTGAATCCATGGTCGATGGTCTGAGTAGCCAGATGACATCTGTCACCCTCGTAAAGCTCCCGAATGGCGTTTGACTCAGCGCGTAGGGGATTGTCCTCGAATAGAACATGCATCCGATACATCTGATGCGAAGTTCTCTCAGCTTGTTTGTTGTCCATATCAGACGTCCAAGTCCAAGGAGCAGCTCGGTATCCGCAGCCGTTATCACCACGCATAAGCTCGTGAGAGTTGTTGATACAATTCCAAGGCTTGCGATGCACCAATGGTTGAGGAATGGGGCATAAGAGAACTCCATGTACTCCTCTACCAGACGACTATCAAGGATCCGTACGCTGCATTGTCCATTCCGAGCAAGGGCTTGTGCAAGTGGCCGCGGCATGCAAGGAGTCGCGCTCCATGTGAAGGTAGAAATCGATAGTGTTGTCACAGCATCTATCAATTTCTGCATCTGTTGCCAGGTCGGGTCCTTTGAGAGTCAGCAGTGCCTACAACTGAGACAGAAAACATGCCATACCTTTTGTCGTGCGGTATCCGACCATGTACGAGAAAAGTACCCATCCGTGCGGTACGGGTCCTCGCGCATTAAGGTGTAAGGAAGGACATCTGGGAATTGATAGTTCATGTCACGCAGACACCATTCTTTGATGGAAATGCGAATGATGCGTTGTCGAAAGCTCCGGTCACGTTTCATACGCCCGAAAAGCTTCACATTTCGATCTGCCGTCTTGGGACCGATAGTGATTGGGCCTACATCACCGTCGATGACTCTCTGTGCTAGTGCATGCCATCTAGAGCACACCACGGTTGCTGCAAGCAAGGCAGGCTTCGAATCATGTTTCAACTGGATTGTATCAGTACAAGGCAAGCACTGCTCCTCATACCATTCTGGCTCACGATGTCGAATATGTGCAGAAGAAGCTCGTCGTTGAGCTTCTCGATGCAAGCGGGCTCACATCCCGACGTCAATGTCGCCGCACGTGCTCGAGCGCGTCTTCTCGTAGTCGCGACCATTTTTGGGGCGGCGGGCAGCGATGAGATTGAAAATTGAGTCGAGGGCCTTCAGGTATGATGTATGTGATGGAAGGATAATGCAGATGGCGGACCTAAGCGCCGGCTCTACTGTGCCACGATTGGGCGACTTTGCCGCTGCATGTGAGTTGCGAGCACGTCGTCAAGGCGCTATTGATATGCTGCCTCATACTCGACCACTATGATCGCGCGTATCTGAAAGATCTCCACTGGTTGCAGGAACAACGGGCGAAGATGTCGGAGTCTCACGGCGCGTCGTGAAGCGTGGAGCGAGAGTCGACTCATTCTGGAACAATTCTGATGATCAACAGCCTTCCAGTATTTGTCTCGCGCGAGATGCCACGCGCGGGTCTTGGATAAGACGCGTGCAGGCGGTTGTGAGTGAAAGGAAGTATAACATTCGCAGATGAAAGTCACGGGGGGGACCYGAGGCTGCAAACGGCTCAGCTCAGCCTCCCTCGTTCCAAATCCTGAATCTCGCTTTCCCTTCTCATCACCACCAACACCTGCAACAAGTGCGCATCACAACACGACCATCTTGATTCAATTCATCAACATCACCAGTTCACCGCGCGACATTGCCACACCCAGCATCACGAGTAACACTCAACCCTCGCCGCAGCGTCCCGCATCACACGCGCCCTCCCGTCAGCCCGTCGCGCGACTCCATCTTCGCGATCTCCACCAGCTGAGCATCAGCTCTTTCTTGGAAGGAACAACTCCTTTCATCACCAGCCAACTTGCGCCGTCAATCACGCGCATCTCCTCCGCCATACCCACAGCTTACCCCACACTCCACACTCGACGCCATCACCATGTCGGGAAAGTCGGGAAAGCTCGATCAGTCCCTCGACGAGATCATGAAAGACGGCAAGACGACCGGCGTCAAGCGCGGTCGTGGTCGCGTCTCCACCCGCAAGGCTGCCATTAAATCAAAGGCCGCCACCACTGCAGCCGTTGCACCAACCGGCGGCGTGCAGAAGAAGACCAAGGCGACCAAGCAGCCACCGCGTGGCCCCGCCGCTGCCGTTGTCCCTCTGTCCGGACCCAGCAAAATCCAGGTCAACAACCTGCCCGAGGATGTGACTGAAGCGTTGATCAAGGTACGTTGACGCAACTGGCCATTACGGCACCGGATCTCCTTCGAATTTGTGCGCCATGAGCGCTGTAATGTGGTATTTGGACACGTCCTGTTGGCATCGCGAGGTTCAAAGGTCCATTCCATTCCCCTGGCACTGCTCCGCATCCGTCGCTTCACGAAGCAAAGGTATTGCGCCGAGTTCAGATTGCCCTCTCCGTCTTGCGCTAAACCCTCCACCATCTGCCTGGCAAGCAGCTTTGTGTGCTGAGGTGCAGACGTGAAGAAGTAGATTGGATTCAGAGGGCAAGCAGGCATACGCGAGCAAGCATTTGGAACGCGAGCGATGGCAAGCTCAAAGGCAGTCGGCCGTCCCAATCATATCTCAACCCGGTCATGGACCTCTACAGACTAGACCGGCACCTTTGCGGCGTGTTGGCTATGGTTGGGCTCGGTTGCTTGGGAGATCGTCTGCACCGAACCTTACATGGGATATACTTGGCCTGCTGCTTGCTCTCTGAAACCCACTATACTCTACTGGCTGCGACCATAGGATAACCGCTCTGTTGACCCAATTGATCCTCGCCAGGATTGCTCTTGACGCGAGCTTTATACCTTTCGAAGACGCCCACTAATACGGACATGTGTTCAGGAGTACTTTAGCACATCTGTCTCCGCTGTCAAGAAGGTTGTGCTCAACTATGGACCAAATGGGCGCAGCCGTGGCATTGCGACCGTTGAGTTCCACGACGCCAACGCTGCCGCCAAGGCCGTCAAGCTTGATGGAACCCGCGTTGATCAGAGGCCTCTCAAAGTACGTTTGCCCGTCCTGGCTCCCTCAAATTGTAATGCTGACCACCTACTCAGATCGAAGTTCTGGTCGGTGCTAAGAGCCTCCCTGCGCTGGCCCACCCTAAATCTCTCGCGGAGCGCATGTCGTGAGTACTTGCAACATCGAATGATCGACGTGGCGACTGACAATCATTCCAGGAAGCCCAAGGCCGTCACAAAGGAGAAGCCGAAGCAAGCTGTCGGTGCCAAGGGCGCCTCCAATGGAGCGACGAACGGTGCGGGCAAAGATGGTCGGGCAGCCAAGAAGAAGTCTGGCCGCGCAGGAAAGCCCAAGGCCAAGACCGCGGACGAGCTGGACGCGGAAATGCAAGACTACTTTGGTGGAGGAGAGACGAATGGCGCACCAACGAACGGCACAGCTGAGCCAGTCGCTGCGGCCGACGGCGGCGATACCGGCATGGTGGACGAGGTTTTGTGAGGAGGACAGCGACACAACCTTTCTCACGACCAACATGACACTTTCTTGACATGCTTGAAGGCAGGCAAGCAAGACCAGTGTCCCTTTCGGCGATTGTATTATGGACACTACTCTTTTATCGGATCGCGGGGTGCGCGTTGGAGCTATCAGACTGAAATCGACTAGACCAGCTGGGAAACTGAGAATGAGAATGATTAGTGACATTGACCAAGCAAGATTCCCATCATACTGAGGTGGATTGAGAGCGAGACTCCCATCATACTGAGGTGGATTGAGAGCGGTGCATTCGCCTGTTGCTCAACGTCGCCTGTCCAAGGCCAGATCAGAACAATGGCTGTTGTTCGACCTCACAAGGGCCGCTCTGAATCTAAAAGAACTGCGAGCTGAAGCACGGAAGGGAGTCCGCGCAAAACATGGTGCATGCTGGCGCACAATCCCTCCCCCGGATCCCGCTCGGCCTACCTTCGTCCTTGGGGTCAGCAGATACCATGGTACATGGTTGCAGTTTTGGGTCCAGGTGCCACACGAATTGGTCATCCCGACCAGCCTTTCGCCATTGACTTGCTCCGAGCGGTCTTCGAGCTATCGCCGGAGCTGCGGGTCAGTCGGGTATTCCAACAAGCATCCGAATCTGGAGTACCCCTCATGCATGTTGACCCTCGATACGATGAACCACAAACGTTCACAGCGGCCTTGCACGTGCTGTTTCACTTCAGCTGGGATAGTATCTCGATTGCACCGCGATGGACCACCGTCGTGGATCATTTCGGTCGTCATTGGCAGTCGCCTAGTGATATGATTAATGATGTTGTGTCTTCCACAATTGATCCAGCTGAGCGGGGTGTTGCACTTAACAACGAACGTGAGAATGACGGCGGCAAAGCCTTTGGATCTGCGGTCTAGACGTCAATGTGGTGGTCGCCACAAGTCCTTCTGGGTGATGTTTTCCTAGCTAGACCCTGGCTCTGGTTTCCCCGCTTGCGTAGCTGTTTATGATGTTTTGCCCCGCTTTCACGTAAACGCGCGGTGAGCCATGTTACCGATGGCCATTCATAGCTTGCGCCGGCACAACGATAGCCCACCCGAAGACGCCCTTGTGAGCGAGGACAAGGACGAGTGGAGATKCATTGTGGAGATCGCAGCTCTCTGCGAGCGAATTGCCAAAGCTTAAGGCGGTAGGTGGAAAGAAAGGCCTGCTACATAAGATCCACCGCGCCTCCGCACCACCTTTTTTTCTGCCCCCCCATCATCGCTGCGCGATACAGGAAATTTGTTTATTTGATACCCCGTTACCGTCAAAATGTCTGATCTTTCCGTCCAGCTTGAGACGCCGCACGCCGGCAAGTACACTCAGCCCACCGGACTGTAAGCATTCACTCCCCCGAGCTTGATTGATGATGGATGGATTGATTGACAACCTCCAGTTTCATCAACAACGAGTTCGTCGCTGGTGTTGACGGCCGCAAATTCGAGACCATCAACCCGGCCACCGAGGAGGTCATCACCTCCGTCCACGAGGCATCCGAGAAGGATGTAGACATCGCCGTCGCCGCTGCCCGCAAGGCATTCGAGGGACCATGGAGACGTGAGACCCCAGAGAACCGTGGCAAGCTCCTTCACAAGCTCGCCGACCTCTTCGAGAAGAACCTCGACACTCTCGCAGCCATTGAGGCGCTCGACAACGGCAAGGCTGTTTCCATGGCCAAGGTCGATGTCAGCATGTGTGTTGGTACCCTCCACTACTACGCCGGCTGGGCCGACAAGATCGAGGGCAAGGTCGTCGACACCAACCCAGACCACTTCAACTACATCAAGAAGGAGCCAATCGGTGTTTGCGGACAGGTATGTGGGGAATGCAGTGGACATCGTTGTGCAATCGACTAATCCATCATCTGCAGATCATCCCATGGAACTTCCCCCTTCTCATGTGGTCGTGGAAGATTGGCCCAGCTATTGCTGCTGGTAACACCGTCGTCCTCAAGACCGCCGAGCAGACTCCTCTCTCTGCTCTCTTCGCTGCCAGCCTCATCAAGGAGGCCGGTTTCCCCCCAGGTGTTGTCAACGTCATCTCTGGGTTCGGAAAGATCGCAGGTGCCGCCATCTCCACCCACATGGACGTTGACAAGGTCGCCTTTACTGGATCCACCGTTGTCGGTCGCCAGATCCTCAAGGCTGCTGCCGGCTCCAACTTGAAGAAGGTCACCCTTGAGCTTGGTGGCAAGTCACCCAACATCGTCTTTGACGATGCTGACATTGACAACGCCATCTCATGGGTCAACTTCGGTATCTTCTTCAACCACGGACAGTGCTGCTGTGCCGGTTCGCGTGTCTACGTGCAGGAGGGTATCTACGACCAGTTCATTCAGCGATTCAAGGAGCGTGCCTCCAAGAACGTTGTTGGTGACCCATTCGCCGCCGACACCTTCCAGGGACCACAGGTCTCCAAGGTCCAGTTCGATCGTATCATGGAGTACGTTTTGTCGTTCCCAATATGTATCGCACAAGCTAACCGTGTAACAGCTACATCAAGGCCGGCAAGGAGGCTGGAGCCAACGTCGAAATCGGTGGTAACCGCAAGGGAGACAAGGGTTACTTCATCGAGCCAACCATCTTCTCCAACGTCACCGAGGACATGAAGATTGTGCAGGAGGAGATCTTCGGCCCCGTCTGCTCCATCTCCAAGTTCAAGACTCAGGAGGAGGTCATCAAGCTCGGCAATGCCACGACCTACGGTCTCGCMGCCGCCGTCCACACCAAGTCGCTCAACACCGCCATTGAGACCTCCAACGCACTTCGCGCCGGTACCGTCTGGGTCAACACCTACAACACCCTGCACCACCAGCTTCCATTCGGTGGTTACAAGGAGTCTGGTATCGGTCGTGAGCTTGGTGAGGACGCCCTTGCCAACTATGTCCAGACCAAGACTGTCAACATCAGATTGGGAGATGCTCTGTTCGGTTAAGCGATATATTTATTGGTAATACCGTAGTGATGGGTTGTATCTACGTATGAGTTATGAAAAGAATGTAAAATTGTCAAACTATYTTCATCTCGTTCGATGTCAAACCAACTTATCTCGTTTGATGTAATATCCGTACGGTCATCTGACTGATATATTTCGGACCCAGCACTGCTTCCCGTGACGCTTGACATTGTCAGTCCAAACTTTGATGCCTCACCACGAGAATTGTGGCGCCAAGTCCATCATCATATCATAGCAATGTCATCGCCGAGGCCAAGCATCACTCCTCTGTCAACTAACATAATAAGCTCTTTCACAAGCCAAAACAGGGTAACCAACCATGCTCTCCGCCCGCATCAAACTCTCCCGCAATTTCGCCATTATGTATTCCCCTCATCACATCCCCACGACGACGATGATTATTATTATCCACCATGACAACAACACCAGCCCCCATTCATTCCCCCACAAAAAAAAAAAATCTCCCTCGACCGCAATATCTTCAACGACTAGGTCGCTCTAACTACACCCACCTTCCGCAACTTTCTGGTTTCGCGGGAATGGATCAAATGGCAATGCCGAGAGTTTCAAGAGATAGATGGGGGGGGGGGGGGGTCGCACGGAAGAAGAGGAAGGCTAAGGGTTTTTGAATGCATGCGGAATGTTTGGAGGAATTTTATGGGTTCTGTAGTAGTTGAAAAGTATTGGTTGGACCTGAGTGAGAGGATTGTTTTTTTGCCGGTTTTTTCAAATCTTACGAAGAATTTTATGGGTTCTGTAGTAGTTGAAAGTATATATTGGACCTGAGAAGATTGTTTTTGCCGGTTTTTTTTAAATCTTATGAAAATGAATGAGCTTGGATTTGTGGAAGGGTTGGCGGGAGCTTTTTCTTGCTGAAGTTAGAGGGAGAGGGCAGGAGGATGATGGGTATCAGAGGTTACCTACTTTCGTTGGTTTTTGTTGTTGGATCAGATCTTCCTAGGAATGTTTATCGTGAGGCTGAGGGGTTGAGGGTTGTTTATGGGCATTTTTACGTGGTAGTAGTGTTGCTCTTCAACCGAATCCTCTGACGCATGAGGCGTTGAGAGGGAATTCTTTGGTGAAGAATTGGTTGGTTATGCCGTTGATGCATGCTGAAGATGGGGAATCTCAGGAGGCGGCCATGGTGATTTTGAGGAAACGTCTGGCTGAGGCTAAGGAGGAGGGAGATGAGGAGACTGTGCGTGAGGCGGAGATGGCGTTGGGTCCTCCTGCTGGGACAGCATTTTGGATATTATTAGGAGRTTTGGGAGGTTTCCGCATCGGAATGAGTGTTTGGGGGGGAGGAGTACCGAGGGATGAGGAGGAGTGGTTGGAGACTGGGGAGACTTTTGGGGTGAAGCAGGTTAAGAAGGCGGATCTTGAGGCTGGACTGTAGGTTTCATGCTCTGTCGTGAATTCCATGGACATGCCTCTCCAGATGCGAGTGCTTGCGGGAAGAGCTCAGGCCCAGCTCGCCGGGCGATGGCATGAATCTACCTACCGATGGAGGTACTTGTACTCTCGCAGATGACTGCTCAAGTTGCCACGAGTTGGGGGGATGTGACATTAGATCCCAGACGAAGTGGTCGTTGGCACGAAAACCTGCAGTGAATGGTCTGGACCGCACATGCCAGCTCAGCCTCTGCGAGAGATTMACCTCACGCCGACGAAACGAACATCGCATTCACTACTAAACAAACACTAGCGAACTCTACTCAGGACACTGGAGATTCAAGTGAATGTCAATGCGAGACAAACCATGGATGGCTTTGCTTGCTATTCGTTCTCGCCGGCTCCGCCCCATCGATACGAGATGGCAATCTTTTGACGAGTTTATCCAGGCTCATGGATCGGAGAGTCGTAACTATGAGCGAAGATGAGAGGCCACTGGTCAAGGGACGATGTTGCTACATGAAATCTCGCATCGACCAGCATTCCCTCTGCGAGACCACTTCGTGTACGCTGCATCGACGCTGTGTACATCGAGACAATGCCGCCTGCAAGATTTGACATGGCATCGCATCGTAACTCCTTGGATGCGAGGTGTTTGGTCGTTAGATCGCCGTGCTCTACGCCGTGTCGCAGCTGGACTGGACTGGACTGGACTGGCGCGCGAACACTCATCGCTTTCATTCGAGTAAACGTCTTGAACATCCTTTCCTCTCGCATATTGTACAGACAATGGTAAAGAGTTATTTGGGCTTTGATGTGGGAGAATCGGACACGCATGTCGAACTATTAATCAAAGGGTGAACTCTCCGTTGTATACACTCGCTAAGACGTTGCAGCTATCTCCAGCTCTACACCAACAACGCGGATCGAATCTTCTTAAAATCAGGAGTTCCGAAACCAGTCGCAACATCCCATCCTGCTTGTGCTGGAAATCCACTGCCGTTGCAGCCAAAAATATTACCTTGAGTAATATCGTTGAAACCCCTACTTCCACCCAATCTGTACAGCCACGGGTTCATGAAGCCGAGTGGAGGTCTACCTGCAGCAATGAGAGCGTCATTCACCATGGTCAGGACTAGAATGACAAGTCAGCGCAATTCACGTCAAAGAGGGAGAGAGGGGAAAAGGGGAAGGGGAAGAACTCACCTCCCGCAGCAGCTGGCGAAGAAGCACTAGTTCCATCAACAAGAACGTTCCTCCCTCCATACACCACCACGAATCCAAAACCCTGCGCCGAGATATCTGGATATGCACGTCCTTTAGGGTTATACATTCCCTTGTGCAAATCTCCAATCGAAGCAAGATATTTCTTGACCTCGGGGATCTGGTATGCGGGTGTCGGGAAGTAGTTTGAGAGGCCCCCTCCAGCAACATAGCCGTTGCTCACGCGGTACGCGACAATCTCGGGGTTGATGTCCTTGGTGCCTCCTACAGCCGTGATGTATGGACACGAAGCTGGAAAGGAGGGCTGGAATTTGGGAGTGTTCTTTCCATCGTTGGAGACGCAAGTACCGTTAGCGCCCACACCGTTATCGCCGGCAGAAAATAAGAGCGTTGAGCCTCTTGCGCCAAGCTGAGCGAACTCTGCACAGACGCGACGGGCGTAGTTCTCGGGAACACTCTGTTCGTCATCGCCATAGGACGTGGAAATGGTGAATGGCACGGATTTTTGGCCGAGGACGTAGTTGACCCACGTGAGGTACGGCTCGTTAGTGTTGGTGGGAGTGAAGAGATCCGGCTTGAAAGGAGGCGAGCCACCAGTGGAGTAAGTCGTAAACTTGGTTGGGTAGACAATTCCACCGACGGTCTGGACGTCCAAGTTCGCTTCGACATCACGCTCGCCGTAGAACTCCGTCTCGGGGGCTTGCATGTTGATTCCTCCATCGACGATCTGGTAGGAGTATTGATAGCYAGGCTTGGCGTCTTTGCGGTAGCGAGACATGTAGATGTGGAAGTCGGAGTAGTTGGCGCTTTCGTTGAGATAATTGGTCGTGCCGACGTAGTTGAGCTGTGGGACTTTGGGGACGTAGTCGACTGTGTTGTAGAGCGTTCGCAGGCAGAGGGAGGTCACGGCGCTGACATTGCAGACTGCTGCTGCTGCGTCTCCGGAAGAGGCCAGGCGGGACACATCATCAGCAGCGTAAGTCAATTCCTGATGGTCAGTGCCGAATGGGAGCTTGGCCATTTCCTTTGGGTTTCCAAAGCTGTGATTTCCTTGTCAGTTCATGCGATATTCTATTCAAACAGGAAAACATACTAGTTGGTGGGCTGAATGACATCGATATGGCCGTGCAGGCTCTTGGGAAGGCTGTATTGTGTCGTGCGAACAATACGACTACCGGCATCGTTCTCATAGACGTGATATTCCGTGTCTAGCAATTGTTCAATCTCGGACACGGGAAGAGCAATAACCACCCAGTCCTTTGCTGCCGTGTACTCGACTTGATCCAGACGAATGTTGTTGTCTTCCAGCCATTCGTGGACGGCATCTAGAGAGTCCTCGGAGGGTGCAACGAGGGCGCTGACTTGATCGGCGGAAAGATGTTGGCCATAGCGGTGGTGATCTGGGTCGGAGACTTCGTAGAGCTGCTTCTCGAGCTCGGCGAAGGAGCCTTGTTTCACGCCAATTCGAAGACTGAGGGTGTGTTCCTTTTCCAGCCGAACGTTAGTGGGTCTCTACGCCGAGCATTCCATGGAAAGCTTGGTAGACATACAGGGTGTGGTTTGCCCAGAACCCTCCACTGTTCAGGCACATAATGTCTGTCTTTGATCTCATAGTCTGCCCTCTTCTCTACCGGAACCGCAAGAGATAGCCCACAAAGGGCGAAAAGGATACTACTACTCCTCATGTTTCTTCGATAGATTGCCTATCCAAAACAATGATCAATAACGAACGATTCAACCAAGAGAAAATAAGATCACACAAGAAGGGCACAAGCCAGCTCTTGTATTCCCTAAGACGACTCGGCATGTAGCTTGAATCGAAGCTTGTGCCGATCTTGCCTACTTCTTACCTGTACACGATGCAAGGTCTCCATTACACGAACCAATGACAACCCATGCACCGCGCAATCAATTTGGTCCTTCAAGGGCGGTTTGGCATTAAGACCTTCCCAGTACGGTTAGGGCAATTGATAAGGTTGGTGGCACTCACTACTGATGAAGCGGTTCGTCCGGTCTTTGGTTCCCCCGTCATTTGGTCGGACACGCGACTTTCGGTCATCACCTTTCCCTCGTGTCTCGCGTGTATCTTGCATGTCCGTGGAACCCTAATCAATCATGTTATTGTCTCGGGATTGGCTGAGTGGAATCTTGGCTACATATCGGGCAACGCCTTTAATAACTGCATCTGGCAGGTCAAATATCGTCGATACGAGAACGGACGCATCCCAAATCGCACCACCAGGGTGCTCTACAGAGTGCAGCGGGGTGTGAGCATTACAACCGTCTTCAGGCATTGATGAATGCCATGCCACTATCGATAGAATACAGCCTCTTCTGTCCCTCCTCTCAATCAACTTCCTACATATGGGCACATCGCTTCGGGTCTTCGGGTTATGAACAAATGGCCATAAGCTGATGTGGTCGACCCGATTGTAGAGCTGTGAACGCCGCCCGCAATTAAAGGCGGCTATTCGGATTGGCGAAGCATGTCCAGCATCCGGGACCTGTCCGACGTGATTCGACCTCCATCATCCACCATGATGTCGACGTCAAAGCCCAATTTGCTTGGATTGTTTTGTCACAGATGTCTTCCCACCCCCTCATCGGCCGCCCAACATGTTGCTTGCATACTGGTAGCTTCCCAAGAAGACAGCACCACCAATACTAATCCACATAGTCCTGGGACCAATGCCACTGAAGAAGACCTTGCCACCCTCCTTCTTCCAGATATCCGACGTCAGAGTGAAGACACTCTGCCGTGTTGTAGCCAGCATCATTCTTGTCTTCAGCACGTCCAATGGCGTGGTTAGTCCCGCTGCGATGGCTCCTGATATCGAACCATAGAGTGCACTCTCGGCCGCCGTAACATCTGCAGGTTTTACGCCCTCTCGCTGCTGCAATGACCATTTCTTCAAACCCTCCCACAGAGGGAACTGAATGACGGTGAACGGCACCTCTCGCATCACCGTGATTGACCAGCCTCTATACAATCCCAGCCATACATGTCTCAGCCCATGCGTTTTCCGCTGATTGAGAATCGACGTCAGCGCCGTCAATGAGCTGRGATATTGCTTCGCCTGCGCTCTTTGTTTGACCACCTCGGTCGGTACCCGCACTGCGCAAGCAGCTATCTCTCCCAACGTCGCTGCCAGCATGTGCACACCCGCTTCGCCATATTTGCCTTGTGTTTTGGGTGCGAGATATCGCTTGGTGCCTTCATAGGTGACAAAGAAGAGGGCAGCACCCGGCGCGGAGCCCACAATCGCCGAGCCAATTCCGCTATATACCCCACGGAATCCTCCTGAAGCCCAGAAACCGGCGGAGGATTGAAGACGAGTTTTGAGGGTGTCGAGAGGATATAATGAGATGTCTACGGTTGAGCCAGCTACTGCGCCTGCCTGGGGTTGTCAGCTCAGCGATTGGGGGTGGATTTTTCCGGGGAAATGTTCTTCGTACCAGCAATGATCTCGCATACGGCGACTCTACCAAAGACTCTGGCATCTCTTCCCTCAATGACCCCAAGATGTCCTCGCAAACGCCGTGTCTTGGAGCTTTCGGTGGTTTGTCGCGAATGCTTCACGAAGTCATGCATTCTTGAGGCCGATATCGGACTGGGGCATCGACATCATGCCAAGATCAAGCTTCACCTCACTCCTTCTCATCGACCAACCAAGGACCTACACGGGACATAGCACATGTCCAATGAAAGAACAAAGAAACATGTGGCATCCGCTTTATATGACGACAATGCTCCCAGAGTATACTCCTTTGTCCTGCTATATACCATCTCTTCTTGATACATGGACGGACGCCTGCCACGGAAATCTGCTGAGAACTTCATCAACCTCTCCACGATGCCATCCCGGATATTGAATAGGACCACGGTGTGCAGCTGCAGCAATAGATTCCGGGACTAGCCGCAGATTGAGCCTCCTACGACCGGCCATACCGTTGCTTCAGCGGGCCCGACTCCTTGAGATTCCTCCTTATATGCAAGACGGGTACATGTATTGTCGACATATCCTKTCACGATGTGTAAAAGACTTCAACTTCTACGCACATGAAACGACAGTAACTATAACGCTATTCCAATCCGTGGCAGTTCTGTGGCTTGCCCGCCGAGTCTTTGACCATGCTAAACGTCTTTGTGCTTGGAGATGAGCACATCCCAAGGTCAACAGCAGGCGACAAATTTGCCATTGTCTTTTCTTCTTCGAATCGAGCTCAAAGAAAGCCTCTGCGGCGCCACCTTGTAGTAACTTGGTGAAGAACGTTCCCTCAGCCGCGTTGCTTGCTTCCTCTCTCATTCTGTAGATTCTGCTTCGTTTCTTGTCTTGTATTACTATTCACTTTCCAAACTTTCCGGGTTCCCGAGTGGCAGGGCCCTCGACTTTTTCTCCCTTACTAAACCCCAACAACTCAAACACTTAAACATCCAAACACCAACAACCCAAACACAGAAACACTCCAACACTTAAACATCGGAACCACACACCACCACGATGGGTTACTCGTTCGATACAGACCACGAACGAACCGAAATGGCGGCATTGAACGCGCAGGACGCAGTAAAGGGTATCGATCAGGTGGAGAGCACGGCGCATGAAGACTCGCGCGCAGAGCCTCAATCTGCCTTTGACGACGACTCCGACGATGATGTTGAGGACATCGACGATGATGATGCTCAGAACAAGGGTACCGCCAATGAGGACAACTCGTGGCTTGGTAGTGTAGACGAAGACGTCTCTGCGCTGGATGATGATACCTCGGACCAATATGAAACAACTCCAACCGACCGGCCCACCGCTCTCGATCTCGATCAATCACCAAAGCGCAGTCGCGACTCGGATGAGACAGAAGACGACTTGGAAGATCAGTACTCATCGGAATACAGCCCGCGCACTGCCAAACGTCTCCGTACTGAATATGAGCGGGGCTACGAATACGACGACAGACCACTGACTGCATTCCTTCTCAATGGTGATGAGGTYATCGACAGCCTTGTGCGAAGACGCAAAAGCCCAAGAGGACGTTATGATGTCAAGGGTAAGCGCATGGGAAAGCTTCTACCACCATTTCCGGACCTCCCTGCGCGCGTCAGCCCGTTGGGACTGGATTTTCACGTTGGCGCGGCGTGGAAGGGTCATGTTTTTTTACCCCTCACTGATGATGGGGAGGTAATCGTGGAGGAGGGGGAGGAGGAGGAGGTTGATGCTCCGGATGATGCAAAGTTGTCGATCTTTCGCGATGATGACAACGATCGTGGCGACGATGCTCATCCGCCTCGCCCCTCAACTCCGAGCCCGGACTCCGACGACGAGGAGGAGGGGCAGTACGCCAGCTCGTATCAGCCAAACTCGCAACCTGGGGACGACAATTACTCTGACCGACTTGTTGAGAGTACCGCCTCAACCGCTTCTTCGAGTTTTGGGCAAGCTGCGGTCAGGTCTCGGATGTCGAACTGGGCAGACGAAGCTGATGATGAATTCATTTTCGATCCTTATGTGCCGGGATCCTCTTCAGCGACCGACGATACTTCAACGACCGACGATGACACTGCTCAGGCTCTGGACGACGAGCCGACTACCGAAATCGCTTTAACCGATTCCACAAACGTTCAGCATCAAGATGAGCTCCAGATTGAGGGAGGCGAGCCTGCCGACGCTGCAGTTGTTGCGTCCACGTCATCTTCCAGCAGCCCAGGCCATACTGAGCCCTCTCCTTCTATACCCAGGCGACCTGCTGCTGCCGAAAGGCACCCGTCTTCCATGGCAACAGGACGCGAGGTGGGACAGCTTAGCGCGCCAACGCCTCGCGACGATGAGCTCGCGCAACTCAAGCTAGAGAATGCGAGACTGTTGTTTTCACTCCGTGGATGTGAGGATCGCGAAGAGAAGAAAGACGAGCAGTGGCGTCAAGTCTGGTCGGAAAAGACCCGCCTGGAGAACGATCACCGCGATCTGCTGGTCAATTACGATGGGCTTCTAAATGCTTTCCGCAGATTACAAAATGATCACCAAGAACTCCAAGGTGAATTGCTGGACGCCAGACAACGCGCGGAATATGATGCAGAGCAGCTGGCAGCAGAGCGGGCAGCTGAAGATGCTCAGCGACTTGCATACATCACCAACTTGCAGCAGGAAGCCCAACGCATGAGGATATGGGCAGAGCGCTTGGATGCAGATGCCGAGCCTACACGAGAGGTCAACGACGACTTGACGGCGAAGTTGGAAGATGCGGAAAAGTTCAACGCGGCACTGCAGCAGCAACTCGAGAATGCCAATACCACCATCGCCACGCTGCGAGATGAGAAACAGAAGAGCGATGAGCGAAATGTCGAGTTGGCTGCGCAGGTGGAAGACTTATCCACTGCACCTATCGCCACAACACACTCTCCCACCAACCCGCAGTCTCACTTTGCGGGGCAACCAGCGATGTCCACCTCATCCCTCTTCTCCCCTCGTATGGACCAGACACCACGACCCGCTTTCACTCTACCTCCTCTACATGAAACGCGCGAAGCCCGAGAAGCCAGATGGCGTAATCTAGGCGCCCGCAGTGCTGCAGAAGACAGCACACAAATCGCTCAGCGTCAAGCTCGGAGAGTCGCTGTGGRGCAATATAACGCGGATCGCGAATTGCGTTTACAAGCTTACAGGGCTGCTACGGGACGCGAGTATGTGGAGGGCGATGCTTCTTTGCGAAGAAGTGCTTTGGTGGGGATTGTGATTCAGCAGAGCAGTCCTCAGCTTGCATAAGAATGGATGGTTGGGGTGAGAAAAGATGGTCGGGTATATTTCTGGTACGATTGATTGTGTAGCGTTTTTTGGGGTTCAATCATTATTATGTTTTTTTTGAAGATGTTGTTCGTGGTTTCTTCTGTTGTGTGACTGTTTGTGATGATGAGTACATGTAGTATGTGATCGCTTGGTATAAATCTACCTTACCTTGCGCAATCAAATGATGGTTACGACCTTCTTGATCACGGCAAAGGTATCAATGAATCTGCATTACAACCCACCTTAAAACCTCTTGAGATTAAATTAGATACCAACGCCACGCCCTACTCACCTAAAGTAATAGCGTGCACGTTGGTGTTACCTAGATTTTATTAGCCTGAATGGTCCATTTTCTGGAGACCTCACTGCGTGACCTATTTATTGAATAATAGGTATTCTCCCGCCTCACGCTCACCGAGACGAGAGTAAGTTACAGCGACGAAGAAGCTGTTCATGGAACGCTCAGATGCTTAGTATGTAGCTACCCAGAGATAAGAGCACGAGGAGAGAGATTTCATTCGTCTTGTCTTTTCCTACCTCAGCTTAAGGAAGGAAGGACATTTCCTGGATTATTATTTTTTGAGACGGAGTATGCATGCATGACTGTACACTATAATGATCTTGTATTAATCGAAAGGAAACTACTTATCAGAAGTACCGTCACATGTCAAGATACACGCCACTTTGAAAGCAGGAGAAGAATTCAATTCAAGTACCATTCCACATTCTCCATTCGGGTATCAAAAAGTAGTAATAGAGAGATTTAAAAAAAAAAAAAAGGAAATTCGTCAGGCGTGTGTGAATCAATCACGCAGCAAATATATCCATCCAACCATCCACACGTAATACCATCAACAACACAACACAAGAAAAAACCAAGCACACGCATCAGCCAAAGTGAGATTTCGAAACATGATGAGTAACAGCCGCCTCATCGCCCTCGAAAAGATCGCAGACTGGACACCTAGTCATGATGGACGACGATGCCGAGGTGGCGAATTTGGCGGTGGAAGGAGGAGGTTCGGGTGTTGTGACTCCGGTCATCATCGAGTCTCTTCCCCCACTAACTGTCGAACTTTCGGTATACTGACTGGACATGTCGTCGCCATTATGGGGCTGGTTTCCCATTGCTGAGAGGGTATTTCGTTGCCAGTCGGAGATGGTGGTGTTGTTGTTGTTAGCTGCGGTGTAGATGAAGGAGTTGCGTTGGGCGGAGCGGGCTGGGATTTCTGGGGGAGGGACGTATGCTTGGTATTGTTGTGTGGGGACTTTGGTATCTTCTCCTGTCGTTACTGCTACTCCTGCGACTGCTTGTGATTGGGAATAACGTGGAGATGGAGCTTGGGTGGTGAATTCCGTGTCTCCTGGGAGTTCAGATCGAAAGACTTGTCCTTGTGGGTTGTTTAGTGAGAGGTTGGGAGGAGTATCGGAGCCTTGAAGTTCCATGATCATCGGCATGTTGGTAGGTCGAGCATTGCTTGTATCCGGACCGTTGTATCCTTGCTGTTGGTAGGGTGGGGAGTACAGATTCCCCTGGTAGCTGTTGGGTCGGGAGTGACTCGCTGTCCGCGCAACATCGTGGTATTTTCCATAACCCTTTTGATCCAATTTCGGGCCCAGGTTCATGTTCGAGACACTCGAGCCCGGACTGGCCGGTGGAGTGCTCCCATTTGTGCTCCCGCCGAGTCTTTCATCCTCGTTGAAGCCACTCGGTTTGGCAGTTCTCAGCTTGCCATTCTCAAACATGGCGTGTAATCTTCCCTCATCGAGTAGTTCCGCCTTTCTCGCCAATCGTTCAATCATCTTTCCCGTCGCCTCAATCGTCTCCTTCTTGACGAAGCCGGCCAAAGCCATGTTGCATACAATCTCCACATCTTCCCTCAAATACAATCCCTCGGCGGGTGTGTCGACTCCCAACTCTCTCGGTTCGCGAGGCTCGCCTGGTTGGTTCCCACCGATTCGATATTTGTTCCGGAGGTCCACTCCCATGGGCGCATACACATGCGATTGCAGTCCCCATGGCTACGGCGCATCGAGTTAGCGGGTTCCATCCGACAGAGATGACATGCACGCGACATGACATTCGTCTCAACTTACCTGATCATGGAAACAACCCTTGAAGTTGATCTTCTTGCGGAACCCAAACCCCCAGGTAATAATCTCTTGGATCTCATACCAGGTGGAAAAGTACTCTTCACTGTTCGCGTCGCGTGGTGCTTGAATCTCTTTGACGCCCGTTACGAGTGGATTCAGCTCAATGACCTCGGAATGCGAGTGCAAGAGTTCGATCGCAAGCTGTCGCGGGACATTGTACGGAAGTGGTGTGATTTTCGTGTATACGACTCGTTTCGGCATGGTTGATGATTGATTGTCGCGATTGTCGCGTGGGAGAGAAACAGCAAAAAAGGCCTCGCCTTAGCCCAACAGCGGGCGAGAGAGAGAGGGAAGGAAAGAAGGAAGTATGTCCTCGTACTGGACTTGTCCCCACGGTTATGCTAGCATCCGAACTGACGACAAACCCAAAGGATCGGCGACGCCACGCCAGTCGCGCTGACGAGGATGCGTGAGATGAGAGCAAAAGGCCTTGTCCCCCGCTTGGCGCCTCAGTATCCACGTCCTCTTGCGCTTCGCCACGACGAGAATAAAGTTCAGCCCTCTTGGTTCCAACATGCTCAGCAGTGTAAAATGTCCAGGCCGCCAAGGCGACAAGAAAGACTACTATAGCATGCCAGAGTGTTGTGAGGGTACCTAAACTGCATGATGCTCGCCAAGACAGTCTAGTATTTCCATCCAGAGCGCTGATCTCGACACCTCCCCGAGCGTGTCTGCCGTCTCCCGAGCTACGAGGTCGAAACGAGGGTGAGAGGCAGTCCCTTGCATTAGCCTTTCGAGACCACGTCTCACATCCAACCTAGCATTCCTCTGCTCTCACAAATAGGAAGAGAAGAACGTCAACTCGAGATTGTTATTAACTTCATTTCATTCGTAAGAAACTCCAGATCTGATCATCTCCATCATATATATAGAGACAAATCCAGACCCAGCAGAGCGGAGTAAGTGTGGGGGTATCCTTATGTTACAATCCTCGCKGGCGCTTCCCCAATCTTCGGGAACAAATGCTCGCCCTCCCATGATCCCATCCTCCTCCAAGACCATGCCCGACCTCCGACAAAAGAAAACCATCGGTGGCGGCGGTCCATCTTCCAACTTTTGCGCCAGACTCCTCGCTAAAATCAACATCCATCCATCGCACTACCGAACCAATTCGGCAATCTTTCCAGCGACGGCGCCCGGGTATCCCCTGCCGAGCGCCTCTCTCACCACACCCTGTGCCTTTTGTCTCTCACCGCCAGCCAGATACGCACGAACCATGGCTTCGTACGTGCTTGGCTCTCTCCTCCCAATCGGTAGCCCCTTGAAGACACTCTCGGCCTTGGCGGTCTGACCTTCTGCGATGCATCCATGGATGAGCGCGTTAGCAACATACGGCGTGACCTCAACGTTCCTCCTCCTCATGTCAGCGACCAGCGCCTCGCTCTCTCCACTCCGGTGGTTGGCGTTTAGGGATTCGAAGACGGCCTGATAAACGCAAGGGAGCGGTCGWGCATTCTCCGAAACAACCTTGTTGAAAAGCGCGAGAGCAGCGTCCATGTCGTGCTGCACACATCCCTTTGCATGGATGAGCGAACTGTAGTGAACAGCCTCGGGCTTGATTCCCACGGATTGCATCTGCTCCAGCACCTGCTCGGCAGCAGGCATGTTGACAGGCTCCAACGTGGCATGCGTGTCAATCAGAAGCTTATATGTGTGAACGGTCGGCTCGATACCCTTGCTGAGCATTCGCTCGTAGTAGGCCAGGACCTTGCCGCGATCGCGCTTGGTGCTGAGGAAGAACTGCATGAGCGAATGGTATGGAGCTGGGCGAGGCTTGTAGTTGGTGCAGGACTCCATCTCCTCGAAAATCTCCTCTGCAAATTTGTCGTCTGAGACGCGGCAAAGAGCATTGACAATGGTGCCGTAGGTCACGGATGTGGGACGGATGCCCAGATTACGCATCTCGRCAAAGTAGAACAGACAATCGTCGATACGTCGGGCCTTTCCAAGCTTGCCGATCAGTGCGTTGTAGAGGAAAGAAGACGGCTCAACACCTTCGCTCTTGGCGCGAAGGAAGATCTTGACGGCCYCGGAGGCCTCGTCAAAAGTCTTGGTGTTCTCCTTCAGCGTTGTRATGTACAGACCAAACGTGTTGGCGGAAGGCGCACAGCCCATATCGGTCATGTCTTGATGGTACCTGCTCGCGAGATCCCTGCGGCCGACAGTGAGGCATCCAGCGACCATGTGGTCAAGGATCTGCTGCCAGCCGAAGCGAACAACACGGTAGCGCGCGTCAAAGGGGACATCTGCTTTGGCCATTTCCAGGATGTCGTGAGCCAGGTTGAGGTTGTTCTCCTTCGCTGCGGCCTCGATGAGCTTGCCATACGTGAACATGCGCGGGATGCGGCCGATGCGACGAATGTTGCGGAACTTGGTCAAAGCCTCGCTCATGCGGCGTCCGTGCGGTCGCTCGAGAAGTTCGTTGATCACGTTGGAGCCTTTGACATCGGTACGGCTAGAGTATGGGTCGTGGGTGTCCTCAAGAGATGCTGACGGCTGGAAAGGACCCACGAAAGGAGTGAACACTGGCTGTGCTACTGGGTCCGGGTATCGGTAGCTGTTCCACAGCTTCGAGAGCTCCGCTCTGTCAATGTTGATCAATGTCCTCTCGATGACATTCTCAGTCTCAACGGTAGGCATCATCGAACGAGAAATGATGGTCTCTAGCAGGCATCCAAATCTCGATGCACCTGCAATGTCCGCAGACATCTCATCGAGGATCATCGYACTCTGCACCATCATCAACAGCTCAAGGTCGGCTTGATTGAGACGAGCAATGTGCTCCGGGTTGAAACGTGCAACGAGGTGGTCGGAAATGGGAGCAACCAAGCCTCCATTCTCGACCATCATGCGGAGGAGCTCAACGCTAGCTTCCGGGAGGTGGACAGTGCTCTGCTTGAGCRTGAATGTGCCGATGAGCTCAATCGCTTCACCAATCTGATCGTGCATCTCCACAATGCTCGAGCACTCCGACTCGCGGATCCTGGAGAACATGCGCCGACTCTGTCTCAAACCGCGCTCAGACTGGCCAATGCCGATAAGAGCAACAGTTCGCATAGTGGTAGGCTCGACAAAATCGAGGGTCGGAAGGGCGGATTCCAGAACTCTCCAGAATGGCTCCGCGGCTTCGACGTTCGCATTGCGGATGTGCATGGCAAGAACGGCCATAGCTGGCGCCGCCAAATCTTTCGAGTGGCGAGCCAGCGTATCAAACGCCTGCAAGCTAACATCGGGGACATTTCTGTCCGCTGCGTCGGTGCTGATTCTCGTCAAGACAGATGTCAAAGCGCGACCAGTAAGGGAGCCAGTGAGATTGAGAGCATCACGGAAGGTGGAGTCTTTGAGTGCCAATGGGAGTAGAGCCTCGAGCGCGACTACTTCCCTCAACTTCTCGAGCTCGCTCGGGTTTGAGACCTCAGCTTGGACGCTGGCCAAGAACTTCAATCCACCTTTGATTCTGTCGGCCGCACCGTACGCCTTGATGATCGCGGCGTAGATTTGGTAATCGACCCGGTGAATGGCATTCTTTCCGGCGTTGTTCGCAATGGCCAGCGCCTTGTATTCGTCATACACCTCAACGGCGTTGCGGAGATCTCCGTGTCCACCAAATGCAGAAATCATCGGCGGGTAGATGGAGGATACGGGCTTGTTGGATGTCGACTCCATGTACTGGTATACCCGGGTCATGTCCTCCACGCGTCCTTGCTCAGCGCTGGCAATCACCAGTGAAGCGCATGCATCGGATGGTATGACATCCGAGGTTGACTGAATTGCACGCTCAAACATCTTGAGCGCGATGGAAAGCGAGCTGTCCTCGACCAACATGGCATACTCGGATTGCGTGGATTGAAACATGAAGTTGCCGGCCGCATCCAATCCTCCATATCTGCTTAGTCGCTCGTCCAACGATTTCCGCATCGTCAAAGTCTCGGAAGCTCTAGTTGCAAGGAGACCGATGAGCATACCGTACGTCTCCACATCTGGGACAACCTTTCTCCGGAGCATGTCAGAGTACACCTCAAGAGCCTTGGGTGCCTTGAGGTGCTTTCCATGAGTGAGCTCAATGGCAGCTGTGAGGAGAGCGCGGTAGGCAGAAGGTGTAGGCTGCTGCACGCCAGCCMGGAGCATGCCTTGGAACACAGCAGGGATTTCGCCATACTGCTTGTCGTTGGAAAGTTGGAGAAGCTGGTTGGTGTAGTAGTCACTCTCCAGAGAATCTGCATTGGACAGTGTCTCGCTGTTGATGCCAATTGACTGCACATCGGATCCAACCGCCGAATCCTTGAGAGATGCCGCAGACGGAGATTTTGATCGCAAGATCTCCTCTGCGATGGCATTGTTGACCTGCTCAAGGGCTACGGCTTCTGCGGCTTCATCGTTCAAAAAGGCCTTGTCGAAGTTGTCAAGCGCACTTGTCGTGTAGGAGCGCTTCAAATTGGGCGCTGCCAATTCTTCGTCCTCCTGACGCACAACAAGTTCCTCCGCATCGAGACYKTCGTTTTGCTGCGCTGGGACGGTGGTTGGAGGCTGCCATTCCAGTCTCCGCGCAAATTGAAACTGCTGCCACTCCTTGGTTCCCCCACTGCGCTGGTGCTTCTGCCAAGCATCAAAGTACTTTTCTAGTCCATCGTGGTTGGCATCGCTACGGCCCGTAGCCAAACCAGCGGTGCCGGCCTGTCGCGTACCATCGATATGAGTGTAGGCATTCTGAAGTCTACTCTTGTCGCCCTTCCGGAAACGTGAGATCAAGTGGTCCGCGAGCGGAGCTGCCGGGGTATTCTGAGCAGCATAGGAAGACTGGCTGGCCGCGACGACGGTTTGGGCGTATCCGTGGGTGAATGATTTGAGTGCGGTCGAAGCTAAGCGCGAGATGTGGACAGTCGGTTTGACGTAAGGCATGTATCAGTTGGAATAGCCCTTCTACGATGAGGAGAAAGGAAGCTGCAGGCAGGCATTGTCAGCAGGCAAGGTGGAATGCGGTATCACTCGAGATGACTTACGGATTTATTAGGCAATGTATGGAGACGCAGGTTCATTGGCACAACACCAAAGAACGCGCGATGAAGGGAAAGGTGAGGTGAGGTTGGGTGGTGTGGTGTGGTGAAGAGGCGGGTGGCGTGAGAGGGATACTTGATACTTGAGATGGACGCGAAATGTATAAAACTCTCGATCACGGGGAAGACGGGAGGACTCGGGCATTTCAATGATGAATTGACCACCTATTCTCCATTGATCCATTCCACTACTCCCGTTCGGCAGACATGATGGCCACGCATTGGAAAACATGCGCTGATCCATGTCACAAGGCATCCGAGCCGTCTTCTTCCCCCAACTTCCATACGACTCATCGCAACAAATGCAGAATTCTCGCATCCGAGTAATTGTCTTCTGTCCCAGTTCCGGCTTACGGGCTAGTCCGCTTTGGGAGAGCGCCTTTGCTGGGATGCGAAACGCTTGTGAAAACGTGCCGAGTCATTGGAATTATCTCCGCCGCGGAGTGTGGTTATCAGCAGGAACAACATCTTCCCAACCTCTGTATCAATCTCACGCAACATCTACCTAGGTCACAGAAAAACGCACGCATCTCCAGGCCTCCAAAAGAGAAACAAAACAGTTCCGACTTCAGCTCGTGCAGGATCGTGGAAGGTTCTCGCTGATTAGTCCTCCTTCGACACGAAGCCATCCGTTCTCAGGTCATCTGCCAGGCACACTCGGGCTTTACGGATCTCATAGCTCCGTGCTCATCATCTCTATCCACCATCATGGTTCCCAATGGCGCTGTTGCTGTCTCAGCTCCTGGTAAAGTCTTGCTAGCCGGCGGGTACTTGGTACTGGATCGCACCCATACTGGCTTGATCTTTGGACTGGACGCGCGAATCCACGTCTTGATTCAGGATATTCCCACCAGCAGTGGGGTGATATTGAATGAGATCACTGTGCATTCGCCGCAGTTTACAGAGGCCGTGTGGGATTATGGCTACAGATTAACGGAACGCCGTGGAGGTATTCAGATCACGCAATTGAGAATGTAAGTTTTTGTCAACAGAAGATGAGTGTTATCGTATTGCTTTCGCCTTGAATCACTTCTCTTCTCACTATCATGCTGGCACCATCACTCACTTACCGTCTCTGTACCATTAGAGATGCGGATCTGAGTCTCAACCGCAATCCATTCGTCGAAACAACACTCGGCTACGTGCTTAGCTATATTACATCCATCACCGGCCACTCCACCATCACTCCCGCCACGATAACTATCCTGGCAGATAATGATTATTACTCGCCGCCGGCGTCCATCAGCGGGGACAGCGGGGCGTCTGCACAATCGAAATCGTCTCGTTTCCACGACTTTGCAATTCCTTTAACCAAAGCACCCAAGACTGGTCTAGGATCCTCTGCTGCACTCGTGACTGCAGTAACTTCTGCTCTTCTGAGGTTCTATCTCCCCGCAGAAAGGTTTCCTCAAGCCACCAATCCACGTGTACTGCACAATCTGGCCCAGGCAGCCCACTGCGCTGCACAAGGGAAAGTCGGCTCCGGATTTGACGTTGCCTCGGCCGTCTACGGAACTTGCGTATATCGCAGATTCTCTCCAATCATCCTCTCTGGCCGCAACCTGGAGCCGGGTGTTCCACACTTTGCTGATGATTTACGCGATATTGTGGACGAGGTGAGAGGGCAATGGGATACCGAGATCATCAAAGACAAGTCAGTGAGGGTGCCTGATGGTTTGAGATTGATCATGTGCGATGTTGCTTGTGGAAGCAAGACCCCGGGAATGGTGAAGCAGGTTCTTGCTTGGCGGGCGAAGGAGGGTGAGGAGGCTGGCAGACTGTGGGCAGAGCTGGATGCTGCAAATATGAAACTTGCGTGTGAGCTGAAAGCTGTTGCTGATAGTGGGACGAAAGACTATGCGAGGTTGACGGAATGTTTTGCGGCGATCCGGACACTGATAAGAGAGATGAGTGAGAAGAGCGGCGTACCCATCGAACCTCAGGCGCAGACTGAATTGCTGGACGCTTGTGGGAAGGTTGAAGGCGTTATTGGAGGAGTTGTGCCTGGTGCGGGTGGCCATGATGCCATCTGTTTGCTGATTGAAGATCGGGAAGAGGTCGTCGTGGGTTTGGATAAGCTCTTCAAAGGGTGGGAATATAAAGGCGAGGGAGGCGGCGGTAAAGTCAGCATGTTAGGTGTCAGGGAGGAGATGGAGGGTGTCAAACTTGAWGATCCAAAGGTGTATGTGGACTGGCTGAAGGGATTCTGATGTAACCAAGCTGAGCAGGATTCTCATCGTCAACCATACGATCTCTTCGCTCTGCAATACGTGGTCAAAAGGATTGATTCTGTGTGTGGACAATGCTCTCGCTCGTGAGATTGCAGCAAGGCCGTTCATACATCGTTTGAGTAAGTACAGTATGGTATCCTGCGAGATTTATGGTGGACTAGGCTCCATCCAAATCATTGTGGGAAGTTCGGCTAGGAACAGTATTGCGGGAAGTCCAACACTGTATAGAAGTTACATGTTGAACAAAGGAGACCCTCCAAAGGGCATTGATAATACGAAAAAGGGGCAAATTTTCCAGATGGTCGAACACTCTATCTGTCGATGAGAGTGCTGAGGAACATGTGAGCGGTAACTCGTACATGTGATTAAACGGAGCAGAGAGATGAAGGATTCGAGCTCATGGCTGCGTAGATATGTGTCAGTCGCAGGCTTTCGAAAGCCTTGTCGGCAGAAGATGAACAGGAGTCCTAAGACCAGTTGAGGCTCAAGGAACAATAACGGCGCCGAACCTCCAGACATGTAACAAATCAGTAGCTTTGTAATTGGGAGAAGGTGAGAGGCATTGCAATCGGGTGGGAGTGGGAAAAGGGGTCAGTTGATCAAAAAGACACCAAAAATCTCCAAAACTTCCACAGTCTTCACTGAAGCTCATGACAGAGAGACAGAAAGTGCAAAAAAGTTGAGGCGGTAAGCTCTCATGTATCTTGATGAGAGTGGGATTTGCTGCATAGGTTATTAGATGGTGTGTAAGAACGTGAGAGGCGCGGGAAAGACATACAACCCACGAGGCAACGCCACTGCGGATTCTGCTTAGATAAACCTAAACGCAGCTCCATAACCACTCGGACATCTCACCCGGAGATAAGGGAACGAAGCTCCGTTTTTGATTATATAGTTTTTTTCATGGCTGCCGGGGATAAGCCGGGTCATTTCGTGAATCTAGTATCCGTAGATGAGGTGTTGGACGTGAGTGTCTCGCAACGTCAGAGGTCGATGTACCATTGTGCTGTCAATTCCATGGACATTTAATTTCAGTGGCAAGTCACTTACACTGACATGCGGTCGACATCGACCAGAGGGTATGTCTGTTGAGGGAAAATAAGTTGTCGAGTCCTTGTTCTCGAGCCTTCTGAACGAGAGGACATGGACTCGTCCAGAACTATTTAAGATCACATTCCGTCATTTCCCTTGGGTACTCTTACTGGTGTGTGTGACCCTGGTCTATCAGAAATACACATCCATTGCGAGGCGGAAGGCTTTCCTGAAGCTGCGGTCCTTCACCTCGAGTGGATGTGAAATTTGAGGTCGAATGCATGTAATGCAAGTCGTGGTTTGTTCCAAGAAGACTTCTGCGTGTCCGCGGGTCAAGATAATTACACGAAAGGACCAACATCTCTCTCATTTCGTTGCGGAATGATATATGTTGAAGAGTCGAGGGACCGCTCCTCATCACAATTGAAGTGAATGAAACAATTTCACCTCGTGCCTGCCTCTGCGCGTCTGTCGATCGCTCCTAAGTTACCATCCCAACAAGCATGTCATCTCCGTTGTACACCATCCGCAAATGTTGAAATGAACGCTTGATCAGACCGGCCATACACACCAGGCGGGCAAGACYTCACTTCTCCAGCTTTATCATGACGATTGTAGGGCGCAGACTGTAGCGCACATTCATCTCGATCTCAGCGCAGATATCGCAGAGCACCGATGACGCTGACGCCAGATGAATCCCGCAACTCCAATCTCATTTCGCAGCTCTTTCTGATGTCGTTGAGTCGTGTCGTCCCCTCTTACTGCACAAACTGTTCGATCGGTGCTTCGAAATGCTGGTCATCCACACCAAAGCCTTCATGATCAATTGCTGATCATCAACGTTGTAGAGTACAAGAAGATGGTACCTTCCACCCGCAGGACATGCATCATCCCGGACGACGCCAGGCATGTAATTCCAGCCGAGCGGCTCTTGCAACACATGAAACAACGCACAGGCGCCGACTTTAAACACAGTCAGCGGCGGCTCGACGGCCAATGCCTGCAACACGCATTCGCACAGGTGCCCGCTCCAATTTCTGTGCTCCCTGTCGAGGCAGCACGAAGAGTGCGCAATAATGCGAGTCGCTGCGCAAAATGGCGGTGTCGATCGTGCGCGTGGCTAGATCAAGACGCTACCCTGCCTCAACCCATGTGAGACTATACCAATACTGGGCTAGTGGCACGCTACTGGTTGTGGTGCGCTTCTGTTTTTGCGGCCCGTCCGATGGCCCTGTCTGGAAGGAGTGGACGCCATCGAGCGCAAAGTGTCATTATGGGGAGCTGATTGAAGACGATGGGTCATGTTTCATCGCAACCAATGCACCCTCGTTCTAACGTCTGGTATCTTGGACGGTTGCGATCCAGACGCGCAATGCGACAGGGACGGAAAAAGACTCGAGCGCTGCGATCGGCGCAATGCCCTGGTCGATGGCGCTCATGCGGTCTCGTGATTGGCCTTGCGCTCCTACCCGCCAGTTCGTTAGGAGGCTTCCGGATTGGCCCACACCCATCATGCGCTCGCCACCCTGTTTCCGTCGTCCTCCATCCCACCAGCCTTTGCATACACACCACACACCGTCCTCTCAATACACTTCTCCCATCATCATCTGTATACCACACGCCCCAGCCTTTCTCCCAGCGCTCGAAATCATCGAATCTACCAAAATCAGTTCTCCCTTCACGGAATCAAGCTTACGAAACCGCCGAGGGGCTTTGTTATGATCCCTTTGTTCTCCTGTGCACCCACGACATCATCATCACTACCAACATCACACCTAATAGCGCCGCACCATCAATAACTTCACCATGGCCAGTTATCACTACGGAATGCCTCACTACCAGTCAGCTGCTCCCACGCACTCGAACCACTCCCACGGTCACCACGGGCGCAGTCGTCGTGGACCGAGAGTCAACTCTCAGAATGCTCACCGCCAATACAAGGCGCAGCGGAGTCCGAAGGAGGAGCTTCCACAGCCACCGTCGGCGACTGACTACCTTCGGTCGCTCGAGGCCGCCAAAGGCTTCGAGTTCGACGACGACGAGGTCTTTTGTCCCTTTAACCTCTTAACCGAGGACGATGTATGCCGCATCCTCTCGCCATTTCTTCCTTCAACGGGATCTGACTTTACCTCGCAGTTGCAATCCATCCATTCCTCGTCTGGTTCCGACCGTGGCTCGCTGTCTTCCGGCTCGCCTGAGAGCTCTCCGTTACAGCAACAGGCGCAGCCGACGCCCTCGCTCCTCCTCTCCTCCGTCCCCAACTCTTATAATGCTGCGAACTATCAGCAGCACATGAAGCTGCATCAGCCAATGGCGCAGAGGACACGCAACGCGATCCCGATCGTCGACCCCTCTACCCGCTCCATGGCTGTTGCTAGCCCACCCATGTCCGTCTCTCCGGGCCGACAGATGCAGCAGCAGTACGTCTCCCGCAGGTGGTAGACGGATCGTAGCCGTGCTGCGTAACGCTGTTGCTCTGCGTCGTCGCCGGTCGGGGTCGTGGGAGGCGGACTTCCTTTCCATCCATTTGACACATGCGAGCGGTTCCTGGATGGCCTACTCTTTGCTTCTTCACACACTCTAGCGGATACCTTGTACAAACGAAACCTTTCAAAACGGCACGGCTAGAACTGACGGATTATCTCCTTTGGACGACGGCGTTCCCTCTCAAAACAGCATTACGAAGCATTAAACGGCAACGGCACGGCATTTCTACTTCCAGCGATGATGATACAGCGGGCTCTTGTTATTTGTTCTTCAGCATTTCTTGTTACTTCTTCTTTCGCTTTTTGGCTTGCTGCGAGGTGTTGTTGGGTTGATCGCGTCACGAAAGCAGCGAATTGCGTAAAACATCATGAGATATACCAGGAGAGGCGCGACGGACGGATGGATGGCCCAGGCAGCGGTGACTGCCTCGTGGTCCTGACTTTTTGTGGGTTGGGTGTTKCTGGATACCAGCCGTTGATTTCTGCTATTTGTCTGGGTGTTGGGGTGATGGGAACGACGGCTTCAGCGGCCAATGTCTACTTTGGAAATTTGTGTACCATAGCTACTGTAATGTGGCTCGATACGACGACGAAGAATTCTTTACCACCATTTTGTCGTTCCGTTCTTTGACCACGTGTTTGTTGCAAACAGGTGAAGACATGATCGCGGAGCAAGCACCTCATCCCCGTGAGTTGTCATGGTGGTCATCTGAGCGGTATTGTATGGGGTGTTTGAGACATGTGAGACGTGGTAGTGGTCGAAGCTTTGCTTTGTCTGGACTTTGCATCTCTGCATGTCACAAGACGAGCAAATGGAGCTTGTACCGGCGGAGATCATTCACCCGACCCAGCAAAAGCAATGAGCTTCACCAAGGTGTTGTGAACAGCTTCACGACTGCATTATTATCGATTTGGCATTGTTGTTGACATGTYCACGCATACTGCTGTACACTAGCGAGTTCGCATGGCCTGTGTTTCCTTCGGATCGCTTCCTGGGCACGCTGTGAAACCYAATTCAACGCGGCYCCACAACGTCATCCACTGACTGGGGAAAGTGCCATCATCATCACCATCGCCTCGCCTATTATTCGTTCTTTGCATTCCCTTCACTCCTCGCGTTCCCTATTCTCACATTGCACTGCTCATTTCTCTACAACACAATACCTCCACTCAGATCAAACTGCAATCATGTCTGCTTTCCGCACCGCCCTCACAATGCGCTCTGCCGCCTTCCCAGCTGTTCGACGCGCCGGAGTTGCCCCATCGAGGTCGTTCCAGAGCTGCAGGGTTATGGCTGCTGGCAAGGAGACCAAGGAAGGTTGGTCATTTCCGGCATTGACGTAGTGGTCATCGTCAGACGCTGATGACGTGGATTAGGAAACGCAGAGCGCGCAGAGGAGATTGAAAAGTCCAAGCAGCAGCAGCTCAAGGATGGAAAGTGGACCGACAAGTTGGCGAGTGACAGTGAGAGCAGCGTAAGTTTTGGAAGTGGTCTTTTACTGGACATCTTGCTAATCCAATTGCATGTTATTAGGTCAAGGCAGACCGCGGCGAGTTTGGCAAGGGACAGTCCATTGAGGAGATGCAAAAAGAGACTGCGAAGGCGGCCAAGGAAGAGAAGCAGTAGGGGGCTCCTTCAACAAGAGGAATGATAAAGCGTGGTGTTTGGGTGCGTGATCAGAAGATACACTTGTACATAAGTTAGGAGAGTGGCTGTACGAATATGATTCGTTCCAAAGAGGCCTCGGTCTGGATCTGGATGTGTTGCGTCTGGTTCGAGATGTCTTGAGATTGGTATGCTTGCTGATGAGCRCTGGTCACATATCTCAGGTGCAGCGAGTAAGGAGCATAGCGAATTGATACAGCGAACTTAGAATCGAATGTGACTTAAAGGAGACACGAATGGAGCCTCTCGAATGACCTTTTGCAGCTCGCAACAATGCACCACCGCTCGACTTATGTCGAGATTTTTGACAGCCAAAGATTGCTCTCTCTGAACGTGGACAAAGTGGCTGCAAACAGCTATCCATCGTAACTTTGGGTGTCAAGCTTGGTGAAAAGGGCCAAAAAACTGCTCGAAGATGGTACACAACACCGAAAGACCTGCAAGAACTGGAGCCAGTTACAGCCTCAGAGGCTGATTCAAATCCATCYGCACACCAATCGAGAGCTGCGGTACCTGCGCGTATCGACTGTTTCGCAGATTCGTCCTCGTATCCTGCAAGGTTGAAATATAGGATGGATTCTGACTGCCCTTCATGGTCTCGAGGAAAGCCCAGGTCATAGCACCGCAGTTCTTCCCAGAGATATACGCATCCTAGGCGATTTGTTAGCAACACTACACATCTCGCCGCTGGACACTGTGCAATACCTACCGCACTGGTCTCCTCGTCCCTACATCCACTATACATGGTCACAAATTTGCCCTCCTTACTCCAATCTCTCCCTGAAGTATCCGCTTCGATCCCATCTGGACCATGATGATGATGCGAATGCTTGAACCCCTGGAAGAAGTTGTTCGCGTCTCCCAGTAGCTGCTCTGCAGCAGCCATGCTATTTAGACCATAGGCCCCAGTCAACAAGCCGTCGGCTTCCATCACAAGATTCAATCCCGCTTTGACGTTATTCATCACCGAGACTTTGCCCTCGTCATCCGTGCGATATACGAATGGCAATTCCACCGCCGAACCGCTATGACAGCAATCCAATACGATGAACAAAGAACTTCCCGGCGCCAAGGCACTTACGAGATGCTGATGCAGTGTCGTACTATTGATCTGCCCAGCAGTTTCAAAGTCCACGGGACAGATCGTATCATCGTAGCCCGTTGTACGGTTTTGATCGGGTTCCTGGCCTCCATGTCCAGAATAGTGGAGGAAGTTGATGGTGTTGGGTGTGGAGACCAGCCAGCTCAATGCTCGTAGCATATTGGCATGAGATGGGTATGCGGGTCCGTCAAGGTCGTCACGGAGAATGACTTGGTTTTCCTTGGCGTAGCCGCGATAGCGTAGAAACTCTGCCATATTCTCCACGTCCGAGTGGCATCCTCGTAGTTCATGAGCGCTGCCGGTGTAGTTGCAGCCGATTAGGAGGGACTTCCTTAGTGGTTCGTTGGACATATTTACGCTTTTCGCGGCGCAGCGAGTTGTGACTGTATCTCTTTTCCTGTTCCTCTTGGCGGATAAATATATATGTGTGTATGTGATGCTTTGACTTTCAGAAGTTGCGTCTTATCTGCGACACGAGGGTGAAAGTGGTTGGCCGCGTCACACCTCCAGTAGCAGAAACTTAGTTCAAGCCACCGAATCCRCGACGCAGGACATGATGGTCTGACCTCTTCCATTGCAATGGTATGGTTTGACAACACGTGGAGATACTGCGTAGTAAGTAGCTTGGCATAACCAGGCATTCTCGCATGTGAATGCTCGTCCGTGCATTCATGGTTGGTACTTACCGGAACCAGAGCTGCTACGCTTGGCTATGTACTTCACGTACGATTCTTCGTTCACTATTTGGGTGGATCGAACTGTGATGCCACGATGTCTGCTGGTAGTTTCCTTGGGTGTAGCGCAGGGTTCGCTGCTGGTTGGGTGTCTTGCAGCCGGATAACCGTGCCAGGTTCCAAAAAGGGGAAATCAGAGGTGCCGAAATCAAGAGAAATTCGACTGGGAAACATACCGACATCTTCAGCAGGCGGATGGATCTCAACACACTACGATCGCATGCCTCAGCCCGCCACCAACGTTTTCTTGATGTGTCGATTCCATAAGGGTTAGGGTTGGGGTAGTGAGTATTATCGATTGAGTTGAGCACAGCTGCCCCTAGACCGTCAACATCATGCCACTTTACGTACGGGAACATTTCCGGGCTCCGGTGATATAATAAATGTTGTGGATAAAATGGGGTGGGTTTGCCGGTCGTTCGCTTTCGTGCGGTGAGTTATCGTTCACCTGAGTAAGTTCACGGACAAAGCCGTCCAGCCTGGCGGCTGCAGGTAACTTTGAGCGAGTCATCTTCTTAACCGTTTGGCCGTCTGTCAGATCATTTTGCTTGGGAGAAGGCGTCGAGTGCCTTCGAAACCGACAAAAATGGCAGCAAGGTACCTTTTGGTCACCCTTTGCCTGGCCTTGACTTTCTGAGTTGCTATTTAACGGAAGACACTTGTGTCGACAGCACTGTGTTTGGGAATCGATCGAACTTGTTCTCTCTCAGAGTGGCTACGTTCCAAGCATCGCGGGAGAGGAAGTGACGGTCTCAAGGCTTCCTCACAGCTGTTGCTCCTCCACCTTGGCCCTTCTTCGCCTGCTCCTCCATCCACTTTCTCTGCTCGTCAAGCAACTCGTCATCTTCCTCTCCACCCACATCATCCTTTGACTCTGCCCTCCTTACTGCCGCAGCCGGAGACTGACCATCAAGAGCTCCCGCCAACTTCGCCTCCTCTTCCCACTGCTTCCTCTCAATCTCATCCCATTCATCTTTCCTCTCAATCCACCTCTCCTGCACATCGCGCACCTCCATTTGCCCGTAATTTGAGCTCATGGCTTGTGCCCAAATACTTGCCTCATCACTCAACGTCCTCCCTTCCTCATCCTTGGCGCGAGCACCTGCAAACACATATCCGCTAGCACGATCTATTGCTCTCAACAAGCTCGACATGCTCTGACGATCTTCGACTGCAAGCGTCTCGAAACCGATCATACCATGGTCTTCGATCAATCCGATGAGAGCTTCGTTCAGTCGATCCCACTTCTCTCTATTCACTAAGCTACTGCTTGCTTGCTCGGCCGCAAGTACGGGCAGAAAGTGTGAGAGATCCTGAACTTCGGTGTAGAAGTCTAGGTTGAAAGGCAAATCACCGCCTCCTACTGCGGCAAGATTGTCTAGCTTGGTGAAGATGTTGACAATCGGGTATGGGAGGTGCAGCATGCCTCGCAGGCAGAGAATGAGACTGCTCAAGTAGAGAGAGGGTCGGGTCATGACCACCGAGTCGAGGAGTTGCAGAACGACTATCTTACAGAAGTATCAGAAATGCGACCAAGCAAGAGGCCAAGAGGACTTACTCGGAAGCCAGCCTTTTCAAGTCGATGTAGAAGACGTGGAATGGCGTCGTGATGTGTTGTTAGTTCTGCCTGACCAGGCATGTCCAGAATGATCGTTTCTTCTAGTCGAGAGTCAGCCATAGCTTGAATATCAACACTGCAATACAGCATACCGCAGTCTTCGAGATGGCTCTCCAGCCAATCAAAGTTCGCTTCTGCTTCTTCCATGGCCCAGAGAACGCCACCGTTTGGACCCAATTCCTCTCGCTCCATCACCTCCTCAATGCTGACCAGTTCCCGGACATCGAACGAGGGCTCGTATGGGATGTTGTCATTGGCTGGATCCATATTGCCTACTGAACAGGGTCTTGCAACTGCGCGCATGAATTGTTGAAGGCCATTGCAGAGAGTTGACTTGCCAGAGCCAGGTGGGCCTATGGGGACCAGTATTGTACGCATTCCGTATTTCTGTCAGTTTTTCGTGATTATGAGCTTGCGTGAAGGGAAAGTGAAGATGTTGTTTGCTCAGAAACAAGCACTTGCGTTCGATGACATGTGAAGATCCGGAGCCAGTGATCGGCAAAAAGCTCGGCGAAAGCGTGGCAGCAGCTGCCTTCGTTCTAGGTTCCATCTCGAATCTCGAAGACCTTCGTCGAACATCAACAATCACATCTTGCACCGGCACCATGAGCATCGTTGAATTACCAAGTCCGCCTACTGACGCAATTTCCAGCGTGCGTTTCTCTCCCGACGGCGCTACTCTGCTCGTCAGCGCGTGGGACAGCGGCGTCCATATTTACAGCAGCAGCCCGGAAGATGGCACTCTCTCCTTCACCAAAACCTTCACCCTTCACGCACCAATCCTAGACGTTGCCTGGGACACAAATAGCGAGACATTCTACGTCGCCGGGCTGGACCACGATGTCTCCAAGTTCAGCATCGCTCCCGAAGAGCCCGTGGAGCAGGTCCTCTCCTCACATGCCAAAGGCGCAAACAAAGTCGCGTACAGCGCAGACCATGGCTTGGTCCTGTCCACAGGCTGGGACGAGAGATTGCACGTCCACGACTCGCAAAGCGGAAACTGGGTCAATATCGCATTGGCAGCGAAGCCGTTCGCGTTGAGCATCACGGAGGATCGCGCAGTGGTGGCTATGGCAGAAAGGAAAGTACACGTCTATGAGCTGCAGATTTTGAGGGATCTGGWAGATCAGCACGGAAGTGCAGAGCGAGAGCAGCAGGCTCTGGAGATAAGCGCGTGGCAAGAGCGCGAGAGCAGCTTGAAGTTCATGGCCCGCGACGTGGCATGCATGCCTGATGGGACGGGATTTGCGTCAAGCAGTATCGAGGGTCGCGTGGGAGTGGAGTGGTTTGACGAGGAGCAGAACCAGAACACCTATGCCTTCAAGTGCCATCGGGATAGGTCTTCAACAACGAATGCGGATGGAGTGACATGTCCGTTGGACATCATCTACCCGGTGAACTCCATTGCCTTCCACCCGGTACAGCAGTCGAGTTTCGCGACAGGGGGAGGGGATGGAGTGATTGCTTTATGGGATGCAAAGACGAAGCGGAGGATCAGACAATATGCAAAGTTGCCCAGTAGCATTGCGGCGATGGAGTTTAGTCCAGATGGCAGGAGTCTTGCGATCGGAATCAGTCCAGGATTCGAGGATGGGCTGGAGACCGACGCGCCGGATCCGGAGAAGATCAAGGTCTTCATCAGGTCGTTGAGCGAGAATGAGGCCAAGGGCAAACCGGTCAAGGAGAAGTCGTGAACGTGATGAGCAAAGATTCGCGAGAACTTCACGATGATGCCACACAGGGCATAGTCGCGATCTGTTAAGGGGCCAGTTGTATGTCACCATCGTCTTCGATCCGCTCCAAGACTCACATGCTGACATTGCATTGCGCAGACATCTCATGCTATCAGAAGGCTTAAGAAGTGCCCTCGATATCGAAAGTGCTACACATCTGCACCAAGAGTTGCGATGCCAACTCGTGGTATCTGCACGAGCTACGGCACAACAGCCGATGTCAGCCAGTGCCTTGTCCGCCGGGTATATTCCACACGAATGGYGGCAACGCAAGAAGGGTTTGACCATACTGTGACAGTAAACGGACAGTCATTGCAATAWCGACCTCATGTCAAAAAGATGCTTTCGATCTTGCCAATGGAAGCGATCGATGGGGAAGAATTTGAGTTTGCAGCAGACAATGCACTGAAGTAATAGGACTATGCAAGCTACCTCATAGACCGCATTGTGGCCATACAAAAAGTCCATAGCTACCAAGAATCAAAGAATTCGCGCTGGAACAAATGGGAGCAGAACCTCGGACGTCTCCCATCATAGCCAGCTCAGCTGACGCAACAGCGAGCGCTGCCAAACCTTTTCCGATGCTTCGGCGTGTCATCAATTGTCCGGTAKGTCGTTTCAAGATCCTCCAGTCGTAGACATGCCAAAAACCTGCAGGGTCCTCTGGCTATCAAGGTAGAGGGTGATCTGGCGTGGAACCCCTCAACTCGGACCGGAAGCTCTGTCAACTCCGGCTCACCAGGTTCCTTGAATGGCCTGCTGCAGATGCAGAGAGTGGCGGTAATAGGTACGGTCTCCAATGCATTCCGTCATGCCACGTGGAAGGGCAGGGAGTTGGAAACTTKCTAGCCACCGACCAAGGACTAGCTGGGCAGTAAAATTTCATGAATAGACTTGGTCATGACGGTGGAGTGATCCCCGTTCAAATGGATTCAACAGCATATGCGATGCTTCGAACGATGTGCTTATTATTCGTTGATCAAGGGAGGATATCTCATGACATTCCCAACCAGGAGAGTCTCTTGCGCTGCGTCTTGACAGGCTGCGTCGTAGGTGTCATCGGTTGGCCGTAGACGGAGTTCCTAGAGGATGAAGAGCCTGGCTTGCTGTACCACGTGTTCCGTGACGGCGGAGAGTCTGGTTTGCTATACCAGGAGCTTCTTGATGGCGGAGAGTCTGGCTTGCCATACCAGGAGCTTCTCGATGGCGGAGAATCTGACTTGCTATACCAGGAGTTTCTCGATGTCGGAGAGTCTGACTTTTCGCTGGGGCTGCCAAAGCTACTGCAGCTGCTTTGCGATGTGGAACGTCGGCGGGTCTCTGCCAGAACCTCTTCGAGACATACATTGTCCTGCGAATAGGGTGTGTTGTTGGGATCCATTATCTCGACAAATCTGGAGGTTGCCATTGCACAGTCGTTGGCAAGGTGAGTAACTGTGGATAGAATGAGTTGGATCTGATCGATCTGATCGTTGTTTGAAAGGGATAGCAATGTGAGAGCTCGCGCAGAAGTGGGCTGGAGCTGTCTAGACATAAATAAAATGTCACCCACTCTACTAGGTAGGCGTCAATCCTCGGGCCCTGGGGGCAGACGCACCTGTGCACGTACGTACTCAGGGTCTCACTAGTCCTTGCGCCACACGTCGCACGCTCACAGGAAGTACCCGGCACGAATGTCACAAAGGTTGGTTCTTTTTATGACGATGTCACAGGTGTCAGCCTTCTTTCAGCGAAGTGAGCTGTGTGAGGTCGGCCCAGATTTGCAAGCTGCCGACCACGCCTCCCTGCAGATTGCCGGGATGTTGAAACGGACACTCGAGCCGAAGATCTCTATCTCATTTCAAGATAAGTTCGCCCTTCCCGGTCATGATGCGAAATCTGCAATCACGGGACATGGAAGTCCACGTAGACGCCAAATTCGTGTTTGATTCATCATGATGATGATGATCATCAAGGCAGCAGAATTGTGCGAGAATAGTTCAAGCCGAGGACGCGGATGGTTTTGGYCGGGGTTGTACGCGTAATGCCAACTTGATGAGAGCATATATCTTGAATCAATATTTGATTAGGAATGGTTGGCAATGTATCTAGCACCCGCGGGATGGAAAGGAGCGAGCTGTGGAAGTTTGGGTCGGTTCACTCCTAAAGGTGGCGGTGAACACACCGAAGATCCGCGAAGGACCGCGAGGTGTGATCTGAATCATTATTTGAGGCGCACCTGACTGACTATCGAAAAGCTCAGGTGTAGCTTGTCCAGCTTGTTGATCCTCCGATGGCGGTGTGGCAATCACGGCGACCGAGTTGCGGGAGAGCTTGCTCGAGAGCCGCATGCTTGTTATATTGCAAACGGCAAACGCAGTGAGGAGAGATACCAGAGTGACTCCGAGCGAGAAGGTGAAATAAACATGAACATGGATGTTGTGCATTCCATAAGAAGTGCAAGTGAATGTTCATAAAAGGTTGTTGCCTCGGTAGGAAGTTGCCGAGGGCCGCGCCCGCTTCAAGTAGACCTCACCACATGGCCTTTGGATGAATGCACACATCTTCATGAGTACGTGAATAGAAGTGATCAGGAAGTATCATCGTCGTTCTTATACCGGTATCCCACACACCTGTCCTTGTCAATCTCCACCACAAATCACWCGGATCCTGCCCGGCCTTCCTATCAACATGACTTCTGCACCGAAGAAGAGGCTCCAGGCTCTGTCAGAGCACCTTGTCAACAGACCGAGATCGGTTGGCAATAGCTTCGAAGAGTAGGTAGAGCGTAGTATGGACGGTCTCGATCATGTCTCGAAACCTAGCCATGATTCCCACATCCAAGAAACGTGCTAACTTTCATACTAGCCTCCCGAATATCCCCATGGTTGCAGGTGACTCCACCGGACCGTGAGTAGAGAATGTGAGACGCCGTGTAAATATGCCGACTAACACAGCCCATCAGACGAGTCAAGGATAAAGTGATTATCATAACCGGCTGCAACTCCCCACTCGGAATTGGTCGAGCGTCAGCTCATCATTTCGCCAACAATGGTGCCAAAGCAATCTACATCTGTGATCTAGCGACTGATCATCTCGATAAACACAAAAGAGAGATTGAATCAAAGTACCCGGGAGTCGATGTCCAGCCACGGAAAATGGATGCCGGAGAGGAGAGCGATGTCGAAAAGGTAGTGAATGAAGTGTTGGAGAAGTATGGAAGACTAGGTAAGTCCACCTTCTGTCTCGATCTCGGAATCCACAAAACCAACACGATCGATCAGATGTCTTCTTCGCCAACGCAGGAATCAGCGTAACAATGGGCAGTGTTCTGGAAGCTTCCTCAGAAGACTTCATGCGAACCATGAAGATCAACTCGCTTTCCGTCTTTCTGGCMGTCAAACACGGTGCGCGTGGAATGCTCAAGACATCAGATGTCAAGCCCTACCCGGGAGGCTCCATCGTGGGCGTTGCATCTTCTGCGGGAATGCGTTCCAACGCTGGCGCTACGGATTACTCGGCCTCCAAAGCCGCTGTGATAAGCATAATGCAGACAACTGCTTTCCAGCTCGCGGGGACCGGAATTAGGTGCAATGCCATATGTCCTGGAATCATCGAGACTGGTATGACTGCTCCAATGTATGAGATGGCGAGAGCCAGAGGTAGTGAGAACAAGATTGGGCAGTTGAACCCACTCATGAGGGGAGGCGTGGCGGATGAGGTGGCGAGAGTTGCATTGTTCTTGGGCAGCGATGAGTCGAGTTACGTGAACGGGCAGGCATGGGCTGTCTGTGGAGGACTCACTGCAGGGCATCCTTTCGTACCCGGAAAGATTGCTTGAAATGAGCAAGGCAGTCTGTAAAAACGTTTCAATTGAAGAAGCTGAGGGCTACACTGCAACTCCTCTTCGAGCCCACCCTCCCGGTCCTCGCCAAGCATAAAACCACAATCCGCATGCCACCCAAACACATACGGCCATGCCCCAAAACGTAGGCGCATAGCAGCGTGTGCCGTAGCATAGCTTATCGGCACTGTTGTCCGCACCCTCCACAATTTTCAGATCTGCTGCCCATTGATAGACCGCAGAGTAGATCAAACCCCACACCGTAGCTCCGACGGCCGGGGCCATTGCACATATGCCCCAATTTGTTCCAAAATTCTCGACTCCCCATATCACACTGACAATGATAGGCGTGAGACTGAAAGCAGCGCCGTAACCAGCCCCGATAAATGCAGAAACTAGCCAGAAGCGGTCGCCATGACCTTGTATGAATCCCGAGGCAAGGAATAGCTGGCCAATGGACATGAGTATGCAGAAGAAAATAAGAAATGTGACGCGGGATACTTCTAGTCCGCGCTTAGGTTCTGGTAGAGGTGGAAGGGATACCATGCTGTTGGCTAGCGAGTTTGGCCCACGCCGATGTTGGTGGGGCGAAGTCGTAGGCGCCAGGACATCCGTCAAAGTACCGGTGATGAGTCGGGCGAGAGTGCTCATAACAGCCACTATCGAAACATGTGTAGCGGCTGTCGTATGTTGCGTTTCTGGAGTCGTTATAGGAGGGTAGAGAGTGTCGATAATGGTGCCGAGATTGTTGATGAAGGCTTCACCAGGTCCAGTGACGAGAAAGAAGCCAGCTGCTAGCCACCACATCGTCTTGTCTGACAGGAATCTTCGCGTTTCGGCGTTGAGGAGCCAGGTCTTCATGCGCGCTTCCTCCAGACGAAGAGCCTTTTGCTCCTCTGCTTTGCGTCGAATCTCATCAACATCGTCGTCCAGAAGTGTGCCATATCCGTTTTGAGCTTCGCGGACACGAGATGCGCGGTGGAAGAACTCGCTGTCCTCTAGCAAACCGCTCTGCTCAAGTTCCTCTATCGCCTCCTCAATCAGGTCTTCCTCTCCCACGATCTGCAAGGTAAAGAAGCCAATAACGCCGGATACAAGTAGGAAAATGCCCAGAAATAAGAAGAAACGATAAACGTCAACGTCTCCTTTTCCGCCATTCGGAAGAGGCTCATAGAGAAGCTGGCTGCCGACTTGAGATTGCCACATGCCACTCAGACCAAAGCACGCAATGGGAATGGCCAGAGCAATACCTTTGTACTTCCCGCGTCCGAAGTTCTTCGCACATGTCGTTACCGCCGAGAGGTACATGCAACTAGTTCCGGATCCAATGAAAACAAAGGCTATGACCATGACCCAGTACGGCCATCCAYCTCCTCCAAACGACGGAGGAGGGCCACTTTGGTAGGCAAACGCAGCGATCAGATATCCCAGCCCGAAGAACACGCCGGCGAGGAGGGAAGGTATCCCAGGTCCATAACGATCGCACATCATTCCCCATAGCGGAACGGGAAGATACATGGCCAGCTCGGCCGTGATCGAGACGCCATTAACCTGCAACTGGCTGTAGTGCAGACGTCGCTGAAAGAGCGGGGCGTATAAGGAGTAGGCCGTGATTGATCCCGCTCCGAGTGTATTGACCAGTGCCCACGCGAATGACCCATACCGAACCACCTCCCGCTTCATCTTCTCCCGGTCCTTGGACACAATCCCTTCTGCTACGTCTTCGAAGAAAGATCCGGCATAACTCCTGTCCTCACTGTGATGGCCGCTGCTGTCACCATTCTCGTCGTTGTGTAGAAGAGGCCGTCCGCCAGGTTGGTAGTCGAGCTTGCCGATGCCACCGWTGCCGTCGGTCCGCTTGCTTCGGCTTGAAGGCCGACTAGTCGATGGYATGGTTGGAGGGGAGAGGAGTAGATCGTGGCTATCGCGAGTCCATATTCCACTTTCCACCTCTTCCAAACACCATCCGCGTGAGAGGATGACTCCTACAAAGCAAGTAAGGTGTAGGATCCGAACTCCTCGCGGGCAGCTCACGCGGTGTGGCTACACTTCGGGAACGGCACGTGCTTGAAGATGATGACGCAACAAATTGAACCTTCACCGCGTCCCGGACTTCTGGCCAACTTCCGCATTGGGGAACTATGGCACGCGATGTCTTCTGCAGAGATACAAACGCGCATCGGGCAGCTTATTACCCAGGCGGATGAAGCTGCTCGACGCGATGGCTTACAAAAGGCCTCGGAATTGCTCAAGGAAGCCTCTCATCTGGATCCGGACAATGCCAAGGTGAAGGAGGCATGGCTTGCTCTTCAAAAGAGGGAGCAGACAGGCGATCTGATTAATCTACTTGGAAGCTATCTTGGATCTGGTCCGGAAAGCGATGGCCAGAAAGCTTTGCAGGCTCTCAAACAGAGAAGGCCTCCTCCAGCCGAGGCCGTCGAAGCTATCCGCCTGCTGCTGGAGCCTGCGAAGGAAGCAGACCTTCTCGACGCCCTAACCGGAACACTGTTGTACGTGAGCGTGGACGCGAAGAAAGCATTGGCAGAGAAGCTATTGGAGCCTTTCTCAGAGTTATTCGACCAGCTGTTTGAGCGTGGCGAGGAGAGCTTCAAGGCGCTTGCTACGCTCGCCYTTGACGAAGCCATCTGGGCATCAAAAGAGAGACAGGTGGCAGCGCAAAAGGACTTGTTTCGCCTAGGTGTTGCCAAGCTTATTGATGTTGGTGTTGAAAACCTCGACCGGCCCATGCAATTGATCGCGAGACAGCTATCAATCGCACCAGGCAATGTCCAAAACCTCGTCGACGAGGATGTATTCGACGTGGTACTGGTATGTCTTGACATTCGACGCGAGCCGAGTCTGAGAAGGCAGGCCATGTTGGCCACTTCAAAGATGCTCGAGACGATGAAGGAGAGAGGTGAAACCTTGTTTGGTCATTTCATTGCCTCAAAGGTCGCCAGGCAGACCAACGATGATTTGATCGTTGCATTCTCAGTCGCTGCAGCCGTGTTTCCCATGGTACCAACAATTGCAGCGAGCCTTTTCATGACGGATGGGTTCGTGCAGCAGTTGGTGCCGAACCTTGAAAGGAACTCGGAAGCCGCAAGTCAAGGGCAAAGGTAGGTCGTAGGAGGCGAAGAATCATGCTTGTAGTCGCTAGTGGAACATGTATCGCTAACATTCCATAGGAAAAGTCGGACGCTGGAGCAGGCTGCGTTGGAGCTACTGAGCGCGGCTTGTGTAGACAAGTCATGCAGAGAGGCCATTGACCGTTATTGCTCTCCTTGGCTTCGTGACCTGTCGGATGAACGAGATGGAACCCACAAAGCGCTCGCTGCCTTGATCCTGGCAAAGATAAAGTCCAGCTCACAGGCAGAAATCACAGCCAAGCTAGCAGATCTGGTTCTAGTTGGAGACACCGAGCGCGATCAGGCCGTGGAAGGCCTTGCATATACTTCCTTGCAGCCAAAGATCAAAGAAGAGATCGCCTCCAACAAGATGCTCCTAAAACGTCTCGTTGATGCGTTGAACGAACGTCCTAGTGCAACTTTTGGCTGCTTGACAGTCTTCTCAAATTTGACGTCCTACCGACCAGTCCAAACTGCCGAGCAAAAGAAGATGGCACAGCTCAAAGCCTATGCAAACTCCTCCAAACCCACTCCTGAGGATCCCTTGGACAACGACACATTCGTCACAGCACGGGCTCGAAAGCTCCTCGATGTCGATGTGGTCCCAGCCATCGTTGCATGCTGTAAACAAACCACCTCGCCTACGAACATAGCGTTGGTTGTTCGAACTCTSCTATCCATGAGCAAGGAACAAAAGAATCGTCCAAAGATGGCCCAGCAAGGTGCAGTCAAGCTACTCCTTCAAATCCGTGAGCGCGTAGCATCGACGGACAAATCCACTGCTGAAGCCTCGGGAATCTTGAGGAGTGCTTCACATGCTTTGGCCCGCCTCCTCATCTCAGTCAATCCAGCACATGTCTTCTCAGCAACATTGTCAGCTTCTGCCGCCGTGAGCGCTCTGATCCCACTCCTCGAGCTAGATCCGGAGAGCGAGCAGCGGGATCTACTGCCCACCTTCGAGAGTCTCCTCGCGCTTACCAACCTCGCTAGTATGGAGGATGCCTCACCTAGGGAGCTTCAAATCAGAAATGCGTGGACCAAACTTGAAGATTTGCTCTTTTCCTCCAATACTCTTGTCCAGCGCGCAAGCGTAGAGCTGGTCTGCAACCTTGTTGCATCTCCTTCTGGGGTTGCAAAGTTTGCGGATGGGAGCGCGGATGCGAAGAGGAGGATGCAGATCCTGCTCGCGCTGGCTGACGTGGAAGATCTTGCGACGAGGAGAGCTGCTGGTGGTGCTTTGGCCATGCTGACGGAATGGGATGCTGCTGTCACTGCGGTGCTTGATAAAGATGGSGGAGTCGGCTTGATTTTGGGATTGTGCGAAGACGATAGCGAGGAGATTGTATTGAGAGGTCTTGTTTGCTTGAGCAACGTCATCAGTGCCCCTGGAGCGGTTGGAGAGCGGGGAATAAAGATTGTCAAAGGTGAGGAGGGAGGAGAGGTGGTGAAGGAGACACTGAAGAGCACCAAGAACGAGGAAGTGTTGCGAATGGGTGTGGAGGTTCTGAAGAAGTTAATGTGAATGCACGGCGCGTTAGAAATTATGCTTCTGATCCAGAGCGTGAAAGTATTTTCCCAATGAGAATAACAAGACGGCCATTCGACCCCATGTCCTCCTGTAGGCAGTAGCATAGAACGTGTCAAGCTACAAATTAAGCGTCTCCACCCACTCTCGCCTCTCTATCAGTACCTTGAGGCTATGTCGTGTGCAGAACCGCCGCCATACCTCTAACATATACATCTTCGCTCCGGCGAAACGCTGACCAATCTGTATCTGCTGTGAAGGACTGGTAAACTGAAAGTCCACGACTGAAAAGTCATAGCCATACAGAGGTGAGAAGGGGACGTTTGTCCGGTGCCAACAATGGACAAATTCATAGTGGAGCGGCGGTCCAAACACATTGAGCCATTCTCGAAAGCGCTTGTCGAGAGCAAAGCTGTAAGAAGCGATGCGTGGATCGGAATTGAACGCTCTCACAGCCTGGAGGTGAAATCTGGCCTCTCTCGAGATGGAGTTTAGCCAGCACTCAAGAAGGACCACGGCTCTCTTGAGCTTGATTGACCTGAAGATCCACACAGCTGGAGTTCCGTAGTAGATTGGCATGAATTTTTGACGGAGTTGGTGATTTATCTGAAGTTGCAGTGGAGGCTTGTAATGCCGGTCGATCACGCGAGTGGTGGGACCCGGATCACAAACAAGAGTAAGGTTTTTGATCATGTCAAAGAGCTCCTGGGGAAGCTCTTGCAGTCGCGTGTTGATATTCGCGGGCACTTTGCTGTGTACCATATTTGTTGGCGTTGCAGTGCGAATTGACCGCAGAGTGGCGACATATAAGACGTCTGAGTCTGTGAAGATGGCAGCAAACAAGAGACAATTCACGCTTGCCAGCGGTACACGCCAGGTAGAAAGAAATTGTTAGAAAAGCAAATGCCTCCACATGGCCCAGCACGCGAATTGCGAGATGAGGAGCGCAGAAGCTGTCATATTCCACAGACATCCGTGGAGATAATTTGACCAAGACTACCGAATGTGTGAGCTCTGACAGTGAGTGGTGAGCTATTGCCGTCTCCTCACCGATTGAATGGATGCGTGCTGATACATGAACCTGTGATTGTACTCTGAACGGCAGTGTTCTTCGGCCGCGGCGGAATCGGCAATAGAGTGTCGCTGACATTGCATTGTGTCCTGTGTGGATGATCCAGTCAGGTGCCCCTATCAATGCGCACTCGAGCGTCGGTATAGCCCTCGTGCTATTCCATCCTGAACGACTCAGGACCATCGTCCAGTGACAGTCCAGCTGATGTACTCATCCATATCACCCATCATGCGCTTCGCCTTGCCTCGATATATAAGCCACCATCGGCTCCCACATATCCACACCAATAACCTCCCACTCTCTCCCACATCCATCATTCTTGGGACCATCGACCCATCGAGCGATCCGACTCCAACCAACAAGTCCACGAAATGTGTCTCACCCTCATCACCCATCTGTCCTGTTCGCATACCATCCGCGGACCCATATTTCAATGCACCGACGCGGCCGCTACACCACCTCGTGGCGCTCCCTACGATGACGGCCGCCTCGTCCTCTGCCAACCGGGAGATATCTACGAACAAGACCAGAACACGACGTGCGAGCGTTGTTTCGCCAGTGTCGTGCGGGGACTATTGGCATGGATCTGCGGGACCTGTCGGAGGAGTGTTGTGGCGAGGATGTTGCGGGAAGGAGTGGTGGAGGGATTACTGGCGCCGGAGACAGCGAGCTGGCGGTGTTCCGGGGTGAGAGAGCGCGAGGAGAGCGAGAGTGATGCGAGTGGTGCTTGAGACTGTTGTTTCCTTTCTTTCCATCATTTCTTTTTCCATGCTCACAGTTTCGTGGTGTTGGGGTTCCGGTGGGATGCAAAGACATAGCCCGTGGCGGCGGGACTGAATGCGTGGGTGGGCGGCAGCGGGAACGGAGCTTTGCGGAAGTTGGACATCATGAAGACCGGGTGCATTGTTGCGGAGTTGTATGCATTGGTGACTGGCGGCGGAGGCCTGTTGGGGGGCATTGCTTCCATTTGAGTTCGTGGAGCTGCTGCTTCGAAATGGCGAGTTTGCTGTTGATATTGCGGGTTGGGAGCTTGTTTGGGCGGAATCTGAGAGCATGTTAGGAGACCCATGAGTTTTTACTCTCATACAATACGACTCACCTGAGGCCGCGATGGTCCTCCTAATGAAGTAAACATGTTGTTGTACAGACTTCACATCTGATGATGTGAATGATGTACGGTATGCCCGCTCCCCACTTCGCTGCCGAGGCTGCGAGTCAAGCTGTAGATTGGCCTGCCAAAACGCGAGTCATGTGGATGGCTTTGACTTCCATCTCCAATGGCGCTATAAAATGTTCCTTGTTGCTCCATCAGAACATGTTGAGAAGACTGGCCATCGCCCATCAGCAACGCCGCCTCTTCCATGCAACACGAGCGTGGCGTCAGGCGAGTAGTATCATACAGGTCCAGGACGGCACCTTTTACCGCTCATATCCCGAGTCGTCAGACACACCAGCCGCGAATCCGCCCTTGTTTGAAAAGCTCAATTTTTCTCTTCCTGCTGGTCTCCAGAAAGATGAGCCCTCTGAGTATTGGGCTATAATTTCTCCCTCTTCCCTTGTCAGGACCACATTCCTACAGATTCTAGGTGGCCGCCATTTCTGCCAGCCTCCCAATGCCCGGACTTATCCTTATCTGGCCGAGCTTTCCATCTCACCGCACAGCGCCGTCAAATATGTTGGCTTCGATGCGGACCGCGGGAGTGGAGTTGGAGGAAACAGTGTCCGGGGAGCATATCTCAGCGCGAGATATGAGGCCCGGCGTGAAGAAACGGACTTTTCCCTCCACAATTATCTGACCGGCCACACCGAGCTCAATGCGATAGAAAATACCCCGACTGCTGCAGAGGAAGAAGCCCTGGAATTAGTCGTCGACCGACTCAATCTTCGCTCCCTCCTCGACATGCCTGTGGCAAATCTGAGCAACGGCCAAACCCGTCGAGCCCGTATAGCAAAAGCACTCATGGCTCGTCCGGAAGTGCTTCTCTTAGACGGGCCATTCATGGGCTTAGATCCCAACACCTCTGCGGCCATTGMCAAAGTCTTGCACAGCATTGCCACAAGTCAAGCGCCTCGTCTCATCTTGAGTCTACGCCCGGAAGACGGCGTTCCGGGTTGGATCACCCATCTGATAGTAGCAGACTCTGGCTCCAAAGTCCTCGGCCAGGGAAGCAAAAAGTCCATCATCGCTCCTAAAATGGCCAATTACCACATCACATCCATGCTCAATCCAATCATTGACACCTGTGGTAGACCCCATTACACGCGCAGCAAAGACGCCCACTCTTACGACTCGCCCGCTCTACCTCCAGGTGAACCTCTAATCGAGATGCGTGGTGTACAAATCAAATATGGCAACAAAACCGTTCTCGGGAACTGGATTCAAACAGACCCCATGACAGGTGCATCGTACCCCACTCCCGGTCTTTACTGGTCTCTACACCGCGGCCAAAGATGCGCCATATTCGGCCCTAATGGGAGTGGAAAGACGACGATGCTTTCGCTCATCACTTCTGATCACCCTCAAACATACTCACAACCGATCTTTCATTTCTCTCGTTCCCGCCTTCCCGCGCCCGGAGAACCAGGAATATCGCTCTTCGACCTCCAGGCTAAGATCGGACACTCAAGTCCCGAGATTCACTCCTTCTTTCCCAAACACCTCTCCGTTCGGCAAGTTCTCGAGTCCGCATGGGCGGAGACACCATTAAGTCGACCCAAGCTCACAGCGCCTCGGGATAGGATGGTGGATGCTACGCTCCGCTGGTTCGCCAGGGAATTGAATCCGGAGATAGGAGGTGGGGAGCTAACTTCACAGGAAAGGCTCAACGAAGCGTGCTCTCTACGCATTAGAACAAACCGAAAACTGGCCACAGCCAAGGGGCAAGCGCGAAAAGCATGGAATGATATCATGCACGACGATTCGGATCTGCTATTTGCAGAGAAAGTCCGGTTCCGAGATTTGAGTTTTAGCTCTCAGAGGCTGGCATTGTTCCTACGTGCGATTGTTGGGAGCCCGGATATTGTAATTTTGGACGAGGCGTTGAGCGGCGTGGATTCAGACATTCGTGACAAGGCGCTTTTGTGGTTGAGTCAGGGTGAGAAGATTGAGTGTGTGGAGGGTGCGGCGGCAGTGGAGAGTGTGCAAGCTCTGCTGGGTGGGGAGAAAATTGTATTTCAGGGACTGGAGGACAGGCAAGCATTGGTGGTGATTGCGCACGAGAAAGGCGATGTTGCGGGATGCGTGAGAGAATGGATCTGCTTGCCACAAGGAGAAGAGGAAGKCATGGAACCCAGAGTGGGTGTTTTGGGTGGACCGCTAGAGCTGAGACCTACAGCGTGGGAGACGGAGATATGGGGTCGGAATGGGGACACGCCTGCCGAGACAAAGTAAGATGTGTCGATCGAGGCAGGAGCTGCTGACTGTATGTATATACTGTAAATATAGAGAGTGCCATCGCCTCTTTTCGCTGGTTAGCGCCGCATTCCAATGTAACCCCCAATCGAGCAGGCGGCAACGCGATCTAGAAATATCGCAATCTGAACTAACACACTCACGCTATCTGAACGAAAGTGTAGTTCAGATAGACAATCTGCTTATCCCTCGCTTATCATGACCATATTGCGAACCCCGGTAAAGCTTCCGATCGAAAACAATGATCTGTTCCAGCGCCCCAGAACGAGAAGCGCAACTAGGCGCCGAGATCCCTGCTGTTTTGCCGCGTTGCCGCGTCGCCTTATCTTGACCACACCTCATGCGCGCACGGCGTCTAATTGGCGTCTATGTTCAGGGGTGCGTCTTGCCTTCCGGAAAACTGGCCTGCCCGCGACCTCTCCAGGAGATCATCAACACCATCACGATGCGACTACCAGGCATCCCGATCATCGATTCCGAGCAGTCGTTTGACTCTCTGGTGCAGCAGCTTTCGATGTGAGACGCATTCCGGAGTCCGGCGGTGTGTCTCGTTGCTGACGGCGTCCGGTCGCGGTAGATTTTTCGTGAAAGCTATTGACGCTCCACAAGAATGGGAGGAGCTTCGGCGAGATGTGTATCCAACACTGCTGAAGCCTTTGGTCCACTATCTTATCGTCGATGTCTCTCACCCGGATATCGTATCTGCTCTGTTGTAAGCGCCTACCTGGACGAGGTGGCTGGCGGGCCGATCAGCTGACACGGCGATCTTTCCCAGAGCGCTCCGCTGGCATTTTGGTGTTCTCGAAGATGAAGATGATAGAGGCGTCAATGGGACTCGCGGGCTGGCATGTGAGCTAGTCGCGTGGAGATTCGTGACCAGGCTCTCCCGTCGCGAGACTATCGATTGTTTATGCCATGACTTGCCCTCCCCGGATCGGAAGACATCTGCACGGGGAGACGTCGAGACTGGTGGCGGACATGCTCACTTTCACACTGTAGAGAGCTCACCCTTGCTCGGTAATCCTCCGGCCGACATGGACGAGTCCTTCTACGACGAGTTCCCGCGACAGGCAGACTATGCTAAGAAATCCAATTTTGCGACCATCTTCGCTGGTTTGAATGCCCTTGAGATCGCTGCAGTCGCCGAGGTAAGCGTGCGATAGTCGCTCTGGGAYAAAGTGACTGACATCGCCTCCAGGCGAAGAGATTTCTCGCACAAAAGTCAGTGCAGCACATCATTGATGGGATCTGTAAGTTTTGCGGCTTGGACTCTCACCCGAGCCTGTCTGACTTCTAGTAGGGACTGGCGATATAGTGTTCTGGGAGACACTCTCGACTCACTCCACGAAGCAGGCCAAAACGTACAGGAAAGAAGAATCTGATCCCTTCTGTCGCCTCCGCGTTCCGTTATACCTTAAAGTCTTGGAGGTGTTATTCTTCGCAGCATTCCTGGCCTTTTACTATGCCGTACTGGTGAAACGGCCAATAGATCACATAATCGCACCGGAGGTGATGCTATACGTGTGGCTAGTATCATTCACATATAACGGTGAGCCATCTTTTCATGAGTTGATGATCACCACTRACGCCTCGCAGAGCTTGTCGAGTTCTCTGACGCTGGATCGACGTTCTATGCGACCGATTTCTGGGCGGTGTGGGACGTTGGCATCATTCTCGTTGGACTTGTGTTCTTCGTGACCCGGATGATCGGCCTTGCGAACAACGACAAATATGCGACAGATATCGCCTTTGATATCCTATCAGTCGAAGCTCTCTTTCTCGTTCCACGGTAGGTAACTAGAGGGTGCCAGGTTGGTATCACCACTGATGAGATTCTCAGTATTTGCTCACCACTCAGCCTCCACCCATATTTTGGAATGCTTCTGCCTGTCTTGAAGGAATTGGTGAGATCCCACTGGCACTCACCTGCGTCAAGGGAAATGTGCTAACATGCAATTAGACAAAAGACTTTCTCAAGTTCGCAGTACTTGTGGTGGTCGCATACACTGGTATCTATGCAAGTACATTCCAACAGGATGCTCGGCTACTAATTGCCGTGCAGGATTCTCATCCTGCTTCAGCGTGCTTGGGCGGGACCACTACTCCTTCGGAAGCATGAACTGGGTTGGTCCTATCGCATCACGAAGCTTTGTGGCACAGCTAACACCAACAGATTCTCGTCAAAGTTTTCTTCGGCAGCAGTTACCTTGGGTTCGATGTCGCAGATGAGGTAGAATCATTGCCTCGCCGCGAAGAGACCACGGCACTGACCAACATCGACAGATCTCGCCAACACTGGGCCCACCTTTGATGTTCATTTTCGTTGCTATGACGAATTTCTTGTTGCTGACGGTAAGGAAGACAGTGGACCGCAGGCACAGTTTGAGCACTCTCACCGCCAAGCCAATCCTTTGCGCATGAAAAGCTGCCGGAGAAGTCGCTAATGCGCCCAGGTTCTCATTTCATTGCTTTCCAACAAGCTTGACAAAGTGGTGAGTGGTAGGAGCATTAAGAAAGTGTTGTTGGTTTCTAAGCCATGTCCTATCGTGGTCGACTTCTAAGCGCCGGCTGCTCAAGACGCCCCACATATCACTGGCTAACAAACTCCCGCGACAGATGATGCATGCTCGCGATGAGTACCTCATGGTGTGAGTGTTCGCACAGCCTCTTTGCTGTTCATTGTGGCAGTACAGTTGCTGACAGTGCACAGATACTCGATCTACGTCCTGGAAGCCAGTACGTCCAACCGATTGACGTACTTTGTTCCTCCCTTGGTATGTCTGTCTTCCTAGTTTTCCTACCCAGCCCATCTCGAAAAAGAAACCTTGCCGTCTCCACACTCTGTCGTGCTACATGCGCAATATATGCGCAATCTTCGACGGGTCATGCCGCGGAGCTGGACTGAGCCAGTGCGGCGAAGCTGCAGCCTGGCAGCCAACTCCCTGGCTCTGCGGACAGTCCATGGGCGAATCATGGTGCCTCATCGGGCGGAAAGTGTTGGTGTTTTGCCTTCGGCCTGCTGATTTGATACTCGAGCACTGAGAGCTCAGTGCACTCCTCACCTGATCTACCTGATCTACGAGAAGCTGACTGGAATCAGAATCTGCTGCCGCTCTTCCTGCGGCCTTTGAGGCTAGTCCTCTCCCATGAGCAGCTTCGCAAGCTGAAAATCAGCGTGCTGAAGTTCTCTCACCTGCCCATTGTTGGTCTGATACTAGCGTGGGAGAACRGGCGCTTACGGTGGCATGATCGACCCAGTGCCGAGAAGTCGAGCGGTCCAAAGAGGCTCAGCAAACGATTATCCAGGAAAGTCRTCGTATATCCTCCGTCATTGGCTCAGCAGACGCCATCTGCAGCTGAGCAGCCTGCGCGACACCCTTCGGCGGCTTCCGAGACCATTGAGGATCTTGGGTTCGCGGTCAATGATCTTCGAAAGCAAGTCGAGTTGCTCTCGCAATTGCTGCAGGAAAAACAAACGCGAGGTGCGGAGAGTTTGTGAAAGCGCCGTCGCAAAAGTCAACGTGCACGCGGCCACTGCGATGCGACCTCCACGCGTTGTCTCGCATTTGACCGAGACGAGCGATTGGCGGCATGCAAGGAGAGTGTCATTTAAGCGCGCAGGAGCTGCAGCAGTGCGCGGATGACCAGGGTTTAAGAGAGTCCGGCCGCCAMAGGACCGTGCCGCTGGGATTTTCGCCAAGCGCCAAAGGCCGGGCGATCGCTCCCAACGCCGACGCTGGCCCATGTTGCTCTGCTCTGATCGATGGTGGAGCTCCTTCCGACAGTCCAACCTTCCTGGCACAGCCTGCCTGGCTCTTCGTCGCGCTAAGGACTATGGATGCTATCGTCTTGCTGCCTCTAGACTACTGCGGCCGAGTGCAATTATGCTTGCGACTTTCGAACCTTGCCCATCCTGCCCTGTCGCTTCTTGACGACCATTGCCGTCATGGGCCCTGGCGTATCTGCACAGTCCCGCAGCATCGCCGCCTCTTTATCCTCTACCCGCACCCTCTTGCTTGGTCAATACTGTCCTGTCATATCTGCCCTTCGTGCACAGTCGCTTTTTGGGACCAACACTGCCCGTTGGCAATTTTTGGCAACACACTCTTCAACCAGTATGATGCACTATACCTTGTAACCTTCTTTGCGACCGTGCTCTTCACTATATCATAGCGTTCTTGGCCCCCAGTTGCACCTCCACAGAATCCTTCCACAACCGCACAGACACACGAACGACATTCCAAGCATGAGCATGTTTCTGGATCCCGACAGGGACAATGCATCTGTTGCAGACGAACAGAACTACACAATGAGCTATCCATCGACTCCATCTTCTCACGCGACACATGCCGAACAAGACCTCTTCGATGCCTGCAACGCTTGGGCTGCCATTTGCACCTCTGCGGAAGAGTCCTATTGCACTTCGCAGTCCATGATTTGGCCATCTCAAATCGGCCTTGGTCTTCTGCCGACGCAGACATCGACGCAGTCCATGGTTATCGAACCAAGTCTTGATAGCTTCAACACTTCAATGCCAACCTCGTGGCCACTGTCGACGGGGATTCAAATTCCTTTGCCGACATACCGCAGCGCCACACGGCACGACTCCTTGTTACAGAATTGCTATCCGCAGTCCGCGTTGCTTCCAAATCAACCAGTGACGACCTGGGATGGAGCCTATTGTGGCGTTGCTTCGTTCAGACCATCTAACGAGATGCCCGCGGAGGACTCGGACTTCTCTGTATCGTCGCGGACATCAGGGATTCCCCCGTCGTCACCCTATGCTCACTCGGACCGATGCTTCCCAAGTAGGAGCTCCCCGATTATCAAGATTGAAGAGGAATACGGCCATGCCTTACCTCAGCTTTACTCCGTTTCAAGCAACGTCAGCCCAAGAACACAGCATTCTCACGTCAACCTAGGTGACGTCTATAATCCACCTGAACTTGCAGACGACCGGCAAGCGACAACGCCCCCTTTCGTGCCCGTAAAAGTCGAAGAAGATTGGAAACCTGTTCTGCGTCCTCGCCCAGCAGGACGACCACACCAATCACAATCGAATTCAATAAAGGAAGAGCCACAGCAAACGATCATCGAGGATCGAAGGAAGCGCGGATATACAACGCCCATGAACGCAGTGTGCTATTGCGAAGAGTGCGGGAAGCTCTTTCAGCGGACATCAAATCTCAAAGCACACATGGACACTCACAAGCCTGATCGTGAGCAGCCCTGGGCCTGTCGGTATTCTGGATGTTCACGCCGGTTTGTTCGCAGGACAGACATGACACGACATCAGGAAAGCGTAAGTCACTTGCTTGTCCTCCTTATTCATCTTCCGTCTACACCTCAACGTTCTGACTGCAAAAAAGGTTCATGTCAAGTCACGAAAGTTCCAGTGCGCGATGTGCAACGGCTCTTTTGCCCGGAAAGATACTCTCAGAAGGTGAGCTTGTCCGATAGGATCAAATTTGGCGGGACTAACGATCGCTCTCAGACACATTGATGACGGCTGCCCTCAGAGGGCGGAGCACAAAAAGCACATCAAACGAGAGCGCCGTGCCTCGGATACACAATTATCGTCCCGACATCCTGGAGACTTTTCCGGAGACTTTGTGGCCCCCAAGATGGAGCAAGACGATTGACAGATTCCCACGCTTTGTTACCTACCCGCGTTGGTCGAGAATCTTGCGTTCCTTTCGGCGCTTATGAAACTGTGCGAGAGTTGCGAGAGGCACTCGTTGGGTGGAGTGAAGCTGTTGCCTCCTGACAGGCTGCATGCTGCAGCAGCGGCGAGGCTAAGATGGATGTGGCGATGCGGATGTGTGAGTAGCGAACATGCCGTTTACCCGTGGGATGCGGCTAAATCAACGCGGAAAGAACGCAGCGTTGCAATTTGCGGTGACAATCTCGCTACCATTGCCTTGGGATCATTCACAGAGGAGCAAAGGACTGGCAAAGTTACGACTGATGTTTAAAACTGAGTGCTACCCTAGAGCCAAAAGAGGTCTCCTGAGCGATTTGCGGGCGGGCCCGGCCTCAGCGCGGCTGGGCCCCTCGGGCGATTGCACGATGTTTCTAGCTRCCTCATAGACGCTCGCTCTTGATTGGTGTAAATGGAAAGATCTTTCGGGGAACATTGTTCCATTGGCCGCTTTTCCAGCCCTCACTCGAGCTTGCTCGTTACCCGTAGTGTGCCGCCAGTGCGTTCGACGTGGGGTCGACAACCAGTCGAGGCTCAACTTTCCTCCTTGCAGTATAGCATCCGTGTTTGCCCAACAGTCCCTTAACGCTTGGGCACGGATGTAAGTTTCATAAACTCCTGCCATTGGTGTCGTAGCGAAGACCATCCCTCATGGGATACGATGTCTCAGATGAAGAGAGATGGCCAGCTTATCGACTCGTTAAGGTCCGTCAATAGTGCACGTGTCTGTGCACTTCACACTATCGTGCGGACCGGTGAGTAACTCATGCTGCCGCATGCCGCAGAGCTACCGCGCTACAAGCCTACAAACATCATGTTTTTGATTGACAACACCCCGTGTGAAGAGAGCTAYCTATCGAAACTTAACCTACGATCAATCCTTCGAACCATGTGTACCAATAACCTGGAACATCGAGAACTCGGTCTTGCCATGCACAGCCTCGTCTGCCTGTTCCCTTGAGCGGATCGATGGTGGGTCTGTCGAAATATACTGAAGTCGCCGTCTTCTTGCCGTCGATCCCAGTACCCTGCTCATAACCAAGTGGGACTCTTCAGGACATCTTTACCCGCTAGACTGCCAAGTTCCAACACTCTCTGAGACTAGATCAGGGGTCTCCGAGAAGTATCGAAAGCAGCATAGGTGCGCAGTCGCACGAGCTTCATCAATCATCACGCTCCATGATGTTGACGCTGGAGCTAGCAAGCATCTTGATTCCTGAGAGGAGGAAGACTGAGATGATATGCAATCCTGCGGRTCTCATCACAAGCATGCGCTAAGTGACGCCATTTTGAGGGGACCGGAGCGTGCAGCGCATGTGGCCGTCGTGTGGCCCCGGCTCTTGTGCGACAAGGTTCAGTATCTTGGCTTGTTCTGGCAGAGCATCGATCATCCTGAAGCGGGATCTTCTCCTTGTGGACGACAATAATCGCAGCCGGTCAAACTTCACGCAACCGCCGTGAACATGATTGYCCGGGAGCATTTGGCCGGATCGCTTGTCCGTGATCTTCGCGCCGTGGGAGATACACAAGGGACGGGAAGGGGTCCGACAGACCTCACGATGAATCGCCATGCGTGCGCATGAATTGACCGTCATGTGATCATCATCCGTGTGGGTTTCGCTTGCACCGTCGTCGCAGAGACAAGTCGGTGAGGACAGGCGGGTCGACCAGCAGGCGCATGCACATGTCTTGCATCGTCTTGATAGCAGTCGCCATATCAAAGAGCATCTCATGGCCAGCTTTTCTGCATACCGCTGACATGTCCTACTGTGTGATGATCGGTCCCTCCAAGGCGCTGTGTGCGTACGAGAGGGTTCTGCAGGCCGACGGTTGAAAGCTCTGCGAAATTAACCCAGGCATTCCAAGTCTGGAGAACGACCTCGTATGTGGCAGACGACTGTTGGAGACGGCATAAGAGAGCTAAACATAGGACTCTGATGAAGGAAGCAGCTGGACTGGTGCTGAAGGACTGATGCTGAAGGACTGATGCTGAAGGACTGATGCTGAAGGACTGATGCTGAAGGACTGATGCTGAAGGACTGGTGCTGAAGGACTGGTCCGAAGGCAACCATGCAGAATAGGGCGACGAGTCCCATCTTCAACCACACCGTCTGAATGACATGGGAACGGATAAGGATGATGCCATCGCCCACATACGTTTGAGAAACTCCCGTTTGGTACTCTGGCAGCATCAAAAATAGAAGCTCGACTGGACGCCGCTCCGCCAGGCTGAGACGTACCGTACCGGCGATTCTACCATGGTTCGGGTTGACCATCTCCGCGAGTTCAGCCTACGCCAGCCACATGACCCTCAATGTGCCACCATCCACAGCTTTAATGCCACCGCTCGTTCCACGAATGCCATGAAACGCGGTGAGCACGGCGGACTCGCATCGATGTAGGGGTTCGTTGCTACTCTGTTTGCTGGACGGATTCAGATCTGACATCCCACCCCACGTACCTTTGTCCACGCGGTGATGAGTGCCAACCCGCTCCGTTAGTGCAGAACTCTGGGACGAACTACAGCTCCGTACGGCTTTCGTTCGACCGCCCAAAAGTCCTTGACGCATCGCGCAAGCTGAGAGCTTGTGCAGTACAGCTTTCACGGGTCGTCTTCCTTCAGTCAACATGCATTTGAAGCTGCGTAAATGTGACTTTCAAAGCCAGAATTGACGGCAAAGACTGCCGCTCGCAATATCCCGTGTTAAACGTCTTCGGGTGCGGCACCAGCTTTTGAAGCAGCCTCTTTTCCCCACAAAGTAAAGATCTACTTTTTAGGAACACGGCGAAATGCTTGGACGACCGAGGTGGCGCTATGTCGGATCTGCATTCCGTCGATCCTTTGGAGAAACCGCACGAGCAGCGTGAGGAATGCGGTCCTCGTCGTCTGCGGAGATGTGACCCTCGACATCCCTTCGCGACTTCGCGACACCGCAAATTGCCCCTTACCTTCATGCTCATCCTCGGTATCTGGTTCTCATGCAAGTCCACAAACACGACTCGATTCGGTCACACTTGAACACTGCGCGTGGTGGGAGGATTCCCAGGTCCGCGGAGGCAGGACACGCTTCCGCTTGCGATCCTCGATCCTGCACATACCAGCAGTGCATACCACCACCCACTCAGCCGGGTGCGGTAAAACTCTAGGCAGGTCTTCTTCCGTCAGCAACCATCAAGACTGCGTCCAAGGCCGAGTAGAACGCTGGACGATTTTCTGAGCCACGACTACTGCGAATTTCTCATTGAAGTCCTTTTACAATGGATGCATAGCATTAAGTCGCCAGCCGGCGCTTGAGGTACTGCACCATTCATAATTTTGCAACTACAGAACCACTCTATCAAATTGACCGATGCGATCTCGTGCTAGATTTCCATTTCCCTCTGTTTCTTCCGGCCCAAGGGAAAGCTCTTACAATGGCCTCGAGTACGCTACTCCGCGCGACCGCTGTGCAATCCTCACAAACACCACAGGCTCTACAGCAATACGGCTCTTTATTGTACTCGCTGGAACCTAGAGCATCGGCATTAGGCTCTGACCCAAATTTCAACGCATCTTCAATTCTGGCGCGACAACAACAACATCGTCTTCAAATTGTAGCCACGACCTTCTCCAGCGTGAGCGTTTTCGCCACACTATGCGCCTTGTACTGGTTCTGCATGATGCGGCGAAACTTCCGCCGCGATCTCGTTCTGTTACTTATCATTGGGGACTTTTGGAAATCTCTTTGGTTCCTTATTGGAAGCATTACAACGCTGGTGCGAGGCCAGATATCAACGGATAGCCATTTTTGTCAAGCTAGCGGATATTTTCTACACGTTGGCGCAGAGGCTTGTGACTTGGCCATCTTCTTGATGAGCCTGCACATGTCTCTACAGATCTTCCCGCCTGCTCGGTCGATGCTCGGACACGATGGTCTGTATCGGATACGATGGTGGGTTCTCGCTGGATGGATCATCATCCCGAATGTGATTGTCTCCTTGGCTTTTGTGAACTCCGCCTCGGCTTTCATAGCCCAGGGCGGATTTTGCACACTGCCCATCCGGCCATTTTGGTATCGTCTTGCACTTTCCTGGGTACCGCGATACTTGATATGGTTCTTCATCTTCGGAGTGGCGATTCGGATTTACCTTCACGTTGGATACGAGTTCAAAGTTTTTGGGATGGAAGCAGACCAGAATAGTACTTCGGGCATCGGCATCACGAATAGCAGAGTCACGCAACTGTCGCAGACAGGGCATGTTGCAGCGACTATGCAGTGGTCACATTCCAATCGTTCGGACGGGGCAGATGCCGAGAAGCAGGCATGCAGAGATGACAGCATTGCGCCAGACGACGATGTTGAGACCAACACTCCTCCTCAAAGGCCATCATTTGCAGCCTTGCCCAGCTTCGACCCCAAGCGACGACAGTCGGTACCGAACTGGCCCACTCTTTTCGGAGGTAGCGTCCTCGGTCGTGAAGAAATTCCAACAGGCCAGAACACGAGGCCCTCGAGCAAAAGCAACCCTGGCTCACGTCGCGGCAGCAAGCAACTGGGCGCCGACCCGGCTGTGAGCGCTGAAGACTTCGCATTGCTACCTCCGATCACCTCCTTCCAACGGCAAGGCTCCTCTGCATCGACAGCAGCTTCAATGAAGTCTGCAGCACCTTCCGACATGCCCTTGGCAGCATTGTCTCCCATCACAGAGCACCGATCTACCTCCGTCATTCAATCGCCGACACTGATGCAAGAGGACAACGATGCGACTCGAGCCATCACGCAGCGACGAAGAGCAATACAGCGTCAGCTCCGTTTGCTGTTCATCTACCCAGTCGTCTACCTTATAATGTGGGTAATGCCCTTTGTCGCGCATGCGATGAACTACAGCAATCATTATGCTCAGCATMCGGTTCTTGCCGTGAGTGTACTCAGTATCTTTGCCCAATGCATCATGGGATCCGTGGACGTGTGTGTGTTTTGCTGGCGCGAGAAGCCTTGGGGACATGTCCCTGGCGCAGATGGAACTTTCTTGGGCAGTTTCAAAATCTGGGAGTTTTCCGGTCGGTGGGAAGATGGGAGAAGTAATGCTCACACCACCCGACAAAAGGAGGGAAAGAGTGAATCGACCGCAGGCTTCCTCACCTCGATCAAAAGGTGGAGCATGAGCAAAAGTTCAAAGTCTTCACAAACGCAGGACGAGGTCATTCAAAACAACTCAGCATCACCTCAACCGCTGCCTCCGCCGCCTCCGCCTCCACCCAAGAGGATTCAGCATCTGCGGATAAACAGCGGAAGAAGCGATCGAAGAGTCATGGACGCTGAGCGTGCACAAGAACGTTTGGCACTAGAACGTGCGGAATTTGCTCAGCGCAATTCAAGAATAGGGCAAAGTAGACAGGGCAGTGAGCCCTCTGATCAAGTGCATCTTTCCCCGCCATCAAGAGAATGGTGGGATCGGCACATGAGTCTGGGAGATATCGATGATCATGTCGTGCTACGATAGCGAATAGAATACTGCTAAACGATTACAATCACTCTCAAGTGCCACATCTCAAACAGAAGAAATACTTTTGAATGACTACAGAGTCGAACTGTGCTTTGCTCCTCAAATTGAACAATGGACGAAACGCTGGTGTTGCTCAGGATATCCACGTCCATCGCCGAATTCACCGCTAGGGTAATGGTCCTGTTGATGTTGATGACAAGGCGGGGTATGCGTGGTATCAAGATGAGATTTGGAGTAGGGAGAAGCAACATTGCTTGGCGTTCATATGAAGCCCACTGCGTGGGCGACGAAACGTGAGTGATCCCCATCCTCTCCCCAACGTGTCTTCTTCGCTTCTTCACCAAAGTGTATGCTAGATCGTGTCATCACCACTGTAATGTAATGAACGTCGCCGCAAAGTCAATCGGATGCCAGTATCTTGGTTATCTGGTCGTAGCATGTCCAGCATTGGAGCCAACATGCCGTCTCCTTCCCACCTTCCTCAATTCAGTGGCCATCAGTAATTTCCTTGACCAGCACAAAGATCGCAGAATAAGGGGTGGTAAAGTATGCTTTATTCGCTTGATGTGCCTGCTTGCCTCGATTCATACAGCAAAAGAACTCCCTCGCTTGGAATAAACGACACAATACTACTACAACTAGCATTACCATGTGCGCATACAGGTTGCATCGCTCCTCATCGCCACGCGACCATCTGTCCTACCCAATGACGCCTCATCGACGCACGAGTTCGGCGCAGCGTGGTTCTCTTTCAACGTGACCCACTCATATCTCATCCATCCTAAAGACGCTCTTCGTTCAGTAGTCCGTAGAGGTTATTAGACCTGACATACTTGATACTCTTGTCGACAACGCGTGCGGGGACGGGCTCCTAGCTCGTCTTCGCCGGAATCGCGACAGGTGCGGCTGCAACTACAGCGGGGCCTTGGTTGCGACCACCGCGGGCTGCCTTGTTGTGTCCTCTCTTACTTCCGCCCTCGTTCGCACCATCTGCGGTCTGCTGCGAATTCCTCGACCCCGGACCCGAAGGCTTGCGAGCCCCACCCAGGTTGACCGGCGCAACTTGGAAGCACAGCTCACTATTATCTCTGCCTCCTCGTGTGCTCTTGTGTTGCCGGCCGGAAGGCTTGCGGTCTTGATTGTTATGAGCTGCGTATAGCTTCTTCGCATTTCCGTTGCGCTCGCCTCCGATGTAATGGCACATTTTGTTCAGCCTCGTGAGCGGGACGTTGGCGAAACAGCCGGTTGAGCTCGGTGGGAACAGGATGTGGTCGTTGCTGTATATCGTCTGCGATTCCACCTGCTTGTGCACCTTGGAATTGGATCCCATCTTCAGCATGTTCTTCATGTTCTTTGGCGGCGCGGAATTGTCATAGAAGGTGTTGCGTGGGATAGCGACCTTTGGGATCGATCCGAAGCTCAGCTCCTCGTAAAACATGTCGTCAATGGTTGGCTTCGAGACGACGGCGCCAAGGCTCGAGTCGGCGCTAATCTTCACTTTTTGCACAAGAGGCAATGAGACCGTCGCATTGGCGACCTGATCGTCCAGGCTCGTGCGAGTGGCTGGGGCCACAGCGAGCGACATCTTGGGCGGCGTCTTTGGTGGAGACGGCGGAGTCTCAGTCTGAATGCTCGCGCGGCCGAAGAGGCCATTGAACCGTGATTGCCAAACGTCGGACTGTACAAGTGGGCGCGCAGCTCCTGGAGGCGCTGAAGGCCGCTGTGGCATAAGCACAGATCCGTTCTGCATCGGCAATTGCTGATGAGCTGCAGGATCAGCAGGCGGGAGACGGACTTTGGCAAGAGGACGCGGTAGCCTCACGTGCGGGTGCGTCGAGTCTGCGCCTTGGTTCACTGGATGGCCATCAGCTTCTGGAGGCGGCGGAGACTGCTCTTTGGAAGCGATGATTGGGGCGAGTGGCGCCATGCGGTAATTGACATTTCCATTGTTTGCGACTGGCGGCATGTGTGGCAACCCGTGCGGTCGACCGATGGGAGGCTGTTGCCCACCGTGCGCTGGATTCTGAGTGAAGTTGGGAATTCGGACGGTGTTCTCAACTGCGGGCTCATTGCGAATGTCCTGTGAAGCGAAAGCGGCCGGAGGTGGGGTCTTCTCTGTGGGCAGCGATGTCAAAGGTCGCGAGCCGGTCGGAGCATGAAGAGTGTGCGCGGCTTTCTCGTAGCGGCGGGGAGCGCCCAGAGGGCCTTGATTCACGATTGTCTTCTTGAAAGTCTCCTCGAACCTGGTGTTTGCGGTTTGCGAAGGGGCTTCCGCCATCTCCCGTCTTCTCGCCGCGGCGGCAGCTCCATCTTGAGCGAATTCGCCAGAGAGCTGTTGCGAGACCGCGCTCCATGCGCCACTTGCGCCACTTGCGCCGGGTGGCGCACGAGTTGCAGCGGACTGCGGGCGATGCTGCTGGCTCTGTGTGCGAGAAGGTGGGCCAATTGGTCCTGGCGGATGAGCCTGCCTGTTGCCAAGGCCATGGGCCTGTGTTTCTCCATTGCGTCGTGCTTGACCGAATGCATCCGGTCGCGCATCGATCCCAGGCGGTGGGTACGCACGTTGCTGCTCGCCCAACTGCTGTTGGTGCATGTGCGGTGACCGCGCCTCCGCATCAAAGCTCTGTGGAGAGATTCTCGCCGACGTCGGGGTTGTGCGATTCATGCCTGGAGGCRGCGGAAGTGAGGCGCCTTGCTGATTCATGGGAAGAGGCGCGAATGCGCCAGCGGTTTGAAAGGTCCCGTTCCCTATCCCAGATGTGCCCCACACGTTGCTGTTGGGTGCAGTGGTAGGCCACGGAGTGAAGCTATCACCCCCACCGAGGTTGTTTGGCGAGCGACCGAAAGTCTGCAGCGGGCGGTCGCCGGGCGACGAGTACGATGATGGAGCTGATTTGTATGTCGCGGTGTTGGCCTGCTGGAAAGGACCGCTGCGGGGCGCCTGTCTCTGCGTCTGCTCGACTTCCGATCTGTCAGGTGGTCCGACGGGCTGTTGCTGCTGCTTTGCATGTGGCGCCGGTGGAGTGTGTTTCTCGGATTGTGCGGGCTCATGTTGCAGAGTCTTCGCCTCGAGTGATTCAACAATGGTGGAAGGTTCGACGGGTTTAGCCGGGTTGGGCTGTGCGACGGGCGCAGGAGCTGGCTCCGCCGCAGCCTTGGGCGTGTTCTTCGCTGCTGCCGCTGCTGCTGCGGCCTCAGCCTCCCGCTCCTTCTTCGATTTCCCTGCGCCACCAAGAGCGGCCAGTTTTGCTGCAAGACGCTCTTGTTTGGCGGCTGCCTCACGCTCTTCCWCTTCCTTGCGACGCTTCTGGGCAAGCTCACGCTTCTCCTTCATAATCTGAGCCTGCATCTTCACTGCATCCTCGGCGGAAGGCGCAGCGTCTGCTGGAGGCGCAGTTTCTGCAAACGAAGGCGAAGGCTGGGCATCTCCTGCCGGACGTGCGGGCATTTGCTGCTCCCATGCCGATTGTTGAGAAAAGGTCGGCTTTGCGGGATCGCTTTTCGCGACCGTCTGCGGGACACCCTCAGAAACAGGGACCGGGAGGTCGTGGCTTCGCTGCATCGACATGCGTCGAGCAGCGGAATTGCTACTCTGGCTCACACTCGATCCTCGCCGCTTGTTACCCCAGCTACCATCCATCTGAGCACTAGTACGAGATTGGAAGGCAGCAGAAGGCTCCGCAGGCGGAGGCCCTCCATGTGACTGTCGCTGTAGCACGGCCGGCTTGCGGAAACCGTCATGTTTGACGGAGCTCCGACGACCTTCTGGCGCTGGCTCGTAGCGCCCATTCGCCGAGTTGAACAGCTCCCTCGCGCCACCTTCGCCTTCTTTCCAAGATCGATCAAACGTGTCCGCGGCGATCTGTCGGGTAGGTGCTTGCTGGGGCTGCTCATACGAACGCGCGTCTTGCGAGGCGAGCGGTGCGAACTGTGCAGGAGCATGTGATGCTTGCGTGGGTGGATTGATCGCAGACACGGTGTCCGGCTTCGGAACCGGCTTCCAAGGTGAAGTCTGCGGAGGTGCAGTATTCTTGGCTTTTAACGACGGCTTGTCGGCTCCAGAGGCGGTAGGACCATTCAATTTGGCTTGGATCGCGGCGGCTCCAGGCTTAAGAATTTTCATGCTTTGACTGTCCGATCGCTTTGGTGCGAGGATTGGCTTGACGATATTGACAGGCGCGGGAGCCGATGCTTCTGGCTGTGCTGCAGGAGTTTCTGGGGTTGGTGCAGCAGCAGCAGCAGCAGCAGCAGCAGCGGGCTCCTGGGCTTGAGGCTGGGTTCGTGGTGCTAGATGCAGCACAGTTCGCTGGGCCGGTGCCTGAGGTTGTTGCTGTACTGGACGCTGCATGATCTGCGGCTCAGGAGGTGCAACTTCYTGAGGAGCGACTGTGGACTTGGTCCCGTCCATCCACTCAACAGCTTCCGGAGCCCAGTCGTCCTCATCGTCAATGTCGGCCCATTTTGAATCGTTACCCCCCTCATCTGCCTGAAGGCGTGTCGCGAGGTGAATGCCGTATTGTTGTTTAAGCTCCTCGTCTGTGAACTGTTTTGGGGGCGCCTGTGGAACCGCTAGCCATGCTGTCAGCCTTTTGGTCACCATCACCGCATAATTCACAACTTACGTCTGTTCTTGTTCCAAACCTTGCTGGCGTCTGGCCCTCCTACGCTCTGTGGTCCAGGACGAGCCTTTTGTAGATTTCCCAAAGACGGACCCGCTTTGGCAACAAGTCGTGGACCAATCTTTGCACTCAGTGTCGCGACGGATGCTGGACTCGCTACGAAACCGTCAGACCTCATGCCCTCTCACTCTTTGTTTGAGCTGTACTCACGCTTTTCTCCAACCTTGCTAGGAGCCGCAGCCGTGGTTGGCGCAGCTTTGTTCAGGAAGTTCTTCGTGATCGACACTTTGCTGAACGTGGCTGGCTTCTTGACGGAATCTGAACGGACATGGTTCGGATCGCCCTTCTTCTCCGTATCCGATGCCACGTCTGCAGCGCTCCTGTCATCTCCCTGACTTCCATCTTCACCTACCCTCTGATCCCCATCTCCACGTTGCGCAGACGCATCCACTAGGTCTGGTGCGGGTTTATGCGCAGCTTCGCCAGCACTTGGCTCTGCCGCATCCTTCACCGCAACTGATTCTGTAGGTGCTGTTGAAGTGTTGTTGGAATTTGCGAGCTCGTTTGCGCTCTTGGAGACATCGGTCGCGCTGTCTGTGTCAAGGTTGCTAGAGGGTTGGATTTGCTGAGCGCCATCGGTGGCGGGTTCGGCGGCGATTTGGCTCGATGCAGCGTCGACGAGCGGGGCGCTCGTCGACTGGGGTTCGTTTACCACATTGTGGCTGCTCTGCTCTGCCATAACAGTGTTCTGGGCTGTGATTGATGTGTCAGATAATGTCGATCCGACTGTTCCGGCTTTTGCGACTGGCGTGAACGAAGCTGAATCGAGATGGAGAGCAGAAAAGCTGAGCGCACACGGTCTACCAAGCGCGCACGCCAAGCGAGACCCCCAGAGAAGGATATCGACTGGGCTAGAAGGTGAATAGAGCAAGCAGGAATGAAGAAACCCACCTTAAATGCGCTTTCCTTCCACGGTGGCTATCTCGGACTCAGGGCAGCGTTGCTTTCCTCGTTCTCCTTGATCGAATCGTCGCCGGGTTCGCGGTGTAGTTTTACGCGTGGGGCGACTGGTGAGCGGGTGTCCGGCTGCGGCGAGCTCGGAAGGGAAGGGCGAGAGGTGTTGGTGGAGTGTTGATGAGGTGTCGTGTTCAGCTGCCTTGTCTGCTGGATTCGCGGGTTCGCTCGGCGATGTCCGACTAGCGTCCGCGGTCAAGTGATGCATCTGGGCCCCTGGGACAAACGAGAACGAGAATGCCGACAACAGTGAAACAAGTACGGCTCACATATGACAGAGATCACACGTGTCTCGCATCTATCTGCAGCGGCATCGAAATCATTCCGATATGCACGTTCCGGTATCATGGTGTGGGAGAGGTCACGTGATTAGCCCGAGTCGAAGAAGTTGGACTTGAGTGAACATGAGCCATAACACCACGTAGGAAGCCTCTGATTGATCTTATATACAGATTCTCTGTCTCATAGCACTCCCAACTTCGCCACCTATCTCACAAACTCCGCGTCATTTGCTGCACTTAGTGAGCGTTGTTCTTGTGGTGGCCTGCTTTCTGTCAGTCTCCGTTTCAAGGCATTCYTGGCCAGGACAGCTTACGGAGATGGAAATAGTAGTTCTGAGCGTATCCAATCAACATGAGTCCACCGATAATGTGAACGAGAGCTGTCCTGCAGTTAGCTTCTGCCACTGCTTTCCGGCCTCATCAGGCCGGTTTCATGTCATGACATACGCATTGGCGAGCCTCTTCCGTTGAAGTATTTGTTCTTGTACCAGGTGATCGGACCGCCAGTCTTTGGTGCTGGAGCCGAGCCGCGAGGGAGTTTCYCGTAGAAGCTGACGACATTCTGCATACGCGCTGCGTCGGCGGCACCGCCAATGGCCTGGGAGCTCTCGGTTAGTCTTGATTCTGCAATCTGTCTCTTGTCCATCTCCATTGATATGTCCATCACTTCATCAAGGCGTATGGGAGGAGGGGTGCATGTGTAGCCGGGGTTCGAGCCGGGAGGCGGAGCGCTTACGTTGGGCGATGCGATCTACCACATATTGTTAGCTATTGGTTTTATCTCCTTGGACTGCTCTGGCATACCTTTGGGGGGACTATCGAGGACACCATGGCTGCTGTGATCGTGGGTGATGCTGCTGCGCAATGGGAGTGTTGAAGTTGAAAGGTGAAGCGCGATCGCCGTGCTAGCGTTAGGGTTACAGGACATCACCAGCAGCATTGACATTGACCGCAGTACACCTCACGTCCGGCTCACACATCTGCACGTCATGGCCTCCTTCCGATCAGTCGCAGCGACCGGCCTACGTGCTGTGTATTCGCGACCCGCCCTCTCCTCCAGACTCCCCGCCCTCTCCCGCGCCGCTTCAGATGCGCCTGCAACATCCTCCCCATCGCAGCCGCCGGCAGCCAAGATGGGCGAGAGCGGAATGGTGAAGCAGGAGGGAGCAGCACAGGGCCAGCCCAGACATGGCCCAGACTACAATGCGGTCATGGACTACCGCACATCGTAGGGATTACAGCTATACATGATGGGTGGATGTGGAGGGCTGACTAGAGTGACTAGCAACTTCTCCCCAATCCCCATGCGCGTAATGGACGGCAGCGAGCCCGGTGAGGATACACCAGCCGCCGTACTGTCTGGTGCGCCAATTGAGCTCCAAGCTCGCACAGTCCGGTACGTAGATTGCATTTCCACACACGCCTCCGCCACGGCTAACAAACCATCCTGTAGCATTTACAAACCCGCCAAAACTGCAACACAATCCGGCGACTGGAACTCGCACCACTGGCGAATGGATTGGGACCCGCTCACCAAGGGTCATCGTTGGGAAAACCCGCTGATGGGATGGCAGAGCAGTGCCGATTTCATGCAAGGCACACATCTCAACTTCCAAACCAAAGAGGACGCTATTCGCTTCGCCAACAAGCAAGGATATGAATTCTTTGTGCAGGAGCCGAACGAGAGGAGAACCATTCCAAAGGCTTATGCGGACCAGTTTGTTCACAGTGCAAAGAAGTTGAAGCAGGTCAGGACGAAGTAAGCTAGCTAGGGAGGAAATGATTGAGAAGAGCGCTGTGTACATATGAATTCATGTGTTGGGTCGGGATGTGCACAGAGATATCGCGAGGTTCGTCGAGTACCAGTCCAGTCTTTCCTTACAGTGTCGTACCTCTCCCGCTTGCAGACTTACAGAGTCAGGTCCCCGCACGACACGCATGGGTTGCAGTAAGTCCCGATAGCAATGTATTTCAAGCAAGCTAGTCTAATCTGAGCACATAGGGTTGCAGTCCGGTGTGGTTTCTTGTGTCCCTCAGGCCACAAAGTCGGAGGCTTCCGTGATGTTCCATACTTCAAACACTTTAGCAAACAGAGCATTCGCCAATGCAGCAGTATCAAAGGGATGCAAAGCGTAAGTTGTAAGGTCGAAGATGTCATATTTGTTATGCACAAAGATCTTTCCTAATCAGCAAGCAGATCTCAGGAGTACATGAGCTCGACTCTGGAGTTACCTAGTAGTCCATACTTTTGATATCCATTCCATCCTCCTATTACCCCTTTTCACCAATCATGTCTACGAAACATAGTTCAACTGCCTACGCGGGCCTCATGTCACGAACCTCGAGTCTCTGGAGCTGGATGAGTCCGAGGGTGAATGAAATCGCAACACGTGTAAGCACGAGCTTCAGAAACGMTAAGTCGAGTGAATACGAAAGTTTATGGCATCTGCTTATACGGCACATGAAGATGTTTTATTCACTCTCGAATCCCCGGATCCTAATGGGACTTTATAAACCTCGCTCACGCGCACACCTTTCTATAATACATTAACACATCGCATACTCTCTTCCACTGCATTGCAAAACAGCCACTCATACTGCTATATCGGCTCTCTCTACACCAGTATACCAGACCACTGCACACTGCAACACCCACGACACCCAAATAACCATCCACTCAACACTCGAAAAATGGTTTCTCCAACTCCAACACCGACAYTACTCCAACCCACACTACCGATGTCGAAATCGCAGAAGAGGAAACAAGAACGAAGGGAACTGAGTCTCCAGGCGGCCGTTCTTGAGCTCGACTTGAACGATCCAAGATTTCTGGACGAGAAGATCCAGGTCGAGTCGGCCTTGCAATACAATTTCAAGGATCTTATATTACTCCGAGAAGCCATGTATACACTCAAATGGTACGCGGCGCGACTACCGAACGGTGTACTGCTCAAAGAGGCGAATTATGGTTTGGCACAATACGGAGACGGCGTTCTCCGTGACGTGCTCTTAGCCTGCTGGTTTGGTCAACTGGGGCCGGAYAACACAAGGATGCTTATCGGCAAGGTCCAGCAACGCGTTCAGGCGGTCATCACAGACAAGTACCTGAAGAAGGTGGCCGATGATCACGGCATCACCGACCTCATCCGGAAATGGTACCCCACTGCCATGATGAAGGAACCGGGCGAGAAGGGAATCGCAACCACCATTGAAGCACTCATTGGAGCGGTTGCTATTGACTCGGGCGGAGACCGCGAAGTTTTGCGCAAGCTTCTGGTGAGACTGCTCGGGGTGGAACTTTGAGCAAGTGATGGAAAGGAAGGGTGATTTGTTGAAGATTCGAGAATATTCACTTGGAAGGATTCACTTACTTGGTCTGTAATAATGAAGCAGGTTGTATAGTTGATAAAATTCTTTACATCTCGAGTGAATCTCACATGTGTTTTTTATGACCCTGGACTCATTTACACTACCTGAAGAATCTCTGGATCAAGTGCAGTGCTCATCCTTGCAAAGAATTGTGAGGGTGATATATGGGTGTGTAGGAATTCTACTTGTTACAGACGCTTGCTTGCGTTGTCTATGATACTATGCAGCCGCCAACTTCAGTTCTTTGGGTGTGGCTCGAAGAGCCCGTCGTCAAGCTCAGCCAGCGATCACGCCAGTCGCCTGCTCAAACGAAGGAATGGCACCGAGATCATCACGCTACCTTGTCTTCCATGCGGAACCGGAACGGTTATCGAGAGGGAAAGGCTGCATGAGGGTATGCGAAGTTTCTTTGGAAAGCGGCAGTTGTTACGGAGGAAGGTGGTATGGATGGATGGCGCAAGGTCAGAACTGTACCTAGGGTAGCCACTTCTTCATGCAGTGTAACAATGTATCTTTCACAACATCAACAGATATAGATTGCTCCATATACCGATTCTACAGGAACCACAGCCCGTGGACGCGGTCGACCATTGCCTCGACGACTTTGCGGACACAACGAGGTGGCTATCTCGAGCGAGCCGATTCCCTGACAAAGACGTCCAGCTAGTCATGTACCTGAGTAGGCAATTGACGGCGGCTGAGGGGAGATACTGCCTAACGGAGATGGAGTTGTGGGGATTAATGCGGGTTGTGAAGAAGATTAAACACATAGTGGACGCGGCGCCGACGGTGATCGCCTTCACCGACCACAGCGCGGTGGTGGCAATGGCGAAGAAGACAGTCATTGCAAACACCGTCTCCCCGGATCGATTGAACATGCGACTCGTTACGGTGTCGACCTACCTTTCCCAATTCGACAACCTCGAAGTCGTCTTCAGGCCTGGCAAGATCCACAAGATCCCGGACGTGCTGGTTGGCGAACTCGCTCGCCTACGCCGGGAGGACTTGCTTCACGCCAACAATAGCAAGCAGCAGTCCCAGTTCCGCCCACATTTCTAGTCAAGCCTCACCGTCTCTCCTACGCAAATGTCGTCCGTGCTAGTCTAAAGGCCTTTGGCGGTACACTGACTGCTTACGAAGTTGAGGGACGATGGTGAGTTGCAGTGCTCAAAGATCAACGCAAATCAGGGATTCATGATGCCATTATCTTCTTGTAGTCCGCATGCGATACCGGCTGCTATATGGAATCGTACGTTAAGAGGTTCGTCGTCCGTACGGTGGACATGAAGCCAGTAGTTGGAATGAGGTCGACCGCATCCTTTCCTTGACATCCGGCAAGGTTCAAAGCCAGAAAGCATATTTCCCTGATGCCGGCCACGGTCACGGGCTTCTCGAAAATGCCTCAACACGTCAGTGTAAAAGATCTTCTCTGGACCACTTCACCTCTTCTCCTCATCGACCACATTCTCCTCCATCTCCCACATACTGACCGCTGCGATTTGAGCCCCATGGACATCGCCCGTCGAGTTCCGCGATCGTCAACTCGTCGAGATCACATGGTCTCGGCATCTTGCGGCTTTTGCAGGTGAATGCATCTGTCCTCGACTGCGATTGGCCCTTTCTATCTCAGTATCTTCGAGAGACACTTCGGTCTCGGCGCAAGGCGTCCGAAAGGCCGGGAAGCAAGGTCAGCGATCAAAGATGCTTGTCGCTGCCAACGCCTTKCCGGAAGCAGCAGTTGTACGCGAACGCTTTCACCACCACCTCATCTTGCAACGCCTATACCGCGAGCATCGGGTGCCACTGGAGTGTCAAAATTGGATTGAAGAGTCAGAAGCTCCTCTCCAACCGATACGCCACTTTTGGGGTGTCTTGGGCATCAGAGGCTGCCAGGATAAGGACACCCTGTAACCCACCCATTCCATCAGGAGTGCGGGGCCGGCCGGTTGGCGTGCAGACTGTCATTCTTGGCCAAAGATAGTGTGGGGTCTCGATGCCCTGAAAGATACGACGAAGGATGCAGTCACTGGTATATCAGGTGAGGCGTACGTTTGTCTTCTTGTACTTCCGATTCCCTCGTCACCACAGCACGAACAGCTCGAAAATCTCAAACCTCCATCATTGTGCAGACCTTTCATACCCGCTGAACAYGTTCGGTACTATCCATCTCCACAACATCCATCTCAAGACCTGCCCATCATTATCTTCTCCAAAGCTCCAAAGGCCGCTTGAAACACACCGAGACCGAACCAAATAAAACTTGATGTCGGATTTCGTACACACTCTTCAAAAGTCAGGACGCACATTCATCCCGCTCAGTAATAGAAATCATTCCAAACCGCAATTATGGAGAACAAAACCATCCTCTCCATCGACATCGACGCCGAGAAGGCAGCCCTAGACAGTGTCGCAAAAGATGTCGGAGCCAACACAACATCTATCGACGCTGACAGGGTCGTCATGCAGAAGAATCTCCTTGCTGCAGCGGGAAATGAAGCCCGCGTCCTGACTTTGAGCGAATACAAAGAAGCCGCATACTCTCTGGCTTTGGCCTTCAAGGAAGACCATACGAGTCTGTACTTCACCCATACTCCTGACCGTGCTCATTGGTCGGAGGAGCAGAAGTGGGAGCTACATTTAAAGATGATGGAGTACATCACGTATGCCCACTTGCTGAAAGGGCTGGTAGTCAGTGCCGGGCCAAACTACGACTGCGTGGCTCTTTGGTAGGTTTTGTATGGAGTTTCTCATTCTGCGACTTGCTGACTTGTGCAGGATGCCACCCGGCGAGAACATGGACGACTATCCCACCATGCTTCGCTCTGGGATGTGGCGCCTGAGCTACCTCCTAAGTCGCGAAGGCCGCAAGCGTTTCTTCGATGAATTCCTGCCTCTTCTGAACGATACCAAAGCGCTGATCATGGGCGAGCGTGACCAGGACAGCTGGTATCTCGTCTACATTGGCACGAAGCCTAGTGGACGCGGGAAGGGGTATGCGAGGAAGGTAATCGATTACGTTACCGCCACCGCCGACAAGGAGGGCAAGGCGTGCTATCTGGAGAGCTCGAGCTACGTCAACCAGATCATCTATGGGAAGATGGGGTTCGAGTTGAGGAAGCATGTGTACTTGCAGAGGGAGAGGGAGCATGTCCAGTTGGACATTATGGTCAGAGAGCCAAAGAGAGAGACGGACGGGGATTCCGGAGTTGACGTCAAGTGAGTACGCTCAAGAGCAGAGCAAGCTAGGCGGGATAGCGGGATTTCGATACGTAGAAGGTATAGCGAAGGACGTTCATAATCATGGCTTATAATACAGCAGCAGATTCATGCTGCACAATGTTGAGTGGGCAAAGTTTGCATTCCTAGACCTGTGTGAATCGTTCCTCATTAGATAGGCCTTTCACACCATCAACCTCACATCTACATGCTGTAGATGAAGTCTGGCCGGTTATCGCCTGCTACCCAAATCTCATCTTCCGTCATTCCCTGGTGCATGTTGTCCCGCTTTCCAGATAGACGTTTAGCATTCTCCCTTCGCAGCGAAACCCACATGAAGATGGTGCCTCCAAGCAGACAGACAACGAGGTAAGCCAAGACCACGGCGTGTCCCGTAAAGTATCGAGGCTTGTCCGCGTCCAGGTAGATGTTCGAGGAGACGACGCCGTTGAGGTTGCCCCAACCAACGACGATGCCGATGATGACACCTCTTTTGTACACGCCTTCAATGTTGTTGGAGCACCAGCTCAACGTGTTGGGAATCGTTGGATAGATGCCCGCGGCTCCAAAGAACGTTCCCACATACTGAATGCTGGGATCGGAAGAGGCGAGGAGCATTGTAAAGCCGATGATGCTCAGGCTGACGACACACATGTTGCAGATTGCACGCTGGCGCGTTCGGTCTCCGATGTAACCGACGGTGATTGTCAACAGAGCCGCGACAGCGTAGGGGGGGACGGAGAGCAGTTGGAGTCTGGTGCCGGAGTGGCCCATGCCTCTCAGAATAGTTGGGAGGAACAAGCTGAAGGCGTACAGTGGGCACAGCGTTCCCATGTAGATGACGGCGTATCCCCATGTCTTCCAGTCTTTGAGCGCTGCGTAGATGTGGCGCTTGTCGTAGGCTGGAATGCTGTTAGTCAGGAAAGGGTGAGGCGTAAACGAGGGAAACGAACCTTCAGCTGAGCTCGACTGGTTGTCTGCCGCAAGGCGACGTCGGACACGATTCCGCTCGTCTGGAGTCAGGAATCTGGCAGTGTCTGGCCAGTCGAAAACCATCCACCAGCAAAAGGCTCCAACAAAGACTGTGGCGAGGCCTTCGAGGATGAAGATCCAAGCCCAGCCATCCGTGTCACCAACGCCGTCCATCTTGGCAATTGCAGCAGCCAACAAGCCTCCGAAGCTTCCGGCTAGAGCGGCAGCTGAGAAGAATATTGCGGAACGAAGACCGAGCTCGCTTCTCCTGTACCAACACGACAGGTAGTAATTGACGCCAGGGTACAGACCAGCCTCCGCAAGACCCAAGAAGAATCGAGCAACCATCMGCCCTGCGAAGTTCTCCACCAGGCCCATGAGGGTCATGATTGAGCCCCAAGCGATGATGATACCTGTGAAGAAGACTCTCGGTGACAGACGCTTGAGCAGCACATTGGTYACAGGKTCGGMSAGKGCATACGAGATGAAGAAGATTGTCAGGGTGTGGTTGTATTTATGATCGCCGACCATGTCCAGATCGGCTTCCATCCCAGCGGCTCTGGCATTACCTGCATGAATGTCAGTTCTCTGAGCAACAACTTGGGCATGCAAAGCGCACCAATATTCGTTCTGTCCAAAAAGGAGAGCAAGTAAAGCAAGCAGAGCCATGGGATGAGCCAGAGATCGATCTTTCGTAGCAATGCCTTGTCAAGAGCTGCTCTCTCTTCGTCGGTTTTCCCCTTTCCATGTCAGTCTTCACTTGAGAGCTGCCCGAACGGAAACAGTACATACAGCATCGGGGTCAGGGATTGCCTCCAGCTCCGCATTGGCGGTCAATCTCTCGTTCTTCACACTCTCTGCGTGAGAAGAAGACGCATACTCCTTCTCGCGCAAACTTTCAGCCTTGACGTCCGCCATGGTGATGGATACCGGAAAAGCGAACGGTTTTTGCAGCCTCGTTTCGCCTTCCCACGCAGGACAAAGCCGCGCTTTTATACCCCGTCATGGTCGCAATCAGACCCGCTGTAACCCGCAGCTTGCGCTTACGGGCGCCAAGCTGGAGAATGTTCCAAGCTGCAAATTCCCGACATGCGATTCGCTATTGTAGGTCGTTGCCAAGCTCTCCACGCGAATTTCCCATGGGGTTGTCGACCTTTAGCGCATTGCCGAACCCTGAAGGCGCGCACATGGCGTTCGCGTGTCACCGCATGCCACTGTTTTTGCGCRCGCGAACCGAAGCTCACCACAGCCGGTTAAACAGGAACACGCAGACTCCGGCTTGGGTGCCAAGTAGTCATCAGGCCTGGACTTGGAAGAGCGGAAGTATTGCCCCTTGTAGTCCGGGCAAAGGGACATTGATATCAGCAGCATGCTGCACTGCAATCCTTCATCCGTTGCTGCGTGATTCGGGATTACAAGCAGACTCCTACAGGTAACCTTACAATCGAGTGCGCCATATCCGGAAAGACATCTCCCAAACAAAGTGGCTCGGGAAGTTTCGCCGCAGTGTACATGGTCACGGGATAGCCTAGTAGACCTGGTGTTGTATTCAGGAACAGTGGCAATGAGGATTGACTGAGGTAGAGTGAAAGTACTACCTTAGGTGAGGTCACTGTTTTACTTCGGGATGCGAGTCGTGGTTTTCTTGTTCTTGACGAGCTGGCTTTTTGTTAGGGTTAGGGTTTGTGTAGCGTCCGTCGACGACGAGTTCGCTATGATGTTCCACAATTTTGTAGCTCCAATCTACCGGAAAAAGATGTGATAATCTGACTGATTCAGCTATACATCCCACGGTAGGCCTAGAATCTATGATCAGGCTGGTTGCGCGGTATATCCTCAGTAATGAACGTAGTGAGTGCTTGGTGGAAACGTGCAGAGATTCCGACGTCTTGACAAAGACGATCGCTAACAATCAAGTTTGAATTGAGAGTACTTTGATTCAAAGCCTCTGATATTATCCCCAGTCCGTGAGCTTACTTGAAAAGGGAATATAGACGAAAGACAATTGTATTTTCTCTGTCCATTTATACACTTACATCTTCATAGTCAGACCCATAAGCGACGTGCAAAAGACATGCGATGGATAGCAAGCAAATGACCCTTTCCTTCATGTGTACAGTATGTTGTTTCATCATACACGACAGATGCGGCAAGTCGCAGAGAAGCTCAAAGTTCTAGCGACGCTGCGGATGGAGGATTGTCTAATGTATCGCTTTCGGTGTGCTCGTCTACGATGGAAGACAGATCGTCTACGATGGAAGACAGAGTATCTTCGATCGCATCACTGTCGGTACGGTCCGACTCTGGCTCTGCAGTCGAGGGAAGACTGTCGGTCGCTCGATAACTGCTGAACTTTGGAAGCAGGTCAATTGGATCCGGAGATCCCGAGAGTGAAGACGCGATAGCTCCAGCGGGCTGCATACCCAAAGGCACCTCTTCGACATGATACGCAGTCTTAGTGGTATCGTCGCCGTTATGCTTGTGACTGACGTCTCCAGAAATCGCTTGCTCGGTGATAGCAATTGCCTCGTCGAAATGGAACGACGGTGGCGTCGCCGCGGGCTCGCGCTGCTCGGAGTTCACCTGGACAGTGTGCTCTTCATTCGTCGGCTCAGAGTATTTCTCAATAGCGCATTGCTTACTGGTGGGCGAAGACTCCACTCCAGCACTGCGACTCATACGCGTAGCCAAGTGATTGACTTTGAAACCTCGGAAATCATCCATCGTTTCGTCACTGGCGTCTGGATAGCATTGCTCACTCATCGTCCGAGAGCATGTCTCGGCATCGACACGTGAGCTCATGTCCAGGGAATCATCCAATCGCGACGTGTTCGCTTCGGTGTCACGTTGCTCGCTCACCRTCCGAGAACATGTCTCAACACTGCTGTGCGAGCCAGCGGTCTGAGAATCATCCTGCCGCGTCATGCGAGAGTTCATTTCGGCGCCGCATTGCGCGCTCATGGTTTGGGACTGTTCGTGTCGGCGGTCTGACGAATCGCTCGGCGCCACACTCGGAGTCTGCGCTTGACTGGCTTCCGTTGTGTATTGATGGCTCTCATTTGGGAGAGCAATGTATGGCCTCACGATAGCAAACACGAAGGCTGCCGGGGCAACCTTGTTTGGGGAGACAGTTCCATCGAGCGTGCTGCTGCTTGTCGCCAGCAGCCCGATTGATTCTTGCGAGCTGATACCCACAGGGGTATCATGCGCAGCAATGACAGAGTCTGCTAGCTGGGTTGCCACGTCCATATCCGAATCCATGTCTGTGATGCTGCTACATGTCAAGTTGACGACCACACGCTGGGAACGAATGTCGCTGCGACGCCGTCTCTTTGCTGGTCTACCATCAAAATCAACATCTTCGACATCGGATAGTCGGGCAGGAATGCTTTCAACCGCGTCTGCATCGTCTTCGTCAGAATCGGGAATTGTCAGTTCGCTGACTTCGGTTCTGCGCTTGCGCTGGGTCAGGATCTGGGCCTGGGATGGCGTTGGCTTGTTTTTCCGAACCACAGAAGGCGGCGGCAAGAYGGCGCTGTGGCGACGTCCAGGCAATCCGTAATCCTGTGGATGATGCTTCCGGCTATAGTTCACTGGCTTCTTGGCTTCTGGTCTGGAAGAGCGACGCGAGGCACGAGGGTCTGGCTTTCTCTCCAAATTGGGGCATTGCTTTGCGATCTGATGAACGGGAGAGTCAGAAGTTATCTCGTCCTCGTCCTCTTGCTCGTMCTCGGATGACTCAGACAGGGTCAAAGACGATAGGTCGCTTTCATCTCCAGAATGCTGGCTCGGAAGAGAAATGGACTTGGAGCGTCTGCGGACAGCAGCAGAATTGGGCCTGAGCAGTCAGCAAGTCAGTCAATCCGCCATTGCGCTCGAGCACTGAAACGGAGAACATGCCTTGTGACAATGTCCATAGGGTGGAACTTCATGTCGTAATTTACTGGTCTGGCATTGCGGGCAGTGCGAGTGACGTGCTTGCCACTAGAAGCCGCCGTCGAGGGGTTCGTGGATGCGACCGATAGTGTCGCGCTGGAGTTGATCACGTTCTTGCTGTTCAGTCCGCGAGCAGCGCCTTGAAGGCGTGGTGCTTCGACTTCATCCTGTGAGTCGACTTCCTCCCACGTCTGGATTGGTTTTGGCGTCTTGCTTCTCGCCATCCTGTTCATGACAGTCTTGTGTGTTGTTCCGAATGAACGAGTGAGAGGGGTGTATGAGTGTGAGAGAAAAGAGCAGCCCTGCGATAAGAAGTTCGGAAAGAAAGTGCCTGCTCTCCAGGCACCAGAGCCATGTGTAGCCCGAAGCTTTCGCGAGGGAAAGAGCGCTCAAGAACAACAAGCAGGCGCGTTTCTTGACCTCACCTTCTCGAGCACCATCAATACCCGCCCGATGGCTTCAACACAAAAGGAGATGTCAATATGTCGTGGAAATACTCCTAGTAAATGATGCCACGAAGAGTGTGGTGCATGTTCAATCCCATCGACGCTGCTCGCTGGCTCGCTGTCTGAAACTCCTCGCTTCCCATCGCAGCAAATGTCAAAAAAGGTTCCGCTCCAACGCTTATATGCCCAGTAAAATATCACCAGCTCGCATGACGCTAAATCAGACGCTTTCAATGAGCCATGGCGCGTCTTGCGCAATGCACCTGGGAGAGCTTCCCAAATTGCATGTCAGCGACGTTGAATTCGCCATCGGACTCGCTCTCACTCTCGGAGTCGTCCACCTCAAGTGGATCGACTTCCAACGAGCTATTTGCACTCGACACCCGATCTACTGCGACGACGGCCTGTAATCTGGCCTTTAGTGCGAGTGCAGTCGCAGCTCGCTGAGAAGCCATATCTTCCTGGGCTCGCTGGCGTTCGTCACTTCKCCGTTGCCGTTCCACCACTCTCTCAGCCTTCTTCTTCAAGGCAGGCAGCTCGGTTTCAGCGATTTGCAAAGCCTGCGCAAAATGCTCCTTGGCATGGGACACCTCCAGGGTACAATCCCCGTCTTTCAAGACCTGATAAGCAGCCCGTTCACAAAAAGCCTGGGCCTTCTCCATCTGGTTGTCGACGTTGTCGTACGCTTCCGAATCGTCATTGTGGCTGAAGGGAGTCAGAGGTGACGGTTGGGTAGATTTGTAGCCAGACTTAAGACTGCCGAGATCCTCGCCGCCGCTGTTACTGCTGTCGCTCTCATCACTGCTGCTGGATCTGCTGCGAGACAGACTTTCAACCTTTGCACTCATTTTGCCCTTGCGAATGGCATTCCTGGAGAGACCAATGCCGCGAACCAATTTCTCAAAGCGTTTCTGTGTGTCGCCATCGTAGTAGACCACTGCCGCGGATTTATGTCTGATGGCAGCCGGTTCCGAGCCTTGATCGGAAAGCACTGATGTGTTCTTTCGTTTCCTTTGCGAGAGGCGTAGTGCGTCCGCGTGGGCAAGGTGGGGTGATGCGGAATGTATCAGATCCAAACRTATTGGAGGACGAGCCTGCTCGTCCCGGCCCACGATTGAGGAGCACTTCGATTGTAATGACCATGTTTTGGAGTCCTTACGCAGTGGTGTTGTGGGTCGATTGGCGAACAGTATTTCCTCCTGCTTGACCGCAGCACTCTTCAGTATATCCTCCACCTCAGCAATCCACCCAGGAATGTTTTCCAGCAGAGAAGTGAAGCAGCTGTATGTAGAGTCTGCCATGTCGTAATATACTGGCATCCAGAAGGGCGATCGTTCGCACAGCCGAGAGAATGAGAATCGAAGGAAAGCAAAGGCAATCCGCGGAGCAGGGCTCGGCGTCGTCCAGACAAGCAACAAAGCCGTCAGATGAGGGGACAATAAGCTGATTGATCGGTCATGCAAATGTAGCTGTTCGTAATGGCGGCTCGACCTGGGAAGTGCGGAGTGTTGTCAATCGAACAGAGGTGAAGTAGAGAGTAGATGTTTGAGGTGAGAAAGGCCGGCACCGCCAGAGGCTGACGGTGCCCGTGTGGGTGTGCCGGCGGGATCGACAGCCCGGCCCTCGTTTGGAAAGCGGGAGGATGACACAACAAATGCGAAGCGATTGAGCCAATGAGAGTGGAGGATGGAGCTTCCCAAAGAGTGCCTAGTGCTGTGCGCTCTGGCGCGGGCAAGTCGTGTTTGATATTTGATTGGCTGAAGCTGCAAATGTCCTCCGCGCGGCTCTCGGAGCAACGAGCGGCGTACGGCAGAGCCGCAGGATGCTGTCCAGCGAGCAGCCGTATGGCAAAGGCGGCAAAGTCGATGAAGCAAATCTCCGCTGTCGTGGGGGAGAGCTGTCAACTTGAGATCGAAGATAATGACCGAGAGACCGATGGATTGGAGCCGAAGTCGTTGTACAGCTCTCGCGAGGTCATTCATCAGCTGATCAGGATAGATGCAAAGGCAAAGTGCTTGCATTGATCGCGGCTATGAAATTGAAGACGATTGCGCAAGACAGGGRGCGGGGCGGGCCATGTGCTCAACGGACGCTACTCTTAGCCAACCACTCTATCTACCCGTGGAGACTTTCGAGACGTCAACTCGAGACTTTTCATGCGTCTCCCTTTACCCCACAGATCAACGCTATCAAGGGTCGAGACCTCTCCTACCACTTCACGTCCGCTTGGTACGCTCACCGCAAGTCAGCAGTGCCAGAGGGTCCCCTATGGTAGCGATGAGAACCAGACAGCTTGATGCACGCGCGTTGAACCCGCATCAATGCTGCAGATCTAGCAGGGAGCTGACACGCTGCACGCATCCCGGATGGTATCCACCTCTAAACGAATGATGCTTCAAGATCCCAGTCGAAGGTGATCCCCGCATGCACGCCAGCCCCAAAATGCAGCAGTACGGTTACCTATTCCGGATGGGCCAGTCCACACCTGTTGGTGATACCCTGTCTGACTCTTCGCTGGTTGCATACCACGGGCAAAGATTCCACGGGAAGGGGTTGGCGAAGTTTCAGGACAATCCCACCTTTTCATTGATCTCTTCCGGGGACCCTATGTAATTTCTGTCGGCGGAGTATTTCCACCTGGACAAAAGTGTTTTGCCTTGGGCATCAATCAGATGGCAAGATAAGACATACGACCACGACGTGGTTGTGCTCCACCCAGACCACCACAACACACCTTGCTTGACGGCTTTCATTTTCCTGGCTAGGTCATCTGAGCTCCGTCTTGTTATTAGCATGTCAGAAGCACAGTTGCACGTGCGGCTCGCTGCGACCTGCCCAAACCCCGTCGTAGGAGTACACGGCGACGCCGATGGCGATCGTGGCTTTGGAWCTCTGTGTGACGCCATTCTCGACTTTTCGGTAGCCAAGGATTTCGTCTCGCGTTCTCTCATATCGGAGCTTTGCAGGGATTGCGAGATGAGCATCATTTCCGTACCCTTTCCTTGTCGTATGATGTGCCGTCACGCGGGCGGATTGCGTACATTGATCACAATCTCTCCGAGACCTGCACTCAAGGCCAACGTTCCTCATGCGACCATACTCCGGTCGAATCGTCGAAGCGATAGACATGTCTTCTCGCGCTCTCGGGATCCTTCAAATCAACACTCTCGACAACGGTAGGTTTGATCACGACGACCCGGAAATTCGCCCTCGCAACAGCGTCATCCAGATCTTCAACTTGCCCACCAAGTTTCAGATGCTTATCGTCATAAGGTTCATTGACGAGTTGTCCTACGAAGTGGAAGTGTCAGCATCATTGATGAACGGCAGCCTCACAACCAACATACCTGGGGGTGGATTGGCAAAGCTCGCCCTCATTCCGGGGCTCATGTTGCCAAAATGTCCCGTCAGTTCTCTCCCCCAACTCCAACCCTCTTGTTTGCTCTCGTCTCCCACAACTCTCATTCTCTTCATAAGCTCCTTCTTCACAACGTTTCCTCCCTCAGAATCGATGTCTTGGCCGATCACGTAAGCTTTGCCTTTGATTCTCCATTGTACCTTGAAGGGAAGGGTTAGCAACGTCTTACACACTTTGCGGCATGGCTCAATGCTTATTGTAGCCTCAGAGGCACGTAAAATTACCCTGCATGCTTTGCGTCCTTCACTTGACTTACCATGACATCTCCTTTGATCCAAAACACGGCCTCACAAATCCCACCCCCACCTGAGCCATTCACCAGCCCTTCCACTCCACACAATTCACCAACTTTGCTCATACGTTTATCGGTAGTGAAACATAGTAAGTCACTCTCGTAGAGCCTCTCATTCCTCGTTGCCGGATTTCGAGAATTGTCAGGCAGTTCGGCCCATAGACTGCGGAAGATGCAGTACCGAGCGCGAGGTTCGTGAGTCGTGGGATGAACGGTGCTGAAGACGAATTCGGGAGAATCCATTGTTTTGATGTGGGTCATGAACTGGTTTCGCCATGGTGCTTCTTGCGGCGAGAGAGGGGAAGAGGATGCCATTGTTCGTGTCAACTGACGAAGGCGAGCGGGAAGGCGATTGGAAGCTATGATTGCGGTTGAAGTGAGCTTTATTGGAGTGGGAAATGGACTTCGGGGATGCCAGTTGAACTCGTGATCAAGATGGATTGACAAACGCGAAAGGTGGTGGTAATGTGCAATGGATTCGCGCTTGAAGGTCTCGATTCATTCATCATAGCAAGTCGCGGGGTACTGCCGTCAAAACCATTTTCCGAGCTCTGGCCTGGCCCGAGGGGCAGACCCAACAGACACAATAGCAGAGGGAGTTCACCACTCCCTTCGTGGGATTCTTGGATGGCTCTTCATTAGAAACCACAATATGGTCAGACGAGAAAACTGGAAGGAAATGGTTGCGACATGACGCCATTGAATTCTCGGTTGTATAGTACATGCATCTCTCTAGAGAAGCCACACTGTATCATGCATCCAGCGTCTCCATTGTGGCCTCAGATTCTGATCACCATCTCAAGTCGTCCTCGCCTACCATATCCCGTTTTGGAGTCGGCTCAAAAGACCTTTACGGAGCTTGCCAGTCGGGGTTCTGCGTTCGTGCCGTCAGCAAAGAATTCACAATATCCAAATCAGTCAGTAGTACTCACCTTCTTCAATATGCAGACGCCCTCCATGACGCTTGACAAGCAGATCCACTCCTCATCTTCCAACTCTGCTCGCTCTCCATACCCGAGCAAGACAGGGGTGCTCTGCGTCTGCCACCCCGTGATCGTCTTAGGTCTCCCCGCTTGTCCGACAACATCCACGGCCTGTCCAACTCTCACATTGACCTGGACCGGCTGAAGCAGCTCATCCAATGTGATCAAAAAGCGCGGATGCATGGCGGTGACGAGGTAGTAGAGGAGGTAGTGGTTGTCGCCAAGAATGAAGGACTTCGGGTCGTCGATCAGACTCAGTGCGACGGTCAGGAGACCTGCCGCAGCAACCTTTGAAAGTACGGAGCGATCCGTGTGAAATGGGTTGATGGTGAGAGTGCCCTTGCCCATATGTAGCAAACCTTGAGCGATGCGGACCATGAACAGCGCGTTGGGGTCACGGTGGTAGTAGGATGCTAGTTGACGGAGGAGCTGGGCAATACGAGCGTTGTTGGTTCCAGCGCCGAGCATTCCCATGGCGAAGATAGAATTGACAGCGACATCCGTGTCGGTGTCGTGGGAGTAGCGTGACAGGGTGTCGTAGACCTTCATCTGAGGGTTGGAGGGTGAGATGAGACCCATTGCGAGAGGAACAGCTTTGCGGATGTTGGCTTCCCCGTAGTGCATCAGGTGACCGAATTGACGAAGTACCATCTCCTGTCCGACCTCCTCACCCATTGCGACGAGACTGAGACCGAGAACCGCATATGCCTGGACGAGCTGCTCGCCGGCAACATCAACTGGCTCCTCGTCCTCTTTCTTCTCTTCATCCTCGTCATCCTTCTTCTTGTCCTCCTTCTCCTCAATATGCTCGTTGCAGACGTGGAGAAGCTGCYGCAGCTTGAGAACAGCTCCAGTACCTGCCCAGGCGCAAATCTCCGCAAGAATCGAAGCAGGCTTGGACATTGGATGATCAATAGCTTTGAGGGTCTCCAGGACGACATCAACTTCTTCTTGCTGGCCGAAGAAGAGCAAGGCCAGACCAAGAGTCATGAAACGCGTCCATTTGTCTTTGAGCTGCTTGTTCCGGTCCTCATCGAGGAAGGTTTGTATGATGGCCTCGCTGACATCGGATTGCGCGGACCCAACAAAAATGAGACCGAGAGACAGTGCCGCCACAGCAGAAAGCTGCATGTCAAGACCCGTGTCCGAGACGATTGGAAGCAAGAGCTCGAGCAAGTCCTCCTTGTTTGAACCCGCGTATGCCAGACCAAGACCCATGATTCTTGCCACGCGCTCGCCAACCGACTTGCCCTCGAAATCACCCAACAAGGCGAGCGTCGGGTCACTATCCAGACGCACGCCTGAGTTCATGATCCCCATGGCCAGAGCGGCACCGGCCTTGATCTGATCCTCTGGCACATATGTGTAGGCATCAATCTTGTCCAAACCCATCTCGACATCCCATAACATGAGCATACCGGCCGAGGCAGCTGTCGAGACCATACCCTCCTCTTTGACCTTCCAGATCCAACTCTGCTTGACACCTCCCTCGACAAGCATGAGCTTGTCATCTCCAAATCCGGCGTTGACGAACGAGTTGACGAATGCAGACGCGAGGTTGTGGCGTGCCGAGTCGGTGTTGGTGAGGCCTGCGGTGCGGCTGGATTCGAGATGTGACTTGTAAATATCCTCGGGAACCTTGGGATCCAGTACGTTCAATTCCTTGGCAAGCGACTTGTAGTGCTCTGGTAATCTGGTATTGTAGAGGCAGTCCTGCATGTCCGCGTCGTCGGCATCATCGCCCTCGAGTTCGAAGCAGATCCGCTGTCGAGCGAGGAGGAGGGCAAGTTGACACTTGAGAGCCTTACTCTCAGCGGCATTGAAGTCTGACTTGATCAACTCCATGTCGTTAAGGCGGATGGCGAGTGAGATGGCCTGAGTGAGCTGCTTGAACTTCACGTAAATGTCGTGGGCGGTGCGGAGGAAGCGGTCGTTGTCAGGGTATGTGAGAAGCGGAACCATGGTGACCATGTACAGACACACGCGCTGGTAGGTATTTTCATCAAGGTAGTCCTTGATCGACTCGATCATCTCCAGCTCGGAGAGGATGTCGACAGCATCAGCATCAGCGTTGTGGGAGAGGAAGAAGGGAACAAGGGTGAGGACAAGCTTGGTGATGTCCTCGACCTCTTGTTCGTCGTCCAGCCGCTTCTGATACTCCTGCCCAATCTCCAGGGCCAAGTGACGCATGTATTCGTGACCCCACGAGCCAATGTCAGTGCCCGGAGCTAGGAGACGATACTTGAGGGTATCTCGGCGGTCTTCATCATCGGAGTATGTCATTCCCAGCACGGAGAGTGTGTCGGCGAGGGAGTCCTTTTCACTGCCCTTGGGCCAGCTGTCGTACGCGGCACACAGCTTATCATAGTGTGGTCGCAGGAACTTGAGCGGTTTGGGCACAGCCGTCATGGAGCTGGTTGATGTCTTGATGCTGGTCTTGATCGCCTCAAGCGCCGCCTTGTACAGCGATGCATCCGACTCGGTTAATCGCTCGACCAGCATGTCCAACTCGTCCTTCAACTTCTGGTCCTCCTCGCTGAGCTCCTCAGGCGCCAAATCAAGATCGCCTTTCTTGGAGGCATCTTTTGCGCCGCCATTGGCTCCATTGCTTTGTTGTTGCTTGGAATCCTCTGCTTTGCCTTTGCCCTTGTCTGCCACCTTCTCGCCCGCCTTGGGCTTCTMCTCCTCCTTCGCCATGCTGGGAATGGGGAAGAGGTTGTTTCAAGCGGATTGTCGATGTCGATGTCGGTGGCGCGGCGGTGTCAATTCTGCTGATAAATCAAGTGGTCAACAAGGTGTGGTGGATTGAGAGGTTGCGGTGATGAAGCCGCGGGGAGAGTATGTTGATGGAGGTGTTGAGTTGATGAGAGTGACAAAGTGATCTGGCGTGTTTGATACAGGCTACAGTCGCGCTCGTCGTCGGAGCTCAAGCGTGCACGGTCCTTTCAAGCGTCAGCGACGGCCGACTTCACCTTTATTTTGGCGCGATCTTCAAAATTTCTAGACCAGAGTTACAACATTATCAGAACGCCAGCATGAAACTCGACACGGCGGCGCTGAGATATCTCAACAATGACGATTGGAGAGTCTTGGCTGCAGTGAGCACTACTATCATCACATCCATTGAAATATCACGCTAAGAATTTTCGTTCCCAGGTCGAACAAGGCAGCAAGAACCATGAAGTAGTACCCACACCACTGATCGGCTCGCTGTCTGGTCTTCGAGGAGGCAGCGGAGTGCACAGAAACATCTCCAATCTGGCGAAAGAAGGCTTGATTGGAAAAGTCAAAAATGCCAAATGTTTGTCTCTTCCGTTCCATTCCTGATCCTGTACTAACCCAACCGTCAGACGATGGCTACCGCTTAACTTACGGCGGCTACGACTACCTCTCTCTCAACACGCATCGTCGTTCCGATATCATATTTAGCGTTGGGAACCAGATCGGTGTGGGAAAGGAAGCAGATGTCTACATTACTGCCGCACCCGACGGTCGCCAATTAGCTCTCAAGCTCCACCGTCTAGGCCGCATTTCCTTTCGCACCGTGAAAGCTAACCGCGACTATCTCCGGAATCGTCATGCTGGATCATGGATGTATCTCTCCCGTCTAGCGGCACAGAAAGAATACGCTTTCATGTGTGTGCTCCACCGGGAGGGATTCCCAGTTCCAGAACCTCTGGCGTGGAGTCGACACACTGTGGTTATGGAATTTGTCGATTCATTCCCGTTGAGAGGGATTGAGAGTATTCCAGATCCCGGAAAGCTGTACGCGGAGTTGATGGATATGATTGTGCAACTCGCGCGACGTGGTCTGATTCACGGAGATTTCAACGAGTTCAACATTCTCATCAAAGAGAAAACTTTGGCTAGTGGGAAGATAGTGCTACAGCCGATCCTGATTGACTTTCCCCAGACTGTCAGCACAAATCACTCGAATGCGAAATGGTACTTTGACCGGGACGTCGAGTGCATACGGAGGTACTTTGACAGAAAGTTTCGGTACACTTCGGATGAGCCGGCCCCATCGTTTGAGGATGCGACCAAAGGCGCCGATCCAAAGAAAAGGTTAGATGTCGAAGTGGAGGCGAGTGGGTTTTCTAGAAAGATGGGCAAGGACTTGGAAAGGTTCATTGAGGGGACGGGCAATGTGCAGAATGAGGTTGAGGCTGCTGCCGAGGGGCAGGATGACGATGATGAGGACGAGGAGGATAATGAAGATGATTATGAAGACGGCGACGTAGAGGAAGATGATGGCCCGACAGAGAGCCACGCGGTAGACGCTGAAGCAGATGCCCAGGTGGACGAAGGGCAATCATCTGTGCAGCCGGCGGAAATCGCGGAGGAGGTATCGGCGCTGTCCCTGGCGGACCATCCTCCTCCAGCACCTCTTCAAGCGGCAAACTTCCCGGTCGATGACCTGCCAAGAGATCGAGATCCTAGCGAGGTGGCCGCAAAGGTGCGAACGAAGAAGAAGGCCAGTGGATGGGCCATCTAGATTGCTCTCCTTCTTCATTGAAGAGAGACGTTGAGCAAATGCTGTCTCACGAATCGATGAGTTATGTGTAAGTGCTTATATTCTCGACCTTGCCTTGTTCAATCTCCAATCTCGTGTCTCATTATTCTGTCCATGAATTCGTCCGGGGCGGGAGGAGTACCGTAAGTAGGGGTCACCGCCGCCGCCGCCCCCGCACCGTCCCGCAAGCAAACCTTGGAACTTGTTTCGCTTTCATCAGGCAGGCACGTCCGTCTTCTGAAAATCCGAGACATCCACATCACAATTCCATCGTCAAGCGCAATCCTCCATCATGGATTCCGCAACCAATGCACTGCGCCATGTTTTCTTCTTCTTGAACTCGGCGCCTGCACAATCTGCATCGCCTTCAACAACCGCGCCCGCGCATTCTGTTGATGCGGCAACACGATCTGACTCGGGACATACCGCCACCATCCCCTCACAGCAGTCCAAGGGAGACGATGGTATCGGCGTCAGCGCCATCGTCCAATTCGCAGGTCGCGAGTGCAAGCTTGTCGATGACGTGCCATCAGACTCTGAAGATGGCAGTTGGCATTGCATTGACACCCCTTTGGAGTCTGACAACGGACTTCACACGGAGAGCCCTTTTGCAAAGGTACCGGGGGATCTTACCAGCAGCACTCCTGTGCAGGGTGGTTCCGCGGAGATCCGGAACACAACAGCAGCTTTTTCCATGACTGACTGCACCACTGTTGCCGAGCACGATGTCGCGCCTCGTCACACCAGTTCGCCGACTACGGATGACCCGACGGAGCAGGAATGGCTGTCCATGGCTGCTAACACAATCCTCGATAACTTCACTCAAGATGCCGAGGAGTCAAAGAATCCACCACTGAATGGAGACGATCTCACTCAGATCGATCCCAACCGCTGTGATATGAGCTCGGTGGAGTTGAATGAGCCGTCGCGCAGTAACGGTGTGGATGCCGTCGAGGTCACCAAGACCGACGCACCTTCGTCGATCAAGCTTGTTGCTCACACCACCTCTACACGTGCCGCAGAAAAAGCACCTGAGCTAAAGCAGCCCGCTTTGAACGTCATCGTGGATGGCGAAAAATCTGCCACGATTCACAGCAGCGCTTCATCACCGTCCAAGACCACACCTTTGAGYATTTCTGCAGCCGAGTTCGTCCCATTCGGACCCGCGCGCCCGCCCGTGACTGGCCCGGCCATCACTGCCACTGCTGCCGAGTTTGTTCCCACCGTGCACGGACCGGTCACAGCACCAGTGCAACACCGTCGCGAGCCCCGCCGACAGCCTGCTTCTACTGACTCTGCGGCACCCTTCTTTGAGCAGTGCCAGACGCCGGACAGAGGCGTCGGTCTATTTGCCATCAGGAACATTCCAGCGRGCACCAGGCTCATCTGCGAAGATCCACTCCTCAAGATCCCGGAGAACGACATTGCTCTAACGATCGAGGCCTACGATCAGCTACCACAGGAGAAGAAGAGAATCTTCAGGGAACTCCACGCCTTTGCCCCCAAGCATATCGATTTCGAGCAGGAGATTACTTCCAATAATGGTAACATCGCTGACAAGCAGGAGGTGGCGAGACTGGTCGAGATAATGAGCATCTTTGCCGCCAACGACTTTGTGCTTGCTGATCAATCCGCGCTGGGTGTATTTGAAACCGCCTCACGCATCAATCACTCATGTGTCCCAAACGTTCACTTCTCCAACAATGCGGAGCTCCAAGGCAAGGAGACCGTGCATGCTGCACGCGATATCGAGGCCGGCGAGGAGCTTTTGGCGAATTATCTCGGCGGTGTATCCAACTATCAGCGCACCGAGAAGCGTCAGGAATACTTGTTGAAGCACTACGGTTTCATGTGCAAGTGTGATGCCTGCTCAGGGCTGATCCCTGGATCCGACGCTCAGCGTGAGGTGAGTGCCCGACCAGCGGGCAGGTTGCGTGTTTCAAAAATGATGGCTAACTCGATTCAGGGTCTTGAATGCGTTGTCTGGGGCCTCAACAAGTTCAAATACCAAGACGGCACCACACCTGATCAAATTGGTAGCAATCCCTACTACCCGGCTTCCCGACTGGCAGCATTGGCGCAGGCCGAGGACGCCTGTAAGATTCTCATCGGGGAGCGTCTCATCACCACTGAATTGGCCAAGGCGTACCGGTTTGCTTCCGATTTTGCGCTCGGACTAGGACAGTATGAGAAGGCCCTCGGATATGCGTTCAGCGAGCTCAACATCGAGCGCAGCATCTTTGGGATGGAGGTCAACGATCTCAAGGTTCTCGGACTTGCGGCAGAACAGTGGATTGCTTTCATTCAGTATCGAATGGATGAGCACAAGATGCCCATGCCTGGACTGAAATTCTGGGTGGATTGGCCCGAGAAGAAGGCGATGTGGTATGAGCTCCGCAAGGCTCAGAAGAAGCGTGCGGCGGAGGAGGAAGAGCAAATGGCAGTCTTGGCAGCACAGCAGGAGAAGAAGGTGAAGAACAAGAAGAGATGGCTCGAGAAGAAGCGGAAGCTCAATCTACGCAAGGCTGCCGAACGCGAGGAGGCGTGCAAGGATGCAGCAGAAGGAAAGGAGCCGGATACTACACAGAAGACGCAGAACGGAGCCGAGAACAAGGAGAATCGTGTGGAGAAGGAAGCGTGGGACGACGCTTCTGCTTGAGTGATGGCGTGGCAGCTCTCGGAATATCGGGATGCGCATGATGGCGTTTGACGGCAGGCAATCGGATTGGCGCGGTGTTTCAATGGGGTTTGTTTCATTCGGAGGATGCGTGAGCTCGAGATTTGATTTTGATGAGGCTACCATAAGAGGAGTCTCTCTCTGTGGGTGCTCGAATCTGTATCAGCAGACGCTCGTTGTTTTGCAGAGAATGATGCTAGACTGAATAGACTAAAAATGTGGATTCTCTTTCGGGAAGCTTGCACTGATACTTTCAATGTCCTGACCGTATTCCTCCCACCTGCATAGCAACAAGTCCGTGAGACTGAGCACGGTTTCACGGTTCTGTAAGTAAAGAAGATACAGCCCAACTCAGTCATCTATAAGGTATTGACAAGGAGTGGAAAAGGGGGGCAGGGTCAAGAGTTGGATGGAGTAAGGCGTCGTAATCGACGCGTAATGTTAGCGTAACAACCAAATACATAATTGTAATAAGGTTACCGAAAACCTGTTCCACCACATCCCTCTGCTCCTTCGATAGATTCCCATCAACTCTGTGCCACCCATCGTTCTGTTCTCTTCACACAATGTGATCATTACTCGGGTGTGCTCAGCAAAGCACACCATCTATCGCTACCGTCCCTCGGCATAGCGCACTACCTAGACTTTGCCGAAGTAGCCGAAATGGTGTTTCGCTTCATCTTTCCGCGATCTGCTTTGAAATCCACCGGGCAGGGCAGTCACCGAAAAACATTCGTCCACTCTCGGACTTCAAGGTTTCAGTTTCTACACACACACTTCCTCGAAAAAGATACCCATTCCCCAATTCATTCAAACTCTACCCAGAAAAGCAATCATGTCTCCGAGCACTTACAACACCCCAGTCACGGGGATACCTTACTTCCACCCCCAACATAACACGTCCCCCGGAACCCCTTTCAAGCCCTCTGCATCCGATCCCGTACTCTTTCAGCCCCTTCAGATTCGCGGAGTGACCCTCAAGAATCGTATCCTTGTAGCTCCCATGTGTCAATACTCCACCTCGGAGTCCGGCCCTCAAATCGGAGCTCTCACACCATATCATATCGCCACCCTAGGCCACTATGCTCTCAAAGGCTCCTCCTTGATTTTTATCGAAGCGACTGGGGTCCAACCCAACGGCCGCATTTCCCCAAACTGCCCTGGCTTGTGGAGCGACGCACAAATCGACGGCGTCAAAGCTGTAGCGAATTTCTGCCATGCTCAAGGTGCTCTTTGCGGAATGCAACTTGCGCATGCAGGGAGAAAGGCTAGTACTGTTGCACCGTTCATTGCGGCACAGAGCAGACTTGCGAGTAAGCGGGCGGGGAAGGATGTTGGAGGATGGCCGGAGGACGTTGTAGGACCTTCGGGTGGTGAGGATTTCGTATGGGATCTGAAGCGGGAGGATGATCCTAGTAGAGGGTACTATGCTCCGAGAGAATTGAGTGGCGAGGAGATTCAGCAGCTTGTGAAGGATTGGGCGGATGCGGCTGTGAGAGCAGTGAGGGCTGGAGTGGATGTCATTGAAATCCATGGAGCGCATGGAGTGAGCTTACCTGTCAATCATCGGAGAATGTGTACTAACAGATATCTCGCAGTATCTGATCCATCAGTTTCTCTCACCGCTCACCAACCGTCGGACGGATGCATACGGCGGCTCATTTGAAAACCGCACTCGGCTTCTGATGGAAATCACTCAAGCAATCCGCGCCGTGATTCCCGCAAGTATGCCTCTATTCCTCCGCCTTTCCTCCACAGAATGGATGGAAGATTCTGCCCTCAATCAGAAGTACGGTAGCTGGGACGTTGAGAGTACGATTCAAATCTCCAAGATCGTGGCAGACCTTGGAGTCGACCTGTTGGATGTCAGCTCAGGAGGCAATCACCCAGAGCAGAAGATTAACATGTTCAACTCAAAGGACTATCAAATCAAAATCGCCGCGAGAATTCGCAAGGAAGTCAAGGCTGCTGGGAAGGAATTGCTGATTGGTGCTGTGGGACTGATTACAGAGGCCGAACAGGCGAGGGACATTGTTCAAGAAGAGGCAGTGGTTGCTAAAGAGATGACCGAGGGGAAGGAGGCCATGGCAGATGTTATTTTGGTGGCGAGGCAATTCAGTAAGTTCCACCAACGACATCTTGTGGAAGCGTATGTATGTTCGGGCTGACTTGTGATCTTTAGTGAGAGAACCGGAGTGGGTGTTGAAGGTTGCGTGGCAATTGGGAGTGGATATTGCATGGCCTTCGCAGTTCCTGAGAGTGAGGTTTCCGAAGTTGTAGAGTTGACCGGAAGGCATCAAGATAGAATTGTAGAGAGGGGACACGGAACGACATGGTCCGTTTCCCATACCATCCGGGATACAAGGCCCATCATGGTTGATAGTCCTTCTGTGGGCCCGACGTGCCTCCCTGATCGAGGCTAGCACATGATAGTGACGTAAGCCAACATTTTTTTTCTCTTCTCTCCACGTGGCGTTCGCCTCGAACGAACCATGAGATATTCAGATATGTAAGTGAAACAAACGCGCATATGCAGAACCGCTGATCGATAGATGCTTGGCAATATCTTCTTCGAGAAAAAAATATCACGGCGATGAATCTCGGAGGCTGGGATTGACGGGCGAATATTCAAACTTTGAAAACTGGGTTAAATTTCTTTCCATCGTAGGCCWACCCTCGACTCTGTTAACAACCCCAATCAATCATTCAATCAATCAACAAACTCTTCCCCCAAAAACGTGATTGTCAACGACATCCCAAACCGGCGGGTACCATTACTGCACAACGAAAGTCTCCGTGAATCGGGCGGGACTCAAAGATACAAACATGTGCGGCATAACCGCCTGGCTCGCTCTGGACGACGACAACAACAACCGTCTTGGCAGGGATGTCGATGTCGAGAAGAAACAACATCGGGCCAAGCTCGCCGCTCAATTGGACTCCAGTGTTGAAGCGATGAGACATCGCGGGCCAGACGCAAAGGGCATATGGGTCTCCCCCGACGGCACCGCTGGACTGGGCCATGTACGACTTTCGACCCGAGATCTGAGCTGTGCAGGTAATCAACCCCTGCACAGTGGGTCCGCGGAGGAAGAAGATGGTATTCACGTTGTGGTTAATGGAGAACTGTACTATGATTCTCAGCTTCGAGAGGACCTCGAGAAGGACTATACCTTTCGATCGGCTTCGGATTCGGAAATGGTGATCGCATTGTATAAACGCCACGGAACCTTTTTCGTGGAGCAGCTTCGGGGGGAATTCTCCTTGGTGTTGTTTGATGCCAAAGAGAAGAGGCTTGTGGTGGCGCGGGATAGGTTTGGGGTCAAGCCATTGCATTATGGGGTCTTCGATGGAAAGCTTCTGATTGCGACGCAATGCAAAGGCGTTGTGGAGTTGCTGGAGAACAGGGACTCGTTGCGTTGGGATGTGACGTGTCTCGGCCAGGGAGGCGGACATTATGGAAATCGAACCCTCTTCCACGGGATCAGRAAGTTTCCTGCCGGACATGTTCTGGTTCTTCGGCAGGGACAGGGCGAGCAGTTGAAGTTTGAACCGTATTGGCGCACAACGTATCCCATCAACAGTGGAGGTATGGACGATCGACCCGTTGAAGGGTTGATTCAGGAGCTTCGAAGTATACTACTAGAAGCGGTTCGACTTCGATTGGAATCCACGGATGTTCCGGTGGGGATTCTCTTGAGTGGAGGAGTTGATAGTAGTGCCGTGGCTGGTATGGTTGCCGAACTGAGCTTGCGGCAATCAGGATCCAAGCACGGCTCTGAGCTGCAATTACCAGTATGCTTCACAATTGGCTTTCCAGACGACGATAACGTGGACGRATCGGCTGTTGCTTGTAGAACGGCAGAATATATTGGCCTTCCGATTGAGAAGGTTGTCGTCGATGAGCAGATCCTAGTGGACGAATTCGATGAGGCGTGTTGGCTCGGGGAGGCGCTGATGTGGGACTTGCAGCACATTGCCAAAAAGGCCTTGAGCAGACAAATATCCAAGCGGGGCCTAAAGGTAGTCCTGAATGGCGATGGTGGCGATGAATTGTTTGGAGGGTACCCTTTTTACGCTGCGGACCGTCTTTTGGCAGACGACGAGCACCGTCCTGCGAGTCTCCAGGGTACGGACACTGCTCAACGGGAGCAGATAAGGGCGGAAAAGGCTGGACATCTCGAATGGTTCGGTATCAGAGAGACCAAGACTGAGCAGGAGGATGAGTTCGCCGAGAAGTTGGGACTTCCACCTGGATTCTGCAACATGGCCGTATCGAGACATGACGAATGGTTGTTGAAAGAGGTTCGTATGAGGAGCAGTCCTTACCAGGCCATACACGAACTTTACACCGACGAGGAAATCCAAGCAATGGCAAAGTGCCATCCTATGAACCGTGGGATGCTTGCATGGATCAAGACCATCTTGCCAAATATGGTGATTGCTGCCATTAGCGACGGTGCCGAGATGGCTCATGGGGTGGAGTCCCGTCCACCATTCCTGGATCATGTTGTGGCTGAATTCGCGCATACACTCTCAGCAGATATGCTGGTTCACCTCCAAGCCGGGGAGGCGCCGGTCGAAAAGTGGCTCTTTCGAGAAGCCGTTAAGCCATTCGTCACCGAGGAGGTGTATACAAAGCGCAAGCAAGCATTTGCAGCGCCCTTCAAATGGGAAGTGGGTGGATCTTTGTATCACAAGCTCTCCTCGCTCGTAACTCGCGACAACATCGAGAAGCTAGGATTTGCTGATTGGGATGTGTGTCAAGACATCGTGGATCGAGCATTCCACGGCAAGGATCAGATCCTGTTTAGAAAGGTCATCTGGCTGGCTCAGATCATCTCCATTGGACTCCAGTTTGGAGTCCAGACTTGGCAACCATGTGGGCAAGATTAGTGTCTTTATGAGCCCTTGATAGATGGCTTGTACGATAGAGTCCTCCTCCAAGAAGGAGGATGTCTTTGATCTTTGTCTTCACTTCTTCTCATCATTCGCCATAGAGGCCAATCAGCAGAGCTATCCTGGTCGAGAGGTTCTTGTACGAACAGGTTGCAGTGTTGGATCATTGCCAGAGATGTTTCCGGGGGCGGAAGTGATTGGACTCTAGAGGGTGCCATGGGGATCTTAGGACAAGACTCAGGTGACTTTGTGCCCTTTCAAGCACATATGTGGTATGGATGTGATATGAATCAAGTCTGGAGTCTAGAGCRGGGTGATGACGACCAGGCTTGCCATTGATCATGTTGATCGTTGATGCTCACCTCACCAACCATGAACGCCCTACCATTCCGCTGAAATGGGTTGCTTTAACGTTGAGAATGTGCAGACGCCTCTCATCAACTTCTGCTTCAATATATTGATGAGCAGATGCAACAAGGTGAATGTTGTTCGGATGATGGTTCCAAGCACGTGCCACTAGGCATTCATAGCTCCGGCGGGAATGTTGCATCGTCATCAACCTCGAAGCTCGATCTCCAACTCACTTCCAACATCCATTCCCTCTCCAACACCACCCATTCTCTACTTCTTCAACTCTTGCCGCCAAGATGGTGTTGGAGGACGCCTCCACCCCCGATTCGGCCTTTTCTTCTCCACCCCCTCCGTCGTCCGACATGGACCGCTACGATGGCSATCAATCCCCCACCTTCCTCTCCACCCGCTCGCCCTCGGCCTGGCCCGTTACACGACCCAATGGACTTCCTCCCCTGTATATCAACTTTTCCAACCTTCCAATGCCGTGGTTTCCCATGGGGCAAGGGCAGTCCGATGCAATAGCCCAGAAGCAAATGGGCGAGACGGTGCAGAAAGCCAGCGACGATTACTACAAGGTCGTCGGTCGTCCCTTTGAGCAAGCCGAAGGCGATGCTCTGGTCTATCACCTCGCCAAAGCCCTCCGTCTAGCATCATTTGGTCCTCCCTTGGGAATATTGACAGCAGGTCTGATTGCGTACAGACCACAAGCACGGCAGAGTTATCGCTTTCCGGGCTGGACACCGGGAGAAAAGTTCAATCCGGACAAATTCTTCATGCTAAAGGGACGATTTGCTAGGGCCGCGTGGCAGGTGTTGCGATTCAATGCATACGGCGCCTTGGGCCTGTTCGCCGGCGAGATTCTGATGGGGAGCTATGCGATGACTGTGGCGAATGTCGGACGCTTGCAGGATCCTAGGCTGAAGGATGTCAACGAAACGTTGAAGAAGATGTCCCAGGAGAGAGCGGCGCAAAAGGGACTGCCGATTGAGGACCGCACAGAGGGGAGAAGAGGACAGGAGAGCTTTGAGATGGCGAGGCAGAGGACAAGGGCGCAAAGCTCAGGCACGAGAACAACCAATACTGGCGACGACATGTCACCCACTGGTGGTTCGTTCAAGGAGGACTTTGAAGCCTCCCAAGGAGACATGGGCATGTTGAGCGATTCTCAGATTCAGCAATTGCAACAGCAGGAGCAGAGGAGTGAAGAGGCTGCATACAAGGCTTCATCAGCACAAGCGGCATTGCCACAGACTGCCTCACGGCCGTCGAATACTAMACAAACACAATCTCAGCCAGCAACAAGCAACAGCGGAAGTGCATGGGAGAGGTTGCGACAGCAGCAGACCGGCCAATCCACACAACAACAACAACAACAATCACCTTCGCGAGGGGTTCAAAGACAACCCAACGACGACGATGACGCTTTTGGCTTCGGTGGTGGTAGCAATATGTCCCCTCAAGACCGAAGTAGGGCGAGTTTTCAGTCAGGGCAGAATACGTCACCATCAAGATCCGACGCACAGCGAGAGTTTGACGCCCAGCTGGATCGGGAGCGTCAAGGCGAGAACTTAAATGATAAGAGCAGCAATAGTAGGTGGTGAACGCAAATACTTCAGCAATATCGAAGCAACTGTCTCCTACTTCTACAGTGTACGCAGAGCATCGACCATCAGCGCCGGATTGGGGTGAGAAGTCGGGCAGTGAGCCACCTGAGCAGCACACGTACTATAGGGAGATCAGCATTGACTTGAGGAGATCGAGGACAAGGGGTGGTGTATAACGAACCTCTTCAGGCTTAAGGCTTGAGCAGAGGTTGGCTCTGTTGTAGCCGTCCATCGCTGATCGTGAGATGCCGCAGCGTTGAGCCACGGAAAAGCAACCATCACCAGGTTGAACTCGACGAATTAGTCTTTGGACCGTGGAGAAGAACATCCAAAGAGGATGCATACCTTGAGTGCATTGGCAAGTGTCTATGCGTTTTACAGACGATCTCGTGCCAAGTCTAGCACTGTCTTCTGAGGTTGTCTCGGTATTGGGTGTAACAGATACCCCAGTCCTCGAAACGATGTTGACACTAGCACGCTCGGAGACTACAGGCGTACCCGCAGTGATACACTCAGCGCCATTCCAACTTCGCAATGCGTCTTGCACAGCAGCAACGTCGCCGACATTGTTTATGAAGACTCCGAAGAACTGTGGGCTGATTGTCTCGTTGCCAGAGCCACAGGCCTGCGTGAGTATTTGCTGTGATAGTATACCTTGGCCGGGGAATACAAAGATTTAAGAAACGGCGGACTTGGAAACCTTTGAATCGACTTGCGATCCCGAGTAGAGACCTGCGACCGTTCGGCCAGATCGAGAAAAGAGCAGTGTAGTCCCTTTGGACGCCATTCTAGAGAAACGCTCTTAAGCTATTAAGTCCATATTATGCATCTCTAACATCGCCAGAGATCTCGGAGCGAGATGTACTTGTTACAACATTATTAGAACGGGAAGCCGTTTGATTAAACGAAAGTTGTTGTCTTTTTAAGATGCGATTGTCGATGGCCGTCTCTTCTCGAACAGATCCACCCGAAGCAGTACACGCACGGAAGTACACATTCGTATCCGGATCATCAACCTCATTGTTGACGTTTAGCCGGAACAGTGTGATTCCGTCGCAGCTGTCAAGCTTATCAAGATCATAGTAGTAGGTCCAAGATGAAGAAGGATTCTCAAAGTCGCATTGTGCCGGACACTGCGATATCGAGGAGTCGAATTGTTGTGCTGTTACGGGATGAGTATGGTCGATATCAAGGCTATCAGTCAATTGCCATGTACCATGTTGATACCAAGATGCAGGGTCGAGGGCAGGATGTAACAAAGATGGTGGGGGCAGAAGAGCAATAAGGGGCTTACGGCGAAGACACTGTCTCTGATCCTACCCTGGGGATTCTATCATCGGCAACACACAAAGACGTAGGTGATCTCTCCCAAGCGGACGGCTCGCCATCATTTTCCATCAACGACATGGCAAGACGGCCCAATGTGCCAAGCTCGCGAGAGGGTGCAGGACCAACTTGTGCACGCCAGAATCCTTCAGAGGAGACCCATGTAACGCCACCTGCGCGTGGATGATTCAAAGTTCAGGATTGAGTCGGACATCCATACCTTCACAGGTCGTAAATCAAAAGATGAGCGCCAAGTACAGAGTTCAATACTGCTGGGCGTGTTGGAACTTGGATGTTGTTTTTAAGTTGCCAGCCCCGGGTACGCTTGTCCTGATTAAGCCTAGCGCAGCACAACGTTGCATAAAAAAAGACTTTCTGTGAGTCTCAAAGGACACCTCCAGTCCAGCACATTCGACAGGACCAGAAGCATCCTAGGAAAGTACCACCTTATAGACGATAAGAATAGGATGAAACATTTTACCGCTCGTTGTCGCTCAATCGAGGCATTCTCGGCCTGTGGTTGGCTCGCAGAAGACTCGGCTCAGCCACCAACCTAGACGTCGCAATAGACGCCCATGAGGCACAGCACTAACTTCTGCAGACATCATTTTGCTCTCGGCTCTACGATTGTCTATATATATAGTCCATCGCCCGTGAAGGTAACGCAGGATTGTATGCCATTCTTGACACTGTCTACTATTCCAGAAACATTCACCTGAAGATCGTCACTTTTCTCAGCAACATCTCTCCATGGCTTCGTCCGTGATGGCCACGTTCTATTTCTTGCTCGCACTGCTGAGCATTGCCATAAGTGCTACATTACCAGTCACAAATATGGCCCATGGCATTGCCGAACGAGCGACTTGGGGCGACTCGTGAGCTTCCTACTTCCTTGTCGTGTTTTCATTCTAACATGACAAGTCATCCACCTGCAAAGGCCCGAGAGATGGAGTACCATTCAGAACTTCGACGACAGAACAGTCCTCATCGACTGGTATACCCCGGAGAACGCACTGGAAGCACGCTCAACGAGCTCTACGCCGATTTGATGCAATCAACCGTGGAGGGAAAGAACAAGGCTACTCTTCCACTTGAAGATGACAACAATGCCGTCCACGACATTGCTGTACATGGGCCAGTGGCAGATGTTAAGCTACCTAGTCGGCGGCGCCGCAATTCAAAGTCTGCTCCGCGTAAAAGGAACGAGGATATGGCTGGGATGACGCTCAATGAGCAATATGCTGCGATGATCCAAGCGGCCATGGAAGAAATGGATCAGTTGGAAATGGATCCTGATAACGCCAGTGAGGAGCTTCAAGAAGAGATCCGCAGGTTTCGGGCGGAGTTTCAGGAGGTGATGGAATGAGACCTGACTGTGGAGTTGTCTGGTCATCCTCAGTAAGGTCGTACGGAGACACACAAGATATCTTTAGAGAGGGAAAAGGAGTGTGAGAAGTAGATTTGAGGTGACAGTTGTGGAATCTTTTGACGGTGGCAGCGAGTAGTATGAATATATAGACATCTTAAGTAACAATCTTTTTGAGTCCGTTTGTGCAACATCATTCGTCTCTCTCTCTCTCTCTTTATAGCCTCCACGATTGATCTGTTCTCAAGTCATCACCAAGATTAGCACATTCTTGTTGGTCGGAAATGTCGATATCATCTCTGTGCATGGAATTGTGCAAAGCAATTCACGACCAATCATCTATTACAAATCTATACTCCTAGCACATGTATACCGTCCGTTCGACCCGCTATCATTACGAGATCTAATTTATCATTCACTCCCAAACCCTTCCCAAAGCTGCTCTCTCCGTACGTCCAACGCTCGTTGGTTCGACAGAACACCACTGACCAGCAGAGTGTTCGTCAAGTATACAACCTCATTCACCTAGTAGCTTTCTTCCATGTCACTCTGCGTCTTGCTCGAGCGAGTGAATGAACTCTCCAGAGCCATCGTGCTCAAGGGTAAACCGCATATGTAATCGCGATATCTTGCGGTGATACATCCCTTGCCTTTCGATCCTTACTCTTAATCACCGTCATACCCATACCGATCTCCGAAGTAAAGTCATGACAACCCCATTCTCCCGTGAAAATCTAGAGTTTCCAGTCAGTGGAATGTCGCTCTCCAAAGATCCTTGTCAAAAACCACACTGACCAGGTTACCCTTTGGGTCACCACATGGTGGCGCAACACTTGCGTTGTCTTTTTTCCCCTGTATTGAGATAATTTTGGCTCCTTTCAGGCTTCGCTGGCTTTGAGTTGTGACGAATGCGAGAGCCGCCATTTGCTCGCCGCAGTTGGCGCCGGTCCGATGACCTGGATTGACACCCTACAGAGGCATTAGTTCCATATATGATGATAAAGACGCTTGTTAAGAGTTGAAGAAGGCTTGGGACCTTCCAGCAAACGCAGGTGTGTAGTAGCTCTGTGCTACAGGAGAACTGGCTGCTCACCTCTTCTGTAAATTTGGCCAATTGGCACCTTGTCAAAGCTCTCTGCACCTCGGTGATTTCAAGCTTTGGATTCAAGTCCGTATAGCGGCTCTTATTGGGGTCTGTCTCCCCATTAAGCAGATATAGAAACGGGCCGCCCTTGAGAGAAGAGGAGATGTAAGCCGTGTTATCGACCACGAGGGTACTGGTAACAAAGGGCTGCTTCTTGTTGAGTCTGAGTCCGTTGTACGGCTCTTCTCGAATCTTCGCGCGAAGATTCTTCCTGCATGTCGGCATGTGCTGTAAAAGCGAGGTCGACGATTTCTTCATCTGTCCAGGTACTCAGGCCTTCGATCGTCGCGATGCTGCCCAGAACGACGGAATGGCTCTCACCCACGGCGAGTGCATTGTTGAGCTTTATACCTATACCGACATGTTAGCAAGTGGTGCAAGTTGTGTCGAATTTGTGGCATGTCTTCGCATATTCAACATTGGATTGGTAAAAACCAAAGCTGTGTGGACCGCTGAACAGGAGTTTCGGACCCTTTTCTCGCCAAACAAATGGGATGTTGTGCAGAGAGAGTTCAGCAACCGTTGCGAAAGAGACATACCAAGCAGTCCTCTTTGTATGGCAAGTGTTGTTGTTGTTGCTGCCTGCAGCAATAGTGTAGTAAAGCAAAGCGTATACATGATCGTTCAAGGCTTTTGGTAACGATGCCAGCGGGTTGCATGGTATTGATATGTACCGTCTTGATAGCAGTTCAATGACCTCGATAGTGGTCAACTGCGGCGACGCTCTGCAACCGCCGTGCCCACGAATAGGTCCTGGCGGCTAGATGCATGTTGAATCCACAAAATATCCGGAACAGTCTTTGGGAGGCTATTGCTTTAGCAGCGTGAGCGAAGTGTGATGTTGGGGCCATCTTATTGTGAGCTGCAAGAGTGAGTGTCTGGCTTATGAATCTGGAAAGCATGCTGAATCTTGTCGAAAAGCTATCGATTCTCAACGAACTACTACGCAGAAGTTCCTCCACGACTCGAGCGAGGCCAGTTCATGGAAGATGGGGGATTGTGGCGTAGCGCTTAGCCCTCTACCTCGACAGAACTCATGCAGATCTGTAGGGGGCAATGAGCGTCTAGGATATCGATATCGGCCCATTGCTTTAAAAGCCTCAATGCTTCAAGAATAGAATAGAATATTCGGCATAAACTATCTTTTGCAGAGGGAACAACGATCAGGCTAACAAACAGCCTTGGCATGCTCGTGATTGGCGCACTAAGCGCAATTGGGTCCACCCGACTCTTCCACCAATGAATGTTATAATTTCTGTTGTCGCCCCTGTGCCGCAGACATTGACTCCATCTCCATCGGGCTTGTTCTTATCATGCCTGGCGTCTAATACTGGATGCGGGTACATCAGCAATCGAGGTGAGCCTTCATAAATCCGTCACATTGCTAACTTTTCGGATGCGAGCATTCATTCCATCATTGAACATTCATTTCAATTTCAATTTCACCTTCTTTCGTCTCTCCCACTGCATATTACTACATCTTCTACACTTCCTCTCTTCCGATTCTCGGCACCTATTCTGCTATGCATAGTCCCAGGGCTGTCATCACTCTCTTTGTTCTTGCCGGCTGTGCTGCTGCCCAGATCGTAGATGATCCATAMGATCTGTCGCACCTTGTCAAAGGAGCAGCTATTGGAGACTCGTAAGTCAATCCCCGCTATGCTATTCTCAGGTTCTGACGTTTTTCGAGCTATGCCGCTGGTATAGGCGCCGGTAAAGAGGTCAATTTCGCGTGCTCCAGATACGACGGGTCTTATTCAAATCTGGTTGCCTTGCAGTTGGGAGTCGATCCCAGCGTTGCTCGTTTCACCTACACTGCGTGTAGTGGGGGCAGTCATCAAAGGCATTAATGATCAAGCAAAAGCTTTGTCTTCCGATCAGCAATATGTCATCGTTTCTGCAGTAAGATGGAGCAGGCGAATTGGAAAGAGTGTCACTGATTTCAACAGGGCGGAAACGATGCGGATTTGGTGGGAATACTGAATGCGTGCGTGTACTCATTCTATGGCGGCTTTTCTCATCCAGACTGTGATAAAGAGCTTCAAAAGTCAAAGGACGTGATAAAGCGTGACATGGCCTCGAAAGTGGACGCGCTCATCAACACCGTCAAGTCCAAGCTTGCGGCGGGCGGGAACATGTGAGTCGCAACATTTCGCGAGGCAAGCTTCTGGTACTGACACATCGCCTAGCTACTACGTCGGGTATGCCAAGTTCTTCGACGATACAGACAGTACCTGCGACAAGGTATCGTGGCATCTTTGGTGGAATTATTTCTACAGAGAGTATCTCACACAAGCTCGCCGCAAGGCCATGAACGAAGTCGTTGACATCATGAACGATGCACTGCGAGCCGCCGTGCAACGAGGCGGGCCTCAGGTTCACTTCGTGGACTTTGATCGATATGTCGGCATCGTAGGCGGCAGATTCTGCGAACCTGGTCAAGACGAAAGCAAGAAACGTGGAGCCAATCGACGAGATCTGTTCTTTTACCAGATGCATACGGTTGATCAGCCCTGGATACCTCACGATGAACTGAGACGTCGAGACGATAAACCATCAACACCCGAATCCGGGAGCCCCTTGAACGAGCTGTACGGCGCCTTGATCCAAGCGACCATTGACGAAAATCCCCTGGTGGCTCTCGAGGACGACAATGCATCTAATGATCTCCAAGCTGAAGTCGATGAATTAGAACCTCGGAGTGAACCTCTGCGGCGCGATTCAACGACCGAGCAACAGCGCGACATTTCCTCATCATACGGCTCTATCCAAGTTCGGAAGGATGGCATGGCAAATCCATCGTGGAACAAGACCATTGGTCTCCAAAACTTCCCAACCGCCACGGCTCCCGCTTCGCCCCCGAGGAACCAACAGTCGCATGTATCACAATGATGGCACCAACCTCGGAACATCTTTATTCCACGATGATTCGTCCAAGAGTGGCGAGTCWAGAATGTACAAGGGTGTCGGGGATAGCTCATCGTCTGGCACGGTCATCGCCAACACCACCCACACCCTTTTGAAGAACGGTAAAATTGTGCAAAAGTCGAGGATCCGGAAGCTCTTCATCACGGACGAGACGAGTAGAATATTCCACCCGACACAGAGTGGACACACGCTCATCGCCAATCTGATCTTGTATCAAATGGCCGCGAATAATGCAGCATCTCAGGGTGAGTGTGCCATTCTTTCGTCGCTGTCTTGGGTTCCATGTCATCTAATCTTATAATCGAATAGGGAATGCCGCCCAATTCCCGCCAGCAGAGGTGACTTTCTTCCGGGGGACATCCAGCTCAGATCGGAGGCGCTGCTTGTAGCACCGATGCATCTGACACGTGGGGAGGTCGTGATACCATGCTATCTGCCGTGAACCGCTTCTGCGCAGGTGCGTAGATTCGAAACCTTCCCGCCCGAGAAAATTCGTTCACCTGGAGACTCGCAGACTAACGACAATTGAACTTATAGATCCACACAATCTCAGGGGAACAGCCGGTGCTTCCACCAGTGCTACATTCAATCACGATTCATTCGACTACATGAATGTGTCCCATAGCATGGGGAGCCAATGCCAATCTCGGAGAGCACAGCTGTGCAGCCTGGCTAAGTGTCGTTACAGACGGCTGCGACGTCCCAAAAACCAGGAGAGCCCAATTCGAAGCACGGCGGCACCATTGCATACCAGAGCAATGTCGTCAATGCAACGCTCAACATTGAGCCGCTCGTAGTTAGAAAAGTCTGGGACGACAAGGCAAAATCCGAAGGTCAGCAGCAGTGCAATGATGTCAGCAGCAAACGGTATCTGGACCAAAGCAAGCGCTCAACGGAATATTGATGACTACTGCAAGCAGTCCGCAGCTCACGCGGGGGGGGACTTGCCGAAGCAGGGTCGAAGTTTTTCGCAGATCTTCAACGATGGAACACCAGGTCGTGTGGAGGTAACGACAGAATGGCCTGTGGGATCTCGAAGCTATCAGGTATTCCAAGAGGAATGCCAATATTATCTGAGCGTCCTCAAGTAAGTCAGGCGCCGTTCGTGGGAAATCAGGAAACCTGAATGCTGACAGCTGCTGGTAGTAATGGATGCAGCTTGCCAGGAGATGATAATTCGATGAACTGGAAACACGGCGGCAGCATCTCTGATGGGAACAGGGTCAAGTACACCATAACCCCAACTCAGGATCGTCCCTCACCACCGAGGAGCCCTGTCGGACGTTGCAATGCCAAGTACCGCCCTTGGGCATACAACTGGGATGTCTGGGGAGGAGGTTTTGAGAGCAGTAACAAAGGCAAAGAGCTTGAAAGGCAGATTCGAGGTTGTGGGGCCGTGACAGCCTGGAAGTTTGACTATTTTGACACTCCAGCCGCAGATGGAACGGAGTGGCATGCAAGCGGTACCCTACCCATTACCATTTCCAATCACTGTCTGGCCAAAGCGGTGAAGAGCGCAGGAGGATTCAAGTCCAATTGTTAGATTGAGAAGATGGAACTCTTCATGGAACATAATTATTATCCTTTAAAAGTCTGCACACATCTCAGTTGCAACATTTTCCGATGAGCCATGAGGCCTCCGTTGGTGGGCACAAATTTTTGATGGGACGCTCCAGGTGTTCATCGTGATAAGTCTTCGGACCTTGATACTTTCATTCTGAAGCTGGTCGAGTATTACCAGGCCAAGTCTCACCACGCCTGCAGTCTCTTCCGCAGCACACATGGCCGAATGACCACGGACATGGATCGAGCGCCGAGCTATACCGTGGAAATTGCTTCTCGCGCATCACAAGCTCCGCTACTGTTGAAGCAAAGTCCCACTCATCGGTGATCACACCTCCCTCTTCTTTCTCATACCAAGTCAAAAGTGATTCATCTTTTAGGATGCCGTGTCGAATTTGTTCATCGTCTTTCATGAACATGCACATGAAGCAGCAAAGCTGGTAATTCATCCATGCCTCCGTGCGAGATGCCGCATCCATTATAGATGACATCGTACGCTGTAATTCTTTGTCGCCATGAGATTGGGCTAATCGTCGGATCGTATAGTACGACGTAGGTGTTGGCGTAGCACTCTCGGAATCTTCTTCAGCCTCATAAGGTGAGTCCTGAACATCCGCTGCCCATAGTTTGGCCACGCTTCGAGCCATTTCCGCATTTCGAAGAAGTCGCGGAATGCGTTGCACGAAAGAAGCTTCTTTGCCACTCTCATACCTTGCCAGCTCCATGGCATCATCATACGCAGGAATCTCCGGCTCAAGAATCTCTCTTGTGATGACTTCGACATTCTCCAGCCAGACATTTCGCAACGCTTTGCTCGCTTGGGACAATTTTGCCGCAGTGAAGATGTCTGGGCAATGTGTGAAGACCAGAATTAGCAGTTCGTTGGGGATTGCCGTGATGGGAGCCATTTCTGGTGAAGTATTATCTATTCGCGCCGGGTTTTGTAAAGACTTGAGGCTGATTGTCGACTTGTGGAATGATTTGGGAGGTGTCTCTGGTGTAGAGAKTTGAGATTTCGGAAGGGTTCTTCAATGTGGAAAGCTCAGAGTCCTTAGCCGCTCACTTTGAGGAAGAGGCGCAGCGAGCTAGCGGTTTACGATGAGCGTCAAGACAGGAAAGTCTGATGCGATGAAGATCGAGGAGCTGTTTGATGATGCAGGTCAAAGCAAGTGAAGGGAAGATGTCGTCCAATCGACTAAGCGCCCGCCAAGCCCATGACTAACTTTCACCCTTGCATAAAATGCCACGTGCTGTCACATGAAAGATTTTTGACATGATTTTGCATAACTCTTTGGTTTGCAGAAATATTTCACGGTATGGGGACGTGAGCATGCATCAAGCTTTGATTTCTTCCGTGGAAAGGTTGCTTAACATTACTGCTTCCCAAAATAAGTTGAAAGTACCTCAATCGCTGGCAGTACCTTCCACCCTCCTACTAGCAACCTCAGCATACACCTCGAATCAAAAAGCCAGAAAAAGACTCATGATTCCAACTCATCACACAAAATGTCCTACGCCCTCCTCACATCAAGATCAAAGCTGAAGAGAAACTCAAACACAATGCCTCAAACTAACAACTCAAAACTCGACCGACGTCTCCACGCCCTCGACCGCCCACAACGTCCGTGTACATCACCAGCATGCACATCCAAGACATTCTCGAAATCTCCGCGAAGATGTTCAAGTCCTACTACGGTAGAGGCATGAACTATGCGTTTCCATGACGTTTCCCCAACGATCTCATTCCACTAGGACGGATTTTTTTTCCGGTTCCTCCGTAGTAGCAAGCGACGAATTGGGCGTGCAATATACGGGAGACCTACAGGAGAGAGAGGTCGGCAAGCTGGGTTCTTTAGCCTTAGCGAGTAGTGTATATGAGGAGATATTACGTATCAGAGAGGAGGAGGCGGTGAATGTTAAATCGTAGATTGCCGGGTATAGTAGGGTGGTGTTCTAGACTTCCTCAGTAGAGAGAGACTTACGTCGTAGAGTTTTAAAAGTTTTCGCTACTAGGAGGATTAGATAGCTCTTGTTCTTTCGGAGGTTTACGTTTTCTTAAATATAGAATTAGAATCCTAGTAGGCTCGTAATAGCTAAGTTAAGTAATAAACTTTTAGCGAAATCGAAGAGACAACGGAACTAATTAAGAAGTTAAAAGAGAAAGAATATTKCCGGAATAATAGCCATTTCGAAGACAAACCCGCCTTCGAAGTTGAGGGAAACATTAGAATGTACCTCTCACTTAAGCCGACCGACCGAAAAGCCGAGCCGCATCGTTTCTGTCACATGAAAGACTTGGCTTCGGATATGACATGAATTTTTTCTATCAGAAAGCATTCCGGTAGCGTGGATTATATATACTAAAGGGGCAGAAGGAGGACACCTATTGTTGTTGAAGTATAGATGGTATATGAACATTGCATAAGATGTATTCATGCCTATTAGAAGAGTACTCTAGCATTACTCCCACCAAAACAGCCAGCCTAGCCCGAAGGAATCTCTCATGTGGCGCGACTGATGCTCAAGGAGGTTCTCCTGGCTGTTAACTACTTCGACTGACGAACGGTTCACGAGTCCTAGGTGTAGGATATCACCCTCTGAAGGCATAGATCTGTCAGCAGCTATCAGCAGCTGGGTAAGGGAATGGAGGTATAGATTTCCATCATGTCTGCCTGTTTGTCTGTCTTGTGATGATAATGATAATGATGAACGAGTCTCCTGCTGAAAGATGGATTTTGATTTGATTTAATTTAATAACACTCCAATCATCGTCCGAGCAGATGTGTCGGCCGTTTATCAATTGTCCATGTGAGTGGGCCTGGTTCAAGAACGGGTTAATAATTCCATGCAAAACTTGCGACATTTTTATCATACAAGCAAGCATGTTGATCAATCWACCAAAGCAAGTCTCCAGGCTGCAAATCTGTAGCAGACCAGAGTGAGTAATCCTCATCTACGCAGGCCGTGATCAGACTGCATTTCATACGCCGTAGAACTCCTGGCGTGTCGTGTCATGTACCAATATCATCAGATATGACAAACCGATCTCATCCCTCATGGTATTGAGAAGCCCTTCAGCCACCACCACCACCATCTCATCCCTGCCCATCATCTCATTTAAAAGCCCTTTGCACCAGGCGCGGCTTCATCCTTCCTCAAGCTCACCAACAACCCCCTCATCTTCCCCTTGCCACTGCCGGCAGCACCACCCTGCGTTCCCTTGCCACTCAGATCCACCAACTTGGCAATCCTCTCCCAACTTGTGCCTCCACTCGTCGTATCCTCCCGCTTGGCCAAGAATTCCTCGGCATCCTTTCTCGTCTGAGCCACCTGCTTCTCACGCTTGGAGTTGTAATTCTCGTAAAACTCATCAATGGCCTGCTGCGCCGCCTTGACCGTCTCGGCCTTTTTGGCGGCCGAGACTTCGTCGCGGTGCTGGATGGCGAGGTCTCTGCGTTCGCGCCATTCGCGGAGGACTTCGGGTTCGTCTTCATCGTGTGTGGGGAAGGGGGAGTGCGAGGGTTGGTAGGGGAGGGTGGAGCCGGTAATGGTCCCTCCGCCCGCGGACACGGCTTCGTTGGTGGTGGAGATGGAGGGGTACGAGGATTCAAAGTCGCCCATCATGTCGTTGTTGTTGTTGTTGGAGGAGGAGAAGTCACCACCACCTCCCATTAGGTCGTCGTCATCATCATCTTCTACATCGGCGACGGTGGCGGATTGGTCGGCCGAGGAAGTGAATTGTTGCGCATCTTCCCCCAAGGCGGCTCGTTCACGCGCGAGGAAGTCGGAGGGTTCGTCGGTGGAGAGGGAGGTGGTCGGGTCTGCGACTTCGGTTTGGCCTGGGATTGATTGGGTGAGAATTGGGGGAGGGAAGGGAGGGAAATCAATGAATGCATGCTCACCCGCGTCGAAGTCATCGAGAGAGGGGAATCGGTCGGCCATGTTGAGGGAATTTGTCTGTGTTTGTTTGGGGTGTTGGAGGTGGAAATTCCGGACAATTCAATCGAATGCAGGCATCAACTAACGTAACGTAACTCAATGTTTGGTGGAGAGTGAGCTCCTTCAAAGTAAAGTAAGGTACGTAAGTAACTTGGCTCACGACACGTTCGTTATTGGCGCCAAACGGGAGGAGAGCCGTGAAGCTCCAACACCGCAGCAATCAACTCCGATCATCGCATYGCATCGCATCACATCGCATCGCATCCCACTTCCTCCATCATCCGACCAAAAACATAGAATTTCTGGACAATCCATGAAATCCCCGTGAATTCCCTTCAATTCCCTTCGATTCCATTTCACTCCAGTCCAGTCCATCCCAATGTCCTACTCCGACGACGCGGTCCGCGCCAAACTGTCGTCGCTGAGCGAAACGCAAGAATCCATCGTGACGGTCGCGCAATGGATCATGTTCCACCGGCGACACGCCGACCGCACCGCTTCCCTCTGGCTCGAACGGCTGCGCGACAGTTCCTCRGCCGCCAAACGCCTCAATMTCATCTACCTCGCCAATGAAGTGGTGCAACAATCGCGGGCCCGCTCCAAGCAGGACTTCCTCGTCGCCTTTGAGCCTCTGATCGCCGATGCCACCGCCCTCGCCTACAAGGGAAGTAGCCAGGACATGCAGGGGAAGTTGCGAAGGGTCGTCGAGGTGTGGAGACAGAGGAACATCTTCAATGGACACGTGCAGACGTTGTTGGAGGGCCGATTGGATGAGGTGGACCAGACAAAATCGTCGACGCGAGGAGGAGGAGGATTGGGTGGAGGAAGATTGGGAGGCAGTTTGTTTGGCGGCAACTCCTCCTCCTCCGCACGTGTCGCTCCGGAGGTGGAGAAGATCAATCAGTCGCAGATGAAGAGTAACAAGGCCTCCGCTGCCCTCGCCGCTCCTCTCAACACGGCCAAGACGGAATACGCCAAGATGACGGACCCTAACACTCCCGTCCCCAGTGCTCCCGTCCGAGCGGCCAAGTTGCGCGGTTTGGTCAAGGATCTGCTGGCGGCCCAGGGTGCCGTCGAGGCCAGTATCGAGGCGAGGAGGGAGTTGATCCAAGATTTGGAGAAGTTGGTCAAGAGCAATCAGGGGAAATTGGCCGACGACGAGAGCACCGCCAGTGCGCTGCGCTCACAAGCCCAAGGAATGGATGCCATGGTTCGCGATGTCGAGGACAGTATCATGCGTGGCCAGGATACTCCCACGCCGGGAATGGATGCGAGTGCGAATAGCACAAATGATTGGAGTCAGAGACCCGAGACCGAAGGCTTCACCCCACCGCCCCCTGATGTCGAAGCCTTCACTCCTCCTCCTCCTGCAACTAGTAACGACACGAATGGCGACCACACAGAACCTCCCATTCCGGAAGACCCTCCCTCATACCTTTCCCAATCAATCTCCCAACCATCAACAACAACAATCGAACCCTCACCAACTCTAGACCTCCAAGCCATCCTCCGTTCCGCTGCAGGCGAATCTCCCCATCAAGCGCCAGCACAAAATAACGACAACTCCTCCTCCTCCTCCTCCTTCTCCAGCGATCCACGCCTCAAACGCAGAAAACTCAGCCACAAGACTTCGGCCGGCGCAATGGACGATGACTTTATGAATGCGGGAGGCTTGGGGGTGGATGAGGATGGAATTAGTGCCATGCTGGGCGGAGGAGGAGGACAGTAGCAATGCAGTGCTCTTTCTTGAATGGGAGCATGTGTCGCAAGACTGACGTTGAAGCTTGTATGATTGATTGCACTGTGGAAAGCAAGACTTCCGAAATATGGAGGATAGATACGAAGCATGTATGGTGGATTGCGCTGTGGAAAGCGAGACTTTCCAAGATCAGCGGGACATGCGGAACATGTCTGTATCTGTAGTACCTGGAGCTGATGGAGGTAGCTTCTTTCTCTCCCGAGTTCCTTAAGGGGCATGATTATGCTTTGTATGAATTACTAAGAACCTTCAAATATTAGATGCTTTCAACCGATGTGCACTCTTTCTTGATGACCATTGATGGATTGATGGATTGATTGAATAGAAGCCAGCTGGGAAGAGACAAGCCAGGAAACACATCTCGTACGTACATCTATCATCAACAACAAGCGTAAGCGTAATCTGGGATATCGTAACAAAAGCAAATCCGCAAGAAAAACATACTCATGTACATGTACTCATTTCACTCCCACCCTCTTCATCCTTGCTCCGAAGACATCCCCTCGTTCCACATGCCCCAATCCTCACCCTCGACGCGGTCCTGTGAAGCCCAGTGTCCTCCCCCACTCGTCTTCTTGCAGCAATGTCTGTCCTCCCGGCCTTCTCGTAACCAACGCCCGACATCATAATCACATTCGGTCCGACGTCATCATCACGCTCAATCCGATATCATCATCACACTCGAATCATCACAATTCTTCATGTGCCGCTTCGGATGGAGATTTGGAATCGTCACTTCTCTAAAGCTCATCCCTCACCCTATCCGTGGCATCGGAAACAACGGAGCTGACACTGCTCGCTGCAGAGCTGGCGCTGCTGGCAGCTTGCTCAGCAACACTGCCCACAACAGAAGTGGCTTGGGCTCCGAGATCTCCCGCTTGAACTCCCAACTCGCTCAGCTTGCTGTTCGCAGATGCTACGGCAGCGGCAATCTGGCTCTGAACACCCTCCAGATACGTCTGTTCTTCCCCGTAGATGGCTGCACTGACCGATGCAGACGCAGCCGCGGCCTGCTCGGCGGCTTGGGAGGAAATGGACGAGTAGACGCTGGCAGCCGCGGAAGATGCGGCGGCGATGGTCGGCGTGGGAGATCCATAAATCGCCGCGGAAATGGCGGCGGAAGCACTGGCACCGACAGCACCGAAGCTTGACTGTGCCAGCTCCACGTAACCACTCTCGCTTCCGTAAATGGCTGAGCTGACGGATTCGGCCGCTTCGCTGTACGCGCTTGCTGCTGCAGACGTCGCTTGCTGTGACTTGTCAGTACTGATTGCTTGCATGTATACTTCAAACACATACCTCGTAAGAGCCCTTGGTAGTGCCGTATGCCTGCTCGGAAGCAGCAGCGACCGCGGCATTCAACTGCTCGGTGACTTGCTCCAAGATGCCAGGAACCTCCGTCGGTGGAWCAAWCACAGCCTGGACAACACTCGCAACAGACTCGTATGCCTCACTCGCATAGCTCGAAGCGCTAGATGCACCAGCATTGGCAATGCTGGAAGCACTCGACACCAAAGCGGGTGCACCGGTGGCGTACGCGGACTGGAACCTGCTGTAAACACTCTCGGTAAAGTCTGGCTCCTTGCCAACAATCAACTCAGAGAGCAAGGCAGAGACGGACTCCCACTGAGCTGCTGCTGCTTCGGTGGCCTGGCTTGTGAGTTCGCTGGCACGAGTGTATGCGGACTGGGTGAAGGGAAGCGGGGCACCATATACCTGCTCGCTGGCCTTGGAGATTAGTGCATCCCAGTTCTCCGAAGCACGAGAAGCGACACTCTCGGCAATGGGCTGCTCCGTCGTTTGGGCTGAGAAGGCAGAGCTGACCGACGCGCTGGCCTCGGAAAGCTTGCTTTGAGCGACATCTGCGGCATCAGCCAGCTGCTCCTTTAAGCTCTGAAGAGTGGATCCCGCATCTGTGGATTGTGCGGCGGCGACACCAACTGCCGCCTCGCTCATCGCCGAGTACTTGGATGAGGCTTCTTCAAGGTAAGCACTGTAGGCACTACGCGCCTGTCCAAGAGCACTGTCGATGCCGGTTGGGGTGGGTGTTGGGCCCACAACACTGGATGCGGCCGTCAAAAACTCCGAATAACGTCCATGTGCGACGCCCAGGGCTTGGTAGTACGCCTGCTGTGCAGACGCAAGATACTGCTGGTGTACTGGGGTTGGCTCGGCACCGACTGCGATCTTGGCACTCTGGTATTGAGCTGAAGCGGCGCTGAGGCCCTCGGACAGGCGGGATGCTGCCACGGACGAGATACTGGCGTATGTGTCCTGGGTCTTTGGTGCAAAAGCTGTGGAGAGACGGCCATTCGCAGCTTGGACAGCAGCAAAGTATGCAGACTCCACAGAGGCAAACATTTGCTGGTGGACAGGAGATGGTGTGCCGGAGATCTGGGCGGACACGCGGCTCATGGCTTGTTCGTAATGCTTTCCAGCTTCAGCCACGGCGCTGCTGTAGTAGGATGTAGCGGCTGCAAACGGAGCAGCAGTTGCCGGTGTTCCATAGATTGCATAGGATGCTGCAGTCACAGCAGATAGGTACTGCTCGTGAGCGGCGCTGGTTCCCTTTGCCACAGCGTTTGGTTGAGATCCATAGAGTGCAATGCTTGCCGCAGCGATGGCACTCTGGTATTGTTCACTAGCCAAGCTGGTGACCGACTCAACGCTAMCTTGAGTAGAGGTGGCGCCCTTGAGAGCGTCTTGCACGGCCTGTGTGAGTTGTGATGCATAGTCTCCAGCATCGTTTGCCATCGATTGAATGCGCTCCGAGTAGCTCGCACCACTGTCGACAATGTCGTCGTCGAGTATGGGCTCGCGGGCCTCGACCAGAACCTGTGCCATAGCACCGCCGTAGACCTTTTTGGGAGACGAAGCTGCCCCACTCACGATAGAAGACGCGCTAGACGAGGCCTGGCTGGCAACAGGGGGCTCCACGACCGAAGAGGCGCTCTCCGACATCTTGCTCACAACCGAGGACACGCTTGAAGAGCCATGGCTGGCTTGAGGTGGGTCGACAACCGAGGAAGCACCAGCTGAGATCTTGCTCACGACGGAGGAGATGCTGGAGGAAGCCTGGCTGGCTGCTGGAGGATCCACAATAGAGGATGCACTCTCGGTGGCTTGACTCGCAGCCTCGCGGGCCTTTTGGCTGGCCTCAGCTGCAGCAAATAGTGCCTTTTTCTTATCTCTTCTTGCAAGAATGCTCTCAAGGTTCTCGTCAAGGTCCTTTTGGATGGCATCTTTCAATGGGCGGTCTTCTCCGATGATGGCACTCGATGCGGAGGACGCTGCTTCGGTAGCAGAATCGTAGACTMCGGAGGGTGTTCCCAGGACGGCACTGGAAATAGCTGAAGCGGCATCCGTGGCCGTGTCGGAGGCGCCGGATTCTGTGCYAACGACGCTCTCAGATGCGATGGAAGCTGCACCCTTGGCAGACTGGGTTGCCTGCTCGGCTTTCTGTGAGACAACAGAGGCGGCGCTTTCGGCAGACTTTGCTGCTTGGCTTGACACGCTCTCAACAGATCCGGTTGAAGATCCAACAACACCGTCGGAGATGACAGAAGCCACGCTTGAGGCGGAGAGTGATGCCTGACTGGCAGCGCTCCCCACAGAGCTAGAGACTTGGGACGCAGCCTTTTCAGCAGATCCAGTCGATGATCCAACAATAATCTTGGAAGCGCTGGAGGCTGCTGAGGCTGCCTCGCTGGCCAGACTCTCAGCGGATCCAGTTGAGGAGCCAATCACTGCCTCGCTTGCGCTTGATGCATATCCTGATGCCTTCTCCGCGGCAGCAGATGTAGCACTCTCGACGGTGCCCTGTTCACTGCCAACGACTGCCTCGGAGGCTTGAGCAACCTTCTCGACGATTTGATCCTTGATCTTTCGCACAGGCGCGGGGATTGTCTTTGTCTCGAAATCATCWCTACCGTCAGCGGCAGCAATCTTCCACTTGCCCACGTCCCTCAAGCGACCTAGCTCTTTTGCAGCGTCCTCGGCAACAGCCATGGCAGTATGCTCAATGTCTTGGGCGGCGGCCTTGGCTTGTGCAAGCCCGGGGTGACCATGAGCGGATTTCTCCACGTCGTCCCGCCAGACAGGCTTGGACTTCTTGAGGTCGTTGTACTTACTCCACTCCTTATGTGGGAGCGAAGACGACGCATACTTGCGGCCAATTTCGCCCAGACGAAGCTCTCTGATTCCGTCGATAGTCTCAAGGGTGGACTGAAGAGCCTTTTCGACGAGCAGAGTGGTCTCGGCATCGGATTTTTGTCGCCATTCGCGAACGGCCTGAGCRCRCGCCTTGACAGTCTGTCCGGCAGCGCGAACCGCCGAGACAAGATCCGAGTTGGCGGTCTCAAGTCGTTCGTTGGATGCGTCCTCGGGGATATCGTTCACGGTGGACTGAATGTACGCCCTGACAGTCTTGATGGCAGTCTCTGTTGTCTGCTCCAGCTGCGTGACGAGAGCATCGCCAACTTTGCCTGCACTGCTGACTTGGTGCGCTGTGATATCCTTGATGCGTTCCGACAGATCCTCGGAACCCTCTTCTACCGCCTTTGCAGAGAGTTGTTTCCAGCTCTTCAAGTCTTCGTGGAAGTGTGTAGATGGATCTTCCTTGGGTTGCGGGGTGGACGAAGCGGAAATAACGCTGCTCGAGGCCGAAGATGGGCTGGCGGAGACCTTGCTTGCAGTCGACACCAATGATGATGCCACTGACTCTGCACTGGCAGAAGCTTCGGCAAGCTTTGACGAGCTCTCCATGCTTGCGATGCCGGCTTCAAGTTTCTTGCCATCCTTGTAGCGACCGAGGCGCTCCGTGATGCGCATCAGCTGTGGCTCGACATTCTCTCCGTAGAGGATCCTCAGCTTTGGCCAGATCTGGCGCGTCCAAAACACCCAAGCGGTGTTTCCAACGAACTGCGCTTGAGGCAGGGCAGTCTTGACGGCAAAGTCCTGTCCCTGGACGTAGAGCTTCTGGACGTATGGCGAGGTTCGGCGGTAGACGGGCTCAAGCTCCAACYGCCAGATATCACCAACAGAAGTCTTGGCGGAGTCGTAGTATGGCTGAACAACGTCCGTGGCCTTTTGAACGTGTGGAGCAAGAACAGACTGGTATTTCTCGCCAGCTTGGTTCTGCAGGGCGTCAAGCTGTGGCTTGATGGTCTTCTCCCACTGCTTTTGACTAAGCTGTTGTGCATCTGCGACTCGTGGTGCGCCATGCTTTGCGTACAGAGCTTGTCCAGGGGTATAGACGTTCTGGTGCAGGCTGTCGTAGTATGGCTGTGCCYGCTGGACGTAAGGGGAGAGGTACTGATTGTAGTAAGGCTCGGCATATGGCGTGATGTAGTCCTTGACCTGGAAATACGGCTTGCACACGCGCGGTGAGTCGTCGGTGAGCTGGTCGACAGCAGGACATCTGAACAACACGGTGATGAGTGAGTACCAGATTGCGAGCTTGAAGCCCTTGTTGACCATCCAGCTCGTGTAGCTGCCGCTTTGTGGCTTCCGGCGAGCCCGCGACGAGCGCATTGTGTTTGTGTTCATGGCAGCGGTATGTTTATCAGCTCCGTCAGACGACGTGGGCTTGCCGTTGATGGTGTCGACGGCCATCTCGTCAGAGCTCTGGGGATAGAGTATTTTGTTGACCGCGCTAATCGGAGTATAACTCCACGCGAAGCTCCCCCGACGCGTTATCCCAGCCTACCTTGCTAGTGCTCCCGGCGAGGGTTCAGCGGCGATGAGATTCACAAAAATGGAGAGCGGGTGATGACTTTGATGGGGAAGAGACCGTCTACCTCGACGCGGAAGGTGTACAACGAAAGGAGAGGGTTGTCATCACTTTTGATTGTCTTCTCGCTTGCTGCAGTCAAGTTCTGAGGCCTGTCAAAGTTGCGTCATGCAGACGCAGAAGGCACGACCGATCCAGCATGCTGGAAACCCATTACATGTAACTACAATCCCAAGCCAATCTTCTTGAATACGTGTCAGACTGCAGACTTTCATGCACATACATGTTCAGGGCGGCACCTTATTATCATGCGCTCATTTGATCCAGTGGTTTCGATCACTGTGGATACTTTAATCGGCAGTTACTGGACGAGGAATACTTTACCTTAATCAGCAATGACTTCAGTTTAGTCACGATTGCTCCGAAGGTGCCGACCGTCCACGACTTCGACTACTTTAGCTACACAGCACGCTCTACCTTTCACTCCAGCTCATACCTCTCATTACCTTAGGTTCCTGCCGATACTCAACTCTTTCACCAACGCACCTGTCGCCTTTGTTTCCACCCAACCTCGATTGTCCAACAATCTGTTCCGATGACATCCTAGACTCCCGACTGCGCCCTCGCGGCCTACAAACACCTTTCTCATACCTGCCTCCCGCCGATAACCAGTGTCGACGAACATGGACGACCCAATTGAAGCTCTGAATCCCGACTCGCCGGATGTCATGAATGATCCGGCATTCGCACCTCCGCAGCGGCAAGACACGGCATCGTCAAAGTATGGCAGCGAAGGCGGAGGGGAGACATGCCGGATCTGTCGGAGTGAAGGGACGCCGGATGAGCCACTCTTTTATCCCTGCAAGTGCAACGGAAGCATCAAGTTCGTGCATCAGGAGTGTCTCATGGAATGGCTTTCCCACTCCCACAAGAAGCACTGCGAGTTGTGCAAGACTGCCTTTCGCTTCACCAAGCTCTACGATGCAAATATGCCTCAGACTCTCCCATGGTCCGTGTTTGCGAAGAGAGCATGCATGCATACTGCGACTTTGGCTGTGAGATCCTGTAGGGCAGCTATGGTTGGACTCATCTGGTTGCTCGTGTTGCCCTGGCTGGTTAGATGGGGTTGGCGGTGGATGTTCTACTTCGCCGATGCGGGTTGGGCGAGAGAGCCGTTCTTGAGGAGTTTCTACGCTCAGCAGGCAGCGTCACAGGCAGCGCAAAGCTCAAACACAACCACATCCGTCTCCGACTCGCTCTACGCGGCTTTTGAAAATCTATGGGAGTCTCGCATGAGCACACCGGCTGATKGAGCGGATACAAACGGAACCATGGGCAAGATTGCCGAATCCCTATCATCTGCCCACGAGAATGCGACTATGGTATCGAATGTGACATTTTCACCCAACCCAATCACATACGGCCAAGATACTTCAATCCTCTCCTCCTGGACCTACCTAGCCCACCTCACCCCTAACCCACGTTACAATCGTGTTATTCTGGATGTCTTCGAGGGCCAGTTGATCACCTGCGTTGTGATTGTGGGGTTCATACTTGTATTCCTGATCCGAGAGTGGGTTGTCCAGCAACAACCATTAGTGCATCTGGACATGCTGAACAACGAGCAACGCAACTTGGAACAGATGGAGCGGGAAACAGAGAGACTCAGACGGCAAGTTGAGCTTTTGAATCAGGCGCGAGCTCGTCTCGTGACATTGCAGGATGAGGCTCAGCATGCTGGCACGCACGGAGACGAAGATGATGATGATAGCAGCATCGCAGGGGAGGAATTCATCGGCTGGGATCAGCTTAATTTACGACTTGACGAAGCGACGGCTCTGCTGCGACACCCGGACCGTGAGGATAATATGGAGCAATTTGGGACAGTGGCACACGATGTGTTGAGGCAAATGCGTATCGCCGAGAGGACTGGGGTCAGCATTACGGAACTGGTCGAGAACGTCTATCAGAAACTGGCGACCTTTTCGGAAGACGAGCGACAGGATTGGGAGGACATCCTAGTTGGAACGCTCGAAAAGATGAACGACAAAAGGCCCAGCATGGCGGAGCTTGGCCGCCACGGTGGGTCCGATCCTACCGAGGCTGCAGAGTCACCGGAGACTACGTTTCGGCCCCAAATGCCTGGACGAGACGTCTCGTTTCTTGCAACAGAAGTTCAAAGAGGATTGGCGGAGTCCGAAAACGAGCTTGCCGCCAATGCGGACGTCAATCGATCTCGAGCCGTTGCTGGTGACAATGATCTTGGTTTTGATGCGAGCGATGGAAGCATGGCGAGTGTTGTGAACATGGACTCTGACTCTGGGTCAATGTTCTCGCCGGGATCTGAGGGCAGTTGGCAGCAGTTGGACCAACYCACAACGGCCGTGCCTGCCCCTGATCATGTCGACATTTTCCAGGAGAATAACGACGAAATGCCCATCACGAATGCCGGTCAAGATGCCAAAACCAACATCAGGCGTACTGGCAAAGCTAAAGGCAGACCCATTGTTCCGGAGCCGGAGGAGGGTACGAACGATGGAGTGATCACGAACAGTGACCTCGTACGCAGGCTTGAAAGTAGTGATTCCCACGATGCTGGTCTTTTGTCAACATCCGCACTGCCCCCTCACGCAGCAGACGCGCATACGGAGCAAGCACCACATGCAAACAACCCCTTCCACCCTGACGGTCCAGCGCCGGGCTCTGGGGACGAAGCTCCGGAGGAAGAGAGTCTTCGAGAGCGAGTCGCAAGCGTCTTCCGCGAAGAATTTGGCCTGGACGAGGTTGAAGATTTGGAGCATCTCCGACAAGCCGGCACGGGACCTGATGGACAGACAGCCCCTAACGATGGCAGCATACCAGGAGCGACGGAGCCTCCAGTACGGGATGGGCCTCCACTCACTGCAATTCAACGTTTAGCTGACTACTTTTGGGGCGACATCCAGCCTACCGGAGCCGCTGAGCCCGCAATCGCACCAGCTGAGGAGCGTGTTGGCGAAGATGAGCACGTTCCAGAAGCTGCATTTGTTCCCAATCAGGGTGTTATCCCCGGCGCCGATGTGATACCTGAGAATGGTGCCCAAGCCCAACAGCACAATGATCCGGAGGTCGTCGTCGCAGCACAGCAAGCCGGACTAGATGCAGAAGCGATCGAAGATGCTGAAGACCTTGAGGGTATTTTCGAGTTGATCGGATTCCAAGGTCCGCTAATTGGGCTCTTTCAGACATCTTGCTTCTGCGCGGTCCTGGTCATCGGCACTGTGGCTGCAGCCATCGGACTTCCATACGTTTGGGGAAAGCTCATACTTTCATTCATCAGCGCGCCAGTGACGCTCCTTATCAAGACGCCCTTGAAGTTTGCCTCGTCGCTTGCAGACATTATCATTGATCTTGGTCTGGCCGTGGCTGGCTGGCTTTTGTATTTCGCTGCAAGAGGCAATTCCATCACCATGTCATGGCTCGGTAAATGGGCGCCAGGAGTGGGATCTTACGATGTCTCTGTCCATCTTGCAAAGCTCGGCGACAAGACAGCTGATCAAGCTGCTAAGAGGCTCATTCATCTTTTCGTCGCTACTGGTGCTCAAGCAGAAGGCTTCCAGCAGAATTGGAATTGGATCTTCCTTCGTGGCTCTGTCCACTCGCATGCTTCGTTGAAGAACATTGAGTCGCTAGTCAACTCGATGCTGAATTACACAGGTCACGGTATTACCAATGTTGCCGAAGCTCTATCCTCAGGATCGGTCTCCACGATGTGGGAAAGCTCRTGCAACATGGTCAAACAGGTTCCCGAGGTTCTGACAAAGGTATTAGCTGGTGTCACAGCTATTGGGCAATACATCCGGCCTCTTTCCGCCGCTCTCAGTGAGCTGAAGACTGGAGCGTTGACCTTCAAATCTGCGACGGTATACATGGACCCAGCGCTTGTGTATTGGGGTACATCAGATCGCGGCCTCGCCGTGATGACAGGCTATCTTTCCCTCGCAGTCATCGCAGCAATTTACGTTGCACTCGACACTCCCATTACCAGTTCTCCTTCCGGTCAGAGGACCGAGAAGATAGTCCGCGACACTCTTCGCCAGGCCGGCGGTGTCCTCAAAGTCATCCTCATCATAAGCATTGAGATGTTGGCATTCCCCCTCTACTGCGGCCTGCTCCTGGACTTCGCATTCCTTCCCCTCTTCCAGAATGGATCCGTCGCCACCCGCTGGGCTTTTGCTGTTCGCGCACCATGGACATTTTGCTTCGTGCACTGGTTTGTCGGAACCTGCTACATGTTCCACTTTGCGCTGTTTGTTGGCATGTGCCGCAAGATTCTGCGCAAAGGTGTTTTGTGGTTCATTCGTGATCCAGACGACCCGACATTCCATCCTKTAAGAGACGTGCTAGAGCGAAACGTCACGACGCAGTTGCGTAAGATCGCGTTCAGCGCTCTGGTTTACGGAGCCCTGGTCATAATGTGTCTCGGCGGCGTCATCTGGTCCATTGGACGAATTTTCAAGGGCCTGTTTCCCATCCAGTGGCTCTCGACTGAGCCTGTCCTAGAGTTCCCATTGGATATGCTCCTTTACAACTTTCTCGCTCCTTTGCTGATCAAGCTATTCAAACCTGCGAACGTTGTGAGTACCATGTACGCGTGGTGGCTGAGACGATGCGCAAGGGTGTTGCGTTTGTCGCATTTCCTCTTTGACGATCGAAGGAAGGACGAAGAAGGAAGGCATGTTCGGAAGACCTGGACCAGTTTTGCACTTTTGAAAAAGGCAGATGTTACTGAAGGGGTTGCCCCTCCAGAGAGACTGAATACAGAGAATGGAGAGCTGCCCGAGGTCTACTTCAAGCGCGACGGCAAGTACGTGCTCACACCTTGCAACGACCAATACCGGCCACCCAAGCCCGGTGAGGCATTCCTCCACGCCGACGAGAAAGACGTGTTCATCACCGATAAAGATGGCAAGAAGAACGAACACTTCGCCAAGATATACGTTCCGCCCTACTTCCGCCTGCGGGTCACCCTCTTTACGGTCTGCTTGTGGCTATTCTCCGCCTTCACCGGGCTCCTTGTGACGTTGGTTCCGCTGGTCTTCGGGCGTAAGATTTTCACATCCCTGCTACCGGCCGAGGTCAAGGTCAATGATATCTACGCATATTCTCTTGGCGCGTACATTCTTGCCGCAGTTGCGTTCTCCGTCTTCAAGGGTGCGACTGGCGTACGCTACGTACGCGAAAAGGTGCAGACTGTCGATCTGAAGGCATGGGCGAGTGTATCGACTCGCTACACAATCCAAGCATCGAAATGCTTCTATGTGTACGGCTTCCTTGGTGTCGTCCTTCCGCTGCTCTTTGCAGTATTCCTACAATTCTACCTCATCCTCCCGCTACACACCTATCTGGTTTCAAATTTCGGTTCCCTGATTGCGAGCAACCAGGCTGTGGGTGCATCGGGGAATGTCACGGTTGGCAATGTCACTGTCGGTTACGCCGGTCTGTCCCACGACGCCGACCCGTTGCAGGGGGCCTCTCTCGCAAAGAGCTTTGCAGAGTACGCCGCAAATCTGACGGCCAACACAAACTTCACCCAAGATGGTCTGCAACCGGAAAAGCTCCCTTCTCTGGCAGACCACAGTATCCACATCCTCGCAGACTACGCTTTGGGACTTTTATACGTCCGCATCGCGGTCCGCTTGATCCTCTCAACTCCAACTTCCCGCGCCTCTCAAGCTTTTCGACTCATCACAGCGAATGGGTATCTCAACCCAAATGCTCGTTTGGCCACACGTTACTTTGTCCTGCCAGCTTCATTGATCGCGATGGTCGTCTTACTTTCGCCGCTGGGAATGGCAACGATTGTGATGGCGGCTGGAAGCATCATCAACAGTCTATTCCCAGCAACAACGCTTGTGTTCAACCTGGACGAAGCAGCCCAGACACTGATTTACAGGTACTCGTATCCTGCTGCTGCGGGACTTGCGTCTTTGGTCGCGGGTTTCGCAGAGGTGGGGAGAGTGCTGAGCAAGTGGAGGGCTAGTGTGAGGGATGAGGTTTATCTGGTTGGTGAGAGGCTGCATAATTTTGGTGAGGGAAAGCCACCGGCGGGCAGTCGGAGTGTCGTCCGGAAGGACAGGTTGTAGTATGTTGAATACTCGACGTGATGATTCTACGTTTTAGCGACGGCGCTGGAGTCCTGATGTGGGCTGTACATTGATGAGAACATTATTTTTCCTGAGATTGCATAGGATAGAAATGTACGACGTGCAGCAGTTCATGAACGCTCATGATATTCATCTGTGTCTTTTGCGTGCTCGAGAGGTTGCACCTCTAGTGTGATAAAATATACAAAGGCAAAGTGCCCTGTCTCCACGGACTTATGCCATCCCGTCCTACAAACTCCTCAAACACCATGCTCCATGCATCCCACAGGTTTCCAACCCATCTAAAAACCAGGTGGGTTCAACCTCTGACTAACCCTTGTCCACTTGGGCAACTTATGCACACTCTTCCTATACCCTCGCACCTTCTTGTCAAAGATACTGTACTTGTCCTTGGGCAACATCTCCTGCTCAGTCGGCATATCCGACTTCCACCTCACCAGCAATTTCATCGTCCCGGCCTCCGCCGCAGCATCTCTCAATAACTTCCCATTGGGCAAAAACTCTCCCTGTCGTGGTCCGCGACCATGTCTACGAGTTTCGAGCGCTATGACGGCAGGTTTGAACGAGTTGAGGAGCCGTTGACCCTCTGCTGTGGTGCGGAGTTCAGAGGCCGTGGCATTCCCGGGGATGGAACTTGTGTCTGGGTCTGGGGTTTCCGAGGGCGGGGGTTGGGTGGATTGGAGGTCTGAGGTGGCTTTTGCGCGTTGCAGGGCTGTGTCGAGGACTGTGACTACGTTGTCTACTCGGCGAAGACGACGGCGGTGGCGGAGCTTTTGGTGTGGTGAGAGGCGCCAGGGTGTTTTCCTGGGAAAGTCTGTTAGAGGGATGTGATTGAGATTGAGATGGGTTTGAGAGATGGAATGTACCATAATAGACCACCTGATAGAGGTGCGCTGGGTTTGAAAGCGCCAAACATGATGCCGGTGGATGTGGAGAGATGCTCAATGTTCAATGCGCTTGACAGATGGAGGTGGAGTCGATGGAAGTCCGCGGGCAAGCCAAGATTTTAGGGAGCCTGAGGTTGAAGCTTGGGATGAATGAATGTGACAGTCATCACCGACTGATTATTTCCATCACCACAACAACATGTCTTACTACTTCTCAATCATCGGAAGTCGGGACAATCCAATATTTGAAATCGACTTTGGCACCTCAAAGATTGGCGGCGATGGCGTGGCCCGGTTTCGAGAAGAAGCCAAACATATGAACCAATTCATCGTACATTCCGCTTTGGATGTAGTCGAGGACGCGCAGTGGAGTACGAAGGAACTGTAAACGCCTTCCCCCGTCGCATCATTTCATCACATCGTTCCATACTCATACCACTGCAGATACCTAAAGAAAATCGACTCGTTCCAGAACAACCACATCCACACATTCATCACAGGTGGCAACGTCAAGTTCATGCTTCTCATGAACCCGGATCCCGCGGCAACAGCATACTCGAGTTTCCAGACCTCGCCTCCTTCACGCCCGGCAACCGCGAGACAAAGCACCCTCATCGCCAACAATCCAACCAGCCAGCAGACCGAGGAAGCCGTAAGACAGTTCATGCTAGAGGTACGTCACCCAATGCACGCTCCTGACCGCCGTCAGCAATCCCACGTCCGGTGCCTGCAAAGGCTTGATGCTGACATTCTCCATCTTGGCATGAACAGGTCTACGAAGCATGGATGAAATGCATTATGAATCCCTTCTACGCCACCGACCAGCCCGTCACGAGTCCCATCTTCCGGAGTCGCGTGAGCACGGCAGCGAAGAAGTATCTCTGAAGATCATTCCAAAAAACCCAAATCTACCTACTTCCCACCCTGCCAGCCACAGACAAAGCGCTCCAGACCATCAACGCACGTGCAAGTGCCAAGTGCCCGTTTGATCGAAAGATCAGCAGACCTGGTCCAACCAGCCGCACGCACCACATTGTGCATCATTCGCGAATCCGCCATGTCTCTGCACGTGCAGGGTGTCAGTCAACCCACGGAATACGTATGTCGGCCCAGAGACGAGGACCGGACTCCTCACCTTTCGACATGCAGCCAAGCGAAGCAACCACCCCTCTGCCGACCAACTTCCAGCCCTCCTGCTTGAAGAAGCGGGGGTGTGCATGCAGCAACCGTTGTGCAGAGAGCTCCAACCAAGCTCAYTCGCGTGGCACCTTTTTGGAAAAGCTGCAGACCGCAACTATGATGAATTGTTAATTCGAAACGGCAAATGTCGGCGTGCAGATGGATTTCATGTCGCGCTAGGAGGCACACACGTCGCAGACCGCTCAAACAGGACAAACTCACGCAAAGTGACGTTCGGTGCAGGCTCCGTGATCCAATCAATTCTGCTACATGTGCAATTGGATCTACAAGGACAATTGCAAGTACCGCTGCTTCCTGCATAGCAGCGGACGAATTCGGAACGCAACTCGATCATCGAAGTCATGGCAGAATTTCCGAACGTCTTGTGGTTCTTCATGTTGCATCCTGTCGTAGCAGTACGTACGATCGTCAAAGATTAAACGCCCAAACCGCGATTCCCACGCCGCATCCCATGTCGTACCCATTCTTTACTTCCAAGCTTCGTACATGCATCAACGTTCCCCGTAAACAGCCAAAAAAAAAAGCAGCGCGCCATGATGAAATCCGTCCCAGACACCGCACTCCATGACAACTTGCATGCATCCGTATACCATTCGCGAATCAAGCAAAAAAATCCGAAAGATTCCAGAACGCCACCGTGTCCCTTTCCCAATACCATGGATGGCATGTAGAGTAATTGTTACATTGTTCTCGGCGAGCATTCCGTCATCGTCATCGCCGGCAGTATCGCCGTTAGCCGTCGATCTCATGCATGCATGCCCCACGGACAGCAGTGCATCCCATCGCGGTGCAATTTTCATAGTGCAGCCTTCGTGTCAGAACTGCAGCAAGTATTCTGTTCACCGTGGTCCGCTGTGCTCAGTGGTGGTCTCGTCGTGGTGATAGTAGTCGTGCTCGGCTTTCCGCTCGCCGGCGACGTCTTCATTGAGGGGATAAATTTCATGACTGGGTCGTCTCCAGACATGTTGTTTGCCCGATAGGGTACGGCTGAAACGCAGACCGGGTCGCTCCTGCATTCGTGCCGCATGTTGTCTCTCCTTTGCGCGTTGCATGATGACCGACAGTGGGAGATCTGCGTCGTCCTCGTCTTCTGAATCGTCAAAATCAGAGTCATCGCTTGCGTCATCCATTTCGTATTTTGTTGTCCGCGTGGGCCGGAAGTCCAGGAAGTTGGGTCTCGGTGCTGATTGTGGCTTGTGACCAAATGTTTTGAAGTGAGAGTCCATGTCGAACGCGTCCCTAAGGCTTGGGCTGTTGTCGGGTGTGAGCTGCGGCATCTCTTCCAGAGATGGATCCGAGTCGCTACGGCTGCGCTGAGTCGCGCGCTGCAGAGCAGAAGCTTGGCTCGCGAGGAGATGATTCCATCGATCGGGGACGTTTTCTTGTCGCTCCTGTGCGCGGCGTCTATCGTTGTTGAACAGAGCGAAGTCGGTGATACCGGCATCCCATTCTACTTCCTCGCCGCCGTCGCTGTCGGAATCCCAGTCTTCGTACTCGTGCATCTGGATGGGAGATAGGAAGTGGTCTTCAGGAGCCTTGTTGAGCTCTTCCTCAAAGTATGAATCATCGTCGGTGACCTTGCCAATCCTGATGGGCGCAGTGGCGGGCATGGTCGATTTCGCCGAGTTCTGTAGCACAATGTCTTCGACAGGAGCACTAATGGTGGGTGCTGGTGGCCAAGATGAACTTCGTTCAAGATCGACTTTAGGAATCGTGGGTATTGTTGTGCAGGTAGCACTTCGTCCAGGAATCTGGGGCGCAGCGGGTGGAGACGACATAAGTAGTTATGTCGAGGCGTAAAAGTAGGTTTCAAGAGACGCGGCTGGCGGTTGGGTGGACGCGAGCGTACCTCCAACGTGGGGTAGAACTAATTGGAGCGATACACCGACTCTGTCCGCGATACGGTGTGATGATGCTGCAATATGTACTGCCGCTTTTCACGCGCGGAGGCAGTGCAGCGAGCAACGACACCAGTACACGTCGCCACCGACGTGCCCAGATCGCCGCCGTTCTGTGTTGTTGTTATTATGAGAGGATGTTGAGGACCGCCCGTTGTGAGAAGCTTCGAAATTGTGTAGTGGGGCGAGCGGGTGATTTCTGCATGGGTCAGATTGTTCATGCAAGCGAGCGGACGGCTGCGGCGGAGAGGGCTCTTTTTCTCTCTCGAGTCGCACCGGGGCAGATATACTCTTCAGCTGCGATGGAAACCGGCGATGACTCTTTGCGGGTGCCTGCCTCACCTCGCGGCAGACACTTACCTTATATTAGACAGAAGGTCAAGCGGTTGGTAGGCGCAGCATGACAGGCAGCTGTCTCACTTGCCCTGCTCACTAAAAGGACCCATCGCCGTGTGGGAAGACGGGACGGATGGGCGACCATGGCAAAACTCAGAGTCAGAGCGCCCCCCACGCCCGCGCCCTCGCTCCCGAGCATACCGTAGCCACAGCCATTCAGCGTGATGATCATCGTCATGACATGAGGGTACCTGGCAGTCGTTCGTGATGATTCATTCACCTTGACCCGATGCAGACGCCGCCTGCCTGTCTCTGGTGGCCCGCAGGAGGCGTGCAGTAGTCGTGCATGCCGGCCAGCAATCGCATCAAAGGAATGGGCAAGACGTGGTTGGAATTATGCAGGCGATCATGCGAAGCTACACCTGCTCCCGAAGGTGGCGTCTCATACCTAGCGGTGAAGTGTGGGTGGAGACCCTGGCGTCAGCTGCTTTTTCCGCGCTTTGTGCGAAAGCTGGAGCGAGAACATGGAACGTGGATTGAATGGACTTGGAGCATGGCACGAGCGCGAGGTTGCGATGCTGGTTGGAAGTGGGGTGGGCCAGCGCTAGTCAAACCTTCTTTCCAAAAAGCCCGATGCACTGTTCTTTGTTTGGACTGGCCGGACGATTGGGTTGGAGTCTATCTCTTTGTGAACTACCTAAGGTGACTTGCCTACAATGTGTGCAACCACCAAGTGATACGGACCACCCGGCTGCGGGACTGTACAAAGCCGGAGAGGCCAACAGCCGGCGTTCACTTGAATCGACCAGCCCAGCCGCCAGCTCTCCCGTCTCGTCTCTCTCACATCGCTCTTCGTATGTCATCACGCTTACGCCCCATCACAACGTTGGAAAGCCCTATAAACTTTACCAGGTACCTAAGGTTCGTCCCCACGCCAAGAGCGCTTTGAACACGCATACCTAAAACCGTACTCCCTCGCCATTTTTGTCTCGGGCGGCAACACGCAACACGCAACATCCAAAACCGTAAAGTAATGCCTCACCCTCCGCGTGGTCCGCAAGGCACAAAGGGCGATGTAAGTCAGGTTCAACCAAACTTGAGAGACAATGCCTTGATCGACACACTGATACGAGAGGGGCAAACGAGAGATGGTGTGATGATTCCACACAACTATTGACGACATGGTGGGAGCCCTTCCAACTTCCAAGATCTCAGCCGTCCCTTCGACCAGATGATCTCGCAGCCTGATACCAAGAGTCTCGCTCAATTTATAGAATATTCGTAAATCGTGATATCTGTCCGCGTCGCCCTGGTGGCGTCTGACCACCTTTCTGTGACACCGAGACATCTGACTAATTCTCCTTCAGCYCCAGAGCCTGGTCGCCACCTGCGTTCACGACTGTCGCCTCTTCGTCCACGACCGTCGCTTCTCCGTTCACCACTGTCGCTTCGTCGTCCACGACCGTCGTATTTTCGCCGGCCCTTGCACTCATCATTCGTCGGAGTGCGCTCATCCCTTCTTCGTCCAATTCCGCTCCGTACGAAGGACGCTCCTCCGGCTCCAGATGGTCGGGCAGGATTGTGCGGCAAGTGAGTGCGARTCGCAGGCATTGCTCGGGAACTACCTTGTGCTCCAGGTACTGCTGAATCTCATACCCCTCCATCAAGACAATGTCGCCGTGGTTAAGAGTGACCACAACCAGATCGTCGGCCTTTTTCATGCGCTTCTCAAAAAGCCCCAATTCCACCGGGATCTCCTTCACTCGCTTGTTGTAGGCTTTCCTGTCGTCGCCAAGTTGCTGAAGTTCATCCCATGCAGCCAAACGCTTCTCGTATGTCTCCTGGCTGGACAGTTCCACACCATCAACCTTTCCTCCGATGCTACCGGGCACTGGGCGTTCCTTGACAAACAAACCAGTCTTGGAGCAACCCGTGTAGTGCTTCATCTTCATGCGCAGGTGCATCTTCGCTTTGCCGCCGAGGGATAGTGTGGCAATCCGAGGTCCGAGTCCTTCCTCTCCATCGTCGTGATACTCTAGCTTCTGGCCTTCCATGTACGCAAAGATCAACTCCTCGTTCAGATCTTCGTGGCCATCCGGGTCCAGAAATGTCTGTGATGCCCAGTTGAGATCTGCTCGTGCAGCACGAACAGGCCAAGGAGAGCCTTGGAAGGGTAGGCTCGCACCACTGGCGACGAACTTGTATGGCATGCCGTAGTTCATCGAGAAAGCGGTCATGAAGTCACCATCTTCAACGACGTCCTGCTTGCTGGCTTCTTGCTCTGGCTCTGGCTGTGGCTCTGGCTGTGATGTGGGAGCTTTTGAACGCTTGCCGCTGCTCGTTGCAAGATCGACTCGTGCCGAACGACTCGGAGGCTGTGTTTGCTGCGAGTCTTGTGTCTTWCCCCCGGACATCTTCTCGGCTCCAAAACGGCGTCTCTCAAGATGTAAATCCTCGCGCTGCATTGCGTCGAACATCTCATCTGCGCCACCTGGCAGTCTGTTAATGGTCGTGTTCGAGACCAGATGTATCAAAGCTCCCTTCACTCCTGGCACAGTATATCTGTATACCTTGAAACCATGCTTGAATTCCACAGACATTTCAACGCCTTGACTGCGGTCGTGCTTGTTACGAGCCAATGAAGGCCCTTCGCCTGTACTCTCCCATGGTTGATGCAGCAGTGGAATCTGAACCGGAATGTGCTTGGGAAAGTTCTCAAAAGCACAGGCTGGATTCTCGCATTTCCAACCCTTGAACAGACGTCGCGAATTACATCTTCCGCACTTCGGGCAGCACATTCCGCGAGTGTTGATTTGGGTCAGATTGTCGCCCACCATGGTCCCAACGCTAAGAACTGGTGGCTTGATGCTGAACGGCTCCGTCTCAACATCCCACTCCGTGCGGGCGAGGAGGAAGGCTGGATTAAAAGGCAATTCGCCGTATGGTGCGTCTTCGCTACTTGGCAGCTTCCAGAAGCGATCGCACTCTGGACTCAGACACATCCAGCCAGTGAGATAGACCATGGGATGTGTGGCGGAGCAATACTGGCACTCCTGTTCGAGCAGTGGCAAGACTGTCTCGTGCTCTTCACTGCGGGTGGTGGGGATAGAGCTGTCCTTTGGTGTGTTCCATGCAACTTGGGACTGGTCCAGTCGCTCGAAGCGATACCTGATGGTAGTCCAGACTTTGTTCTTCTTGCCCATCGTCTTTTCAGCCCAAACCGCCGTTGGCTTGAACCAACCAAGCACGCTGTAGCGATACGGCATTTTACAAAGTGCACCCTCACTCTTGTTGCCACAGATCACCACAAGGGGATTCTTGTGTTCAATATCGTTCATTACAGCCTTGACCTGAGCCTCCTGCATAGTGTGATGCTTCCTCTGGACGAGCTGTCCAGTGCTGTCAGCTTCCATACCACCTCCAGCGCCAGAGATGATAATGTCCGTATCCATGTACTCCCGGCAGCGAATTGCACCATCGAAGAGGAAGGCATAGACGTGGCCGTCATTCTGATGACATCCACTCTGCGGCATCTTGAAATAGGGCACGGTCTCACACAATGCCTGGCGACTGTCGGCCCACACCTGGGGTAAGCCCTGAGGATCTGGTTTTGAGTTGATGGGTCCTCGGTTTGTAAGCTTTTGCGATAGCTTCAAAAGATCAGGATCGATCAGAGATTGAAGGTCAATTGCCGCTTGATTCATGTCGCCCTCGTTCCTCTCTGCTGGTGGAGTCGGTAGTGCATTAGTAAGGACCGACTTTGGAGGTGCTGGGGCTCGTGGTGTTTTCAGAGCTGCCGTCGACTTCTCTGGGGTTGGGACTGCACTCTTTGGGGTCGCGACTATGCTCTTCGGAACCGGCATTGATTTCTTGGGGGTCGTGCGTGCGCTTCTCGGGGCGGATAATGGGCTGCCCAAGGGGGCTCCGAGTTTCTCAGGCGCGCTTAGGCGTTTGGAGTACTGAGCCTTCAGCTCTCCCTTCTTCGTGAACCAAACCGCTGGGGTCTTTAGTGTAACCATCAGCTTTGACGAGGCCTCATCTTGATCACCCACGCCTGTTTCTGGCATTGAGAGGCGCTTAGAAGTCTGCTGAGCTGGTTGTTTAGAGGCAGGCATGTTAGAAGTCGTTCTCTGGCTAATCTGGGATATGGATTGGCGCTCCTTGATGTGATAATCCTCCAGCTCCCTCAATTCATCGGCATCGGTGTCGAGCTCTGTGCTCAGATCGTCGTCGCTGTCGAGGCCATTCGGCGCCAGCTTCGCCCTGCTGAGCCTCTTGGTTATGACCTTGGCACCCTTGGCTGGCGATTTGCGTTTGTTGGTAGTGGCGTTAGGGACTTTCACAGGAGCAGAAGATTTTGCTGCGCCTCTGGCACTCTTTCTCGGCTTATCCTTAGCAGTCGTCTCAGCTTTGCGCTTCTTTGATGCGACTTTCGTAACCGATTTCACGGGTTCCGCAGCTATCTCAATTTCATCTTCTACTTGCTGCGTGTTCCCGACGGCCAGTGCAAGATAGTCTGGCCTGCTGTTACGAGCTTCTGGGCGATCACGAACATAATCGTCCGGGTGAAAAGCTGGCTCCGATGAAGCCATGTCGCGTCCGCAGTGGAACTTCAGGCACAATAGTCGGAGTGGTCAAAGATGTCTGGTGWTTGAGGGAGCAGGGAGGGCCAATCAGCCTAGTACTATGCTGGCTGTCGCGGGGCCGTACTTCCAGCGCTAAGCGGAAAGAAATACCGTGGAGGTTGCTTCCTGTGACCACAAGCGAGGAATGTCTTGCTGTGAAGTTGAAGCCTGCAAAGTTGTTTTTGGTGATGAGAAGAGAACACGTCCAGCTGAGTACTTATGCTGGCTCTCGTGGGATGCTGCTTGTGGTAGAAGTGCAATCAATGGGCAATGAAAGCTTGTTGCTGTAGCTGCCGGACCAAATTCTTGTGAAGTTGTTGATTGTGGTAGAAGAGATGGAGATCCGGCTGCGTGTAGGCACTTATGCTGGCTAGCGTGGGGACGTGCTCGTAGCAGAAGATGGCTGATGCCTCGTGAACGCTCCGTCTGGTGACTGCAAGCGAATGGCTCTGTGATGAAGTCGAAGCTCGCAGCGAAGCCTGCCCGTTATGTAGCTTATTGTGGCAGCAGTGAAGTCGGGATTCCAGATACCGAGCTATGCGCCAAAGAGACCACCTTGTAGGAGTACGATTCGCAGAAGAGCATGAGCAACGCGGTTACGTAGCAGAAGACCGAGCGGCGAAGTGACGGTGGGAAAAAGTTGCTCGGTGATGTTCTGGTCTGCTTGTAGTGGATCGAGTCACCTCAGGTATTGTTCTTTTAAGTAAATAGGCTTTGGAGTGGGGAAAGTTTAGGCATTGAATTCCGGTAGCGTGATCCGTAGAGTGAGGTGATCTGCGAACCTTGCTATAGGCCTGCAGGGAAAGCTCGGAGGCCTCGTGTGCAGACGGGTGAGAGCGAATGTCGTATATGTATTTGTGATGTGTGGTCGATGCTGCTGGCGAGACGATTCGCACGAAGAGTCTTGAAGCGTGTGAATGAGTATAAAATACCTCCATACCGAGACGAAGTGCGAAGTGAGGCAAATAGGAATTGCATGAGGAAACGGGTATTTATACAACCTATCTACAGTGCTGAGCTGCGCACATCTTTATAACTTCAAGTTGCCACCTGAAGCAGATGTGTTTGTCACGCCGGCCGCAACATCACCTGGCGGCGTTGTGCTTTGTGCAGCATCCTCGCACAAAATCTGCAAACTCTGCACTGGGCGGTCCTGTCGAGACGGTGCGTTGCAGCTCGAAGCTCTGCCTGGCCTGGAGAACGCTCGAGACACATCGTCCGCAACACTGACTTTCTCCTTCATCCGACGATGGAGACTCCGCTCGCGCTATCGGGGCTTATCCATCCAGCCTAATTAAATCGCTGCCATCTTGCTCTGTCTGCTCTTTCATTTTTCTGAACGATCATAGGTGAAGACACGTGAACGGAAGACTCATCGTTATAGGAGAAGGTGCAAAGTTGGTGGTGGTATTGAGGACGCAAATCCTTCGAGGGGGACTGATGACGCCAGGTGCCGACGCTGATTCTGGCATGCTCAATCGAGCATCAGCGTCTTGGTGGGATCACCAATGAAATCACGACGGTATTCTGCGATTCGCTGCGCAATGACTGCGACATCTTTGCCGCGATTTGTGCTGCGCAGTTCTTTTACCACGGCCGTCAGACCATCACGCCAGGCCTTTTCTTCTTCTGCGCCCTTCGCAGGGATCTTTCGCGTTCCAATTTCTCGCAACAAATCGTTATCTGGAATCAACGATCCCAAGTTAGTATCGCACAACAGGACTGGACTGGGTGCAGCGYGTATGGAGATGGAGTCAGAGCAAAGAAAATGCAGGCCGCCGTGATGATTGCGAGCCAAAGAAAGAAACTCCAGCATCGGACGTGCATTCTTACGTCGACGTTTCTTGTGTTGTTGAGTTACGTACCGGAGAGTGCCACTAGAACAGTCGTCAGTATCAGTGGATGATTTTCATAAGAGAGGGCATTCTCAACAACACTCACTCGTCTTGAAATGCTGGAACTGGCAATCTTTATCGTTGCAGCGCCCACCAATCTCGAAGGGGCATATAGGTTTCTCGTGATCGATGTTGTTGGAGTATGTTAGTGACTTGTGGCCCCCTGGTACGTTTTCGATGAAGTCAGGGTGGTATCGATATTCCTTGAAGCGAGTAAGCATGCTGGTATAAGGCTTGTAATATCCAGAAGCCGGGGCATTTTCCACGACGGCCACATGCTGATCCGCTGCGGATTGCAACTCATGAGCCACATCGTCTTCGGTGGAGGGGCGCACCGGGTCGGCCTTGGGCACGACATCGCCGCCATGATCTTGAGCCGCACTCATCGATTCGGGCCGGTCGGAAGATGCCTGCGCAGGGTTTTCCTCGGGCTCATAGTCCTCGGAAGATTGATCATCAGACGAGTTGGAGTCAGAGTCCGAGTCGTCGGAAGAGATGTCCATTGCTTCATTGTTGTCGTCATCATGCTCGTCACGGTCTTGCTCTGTCTCAACTGGATGTGTCCGATCACCAGCGATAGGCTGTTGGGGCGCGTGGGCAGTCGATGGCTCGTACATGTCTTCATCAGAATCATCGTCCAGAACCTCTCTGTCTTCGGTGCCGTTCCCACCTCTGCCGGCGTCTGGAGCGACCTCGATGGCGTCCGATTCCTGTTGTGCAAGTTTTATGTTCTCAAGCTGTCCATTGTTCATGCCAGTGTTGGGTCCCACAGCATTGGCCATGGCAGCGTCCATTTCAGCAGCGAGCTGTGAGCTTGCTGCATCTGGGTTRGAAGTTACACTGTGCGTAGTGGCCTGTGAGCCAATTCTGCCACTGTCAGAGCTGATTTGCAGCCTCGTGTCCGTACCGCCAGTGGCACCAAATGCCGCAGGCTCATACGATTCGCCTTCTTCATCGCCCGACTCCTCGGCCTCAACGTTGACTCTTGGCCCTGACGACTGTTCATCGGCGAACGAATCAAGAGTTTCGGGCTCGTACAGGTCACCATCGTCATCGTCGTCCTCGTCAGTGGCGACCATCGTCTGTTCTTCCGATTGATCAGGTGCAGAATGAGCCGTTGTTTCAGAAGTCGGTAATGGAACGTTTGATGTGGCAGGCAACTTGCGTCCCAAGCTATCCTCGAGCTCTTGCAARCGTTTCCGCAGCGCCTCCTTCTCCTGCTGCTTGCTTGAGAATGGAGCAATCGATGGCGATTGTTGGCCCATCTCCGCAGCCGGTGTGGCTGCGTCTGACAAGGACATGCTCGATCGAGCAGTCAGGGCTGCGCCAGGAGATTGCGTAGACGGCGCTTGCGTACTGGCAGTAGGTTTGCCATTGACCTTCCTCCGCTTCAGCTCCTCCAGCCTCTTCTTGGCTACCTGAAGCTCCTCGAGTTTGCGCTTGAGGTCGATAGATGGTGTTCCAGGCGTTGATACAGCCCTCTGAGGATCGACCTTCGCGGGAGGAAAGTCTGGGAGTAGACCGATAGGGCGAGCAGGGAGCGATTTCGATTCTGACCCGGGCGACTGCTGGCCAGTGCTGTCGTCGGTATCCATTTCTGAGCCATCATCTTCATCACTACTTGTCTCAATGATAAAGGCCTCATGCTGCATGCCGTTCTCGCCGAAGGGTCGCTTGGGAGCACTTGGGCCGCCCCATGGCGCTTGTTGACCACTCACAGGTCGCGGCCGCAGCTGATTCAGCGGTGCAGGCGATTTTGCAGGGCTCTGCGTGGGCACTGCTGCAGCAGCTGCGACATCTTGAGCCTGCGCAGGTACCTGGGTGCGAGGCAGTTCGACTGGAAGCCTAACGGGCGAAGACTCCTGCTGCACAGGGGTTCTGGTCGTGAATAGACCCGGTAAGCCAGATCCACGTGCGATGGAGGGCGATGCCGCAGCTGAGGTTCGAGGCGGGAGCTGATGTGTCGTTTCCCGATCAACTACGACGGGTGACGATCGTGTCACTGTTGGTAATGCAGGCATCACGGTCGCATGAGGTTGACTTTGAGTCTGATGCAGAGTGCCTTCTGCTCGCCAAGACGTAGTTTCCGGCATGCTGGCATCGCTAGACAATTTCTGGGCATTATGGGCTGCTGCTCGCTCAGCCTGGAGTTTTGCCAGCCTCTGTCTGACTAGTTCTGTGTCGAATGTAACCCTTGTAGTTCGTGCAGCGCCGTTCGTACGCGAGGAGTCGACAACCTGCGAGGCTGGAGCTTGTGAGGCAGAAGCACCGGCAGACTGGGGGATGGCGGACTGTTTTCCTGCTGCATGCTGTAACGTTTCCGTGGTTGCTGACGCGTGCTGTGATGGAGGCCGCACGGCTGCGGGCGTCGTAGGGCTCTGTACATGATTAGTCGTTGGCGATTCCAACACTGGTTCAGACTTCTTGTTCTTCGCGGCTTGCAATTTGGCCAAGTAGGAAGCACGATCCGGCTTAGCAGCTGCCGTTGTATTTGCAATTGTCTTGACAGCAATTTGCGGTCTTCCTGGCGTCGGGAGCTGTGCCTTAGCCTGTGTGCCTGGAACAGCAGTGTTCACGGCGCCATTGAAGGCGACACGCGGCGCGATGCTCTGTTTTGCGCTTGCCGAGGGCTCGCCCGATTGTGACGGCAGGGGAAGCCCGATCTGCTGGTACAAGTTCCTTAAGGATGGTGTATTTCCAACTTCACGCGCCAGGTYTTCGAACCCATAGCCAACTCGGTGCAACTCCAACACGAAAGCTTTAACAGCGATACTCGGCGGAGCGACATCTGTGACTGGCGCGGAAGCAGGCGCATTTCGACTCTCAACGACCTTGGCAGGATGATCAGCCACATGGCCACCATCGGACGACTGACCATTGCGTATTATTGAGGTAGGCTGGGCAGGGTGAGGTCGAGATGGTGCAGCTTGAGTGCTGTTCACTTGAGTGACATGTGCCTGGACACTGCTGTCCGGTACAGAGGAACCGTACAGTGCATGTGTACTCTGTGCTCCCTCATCATCCTCAAGCTCGCCTTCTTCCCTGTCCATATTCACACCAACATCTCCACCATTCAACGGCGCGGAGGCTTGGGGGGTCACTGCTGATGCGGGAACGGGGGCAGGAGGAGGGCCAACGGCGGGGATCGAATATGCACCTGGACCTGGCGGTGGTAGGGTGAGCTGCCCGCTCTGTAACAAACGCGCAATTGTCATTAGCTCTGCGGCAGAAATGTTGATATTGAGAGCCGAGAGATCAACGCCGGGCAGGCCTGCATTTTGTTGAAAAGCCATTTGTTGTGGCTGATTGGGTACTACAGGTGTACCGTTGGTGAGAGGTGGTGCCGGAGCATGATTCTGCGGTGGTGGTGGTTGTTGGTTTGGCGCCGGACCACCGAAGTAGAAGGCGGGTCGCTGCGAAGACATTGTCGTCAAGCAGCGCAAGGTCTGGGGAACACGATGTCGGCGTTACAGCCTAAAGTCATGTTGACACGCGCCGTCTCTCGCCCTCAGTCCGCACCCTCCGCGCGCTTCTCCAGCAGCGGGTACACTTGACACTGTGCTGGCGCGTGGGACGTGGGTGGGAACTGGTCAGGGCGATCTCGCGACAAGACGGGTTTCGCGTAACGACTGCGTGCGCGCAGCCTTTACAGCAGTCTCACACGCTCGAATGGCTGTGGAGAAGGAATTGTCGATGAGATGCGAGCGACGTGATGTCGTGATGTGATGTTCTTGAAGAAATCCCCGAATGTTGGCTTACCGTTACCTAATTCTGGCGGTCGGCTCGTTAGCCTGTTTTGCCGTTTCGCCTCCCATTCGCGTTGCCCCGCGGATACTCCCGTCTGTTTACGACGCCGGCCGTGTTTGGTTTGACCCGGCAAAGGCACGTCCAACGTCAACGTCTCGCACACGCGCGTGGCTTTGCTCATTTCACGACCAAATTGTACATAAACGCACTTGCGTCCGGATAACGACCTTTAGTTCCTTGCGAATACTCCTTTTCATGGCCCGGTAAACTCCCGGCCATCGCGCGTTCGGACAACACGCGCATGCGACGACTAAACGAAGGTATAGAGGGCAGGATGAGTGCTCAGGCTCAAGACGGGCCTCGATGGCGCAACAGTCCATTCGGTCGCGATGCAGACACTCCCTCACCAGGACTACCACCAGGACACGGACGATCACATTCCAGCATTATGCAGTCTCCGACAGAGCTGGCGGGACACGTGCGTAATCAGTCTTTGACAGACTTCAAACTGCCCGGACTGGGTAGATCAGACTCGCGAAGACTACGAGCTGGCTCAGAGCGTAACGGAACTCCAACAGGGACGTTTGCGCCACGGTTCATTAAGAGCGAAGAGACAGACGAAGGCGCCGAGCGGGTAAGAGGCATTGAGGGCGAGAATGACTTCTCGGGAAAGAGATATGTTTGGCTACGTGATCCTGCGACTGCCTTCATGCGTGGATGGGTGGTGGAAGAGCTGCCCGGAGACATGCTCAAAGTGCAGTGCGACAATGGCAACCAGCGAGATGTGGCAGCAGACTCAGTGGACAAGGTCAACCCAGCCAAATTCGACAAGGCAGACGACATGGCCGAGCTCACCCATCTTAACGAAGCTAGTGTTGTCTACAACCTGCAGCAGCGCTATCAGGCCGACCTCATATACACCTACTCCGGCTTGTTCCTCGTCACGGTCAACCCGTACACCCCTTTGCCCATCTACGGACGCGACTATGTCAACATGTACAAAGGTAGAAGTCGAGAGGACACAAAACCGCATATCTTTGCCATGGCAGATGAAGCATTTCGGAATCTGATTGATGAGGGCACTAACCAGTCCATTCTTGTGACCGGAGAGTCTGGTGCAGGAAAAACAGAGAATACTAAGAAAGTCATCCAATTCCTGGCTTCTGTAGCAACCTCGGACACGCCGCGAGCAAAGAGCAGCGGCCGTCAACTATCGAATCTGTCCGAGCAGATATTGCGTGCCAACCCGATTTTGGAAGCTTTTGGTAACGCACAAACAGTCCGGAACAACAACTCCTCTCGATTTGGAAAGTTCATCAGGATAGAATTCACCCGGGCTGGTCAGATCGCAGGGGCATACATTGACTGGTATCTGCTGGAGAAAAGTAGGGTCGTGCACGTCAACCCCAACGAGCGCAATTACCATGTCTTCTACCAACTACTGCGTGGCGCAGACCCGGCCATGCGGCGGGCCTTTATGCTTGACAATATGGACGTCGAAGACTTTGAGTACACCAGGCATGGAAACGACATTATATCAGGCGTTTCCGACCAAGACGAGTGGAATTCGCTGCTTGAGGCGTTCCACATCATGAACTTTTCAGACGATGACCAAACGGCTGTCCTCCAATCGATAGCAGGCGTGCTTCATCTCGGGAATATCTCTGTCATGAAGGAGAGCCTTCGAGCAGATCAAGCAGCGTTGGCCCCGGACTCTGCAGAGGCTGTGCGTCGGACATGCCATCTCCTTGGTATCGATACACAGTCATTTGTGAAGGCTCTGCTGCATCCTCGAGTGAAAGCAGGACACGAATGGGTCGAGAAGGTCCAGACGCCGGAGCAAGTCCGACTCTCGATCGATGCCTTGTCCAAGGGCATTTACGAGCGCGGCTTCGGTGACTTGGTCGACCGAATTAACCGTCAGTTGGATCGCACTTCGTCTGGAGCCTATGCCGATGATACCACTTTTATTGGAGTCCTGGACATTGCTGGCTTTGAAATTTTCGAGGAGAACAGTTTTGAGCAGCTGTGCATCAACTACACCAACGAGAAACTTCAGCAATTCTTCAATCACCATATGTTTGTCCTGGAGCAGGAAGAGTATGCGCGAGAACAAATCGAGTGGAAATTCATCGATTTCGGTCGCGATCTCCAGCCCACAATCGACCTCATTGAGCTACCAAATCCCATCGGCATTTTCTCGTGTCTAGATGAAGACTCTGTGATGCCCAAGGCAACGGACAAATCCTTCACCGAGAAGCTGCATTCGCTTTGGGACCGCAAGACCCCAAAGTACAAGCGCTCGCTGTTGAATCAAGGGTTTATGCTCACACATTACGCCGCAGAGGTCGAATACTCAACTGAAGGCTGGTTGGAGAAGAACAAGGACCCTTTGAACGACAACGTTACACGTCTGCTGGCTGGCTCGAGCAACGAGCATGTGGCACGTCTTTTCGCCGACTGCGCCGTTGTTGAAGATGTTGAAGGAGCTGCACGCAGTCGGGTGAAGAGAGGTCTGTTCCGCACCGTTGCGCAGCGACACAAGGAACAACTCTCAACTTTGATGAACCAGTTGCACTCCACGCATCCTCATTTCGTACGTTGCATCTTGCCGAACCACAAGAAGAGACCCAAACAATTCAGCTCTCCACTCGTCTTGGATCAGCTTCGCTGCAATGGTGTGCTCGAAGGCATCAGAATTGCGAGAACTGGCTTTCCCAATCGACTTCCTTTCGCCGAGTTCCGTGCACGCTATGAGGTCCTGTGTCAGAATATGCCCAAGGGCTACGTTGAAGGCCAGGCGTTCGCCACGCTCATGCTCGAAAAGCTCAACATGGATCGCAGCTGGTACCGGGTCGGCCTTACGAAGGTCTTCTTCCGCGCGGGTGTGCTCGCTGAGCTGGAAGAGAAGCGCGACTCCCTCATTCGCGACATCGTCGTCCGCTTCCAGGCCCTGGCCAGGATGTTCGTCCAAAGACGCATCTTCAGGAAGCAGCAGTACCGCGCCGAGGCAACGCGTGTCATTCAGCGTAACTTTCAGGTCTACCTTCAGATGCAAGCAAACCCCTGGTGGCAGCTGTTCGCGCGGATGCGCCCACTGCTCGGTGCCACAAGACAGTCAAATGAGGTCAAAAAGAGAGAAGAAGAGATCAAACTGCTCCAGGAGAAAATGGTCGCAGAGGAGGCCCAGCGCGCAAAGGTTGAAGACGAACGTAGGCGCGCTGAGACGGAGGTTCAAAAGATCCAGCACACTCTTGAAAGTGAGCGTGCACTCGCTCTGGACAAGGAGGAAATCTTCCGCCGCCTCCAAGACCGTGAAGCTGAGCTCACCGAGAAATTGCAGGGTGCGCTCGATGACCAGGACGGTCTGGAGGAGCAAATAGATGAGCTCTTGGCTGCTCGCAAGATGGCTGAGGAGCAAGCCGAGGAGCGTAGGAAACGTCTTGATCAAGCCACTCAGATCATCGAGAAGCTAGAGACCGAAAAGCACAACCTCGCTGGTCGTATTTCCGAGCTGGACGCTCATTTGGAAGAGATTGAGAACACCAAGGCCATGCGAAGCGAACAGGAGGAGGCGCTCCAGCAGGAAATTCGAATGCTGCAGAGCCAATTGAGCCTGAAAGATCGCAAGCTACAAGACCTGGAAGCCAAAGCTCTGAAGACAGACCAAGATCTGGATCTCAAATTGGACGCTGCGACGAAGGACCTGCAGGGCTCGAGGAAGCAGATCCGTGATCTGTTGGATGAAAACAGATCAATCCGCCAGCAGATGACCGACCTTTCAGCGACCTCGACCAGCTTTGAGGACCTCATCAAGCGCAAAGACAGCGAGCTGGCCATTCTGAGGACTGATATGAAGCGATATCAGGATGACCGCAAGCGATTCGAGGAGGAGAAGTACAGTCTGACCGCACAGCATGGTAGTATTCAAAGCCGTTTGCGTGACGTTCTGGCTGAGATGGAGGCTGTCAAAACTCAGCATGCACAGCTGCAGCGTGAAGCCGCAGATGCAAAGCGGGCTTTGGAGGAGCAAACGTCCTCGAATGAACAAGCCAAGATGCTCGAGGCCCAGATTCACGACATCAAGGGTGAACTCTTCCAGACGCAGACAGACCTCAGCCGTGAACGCCAATCCCGAGATGACGTGAAACGTATCGCGGCCGCAGAATACGAGTCCTTGAAGCGCGACCTGGATTCTCTCAAGGAGTCAAAAGTGACTGTTGAGAAGGAGATGTATGTGCAATCTGACCTGACAAGGCGCGCTACCGCCGCTCGAGAGACGGCGGAGAATGAACGCAAGGAGTACCAAGCGGAACTACAGAGCCTTCGAAAGAAGTTCATTGATATGCAAGAGGCCAAGATCGACGCTGAAGCCGTTGTGGAACGCGATCTAAATCGTCAAGCAAATGAGMGCCTTTCCAACATGCGCCGTGACTTGGATGAGAAGATACAGCAAGCCGAGCAGTTAGAAGCCGAACGTGGGCAGCTTGCAGGCGAGGTGCAGCGATTGAAGAGATTCATCTCCGACTCTGACAACTTTAAGCTTCACCACGATCAGGAGAAGCTTCGTCTCGAGCGCGAGCTGGTCACCGTCAAGGGCCGTCTGACCGCATCCGAGAACGACAACCGTGCGCTCTTGAACAAGGTGCAGCAAAAGAATCTTGACATTGCTCGCTCCAACTCCAAGGCCAGCGACAGCCAGCGCGGTCGTGTGGCGCAATTGCTGGCTGAAAAGGCCAAGTCCGATGAAGAAGCGAAGAAGCTTCTTCGCCAGCTCAACGACGCGCAGCTTACAATCACCTCGCTTGAGAAGCAGAAGGAAAAGCTTTCACTGAACCTTGAAGATCTCAACCACGAAGTCGATCGCGAGCACAAGTCAACTCGCAATGCAGAGCAGCAGGCTTCCACCGTCAGCCTTCAGCTTGCTGAAGCCAACCGAAAGCTGGAGACTGAAAGACAGCTCCGCTCGCAGGCAMAACAGAACACGCGAACCGTGCAAAACTCTCTTGRTGCTGTACACAACGAGCTCAATGAAGCCCACGGCCATCTCCAGCTCCTACAGAAAGTCTTTGATCCGGAGCATGGTCGACTGCCGTCCAATATCGATGGGGCGAAGCCTGATCTTAAGCAGACCATCGATCTGGCCAAAAAGCTGGAGGCATCAGAAAGCGCTTTACGGCTTGCTACCGATCGATTCTCAAAGGCAGAGGCCCAGCTGGAGAACAGCAGGGCCCAGTACCAAGAGGAATTGCAGGAGAACGATAGTCGCCATCAGAACTCCAAACGTGCTCTGCTCGAGGAGATGAACGCAAGCCAGGTTAACGCACGAGCTTCGCCAACCAACCTCCGCCGCGAGTGGGACAGCCGCAAGCCATTCTCGCCAGCACCTGTCGGCGGCACTCCTACCACTCAACGACATCTGAGCAAGGCTAGCAACGACTCTACTCGCTCAGACCGCACCGTGGACACTGTAACATACAACAACCGCATGGATCTAGCGGCTGAAGTGGAGCTGCTTCAAAATCAATTGCAAATGTCCGAGATGCAGAATCGTCATTTGCAGGCACAGGCCGAACGCACTCCAAGCAAGAGCAACTGGCAAGATGACAGTCCTTCTGTTCGTCGTGTCCAGAAACTCGAGCGTGAGAATTTCCGCCTGCATGATATGCTGGATGATTCGGCTAAGAAGGTATCCGTGCTTGAGCACAGCATCCGCACTGGCCAACTCTCCCTGAAGGAGGTCCAAACGAAGAGCCACGAGGAACTGTACGACCTGATCAACTCTCAAGAACAATCTCGCCGTACTCTTTTGACTTCTCACAATACTGCCATATCTGAACTAGCAGACGCCAAAACTGCATTCGACGACATCAAGCAGCACAAGGCATCGGTGGAAAWTGAACTGCGAGACGCAAAATCCGAGCTTGAGGATCTCACCTATGAGCGAGAACAAGAGGCCGCAAACCACTCGCAGCTGTTGCAAGAGTTCTCCGACATGCAGATCCGCCTTGATGCTGAGTCTTCGAGAAGCGAAGACCTTGCYGGAAGCATGAATTTGTACAAGGCAAGAGCTGACGAATACTTCGGGAAGCTTGAGCAGGCAGAGATTGCAGTTCTCAAGGCATCCCGTGCCGAGCAGTTCGCCAAGTCGCAGGCAAAGGAGGCGGAAGAAACCTGTGCAAGCATCATGTCCGAGCGCAAGCAGTTGGACATGCTGGTGGAGGATTTGCAGCGCCAGACTCAACAGTACGAGGAGAAGCTGGAGGATGTTTCAACTGATCTCCAGAGCGCTCTGCAATCTAAGAAGCGCCTTCAAAACGAGCTAGAAGACTACCGCTCGCAACGAGCAATGGATCTCGAGGACAAGGAGACTTCGATGGAGCAGACCCGGAAGAAGTATCAAGGCGAACTCGCCTCGCTGACAACTGAGCTTGAGATCGAGCGCGACAATGTCATTCACTCCAGAGGAGAAAATGGTCGCCTTCGCGATGAGTTGGAGGAGCTCAGGAGCAAATGGGACGATGAGGTACTCAATAGCTCGACATGGGCCAAGGAAAAGTCTCGACTTGAGGTGACGCTCCAAAGCCTGTCGGACTCTCGTGACGAGGCCGTCAACGCCCACAACGACGCCCAGAGCAAGGTCGTCGAGCTACTCGGCCAAGTACGCGGTCTGCGAACGAACGTAGACGATATCGCGGCCGAGCGCGATATGCTCGCCAAAGAAAAGAAGGGTCTTGAAAGTCGTCTCGCTGAGGCTGCCAGCCGTCTTGACGACCTGTCCGAGAACGGCTCGCCTTCGAAGCGATCTGCAGCATCGTCTGATAGGGAAGTCTTGGATCTCAAGTCAAGACTCGCACATCAAGAGGACATTGCAGCGGCTGCAGTTGGCAAGATGCGCCGTGCTGAAGCACTTGCTCAGGAGGTGCAGCGAGACATTACCAATGAGCGCGAAACCAGCGTGCAGCTTCACAAGTCCAAGGCAGCGCTTGAGAAGAGCCTCAAAGACCTTCAGCTCAAGTGCATCGATCTGGAGACCAAGGGATATTCCAGCGGCAGCCAAGACGTTCGTTTCTTACACGGCAGAATCCAGGAGGTAAGCATCCCGATCACGCTCAAACTTCATCATACCTCAGCACTAACACATCACCCACCAGCTCGAAACATCTCTCGAATCGCTCGAAAACACGCGCACAAGTGAAGCCCGCAGCGTCCGCAACGTCGACCGCACGGTCAAGGACCTCCAATCCCAGATCGAACGCCGCGACAAGGCAGCGCAGATGCTCACCGACGACTTGCACAAATCCCGCGACAAGGTTGAACGTCTGTTACAGACCATTGATGAGCTACAAGCAAGTGACTCCGGCGCGCAGCTAGCTACCAAGCGCGCTGAACGTGAGCTCCGCGAGGAGCGTGAGAAGAATCTCCGACTGGAGCGCGAGTTGGAGCGCATGGGCGCCGTCTCCCGTGCTGATCGCGAGAGTGTGAGGCGGAGCACCACGCTGGCTGCCATCAGTGATGGCAGTGGGAACCGCAGCAGGAGAGGGAGTTCAGTGGCGCCCGGTAGCGTCAACGGGGATGTCAAGATCGAGGTTCCGGCAAGAAAGAGCAGTCTCACCAAGGGTTTTTTGTAGGGAGCGAGGCGCAAATGAAGGAGTTTGGGCGCAAATAATGTCGGAGGCCTTCTTGTAAATGCTTTGAACGATACGATATGGATAAATGGGTAACAATGGGTGGATATCTGCTGGGTCTGCTYCTGGGAATGACTGGGAGGACCGTTTGATGATGGCTCGATAATGAGTGCGGCTGTATATTTCGTAAATGCATCTATGCATGCTGTCTCTTGATCATGAATTCATGAACCGTGATATCGTTACTGGCTACAAAGCGGTGGCAAAAGCACGGATGCTGAAATAGATGATKCCCGCCATGATAGCAGTGCTCAATAGCAATACCTGACCTGTCCTTACAAGCAGGAGATATGAGGGGATTCCAACGAGGATCTCCAATCTTCTTGCCACCTTGCGTCTTTCTTTCCAGCCCTCGACGACCTCGAATGGTTGTGGCCTCACGGGCAGACGCGTTTTATAGATTCCAAAAGACATGATGACTGGGCGATGGTCGCTCGTGGGTTGCACAGCCAGCGCTTTGTAAAAGTACACAATTGGCGATGGGTCGGAGACGTACAGGATGCGATCACACCAGGACGGCATCCTATGGTTCGCCCAGAGCCAGACTTGCTCCTGTATACTGTCGATGTTGACTGCCGGGGCTGAGTTGCACCTGCCCTTAGGGCCCTCCTGGCCGGCACCGGTATTTGGGACTCTGGCGTTAGCAGCGGCCAACTCCTGTGCTTTGGAGGAGTATTTGTAAGTGGGGGGAAATGTGATGGGTGCTTCAGTCAAATGATGCAGAGTCCGTCCTGCTCTGAGCTCCCGAGTGAGTTGATCCTTTTCGAGAAGATGCTTATGATGATGGGGATCTTCATCCGCCGCCATGGGCTGAGGCCAATTGACGGAATCCTCAGGTTTTGGTGCTGTGTCGGATGTTCGATAATTAAGGTCGCCGGCAAAGAAAATGTATGAAGGTAAAGGCGTAAACAGAGCATGTTCATGGTCTTTGAGGTCTTCTGCCGCACGTTCTCGTCGACTCTCGGCCAGAAGGGGCTCTGTGTCTGCCTCTGTCCGACTGGCGCCTGCACTGCTTGGCTGCGGACGCTGCTGCTCCACCCTCCCTCTTTTCCCATCTGCCTGCTGCCAGACATGAGGCTCGACCAGCTCAAAGACCAAATTTTCGCAAATCYTGCGCCAGTCTGCGTTCCGGCGCTCGCACTGCTCTTCACCCGGCGCCAGATGAGCCGAGACGAACGTCAGTTGCACGCCTTCCGTTGCCAGTCTAATAGCCACAGCACCCTTGTTGCCCATGTCCAGCACTCCCACACCAGTTCCGGCTGTTTGCACCGTGTCGATGAGAGCCTTGACCTCCCGACGTGCAAAGACCATGATGCCTGTCATGCCGACACTGCGGACCAACACCTTTTCATAGCATATTTCCCTTGTATAACTCCATCTTGCGGCAAGAGAAACTGCTTTGCAGAAACGCTCGTAGTACGGCTTGGTGAAGCGGTCACCCAAGAAGCTGGATCCGATCGGTGCGACTTCTTGCAGCGCGAGGACGATGAACCCGGGCGGAGCCTCGAACGGCTTGAGCGCGCTGTGCAGTGACGAGGCAAAGTAGTCGACATCGATCAAGGTTCGTCCGCAGTTGAAGGTCGTGATGCAGCAGTGGAGAGGGACATCACGGTGCGTSAGCACCATCGTGAGCGTGAGGTTTCTGGTGCAACTTCGTTATGTCTARTTCTCTGTATGCATGTAACTATGTTCGTAGCACGCGAGGTGGAAGCAAGATCAACGAGGCACATGAAAGGCACGCTAGTGCTTGCTTCTTAAGGTACGATACTTCGCCCTGCAATCCATCGTGACTTCCTACCTATTTGCTAGATACTGCGTCATTTGCGTATACCATTTGACGCCATTTGATAAGTACTTTACAGTAGAACTACATGTACCTAGCTGCGCCTCTCAATCTTTAGGTTTCCAAGGTTGAATGCCGAGATTGTTGCCAACACCCCATCTGCGTACTAAAATCTTACCCAATTTCTCGATTAAAGGACGGGAACGCTAATTTAGCACACTTGATAGAGGCAACTTGAGCCTGTAGGTATATGTACAAGGGCACTTGCCCTGACGGCATGGCATCCGACAAACATCTGCAACCATGCACTTCTCTTCCACGCTCGCAGCTCTATCCACAGTCCTCCTCGCCAACGCGGCACCACAGCTACCCACAGGCTGGGAAGCGCCAACCTGCACAGACGGCGGCCAACTGCACTGCTGCTCGGCAACATTCGCGGGAGATCTTGCGCCTGTTACGCTCCTTTCCGACTTGGCATGCTACGATTTGACTCCTGCAGACACGAATTGCATCATAAGTGAGTGATAACTTTGACGGAAATCCATGAGACTTGAAACTCCTGTCTAATACCTGTCTAGCAAATGCACCTATAGATCCGCTGGTGGGATGTAAAGGAGTGTGGTCGTGCTGTCAGGTCAACACTCTGGCCCCACTGTTGGGCATCTTCTGCTCCGACCCACCAGGAGAATGTGTCGGCGACGAGGCTCCCCCGAGGTGTCTGGACGTTTTGAACGATCGATTTGGGCATTGTCCGGCGAACGGAGGGGGACTTCTTGGAGGAATCTTGTAGAAGGTGGAAAAGTAATCGAGAACTAAAGAGGGGGAAAGTCGTGAGATTGGACAGCCCAGCAGATCTCCATGAACACTTGGTCWTCGTTTCATGCCTCCTCCTCATCCTCCTCGTCATCTTCAGGCTCAACTTCAACGCACCCTGTTATATCGTAACGATCCCCTGGGGCCGACTGCGAGACATATTTGACAAATTTCAAGGTGCCACGGTCCCGGAGCACGAAGCTCATCGTGTTCCAGCTTGCGGCATTGCTGAAAAGGATTCCATCATCCTCGTCGTCTCCAGCTGCCTGATATACAGCTGGATCAGCCTTCTTTCTCTTCGCTGGACGGCGCTGACCAGCGCCCGTGTGCGACTGCACATTTGCTGGAATGTTCACACCATCGTCGGATCCATCGTCTTCGTCGTCTGGGTCGTCTCCGGCCATGTAGAGTTCATATCCACCAACCGTATCTTCCTCCTCGGCCTCGGGCTTTTTGGCATTGCCCTTCACCTCGTCCTCTCCTTTCTCTTCTTCTCCACCCCAGCCGATGGTAGGTGTGATGCAGAGGGTGTACTCCAATTGCGGGTCTTCGCCTTCATAGCCTTGTGCCAACTGGTAGTCGAGTCCTTTGCGGAATCTTCTGGCGATTATGGAAGACCGCTTTAGTGTCAACCCTGTGACAAGAGCCAGCCATTTACGGAAGGCTAAGCTTGGGAGGAGATCATCCAAGACTTGCTTCAAAGGTGAGTCGGCCTCGCTGTCACCGGGCTGCGATTTGATATATTGATATCGATGCTTGTGGGGAGGTCGTGAGGTGGAGAATGGCAGGGAGTGGTCGGGATTAGCTTCAAACCACGCTTTCAAAGATGCCGAGAATCTGTCACTCAGGAAGTTCGACAGCTGTAAGATGGACTCCTCGGTGAATAACTCGTTCAGTTCTTCAACAGTGTCCGGGGTTAGATAGTTGGGAGTCATGAACTTGATCAAGAACTGCAGATCTTCAGGAGTGAGCTCCACGTCGTCGTCCTCGGCTTCTGCCTTGGTAGTGGTATCCGGATTGGGTCCAAGCCACTCTTGTTGAGGCTCGTCGAATTCATCGGCTTTGCCTTGTAGCTGTTGCAAGGAACTCTTCTCCGCCAGTTTCTCCTCCAGTCCAGGTTCGAAGCCGTCCTCGCCTTCCTGCGGTATGTGAAACCACCCGCTGATCGCCATTCGAAATCTGCCACCATCGTCCTCTGCCTGGTTAATGCTCTTGTACACTTCCTCGACATCATGGAAGCTTTCACCCGGCTGAACAGCAAAGAACGAAAGTTGATTCCACGCTGGCGGTATGACCTTGGTCCATTCGGATCGGGGTAGCTTGAAGGTCTTTCCATCCTCGCCACTCACGTCCTCTGTAGGATACAGGCGAAGTGCTCCGCCCCATTGAGCCTTCCATGGCTTATCTGGATCCGTGAGGTAGAGAATATAGCYCACTCGGCGGCTACCGATAACATCGTCGTGGCATAGCAGATGGCATCCGGGTACGTAGAGGTTGACAGCCATATCGGTCTTCTTTCCGGAGAGCGCCCCTGCGCCTGAGACAGATGAGACCCATTCCCGGAAGTCCTGGCCATATAATGCATCTCGTAGCTTCAGCATCGAGGGAAGCTTTTCCAGCGCCGCAGCTGGAAGGCCGTCCAGATTCGCCAAGTCTCCAGATTGGTGGATCTTATAGATGTCTGTTTCTTTGGGCGTGAAATGGATGTTGTTGACAATTTCGGATCTAACAGAGCGGAGTAGGTCATCGTTGATCAACTCCGTGACTACGGCGTGCTTGTATGGGCTGGACTTGGCATACTCGTCCGCATACCCTTTGACGGTGGCCGGGTCAAACAGTCCTTCCCGGAACCGATCCTGAGTTGCTCCAGCTTCAGTGGCACGCTTCTTGCCATTGCCATTGGAGGCTACCGCCCCAGCTTCTGCTGCCTTTCGCTTCATTTTGACGATTGGTAAAGGTGTAGTCGAGACAAAAAAGTTAGTGGATGYGGATCGATTGGCTGAGCTTGTTAGTCAGCGGATGCAGTGGTCGATCATTCATCCCTGGTGATGCGCTTGATCAATCTCGACGATTTGATACATTAAACATCGGTCAGGACTTGCGCGGCATAGTCAGACGCGAAGGCTCCATGTAGCCGGAGACGTCTTGTGATGGCTTTTGCCCTGGCCGACTGCAGTCTGGTCTCGTCTGCAGGAACAACGCGATGCTAGAGCGCAATCGAATCAACTTACCAAAATGTGGAACGGGTTGTTTCAATCAGCGCTACGTGTGTACATCGCTCAGGGATGCGACAGGCTCGGCCTGTCCTCGTACATGATGAGACCTTGTACACTGAGATTAGCAGACCTCGACAACGCAACCGCGCATCGACCACAGACTGCTGGCGATCCTCGCCAACCAAACGGCCTTGATAGGCGCCACTCGAAACGATGCTTTTAGCGAGCCAGCTCCAGGCGGGTGATCAAATTCAACGCACGGACAGCGAAGCAAGCAGAGCAGAGAATGGAAGGCTTTTGTGTGAGCGCGTCTTGCGTCAAAGCGACACCCTGTAGGAGGTAGACTGGTGTGTGACACTTGACAGCCTACTTTTTAAATAGGTACGCAGCATTCCTCTCGACGTCTCCGTGGCTACAATTTCCACGATCTGCGCTTTCCACTTCTCACCTTTTCTTCCAGGCGCTCTTGCTTCTTGCTGCAGCTACGGTTTTAACGACGCGTCCGGCACACTCTGCACCGAGCTATATTCTGCATCTGGCGCGTGACATCAACGAAAGTATCTCTCTTCGGACAAATCAGCCTATCGCCAGGGTAGAGCTCTCACCGCTAACGGAACAAAACTCCGGCCAACTACTACTACACGACCCGAGCGATAACACTGCATTCTCTGTGATCTTTCAGACCACGCACCCGATTTACCGCCAACATCATGGGCATTCTTGACAAGGCCGTCAACCGCGACGGTTCGGGGGGGTTTGCCGGAGGTCTCATCCGCCTTGTTATCCGCTTCTTCCAATTCGTGCTCGCACTTACCGTTGCCGGCCTCTACGGAGTGGTATGTGTGGCGTGCCATCATTCAGCCTTGCCCACCTCTAATTCCTTATAGGATCTCCAAAGAGCGAACTACGCCGACGGAAAATGGGTCTTCGCTGAAGTCGTGGCCGGTCTTTCTGCCGTGACCTGTCTCGTTTATGCCGGGCTCTTCTTCGTTCCCAGCGAGAAGTTCTTCGCTTGGGACTGGGTTCTATTGTAGGTGTTCCCATGTCCCTCTTTCGACAAATCTAACCATCGCGTCTCGCAGCATCCTCTGGGTTGCGCTCTTCGGCCTTTTCGGTAACATGTACATTGGCGAGCACCCAACTCCCAAACAAGGCGGCGTTCGGCGGATGAAGAATGCGGTTTGGGTCGATTTGACGAACATGCTGCTCTGGCTCTTGACGGCCGTGTGGGCTACGGTGTCGTTCTTCCGCGCCAGAGGATCGCGAACACTTCACACCGGTCGAGCCAAGGTCTAGGAGGGCACTGCTCCGATCGGTACGCTGCAAGAGAATGGCATTGTTGAACATACTGCGGCGGCCATCAGGCAGTAAGAGGTTTTGCGTGGCAGAGACGGTTTCTGGTGGATTGATTGTGGTGTTTTATACCCCTGCTGTACTTTAGCACTGGCACATGGTTTTCGTGCATGATCGTAACGGTTCCATCTGATGAACGTGTTTGCGAGTGTTGTGCATCATCATCAGCTCTACTTTCCCTTATGATCTCACATGTACCTAACAACCTTGACTGGGTCCCTTTAGCTTGGCTCGACACGTCCCCGCGGAATGCCAAGACGCAGTGATGCGGGTGAAACCACGTGAGAGAGGATTATCAGACATTCCACGTCTCATTGCGAGATTGCTCGAGATTACTCTCCCAGCTGACGACCACCAAACGAAAGGAGGAGCGGAGTGCGAGACAAGCAACAGGACCATGCAATAGATACGATCGAATCCAACGCGAGCGATATGAGGTCGCGACAAGCAACCTGAAGCGAAGCCTCGCCATACCACCATGTTCAGCCAGATTTTCCAAAAGGCGCAGTCCATTGTGCAAAACATCGATCCAAATGTGCTTCCGGCGGCATTGGTCAACTCGAATGCCGGACGTCCATCAAAAGCACAGCTGTTCAGACACCAGTTCCGCCTGCCGGAGAGCCAGAATCCGCTGTATGAGATCACGGCAGAGTTGACGCTTCCTGGCAAGAAGAAGGATGTTGGCCCCAAATCGCACAGCCCGCGAAGCTGGGACAAGGCGAACTGGGATAGGGAGCGCGGTACACACTATGTCGGCCAACTGCATCTGAGCGAGCAGTTCCTGTGCTTTTCCACCGTCAACACCTCCTTTGTAAGTACCGCCAGTACGAGTGCAAGCAGCACATTCACAGGGAGGACCCACGGCACGGGCCCAGCAGGAAATGGCTTCACCCTGCCGTTGTGTGCGGTGCGGCGCGTGGAGAGGCTCCACACGCAAAGCTACATGTTCGCGCTGTCAATAACCACGTGGAACGGTTTTGATGCGGGCACTGAGGAAAAGCCAGGCGCACCGGCGCCACCGAAGCTCACCATCCAGCTGGAGGGTAGTCGGCAACAATGCGAGCGATTCTGCGATGGTCTTAAGAGGGGTCTCAGGCAGGGGATCAAGGAGGTCGACAACATGAGGACTGTGGCTCAGGAGTGCTTCTCCGAGTACTTCCTATGCGGAGATTTTGAAAGCGATACCAAGCCAGACATGCCAGACGGGTCGCCTCGACTACCTCCGGACACTGGTCTAGGCAGCATCTTCAAGTACCCTGGCAACACGCGAAAGCTTCGAGACAAGAGCAAGATGCGGCTATGGCATGAGTACTTGATGGAGAACGGCCGCAATACGACACTCGTACGACAGGCCGACTTTCACAGGCTGATCCGCGTAGGATTGCCAAACTTGCTGCGAGGTGAAATTTGGGAGCTTACCTCTGGCTCTWTCTTCCTTCGACTCCACAAACCCAAGCTATATCAAGAGACTCTGGCAAAGTTTGAAGGGCAGTCATCGCTCGCCATTGATGAGATCGAAAAGGATCTCAATCGCAGTTTGCCGGAATATGCGGGCTTCCAGAGCGAGGAAGGCATAGGTAGGTTGCGCAGAGTCCTGACCGCCTACAGCTGGACAAACGAGGAAGTCGGGTATTGCCAGGCCATGAACATTGTCGTTGCAGCTCTGCTGATGTATGTAAGTCCAGTCCTCGCAGTCAGGATCAAGCTAAGTGTCGTCCAGCTATCKCTCCGAATCACAAGCGTTCTACGTGCTCTCGATTTTGTGTGACCAGCTCCTGCCGGGATACTACTCGACAACGATGTACGGCACGCTCTTGGACCAGCGGGTGTTTGAAAGTCTAGTCGAGAAGACGATGCCGATCATCTGGGATCACCTGGTCAAGAATGACGTCCAGCTATCTGTGGTTTCGCTTCCGTGGTTCCTGTCGCTCTACATCAACAGCATGCCTTTGATTTTTGCGTTCCGTGTGCTTGACGTGTTCTTTCTGGAAGGCCCAAAGGTGCTCTTCCAGGTCGGGCTCGCCATCCTTCGTATCAATGGGGAGGAACTTCTCGACGCAACAGACGATGGCACATTTATATCAGTTCTAAAATCATACTTCGCCCGGCTAGGCGAGTCCGCGCACCCCAAATCGGAAAATCCAAAGCACAGAGCAATCACCAACTTCCAAGCGTTGATGGTGGTCGCGTTCAAAGAGTTTGAAGGAATCACACAACATACAATCTCGGAGCAGCGTGCAAAGCACAAGCCGGCCGTGCTCGAGAATATCGAATCGTTTGCAAAGCGAACTTCAATCCGCAATCTGGGTCCTGAGAGCAAGAAACTCTCCACCAACGATCTTGGTTTCCTCTATGATCGTTTCTACACAATCTTGTACCAACGACAGCAAAGAGCGCAGATGATACAGAGCGAAAGTGAACGACGCCAGAAAATTGCCAGGCAGAGGGCATCAGAGTTGGTCACTGGAGTTCCCGGCAACGCTCCTGAGATTGGTAGGGTTGGTCTTGGACCAAGTGCGACCCTCATGGACTACGATGCCTTTAGGGAATTCCTCGCTGGAGTGACCAAATGGGCTGTCACAGATTCGCCTTCTTCGCCAGCCAGGGATGATAAAGGAAGCAATGGCTACTTCAGCAACACACTCAGGGGTAAGCCGGTCAACATGTCACCTTGGGGCAGTGGTCCTGAGCCTGCCGACCACGAGTTTTTGCAGAGACTATTCAGAAGCTGGGATGTGGACGGTACCGGAGCGTTGACTCTGCAAAACGTGGTGTATGGTCTGGCTCCTATTAAAGGTAATCGAGATATCATGAGCAATATCTCGTACTTTTTCGAGCTTTACGATGATGATAAGGATGGGAAGGTGGACAGAGAAGGTATGCTTCGCATCTCCGAGTCGCTTTTGTTCCTCTCAAGGCGAGGCGTTCTCGGTACTTCGATGACGGGGCTGGAAGAAAAGGGGCTGGACGGCCTACCCATCTCACGGGATGAGCAATTCTTGTCTGCTGTTTCCGCGTTCATAAGAAGATGCTTCGAGTACGCTGATCCAGACTACCAAACATCTCAGGATGTGGATGACACCGCAGAAAAAGTCAACGAGCTTGACATCTCCAAGGATGATTTGCTCGACCTTGATGACGATGATGAGAAGTCGTCGGAAGATCACGCCACTACGACAAGCCCTACTTCTCCTCACGAGAACTCACTCCTCGGCAGACCATCGGTCAACAGTTTCGGCCAGACAAGATCTAAGAACGCATCTGCGAATGTGGCACTAGATCCATCCAGCCCACTCCACATCACACTTCCAACCTTCCGCATGCTGGTTCTCGCAGATGAGACACTGGAGGCCTTCTTCGATTCTGGATTCGCTAATAGCTTCCATCTCGCGGATGCGCCACTGCCGTCTTCTACCTTGACATCGCCCTCCTTCCTCAATCTCCACAACGCGGCACCGAGCAACAACGCCCATGCCGTGCCGGTCATCAGTCCCGGCGGACCAGGTGCCGGCATTGTAGCACCAGGCGGTAAGGGTCTGCGGGGTATGCTGGACAACATCGTCACAGATGGTATGCGAGTAGCTGCAGAGGTGCGGCGCCGTATGGACGAGGCGCAGAAGGAGTTGGATCGTGGAGCCAGCACTCGCGGGACAGAAGATGATGAGGATGAAGAAGGAGAGGATCACGGACGGGATCTTTTGGACGTCGCCGAGGCTGACGCTGGAGTGGCTGGGAAGGCTGAGCAGCAGAGTGTGCTTGATAAGCCTCTAGTGCTGGACCCCAAGGCTGCGAGCTCTTCGGCGGCAAGTGTAAAGAGTACTGGGAGCGAGGTGGAGAAGAGCACCATGTTTGAACGATAGTACATGTGGGTGATAAAGGAATTCTGGGTGGCTAGCTAGGCACAACCGGCACTTAAGTCTTATGAGCGACAAGGCATACCTTTTTTGGACGTGGGCGAAGCACGCTAGTCTCTCGACGCTGATGAAAGTCCCTACATACGTGCAAGGCTCGGTGAAATTGAAGGTCGTCGCTCCATATGCAGAAGTTTGGGGTGTTGTGCTTTCTACAACATCGATAGCAAGGTTAAAGTGGGAAGAGTTGGTTGGGATGGCGAGACATTTCGACCATTCGCGAGGCTGCTTCTTTCTGTGCTCGTGGCTACCTGTACCCGAGCTCGTTTGTCGATACACTACAAGAAGAGCCTGCGACCTTCAAATTCACCGATGTTTGGTGGTATCGTCGACGTTGTCTCCGTTTTGTGGGAATGTTCGAGGGGAGGACATTTTCTCTGTTTGGAAGCACACTCGTTTACAGTAGATCGATTAACACGAGCCTCGAGTATACATACCCGAAGTCCACATGGGTGATAAATACCACCGCCACTATTTTGAAGTATATGAGCTAGACTSGACGCACTGTCGTTGTCATATCGCGACAGAACACGAGCTTCGCACTACCCCAACCCTAACCCTAAAATACACACGATCGTCTTCGGTTTCCCTGTTGATCAAAGCACTACGTTGAGGAAGACGGGCAATGACATGGCAAACGAGCACCAATTTACATACCACTCCGTCTCGTTTTACAAGTCGCATAAACCCAATCGCAGAAGCCAAAATCTATCTACCCAAACAAACGGCGGTGGCACCGTACTCCATCAGGCCCCGCTACCATCGTCGCCCTGCATATCTCCAATTACACGATCCTGCTCCTCGATCACGCCCTGCAGATCGAGCACCACAGATTGTGTCTCCTCCAGAGCCCGCTTCAGTCTCTCAATTTCCTTTGCTTGATCTCCAAGAGCGACATTCGCTTCCGCCAGCTCATTCGCAATTAGCTTAATATCCTCCTGGTTCTGGACAGCGTTGACGGTCTTGGCCGCGAGAGCTTTTTCGTGCATGCGCCGATCGATGTATCCCATCTGTCGTGGAATATCGAGTGAGGCAGCAACGCTTCGGGCTGGCGTGGGCACACGGCCGTCGGGGTTTGGTCCGGGCTGGGGAAAGAGTTCACCATCGGATTCGCTGTCGTCCTGTTCATTCTGAAGGCGCGGTGGGGAGGCGCTTGCTCGCTTGATCGCTTCAGAGGCAGTCGCCACAATGTTTGTTTCCGATGGCGCATCAGATTTTACCTGCACACTCTTTCCGTGCGACACCATCATGCTTTTCGGCTGGATGCTCCATGCTCTGGAACCGCCATATGCGGACTCAGCATTTGGGACGAACTTTCCCTTCGTATTCGGTGCCATGGCCTTCAGCTTTGCCAGCATTTGATGGTTTTCTCCCTTGGGCTTCTTGCGACTAAAAGTCGGGGCCCCGAACTTGACCATCATGTCTCTGGGAGTGTGCTGATTATGCCCATGGCCGCGCGCGTTGTAGAGTGTCAGATCCGCTGCATCTTCGGCTTTGCGTTTCCTGATAATCTCCTCCACCGTGGGTTCTGATGGCGTTGGAGGTGGGACACGATAGATGACGGGCTTGTAGTCCTTCTCGCCAGTGAAGTGGTATTTTGATGTATTGGTCAGCGGAGCGGAGTGATACTCAGAGGTGAGAGGGTCTTTGATCGCCGGACGACCGCGGTGTGTCCTACGCGCGCGTATTCTCCCGTTTGCAGCAAAGTCATGTGGCCAGTCATGGTTGAGACGGATGCGTTGAATGTCGGAAGTGAGAACTTCAAAAGCGGCACGATCATCAAGGAAGACAAAACGCGGTGGCTCAGTCTTTCCTTTTCCGAGGCCAATCGGACCAATGTTGCTCTGTTGAGAGATTGTCAGAATGTTACGCTCACATGCCAACTCGCCTTTCACTCACCTGGAAAATCCTCCACCGCTGGTCTACCGGCAACACAGGCCCAGTCCGCTGATAGTATTCGGTAATCTGCGAGCCATCGCCATCACCTGGCCGCCAAACCTCCCGCTGGAAGCCCGTGAATGGCTCACGGTAGTATTGACGCTCCGAGTACTCTGGATCGAGCACGATTGCGCCTTCGATCTCTGGGCTTTGAGCGACACTCATATCGGCCATGACCTAATGTGTTGAGTGGTTGTAAGTTGATCTGTTTTGTCTGATGTGGTGGTGTTTGCTGATGGAATCAACGTAAAAGAAAGTTGGCTTCAAGAATGGAAGATCAAGTAGTTCAAATTTGGCGCTAAAATCAGTGAACAAAATGTATGCTCATGATTCAACATACCTCATCACCCCGCTCCCAGGGGGTGGTGTTGACTTTGACATTCTCTTCCTCRGACCGGAGGATAGGGCTCTCCGAATGTTGGCGTTCCTCAGGAGGGAAACGAGCACTTTGACAACTCTCTATACGTCAAAGTCAGCCAATGAATGCTGTGACACCACATTATGGTACACTAACCTCTCTCTCTTGCGTTGTTCTGGGTGCGCTTCGACAGACTTGGCTTTCGTCGCAGCTGCTGGACGCCCGATCCTTCGGTGTACGTCGAGAAGAACGGTAGTTCTTCATGATTGTAAGGGACAACATTCTGGCTGATTTGACGACGTCTGGAGGCCATGATAGACAGCCCCAGGTGCCGTCGCGCTTTGTGCTATACACAGGACCTCGAAGATGATGAACGTCAATGATCAAGCGAAGAGGCAATTTTGTTGCTCTGTAGTGGAAAGAGAGTATGAAGTGGTTGTTGTGGAAAGAACAGGAAGCAAGAGGGGATGAGTGCTGGTGAGAGCCAAGACGGACATATGGGGAAAGGAAGGAAGGAGCGAAGATTGGGCCTGCCCCCGATGCTCCTGCCTTTCCAGTTCAAGCCATCCGCACTCACAAAGAACCACCGTTGCTCGTCCATCGACATTCTTGCCAGAGTTGTCTCAAACATGTCATCGCCCCTTCAATCGACTGAATGGCAGGCGCCTGTGCTCTGAGCTATGATTAATTACGAACCACAACAGGAGAACGCAAGTCAAGCAACACATCCTCATCAATCCAAGCGACGTTCGCCGTGTTTCTGGAACGTTTCAAGTGCACCGAACAACAACGAACACGCGCCGTGAAAGTGTGGTATGTGCGGAGGTAGACATGAAGGATGAGGTCGCAGTGAGAGCACAGACGATCCATGTCTCTTCTTCGGATCGTCGCCTGGACCATCGCTAGAACTAAGGATTGCCAAGCATACCCCATTCCCCCTCAAGCTCTCATCACTCCGCAGATCATCACGACATCAAGCCCAGATTGCACGCGAGTACCAGCATGTGCAGATGTCCGCCATAGTACGACGCCTCAGATTGGCCAGGTTTTCACACATCTGCCGACGGTCGGTGTGAACTGCAGTGGTGTGTAGTGACGCCAACGGCCGTTGAGAGCACGCACGCACAGGCACTGTAAGCGTAGAAGTCTATTCATGAGCCAGGTATGTTGAGATAGATGGGTGTTGATCAAATCTCCTCTCTCTCTTGAATCTTCTGCTCCTGGTCTCCCACGTGTCTGCTGCGTACGATCTTCGGCATACCGAGAGAGCATGTCGGTCCCCTACCAGGACGGAAAAACGGCGGCGACAGAGAAGAATGTCGAACATTCCCCCTCGCCGCCGATGAGTGAGCAGCATGAAGCAGCAGCAATACATGATCTGGATGAGAAGCGGATTCTGCGAAAGTTGGACCGTCATCTGCTTCCTGGAGTCTGCGTTCTTTATTTGCTTTCGTTCCTGGATCGCAGCAATGTGGCCAACGCGCGACTGGAAGGATTGCTGGACAAAGACATTGGTCTGAATATGACAGTCAACCAGTACTTGACTGGGCTAACGCTATTCTTCGTTGGCTACATCCTGCTCGAGGTACTTTGTATGTTTCAAATCTCCACCTTCGTCTTTTCCTTTCCGTACTAATGCTCGCAGGGAACGTCATCTTAAAGCGAATTGGGCCCAAGATATGGCTGCCTTTGATCACTTTCGTCTGGGGTATTGTGGCAACGCTTCAAGGCGTTGTTGTGAATAACGGTGGTCAAACGGGAATGATAGGCTTCTTCATCGTAAGATTCTTTCTCGGCGTTACCGAGGGGGGTCTATTCCCGGGCGTGGTGTTTTACTTGAGCATGTGGTATAAGCGGGCTGAAAGACAATACCGAATCGCTCTCTTCTTCGGCATGGCCTCGCTGGCCGGAGCATTTGGTGGCATATTGGCCTATGGCATTGGGTTCATGAGAGGCGTGGGCGGCCAGGCAGGATGGTAGGAATCAGGATCCCCTTTATTCACCAGGAACCAATGCTAATGACCCTACAGGCGTTGGTWGGATGCCCTTCTATTCATGGCTGAACCGATACTGATGACCCTACAGGATCTTTATCATTGAAGGTCTGCTAACAATTGTAGTCGCTATTGCGGCATTTTGGTTCATCGCAGATTGGCCATCGAAAGCAAAGTTCATCACCACTGCTGAAAGAGAATACGTCAACGCTCGACTCAAGGACGATAGCGACGCTACACAAAACGAAGGGTTCAGCTGGTCGAATGTATGGTCGGCCGTCAAAGATCCCAAGGTGTGGCTATACAATGCCGTCTTCCACACTTTGAGCCTGCCCCTTTACACGCTTTCGCTTTTCCTGGTAAGCACACATACCGGTGCCCCACAAAGTTCTAGCTAACATCTTCACAGCCTAGTATCATCAAAGCATTAGGGTATCTACTCCTGACCAAGCATACCACCCTCATATACATACACTAACCTACCTTCCTTTCAGCTATCAAAATTGGGAAGCACAACTCCTCACCATCCCTCCTTACGCACTCGCCACGATTTTGACCATCGGTTATGCAATCGTGTCAGAGCGCTGCCACATCCGTGCTCCCTTCATCATTGCCTCATCGCTGACTGCAATCATTGGCTACTGCATTCTGCTCGGCAACAGCGATCCTGTTGCCCGTCCAGGAGTGAGCTATGTGGGTGTATTCTTCGCAGCTGCTGGAATCTACCCTTCGGTTGCGCTGGGACTGAGCTGGCCAGCGATGAACGTCAGCGGGCAGACTAAACGTGCCGCTGCAAACGGTCTCCAAATCACGATCGGAAATCTAGGAGCTGTCATTGGGACGCAACTATATCGCCAAGACGACACGCCAAGGTACATTGTGGGCCATAGCGTCTCCTTGGCATATCTGGTTGGGAATATTGTTGTGGTGTCGACATTGTGGTGGTATTTGCGGAAGATCAACAATGAAAGGGACAGGCGTGCTGAATTAGAGCCTCAGGCACTCGAGGGGGAGTGGATGGGAGATGAGGATCCTCGATGGAGGTTCAGGATTTGAGGTTGATAACATGACATTAAGCATGCTAGAAGGATAGATTTCCCTGGGCTCGAGCAGCTCATTCAGCCTTACAGCACCTCTTTGTATTGATGGTTGTTCATATGCACAAGAGTCATCTCGAGCATCCTAGCTCTAGTGCGTTAGTAGCGAATCAATGTTCGCAAGACCACTGCGAAAGCGGATCTTCGGCTAGGAGGAATAACTTTCAATCCAAAGCTTTGAGAGCAAAGCTTGGGGTACACCCGCAGACTTTCATGGTCAGGCTAAGGTATTCGTCTGACTCTTACCACGAGTGACTTTTGTTTGATTTTGGCCGCTTTGGGAGTCATTTGCAGCTAGACTGAGCACCCTGCATCAAAAAATGAGCGATACCTACTCGTCGTGGTCGCAGTAGCTGATATAGGACACTGCCAGGCCATCTACCGAGCAAGAGGAAGCGAAGACTTGTTCGACATGAGCAGTTGGTATAACACTCATTGTTTGGAGAGATGTGTCGGTGAGTCTTGTTTTTCACATTAATCGCCTGGCGACGGTGTCTGGCTTGTTTGGGGAGACTTCAGGCTCTGTAGCACATCCGGGTTCCGTAGAGATACGGAATTGTAAATGACTCGCTTGTCGAACTCGAGTCATTGTTGCCGGCACTTTGTACTACGTACTGCCGGGCTCCTCCTTGCTCGTCAACCTGCAGCCATGCATCAGGTTTCAGCATGATCCCCAACGCGCCGTTCTCCCCGACGCTAGGGATAGAGATGTTCGAAAGGTGACTCCACACCACCAATTCGGTGCATCTGGACTTTCTATCAAGGTGGATGGGGGCAATGTAAGCACTAGTATTATATTTTGTCCTGCCTCTTTCCTAGCGCTGTCACAGTTGCACAGCTAGATGAGGACCAAATTCAGATCCAGAAGAATAAAGCAAAACACCGGCCGTTACGTGGCTCCCTCCTAATGCCTGCGCCTTTCCCAATTCCTATGGTATTCTCGGCAACATGACTAAATGACCCGAATGCGCAGCGCGAAACCAGTTGGTGCGTATCCAACACGTCCAACTTCGCATAACAATACAGAAAGCCTCCGAATGCAAACAATGGCATCATGAGAAAAGCAAAGGCAGTGACAAGCGGCCCAAAGTTCCAAACCCGAACAGAACTCCAGCTCCGCGATAGAAGATTTTTCGGTTCCAAACAGATACGCTATGTTATGCAAGCTGGCTTGAAGCACGGCGGGTGTTCATAATACGGCTGAGTCCGTTCAAAGATCGGTACGTTTCGTCCAGTGATGAAGCAAAAGCAAGTTGTTCGCCAATCCCGTTCTCCTGAGCTGGATATACCAGCAAGGTGATGTGATCGTTCGGTGCGCCAATGAAAAGTAACAAACGCCAGATACCATGTCCATGCAAAGGGGGAATCTCGCAATCGTAAAAAGGACAAACATGGTTCGAGTAAATAAATGGGCAGACTCTGTGACGCCGGTGTGCGCAGGAGGATCGTTGTAAGCCCGTAAGTGCAAGTGGTCAAGGAGTGTAGTTCACCTCCGTGGCGGAAATTCTGAATAGCTATTGTTCCGGCTTTCCCGTCCGTAAACTCCCGGCATGTTAGGCGGAATCCCACCCGAGTATGCATTGCGGCTGAGCTGATTGTTGAATTCGGGTGGGTGCACAGCGTAAGGTGGAGAAAACATGCCATCTACACCAGTGGTGGGAGTTGCACGGTAGTTCGCACCGTTTAATAGACCAGGCGGCTGGGAAAGACCCGGCGGAGGCCCAGAAACAGAGCTGAAACCATTCATCGGGCCCGCATAGCCGGCTGACATAGCCTGGGGTGACATGGCGGCACCGAGCCCCAAACCATTTGGCTGGCCGGCACGGACTCCGAGAGGGTTCTTCGAAAAGCTGAGACGGATGCCACCCTTGACGCTGTTGTGCAACGGGTGGCCATAAAGATCGTTGAGGGCCTTGGTTGCGAAAGAGATGTCGTCAAATTCGACAAAACACATGGGACCATTCTGCTTGGTTCGGAAGCACAAGCGCTTGTACCCGCGCTGCTTGATGAACAAAGCCTTGAGCTCGTCTTCCGAGGTATTGATAGGCAGGTTCCCGACATACAACGTATTGCAAGGAGGGTTCTGGTCTGCAGGATTGACCGGAGGGTATTGCGGCTGTGGAAAGCTTTGCATATACGAGCCATTTGTAGCAGCGTTGGAGAAACTTCCAGAGGGCATCTGGTGAGATGAGGCATGCTGCATCAAGCCGTTGCCGCGAGGAGTCGCGAAACCATTTGGTGAGGTAGCTTCGAACTGCATTGAATTTGCCGAGCCTAGCGAGAGGCTTGTCATGCGGTGGGCCAAAACTTGGGGGTTGGTCGACCTGCGGGATGAGGGTTGCTGGCCACTTTTGGCATACCTAAGCGGATCCTCAAGTAACYCGCGTGTCTCCTCGTCGGCGGTGTCGTCGTTGATCATCGATTTACCGGAGACGCGGTGTCCATTGGTCAGTATCGGTTGGGGCGAGAAGAACGACTGCATGCGAGTACCGTGCTCTGAGTATGAGTAGTCGTTATTGCCACCGGAGCCTGGAGTCACGAGAGGCGGAGAGTGCTTGTCCACTGACTGAAACGTACTCCCAAATCGTGACCTGCCCAATGAAAAGGGACCATTGGAGTTATTGGAGGACGTGGAGCTTGTCTGTGTTCGCGCAGCAGTCCCGTCGATCGTGTTGCGCCGTTGATCCCCAAATGACATGGCAGAAGAGTCGTAGATTTCCACGATCAAGCTTGCGTCCTTGGACATGTTCGGCTTGCCGTTCAGCGATTGTATGGCCTGAATAGCGTTTGTCCTCGTCTGCAGACGAACAGACGCAGCTTTGAAGTTGGCTTCGTCCGAAGGCAACCATTGCACGTCAATGAGGCCGTCAACGAATGTCAACATGGTTGTGATATCCTCTATGGTTGTGTTCTTCGATAGCTTGCGGATTATGATCGAGGGAGCCGCATCAAACCCTGCGGGATCTGATGAACTGGCGGCAAGGACTGGCATAGCGCCATTTCGATCTAGTGGATGTCGCTCTGCTGTTGGCGAGGTTCCATATACATGTGCGTTCGCAGCCGTCGAGGCTTTGTTGAACACGTCTAACTTAAAAGGTGTCGGCGACGCGCTGCTCGAGCCGAAATGGCCGGGGTGCATGTACATTGTCGGATGGTTTGATCGGAGGGCAGTGTTGCTGTTGGACATGTCGCCCACGGGTGAAATGATTGGGTGGTTTGCAGCTATGGTTTCGTGTCTATACAGTCGCGATAGCCGCTCGGGTCCGCGATCGGACAGTCTTTACGCTGGAGCCGCGGCGGCCTCTTTAGTGGCCTGGATGTAGCTTTGGGATGACTGGACACGTCGTCGTTGCGCATGCGCCAGAGAGATATAGCATGTAAGTGAGAGGGACGCCCGCGGAATTTCGGATGCGCCGGGCGCGAGCAAGATGTAGTCGGGAATCACGCGCGACGACGCGCGCGAGCTGAGCTGAGCGAGTGAGCGCGAACGCGGATGGAGCAGCGGGCGCGAGTGCGAGTCGAATCGGAGGCGGACGAAGTCACAGTTACAGGGCACACGACGAGCGCGGACGGCTGGCTCTTTGCGACCGCAGGCGATGCGGTGGGCGATGTTGTGCGGCCACGAGCTAGAATATGCTTGCGAGGTCGTGTCCGGGCTGGCGGCGCGTTGGGATCGCGAACGGAAGCGTCGCCGAGGTTGATTGTGGGAATTGGGATGCGATACGGATCGTGATGGAATCGTGCGGGAGTGCAATGTGAGAGATGTCGGTGGTGACTCGAGATGTAAAGGCCGGCCTACCACTTTAGTGGGAGTCTTGCGGGAGACCTTCAAGCTGCAGCTGGGAGCCTGCGACGAACGAGCGAACCGGCCAACCATGGATGTGGTCTGCGAGATACAAGGTTCGAATCTAATCGATAAAGTGGCTGAGAACCTTATTTTTCCCAAGAGACAAGCAACCTGGCACCAGCTCGTGGGGAACCCCGAGCATACTTAGAACGTCGAGTTGGGACGAGGGAGCTTCTGGCAGGTCGCAACAGCCACAACGCTGATACTGTGATAAGGTAGCCACCGTTGTAGCGCCAGTCATTGCTCGCCGACTGCCGCTGCTGCTTGTCTCCCGCCATGTTCAAGGCGCCCTCGCTGTCGTGAAACGAGCCGCTGCCGCAATGCTCCGCAGCAAAAAAGGTACTCCTCGTGTTTAAACACAATTTCACAGCAGGACCCTCTTCAAACCCTAACAGCCCACCGGCGCATCTCATTGGCCAACATGCCACCAGTGGAGCACCACGGCTCAGCGAGCAGTGGCTCCCATTGATCTGCTGATGGACGGGGTTGGCAGCGAGACGCCACGATACTTTTCGCCCTGGCGGCAGACTTGACAGCACAGACCGGCACCCGAGGCCGTGCATACAAACTTGGCCCGATCCCCAATGGTCCTCTGCCAGAAAACCACAACGCCGGAAAGCGTTCACTGGGCGCCAAGTTCCGTTATCCGTCGGCGGTAATGGTGCAATCCCTATATCGAAGTTCCAATGTGTTCTCGCTCATCGACCGGACACCCGCATGTGCTGATGCCCGATGGAAGCACTGTACTAGTCGCCTTCATCCTTTGGACACGGTCAAACCTCGTCAGCGCTCGCATGGAGTAGCGAACCACGTGCCGGCCGTCGTGTGACACAACACAAGACAAGCCTCTCGCGAGCAGACTCCACGCCCATAATCTTCACTTTGCTAGGAAAAGACCCCGACATGCAGGCTTCMAACGCTCCAAACCGCTGCCCGCTRGAATCAAGTCTTGCCTCGCAGCCAATGGAACAGAACGCTCATCCCACAAAAGATCTCGACAACGGATATCTCGGCATCTTGCAGCTAGATAACACAGCACCCGTGCTCGGATCTAGAGCCGAGCGGAGAGCCGAGTCCGCGAGAAGTCCTGTACCCAAGTACTGCATCTCCTGTCGAGTGTGGTCTCCGATGCGTCGCCGCGGGAACACCGTGTGTGTCATTGGCATTCTATACCTGAAGCAAATGTGAAGCTCAGTCGAGACCCTTTACATACTTGCCCACTCACATTCTCCTCTCATTCCATGTCACCGACGGCATCTGGTCGAGGTCACAGGAGACGAGGCAGCCATTGTGGCTGTGGCAGAGTCGTTCAACAGCGCCCGGGTCCCAAGCGAATATCGGGAGAGCGAGATAGCAGAGCTAACAGTACAATGCGCACTCAGTTTGCCTTTGCACATGCAGCTTCGGCTCAACAGCGCAGTCTGCTTGTTGCACGGCTTAATCAAAAAGCACACTGCTGACATTCGTGTACGGTAGGGAATATGGCAACATTACTGCGGCTGAGGATGGTTGGCACAGGTCCGAGACGCCGTATGCTCATGGCCTCTATCCTGCGTAATGACGAYAGATGGTTGCCTTCTGCGACGACACATGTAACAGTGGGCCATGCGCATCAGCCTCTGTGGACTGATCGCCTTTTGCTCGTACTTTGTGTGTCGGGAGGTACTGCAATCTTTCGGATGCTTGTTTGGAGTCTAACCACGTGGACGGACAATTCTCATCATCGAGCTTGAGACTCTAGGGTGGAAGCAGGCTGTACACGATGGACAGAAGCCGTCTACTTTGCTGAGAACACTGTCATCGGTGAGTCAACAGGCCAAAAGGCTCCCCGCTGCTACCTTAGTATCACCTTTTACATGCATAACAGCCGACGTGTACAGAACAGATTCCGGGTCATGTTCAGGATCGGCAGTACAGCGTCTCTTTGCATCGGAAGTTATTCTTTACAGCCAAAGATTTGCTTTCGATGCAGTTCTGGGAGAATCCATCGGCTGTTGCCAGGATTCTCGAGAGGACTCTATAGGTCTGAACAACCTCCGATGCAAAGAGATGCTGTAACTTAGAGACACATTGAGAGAAACGAAGCCCCAGCGAGCAAACGTGAATCCATTGGGGCGATGCGCGCTTCCTCACGCTTGGCAACGCACGGACGTTACGTGCCAGCGCTTAAGTATCGACAACCTCACCACCTGGCACAATACAGAACTTCGATGTACGATCATCGCACGGTCGTTGAGGTGTCTCYGGGTAGTCATTGCCCATAAAACACTCTTTGCAACATGGCTGTCCACCTCAGTGGAGAGTATTTTTCGTAAATGGCCTGCATCTAGGTATGAGCGTTTGTTGGAAAAGATGTGTAGCCCGGCAGCGACTCGACGCGAATTCTGGTTCGTCAGGCCTGCATCAACTGCAGAAGTTATCACTCCTGCTGCCGCCAACCGTCAGGAAGCGCCTTGCGTAGGATAAAACGGCAAGTCTAACGCGAAATCGCTGGTAAAGATGCTTGGGGTGCACTGKGCATGCTGTCTTCTTCACATCTTCAATCTTTCTTTCAGTACTTGCGCGCCTTGGACCTTCTTCACCACACCTCTCCCTAATGTACAGAACTCTCTTGCCATGGCTCATCTTGGTTGGCCACTCCGTCAGTCTCTGCACCTCTCCGCCAATCATTGTCCCAATAACCAGCGTCCAACTCTCGAATGGGAACTCCCGACGAGGCATCTTCGGAACGGTCGGAACACCTGCACAGAATGTCTCTTTCATGGTACACACCTATCTGAATGACACCTGGATATACAACGCTACCGATTCCTTCTGCGACAGCCAAACAGTAGATCAGTGCCTCACCTATAGAGGTGGCCTCCTGGACACTGAGAAGTCAACAAGCTACTCACACGAAGAAGACGTGTATGCTGCAGGAGGCGACCCTAGCGACGTGGCCCAAATGCCGGTCCCTCACATCCGGTACAATGCTTGGGCGACGGATACATTGACTATGGGGAGCGCATCTCTCTCGACTTTCCCCATCGGCATGCCAGGACTGGACTTCGGCGGAGACTTTGACAGCCAGGCAAACTTTGGTCTAGGTCAGAACTCTACATTGTTGCAACGTCTCAAAGACGACGGTCGTATCGCTTCGCGATCATGGTCGTACTGGTGGGGCGTTGAAAATGCACTGTCCAGGTCGGCTATGGATGGTCATCTAATACTTGGCGGGTACGACGCCGCAAAGGTAGTTGGTGTACCTTTCACACAGCCGCTGCGCAATGCTTCATTGGCTTGTCGTTCCGGGATGATACTCCCAATCAGCAATCTACTGCTTAACTTCCCAAATGGTACCTCTAGTGATCTGAATCCGTCAGCGGTTCTCACGGCATGTCTGCAACCAGACTTTCCATCTATCATGACCGTTCCGGCCGAACCATACTGGTGGCGATTCCAGGACGTTACCGGAACACAATTCTCGAACAAGTCTTTGGGCACGAATTGGTTTGTGCCCGTCTTCCCATCCTCGAACGTGTGAGTTAAGTATCTGTCAACTCTGGAATTCGATACTGACTTTGCCAGATACGCGGGAGATCTTGAGATACAGATTCAAGGAGGCCCAGCCATCAACATTCCCAACGACGTGCTGGCGGTTCCAAACGAGTACATCGACGAATCTGGTGTTGTGCAGCACAATGACTCTGCTGCAGACGTGCTCTTTAGCCCTATCGATGGGAATAATATCGACGATCAACTCATCATTGGCAAACAATTCTTTTCTGGTGCCTACCTGACTGTCAATCTTGACAACCAAACTTGGAGTATCTGGCCAGTAAAGGCAACGACCGATACCCAGCTCACCACCATAGGCGAGAGCTGCGATGATGCTACGAACTCTACGACCATCGCTCAACCCGACGATTCTGCGGAGTCAAGAACCGGTACAATATCGAATGGTGTAATAGCAGGGATAGCAGTCGGCGGTAGCTGTGTGGTAATAGCCCTGGTCATCCTCATCGTCTTTATGATAAGAAAGCGTAAAGCGAAGCGGACATCCGCTACCAATCTGGCTGCCGCTGATTTCGGGAGTCGCTCCAACGATGACCGGGTTTGTTCTGATAAATCGCAGTATTTTGCAATCAGGCATGGGACTGTGCAAGAGATGGCCGGATCTCAGACGGTACCATATGAGCTGGGCTCGGAAGTCAAGCCGGTAGAATTGGGGCACAATGGTTGGAATGGAAGGAAAAGCTCGCGACACCATGCTGTCGAGCTGCCTGCCACGCGGCACTAGCTAATATCTGTATAACATGTCCTCTTATGATAATTGACGGAGTGTGCTGCTTCGTTGTCATGATACATCATCGCGTTTTGGCTCAAGTTTCCAGTGGGTCCCCGGGATCCCTTGATCCGGAGCTCAGTCCGTTGTTCGTAAAGCTCGTAATCAAGGTGAGGCGTGCAGCTGTCATTCACTTCAACTTTCGTGAATCGTGGAAGAACCTCACTTCCTCCAACACCCTCCATGATTACCGCCCGCCTGATGGCTCTTCCGAGCAGTATTCGCTGTCTCGCTTTCAGAGATTTGAGCCACACGCCAGCTGCCCACATTCTCCCTCTCAGCGCCTCGATCGGCAGCCAACGCGGATATGCGACGTACAATACCAACGCGAGCGCAGCGCCAAGCTCCGTCAATGCCACCGAGGTCTCTCATTTCAACACGTTGGCCTCGTCCTGGTGGGACCCTCACGGCTCCAGTCGTCTGCTCCACCTGATGAACCCGTTCCGCCACCAGTTTATCCGACAATGCCTTGCCAACGACCCATCCCCACCTATGCACAAGCTCAAGATTCTCGATATTGGTTGCGGTGGAGGGATTTTTGCAGAGTCAGCTGCCAGACTACAAAACACGGCATCGGTCACGGCGATAGATCCGACGCCAGAGGTCATTGCGGTTGCCAGGAGACATCAGCGGACTGATCCACTGCTACTCGAACCCGGACGTCTAGAGTACAAAAATATTCCCATTGAGCAGCTTCCACTCCCAAAGTCACCAGGTGAAGGATACGWCATGATCTCATTGTTCGAAGTGATTGAGCACATTCAGAATCCCTCGCCGTTTCTGTCATCCATCCTCCAACATCTCAAACCAGGTGGTTGGCTTATAGGATCCACTATTGCCAGGACCAATACAAGTTGGTTCACGACCAAGTTCATGGCCGAAGAAGTGCTGAGAATGGTCCCACGAGGCACGCATGAATGGAGCCAGTACATTCAGCCTAGTGAGCTGCGGAGTTGGGCGAGGGCGCAAAGTGAGTTGGACGTAGTGGTTGGTGGCAATGGGTGGCAACAGATGGGCGTAGTCTACGTACCAGGTTTTGGCTGGAAGGAGGTGAATGGAAGTGAAGATTGGGGGAATTACTTTTTCGGCGTGAGGAAGGCAGATTGAGAGATGAAAAGCGCCACTTCGCACGCCACGCTTCTACCACAGCACCCAAATCGCCCAAATACCAGCTGCAATTACTCGTGGATTCCTCCACCTCGGGATAYAGTATGTGGCGGCCTCACGCTCGTGCTTCCAGCCCCTTCAGCGTGCTGAAGCTGGCCTCGGTATCGCAAGGTATGAAACACCTCGCCACCCACATTAGCAAACAGTGTTGATCCCGGTCCCTTGAAACGTAGTTTCTACAAAGCTTATATCGAATTTACGTCGGGAAGTGGTATGGGCTTTGGTTTAGCGCCTGGAACGCTTGCTTCCGAGGCAGTCAGACTGTGTCCATCACTACGGAGCTGCACATTTGGTCCCTTTATGATGCGCATGGCCGTGTCCATCACCACCAAGCCGCATTTTTGGTCCCCTAATGATGCACATGGCCCTGGCCCCTGCTTTATGCCTCAGTCGAAAGGTTTCATAATCGACTACCCTAAAGGATAGACACAGGAAGATCCCCAAAAGGGTAGACGCAGAGTGCCACCGCATGCTGTCTCTCCTGAATTTACTGCTTACCCCTTGGCAAACTGCATTGACAAAAAGGCTAAATCTGCCACCGCTTGAAGAGTCCGCCGTCTGCTCGACCAAGAAACAAACGAGCCTTGGAGTATTGATATGGGGCACAATGGAGCGTTAAAATGATGTCAGCACCTTCTAGAATATCAACGTCTGTCTGCAGCGCTGTTCGAAACACCGTTGGGTCAAATCTCAATGCCATGCCCCGGATTTCGCGTGAGCCACACTAAACCAGCCATTGAGTCGATCAGTACGCCAGCGGAGCTTACGGGCGTTAATAGCATTTCGATAGCAAAAAGTTAAGCTATGATCTGCGAACTTCATGATCATCCAGGGCAAGGTTTCGAAGGCGTCAAAAATCTCCTCTCCATACTCAAGCGAAATGGTCCAGGCCTCCATCATCCTGCTACTTAATGTCGAAGAAATCCCACACAACATTCTTTCGACATCAACAACCCACACTCTTTACAGTCTCACCCACTTTACCACACTCTTTACAGACTCTTCAGTCATCACTTCTTCATTCTTTACATTTCCCATCATCCAGCCAATCAAAATGCTCTCTTCCATCTTCGTCGCCGTTACTGGCCTTGCGACTGTTGCGCTCGGCGCTCCGGGATATGGTGCCCCAGCCTATGGAGCCCCAGCTTATGGCGCTCCCGGTCAATCCCAATCTATGAGCACGACTTCTGAATCTTCGGCATCCCCCACCATGGGCACGGCCTCCCCCACCATGAGCACGGCCTCCAAGTCGTCGTCCATTGTCATGAAGACCATGTCTTCGTCATCTATGTCGAAGAACACCATGACATCTTCGTCATCCATGTCGAAGATGACTTCGTCGGCATCCATGTCGAAGAACACTTCTTCCACCATGATGTCGATGACCAAGCCAACAACCTGCCCAACCAGCTGCCAGACCAAGACCATCACCAAGTCGGCCTCCGCTACCACCTGCCCAACCACCGGCAATGGTAACCCTACCACCATCACGGTGACAAGCACTGCTACCGCAACTAGCACCCCTACCGCCTCTTGCGGCGCTGCTCGCACTGCAAACGTAAGACCCTGATCATCCTCATTTCCTCCTGCTCGGCAACTAACATACGCCACAGTTCGATGACATCCCTCTCGGACTCATCAACACCACGCAGCTTGCTTTGTACGAGGGTCTCGACTACTCCGCCCTCGACGCTGGCGTTCTTGGCAATGCCCCTCTTTTGGGCCTGAAGGCACACTCTGGCGAACAGGTCGTTACTTTTGGCCCAACCACACTGCTGTTGCAGGGCAAGCCAATGCTGTTCCCCGTGGGCTCCAACTTCTTCAACTTCCAGAGCTTCTACTTCGGTTGTGTTGCTGCTGCTTCCACCACCGTTGCCAGCGTCGCTCTCCCATGCACCATCAACGTCGACGGGTTCCGTGACGGCCAGCAGGTCGCTACCCAGAGCTTCAAGTTCACCCCCAACATCTTGGCATTCGGCGGCAACAACATGATGCAGGCAACTCTCTCTGCGGCTTTCACCAACCTGGAGCAGGTCACCTTCTCCAGCTCTGGTCTCTTGGCTGTTGCCGACCTTGTCGCACTTGACGACCTCGTCTACCAGACCTGCTCTTACAAGCCATAGATTTGAGAATCACTTACGAATCTCAGTCTTGGTTGGTGTTTACGGGTCTTGGTGGTGATGAGGGAAAAGTGCACGCGAAGTGAAGGTGTTGGATGGAATTGATATTGTTTGATTATTGGAGTCGAGGGAAATGCTTTTGTACTTATGACTTGTATGTAACTCTTGTACACATGGATGTGTTATCACTACTGCCGCCTCATTTCGCTTTGCCGTCTTCTGAGGAATCTTTCATTGCTCGTATTCTCTCTTCGAGATGCCAATGATTTATTTCTCCACCCTTTCTACTGCCTCTCGTTGTTCACTGGATTTAGGAGGTTTTCCGTACGATCAAATGTATGCTCTGGGTACGATCAAATGTATGCTCTGAGTGACCCTCACTTGTCAGTCAGTCACATTTCCTCTCCAAACGCAGTTATCATGCATTGACAACTTAAGCGACATATACATTCCGCTTGTTGATCGACTACAGTGAAAGTGCTGTGAAAGGACTACCCCAACGATCGATTGCTTGCTATCACTCAGAAAATCCGGGACCTGATGTCGTGCAGTTCGATGCTGCATGTGGAAGCAGGGAGTACGGTACCTCGATGCCGGCGGCGATCAAATTGCGATGGGTCGGGGTTCGGTCCGCACGTTCCGAACCAACACCCTGTGAAACAATGCAAGGTAGGGCAACCTACCTCCTCTGTCCGTCAACGTCAATCGCGACTTGGAACATCGCTCCATGCAATCGCATCATGGCCGACGATGCAGAGGATCGCTCTTCATCGCCAGCGCCCGCCTCAGACGATAATGACGAGGATGTTGCGGCCAACGGGCTGGTCGCGACGCGTAGAAAGCGTGCAACGGCGGGCAACTTGTACGCGACGCTGCGGCAGAACCTGGACGATGAGGAACTGCAGCGCGAACTCATAGCCGACGAGGAAGACGATGAAGGGGAATACGAAGGATCTGACAAGGAAGATGATGATGCCGCCATGGAAGAGTCGAGCGACGACGACGATGCGGGCCCCGCCAAGGAGGGCGAGAAGGAGGATCTCGATGGCGAAAAGGAGCTGCAGCGAGCAGAGCGTGCAGCTGCCAAGAAGAAACGCAAGTTCGATGAGGTGCGGATGCGGCTGCCAGCGAAGAAGAAAGTCCGCTTGGCCGATGATGTGGAGTCGGCGCCGAAGCCCAAGAAGAAGAGCGAGCGGTCCAACTGGCTTCCAACTGCAGCCGATCAGCCCTCACGCCAGTCAACGCGAGCCTCTGCCGTGGCCAACCGCGAGCATGTACATGAGAATCTGAAGGCTTCAACGAAGCGCTCGGAGAACCAGAAGAAGATCATGAAAGTACATCAGGAGCGCCAGAAGGAGCGTCAGATGAAGGAACTGACACAGGAGGAACGCATGCTTAAGGCGGCACGAATCGAGAAAGAGACGATGCGTGACTTTGGCAGATGGGAACGGGAAGAGGCCGAGAAGCAGCGAGTCAGGGAGGAGATGGCGGCTGCGAAGCGGAGAAAGGTGATCGAGGGGCCTGTTATCCGACACTGGAGTGGGAGTGTGCTGTGGGAGGGTGATGACATCAAAGTGAAGCGAATGCCGGAGCCGAAGGTGGTGGATGTGGACGTGGAAATGGAGGACGCCGCAGAGGAAGATGAAAAGGCAGAGGGAAACGCTGGAGCTGAAGAGGCTGTTCCTTTAAAGGATCCCGATCAACAGAACGGTGATGCTTCGGCGGCGGCCTCTACTTCTCAGCCCGACATGGTTATCCCACAACCGCAAGCTCCATGGCTCGCAGGTATCCACGATTATGCATCCCAGCAAGGTTCGACTTCGCAGCCAAATCCGATCTACATACCGAGTGCGCCCGCATTAAACATAGTGCCATTGGTCTCACAACCACAAAGCGCACCGATTCCTCCGCAGGACTTTCAGCCTACTCAATCTGTTCAAACATTACCCCTGGCACCAAATCAACCACCAACGTATCACGGCTGGACACCCTCTCACCAGGCCCCTCTCGGTCCGTACCAGCAATTTCAAATTCAACCGCAAGCACCGCCACCGCCTCCACCACCTCCTCTCCGCGAGCAAGCTCAGCGCAGCCTGATCATTTTGGACCAATTCGAATCCTTGGAAAACATGCCCACGGTCAGTCGACGCTCCAAAGCTGCCGCCAAAGATGGTGCATCATCCACAGAGCCCACACCTCTCGCCACAGTCTTGATTCCAGACTGTTACCCCACACTCTCCCACGAACAAGACCGGTACCTGCTATCGCATAAGCTACGCAAGAAACAGGGCTCAAAGACTGGCGAGGTGACATTCTTTTTCCCTCCCGCTCCGGAAAAGGAGAGGTGTGCTCTTACGAGCTGGCCGGCCAAGTACAGGGATCCCAAAACAGGCCTACCTTATGCTGATCTGAGTACTGGGAGGATGTTGCGGAGGCTGTTAGACGGTGGATGTTTGTGGAGTGGTTTCCTGGGTGCCTGGGTCGGTCCAAGCTACGGCAAGGTGGGGCGAGCTGCTAGGGGTGTTCCTGATGGATTTTCGGGTGCCCCCAAAGATATCAAGACRGAGGGATCTTGAGGGTGACGGTGCCTAGTCCTCGATACTGGAATTGAAAGTGGCGCTAGTTGAAGATCGTAGCTTGTGGTTGCATTACCACTTCCGAGGCTGGACGAAAATCACGACGACCGAAAGGTCTCTCCGTGGCAGTCGTGCGTGCTGCGATGAATCCAAAAGGCCCATACCCCTTTTGAAAGCGCATGCGCGACATCCCGCCGCTCATGGCCCTGTCCAATTCATTCCGTTTAATTTGGTGGAAGGGAACTTCGAGCTTGTGGTGGTAGTACCAGGAAAACAAATCCACTAGCTAGCATACCAGCCAACGCCGTATCGCAGACTAAATGAGATAATGCCACAATCTCGCAAGAGGGCTTGAATAGGGGCATCTGGACAGTCATGGTCTGCCTTTGGCTATCATGAGTGATTCTCGTCATGTTTCAACACCCTTCGGGCGTCTGCTGTTCTGCCACATGAACAGTCTTGTTTCATTTGGAACGGCCGGCAGTAGAGGAGATAGAGACGTCAAAGAGTTTACTCTAACTGAAGCTTACATGTATGTGCAATCTTCAGCAGTGGCGTCATCATTATCAAGTTTCCGAACATCGTTCGGGCGTCTGCCACTCGCGTTGATGCTGCACATCACGAATAACCATTCATAGACCTTTACCGTGGAAAAGAGAAGAACATGTCAGAAGAAACTCTCTACGAGCCAATTCGTAATCATTTTCATCATCATATCGTACATACATAAAATTTATACAATCTTAAGCGAAGCGAGGCATTCAACCTCGTGTGATTAAAGATCATCAATTCTGTTGTTTTCAACATCTAATCCTCCTTGACGGCCGCGACAGCAGTCTCCTCMGAGATGACAGGGGTACCGTCATGCTTGCGCTCGATTTTGCTGCTTCCGTCCAGAGGCTGGGCGAATTCGCTGATGCTGATGGGAGCCCTTGTCGTGACGCCCTCGTACTTGGAAGCTTCGTGGACGACCTCGTGAACGGGGATGACCTTGTGGGTGACGGAAGGCTTGATGACCTCTGTAATGAAAATCAGTAGATGCACTCAAGCACACGAGCTCGAAGCGAGGAGCTAAAACGAACCCTTTTCAATCACGGGCTGGATGACCTCGTGGACGTGGYGGTGCACATGCTCGCCAACCTTGGTCTCGTCGGTGACAGTCTTCTCCTGAATCTCCTCATCGGTGGTGTTCTCAAACGCTCTTCGGTCTGCCTCCGCCTTGGCTCTGATCTTCTCTGCCTCGGTGTCGTTGTTGACCTCACGCTCAATCGTGTCCGCAGTGACCTGGTCATGCTTGGTGGCCTCAATCTCCTGATCTTGCAGGGGCTGGACGGTGGTGTGGTAGTGGTCCTGGTGGACTTCACGGTCGACCACGGTCTGCTCCTGGGTCTCATGTAGCTTCTTGACGTGCTCGTGCTGGACCGCGGGGGCTACCTCCTGCTCAACAGTGGTGTCCTTCAGGCCTACAGTAGCTTCGTCAACGTCTGCCTGATCGGCTGGAGCGACGGCCGGAGCGACTTTCTGGTCGACTTCGYCCGTCCTTGCTTTCTTCGAACCTGCATTGGACAGAAGCTTGTTGATTGCTGATGAAGCGGCCTCCATTTTGTTCGTTTGTAAGGGGGTGGTTTGGTTGGTTTGGGGTTGGTTTGGGGGATGTTATGAGAGGTGGAATGAGAATGCTAGATTTTTAATGAATAGTAGAATGGGCGGCACATGAAAGCACCTCTTATACACACAAGGGCATCGTCTTTACAGATGACCTCATACACGATGAGATCCCACCGTCCAGATCACAACGTGGGAGTTGTGCAGAAACAAGAACATGGCCAGACTAGTTGAATGGTTCCGTTGACGCCACCGCCTATCGCCATCGCTCCAGGCCAGACATGCCGACCTAAATGGGTCTTGAAGGACGATCATGTGTGAGCACGCATCAGAGATCCGCCCTAAATGCCGTAGCAGTGTGGCTAAGCTGCTGCAAGGCGAGGTCACGGCGGCGTTGAATCCTAGACGCGAGATGCGCTGGGAAACCTGTTCGCCTGCCAAGAATGACGACGACCTACCGAAAACTCGCATTCAATGTCGCCGCCACACACACACCACTTCAGATGGGATTGATGACGAGAACCCGGAATGTCGCGATGAACAATCACGGCTATCTTCGAGCTATCGTTCGTCGCATCGGAAGCTGCAGCACCCTTGTGAGTTCGGTAGTTGTGCAGTGCTGTCGGGCCCGACCGCTGAAGGTCCATCCAAGTCGGCCAGCATGGCCTTGCACTTGCACTGTTGTTGCAAGACCTGGATCAGTGTGTTGTACTTCAATTGCAGGGCTGCTCCCTTGTCAATGGCGAATAATAATGCCTGCTGTACCCAGCCATGATCCTTGGAGTTTGCGTTCGGCGGCCATTTCCCCCCATCTACAGCCCCCGTCCTGTATCCGGGAGAGCGGGAAGTCCCAACCAGACCACGTTAATTGTCGACAGAATGGAGTGCGCAGATTGGATGGAGACCTCCCTGTCCCCTCAGCCCGCTTGCTGGGTGCGGGACCACCTCTGTCCGAGTGTGAAGAGGAGGTGAGGTAGGTGACATTGGCTGCCAAGGACGTGAGGATGAGGAGAATCCCTCCCAGCCAAGGTGTCTGCCGCTGTTTATCCATTCCATCACCCATGGACGCTACCGGGGCGAATGAACAAACGCACCTCATCACCATGGATTCTCGCAACTCAAGTGTGTGCGGCGTATCCCGTAGCAAAACCAACCCCGTTAGTCTTTCACGCCCTGAAGGAAAAAGACAATTCAAGCCCATGTCGAGCGTCCTGAGAAAGACACACCCTGGATGAGATTCCAACATGGCGACTACAACATTCGACCCAGCTAAAGACATCCCGAACTTGAAAGGAAAAGTCCTCATCATAACTGGAGGAACCGCAGGAATCGGTCGAGCAACAGTTCTATCATTCGCAGCCCACCAACCCGCCCACATCATCTTTACCGGGAGATCACAACCTTCAGCAGAAGCAGTCATCTCAGAATCATCTTCCGAACACCCCTCAGTCCCAGTAACATTCATAAAATGCGATCTCGCCTCCCTGTCTTCAATCCAAACCGCGGCCCGCCAGATCGTCTCAAAAGTCACCCGCATCGACATCCTCATAGCCAACGCTGGAGTCATGGCTCTTCCCCAAGCCCTCACAGAAGATGGCTACGAGATCCAATTCTGCACAAACTTTTTGGGACACGCACTCTTGGTGAAACTTCTAACCCCCCTAATGCAAACCACAGCCAGAATCCACGGAGACGTTCGAATAGTCTGGGACAGTTCCATCGTCTACATGATCCATCCCCTTGGAGGAATTCAATTCGACACACTCCAAACCATACAAGCAGACATGTCCCCTACTTCAGGAAATTGGATTCGATACAGTCAGTCAAAACTCGCAAATCTGCTATATGCGAGAGCTTTTGCGAAACATCACCCGGAGATAACTTCTGTCGCTATACATCCTGGGATCGCGTATACGGGATTGATTGAATCGCTTAGCTGGGCGGAGAGGATTTTTGTCAAAGCTACGACGTTTTGGATGGCTGTTCCTCCTGATCAGTGTGCGTATAATCAGCAGTGGGCGGCGACTGCGCCTTTGGGTGGAGGAATTATGCAAGTTGAAAGTGGTAGGTATTATGAACCTGTTGGGAGGAAAGCGTGGTTACTTCGTCGGGCTGGTGATGATGGGTTGGCTGAGAAGCTGTGGGAGTGGACGCAGGAGGAGTTGAAGCCTTTTGAACTAGCTGCGTCTTGATCTCTAAGGATGTGGGTTCTTTATTCACTTGGGGTGATGTTTGAACATGACTCTGCACGTCATGACTCGATCTCCCACGCAGTGGTCAAGGAGTAAATAGCAACGGCTGTAAACACCTCGCTTCCAATTGGACGTGACAGAGCTGTGGGGCTGTCTAAGMAACATCCATTCGAGGAAGGTGCTGCCGATGCAGCTATAGACAGCTATCTTGAAGCAAAACAACACATACGCACGCCCTTTCTGTACTGCAGACAAAGTGACTCAAAGGGCGTACACAAAGCATCTTTGACATCGTATAAGACACCCGACATTCCACTTCACTCTCCCCATCAGCACCCACACAATGGCATCTTACACACCGGACGCAAGGAGCAAAGGCGTTCGTCTACCAAAGAGGAGTCAGTGAACGAAACATCCATCGTCATCTTGTAATAATGCATGCAATACATCAAACTCTGACACAATCCCAGCAACCTACGACCAAGAACTCATCCATGGAATCGTCAACCAAACCCCGATCCTGCACGTCTCATTCAACGCCCCACCAAAAGATGGCCCTCAATTCCCAACCATACTCCCCATGCTAGGTTCCATTGACACATTCTCTTCCGACTCGGAAGCTCATCTCTACCTCCATGGTTCTTCCGTGGCTCGCTTGTTCCGCCTGACAGAAGGGAAGGAGATCCCCCTTTGTGTTGCGGCTACAATTCTGGACGGCTACGTCCTTGCTTTGGCACCTTTTCACAACAGCTGCAATTATCGGTCGGCTGTTGTGTTCGGCTATGGATGCATAGTCAGCGACCCCGAAGAAGTTCAATTCGCTTTACGATCCATCACCAACAAGTCCGTTCCTGACAGGTGGGAGAATTCTCGGGCTCCGCCGACAAAGCCGGAGATCACGGCAACGGGAGTCTTGAAGGTCCGCATTGAGACTGCCTCTGCCAAGGTACGAATGGGTGGCCCGAGTGACGAGAAGGCCGACTTGCAGAATGCAGAGGTCATAGACAAGACTTGGATAGGCGTGGTGCCGACGTATCTAACTCTCGGCGAGCCCATCGCTGGCGAGTATAACAAGGTCAAGCAGGTGCCGGAGTATATCGCAGACTGGGTGGCAGATGCGAACTCGATGGCGGAGCAGAAGGCGATTGATGCTGTTGAAGACTAGCGGTTGTGCGGCGGTATGGTGGTGGTGTTCTATTCCTCAAGACCCGTGGGCTGCGAGTACGTTGCGAAGGGAGTCGGAAGGGGCTGAAATGCCAGATCTTGCGTCTCGCAAGCCCATTGGGGCGTGATGGCAAGTAAGGAACGCGGCGATTGGCGAGAAGTCGAGCGTAAGCAAGGACATCTGCGTACTCCATACGCTGCTGGCTGGCTTGACGTTGTTGACCGAATAGAGCCACGACGAGTTTCGGGTGGTTCGATGGGTCATCGTCCGTGAGGGTCTGTGACAGCTCAGGAAACAGCTCTCCTTCCCAAACGTGATTGGCATGTCGAACGTAGTGTGCCAGGGTTAAACGGTTGTGGCGTTTTGTCTCTACGTTCACTGCTTTGGTCGAGTATGCTGGTCCAAACAAGATCCACATTCGCAATAGAAACGCCCTTTTGGCGGTCTCCGGTCTCGTGTAAATGCCGTAGTCGCGAAGCTTGCGGAGAAGCGCCAGCCCTTTCGCCCACGGTTCGCATGGCGGGGTGACCTCGCCTTCCGGCGTAGGGCGTAGCAGCCTATCCTGGCTCGCGTGCCTAAAGCCCCATGTGACTATGGCTTCGCGCATTTGCCGGTTGAAAAAGAATTGTAGGTCTTCCGCAGGTTCTCGCCACCGCCTTTCCCTTGTGTCGTAGTACGCAGAAGCGCGAGAAGAGTACCAGTGAGCCAGCCATAGGACCAGGCGTTCTAGCTCGTTCCACTTGTGCATCATGCCGTATCGCTTCAGAACCTCTTTCCAAAGGACGGCCTTAACATATCCTCCATTGGTGGCGGTGAAAATGTATGCATTGGTTGTGAATTGTAACGGGTTGAGGATGCGTGCTTCGAATCGAGGTTGTGAAGGGCCCAGGCCGCGACGCCTCGCAGGAAGTATGTAACGTTGAAGGAACGTAAGTGTTCTCTTGCTGAAGACCATTGCAGAAGCCTGCATCTGTTCCGCGGTGCRAGCAACAGATCTATAGTCGCGCTTCAATATGTACTGCTGTAGCAATCTATTCCAGGCCCTTGAGTGGGCTACATGGCCTGTTAGCGACAAGGCCATCAGAGTGAGATGCGCGTTGGTCCAATCATCATTCTGTAGGAAGGTGTCCAGTAACAGCTCCTGCGTGGTGGCGTCCTCGTAAGACTCTGGATGTTGATCGCTGGCGAGGAGGGCGTCATAAAGCTGAGCAGATCCTTCCAAAGTGATTTTCTGCATCAGACGTCCATATATCGACTGGTCAATTCCGATGCCACAAGCTTTGAGATCGCTGAGCTTGTTGCTGAGAACTACACTATTGCCAGCCTTCAGCGCCATTTCACGAACCGCGAGCGCACCAAGGTTGTCAACGCCAAAGAACCCAAGGCCTGTGATGACCAGATCGAGGGAAAAGGCATGCGTAGCAAACATCTTCGCGACAAAGCTATCGCTGACTTCCTTCGGCTTAATGCCGTGAACGTCGCCGACCAATGTAGACATGGTAGCACGAGTCAAAGGTGGGAATCCTGCCTGATCAGGAGATGGCCCCGTGGACACCACGGCGGGCCGGTCACGCTGGTTGTGGACCATAGGAAGCGATGCGTCGCCATCCAATTCAAACAAGCGCTGTACAGCAGGATCGGCATAAGTCTCTCGGTCAGGGCCGTCGCCATGTTTCAAGAAAAGTCGATGCCAACGCAACGCCTCCTTGTCGCCTTTGTACTTCAACAATGCAGGCACATAAAAGCCATACAGCCCTCGCTGCTGACTGCGGACGTACATGAATTTGAAAGCGATCCGCGCTTCATAGTAGGATGCCGTGTGGACGAAGTCTGGCACCAAAGCATTCCATTGGATAGGGATGTTGTCAAAATCTTTGCAGAGTCTCTCATGCCAGTGCCGTGCGGAGGGCGGATTGACTCGTATCCAGCGACCGACAACACACCTGTGCAAGCCATTGTATAGACCTGACTGGGCGTAGAGGTCCCGGGCATGATCCATAACATTGCGTAAAAGGCGGTCGTGACGGTCATCCAGCGGCCAACGTATGCCCGCGTGAATGAAAGTGGTCCACAAAACGTCTGCTTCGTTGCCTTTGATGGGAAGGTCGATGTCCCGCCTCCTCATCCCTCTCCACACATCCAGCACACCCCCAAAACCATCCACACGCTGTCGGYATTGCAGCAGCTCCGCCCATAGTTTGAGGTTTCCTTGGTTCTCGGGTCGATCGACAGCAAGCTCGCCCACTGCATGCCCGGCGGCTACATCGGCTTGACGGCKCAGGGCTCGAATCGCCTCTCCTGGTGGTGTGGATGGTTCGAAAAGCTGTGCTCCCGAATTGAGAGAGATTCGCAAGGCAGTTTCGTTGGATTCGTCCCGAGTTGCCTTGTCCGTCTTTCCCATCGTCCATTGGCGGTCCTCTTTGCTCGCATCGGCGGTGTGGCGACTGCGGAAATCGATTCCACTGGTTCTCAACGAGTGTTTCCGTCGATTCGGGATGCGTCTCGTAGGAGCATAATCATCCGTGGCAGCAACAAGTCTGCGCAAGAAGCAGAGCGTCTGGCGTCTCGCTAGCCATCGCTCACAGGCCACGGCCATTTCTCGAAGCGCGTCAAATGTCGGCCTCGATCTGGCGCYATTGCATCTGCATCCGTTAAGGCGGTCTTGTCGGAATGGCTGAGATGTTGAAGTATCAATGGATGGATGGGAAGCTCTTCAAAAACTAAGGTACCTTAGCTCCGATGCGCTCGGTGGACGGCAACTTCCGTTCACTTCACTCACCTGCAACTGCACCACCACCGTCCTCTGCGATCGCACTGTAACCATCCCACAACACAGCCATCATGCGTCCAACACTCATCAGACAGGCGTGAGTAGTCCCCCGTCACATCACTCGGTCCGTGACCATCTCCGTGTCTGCAATGGCTGACAATGCTGCGCTCCAGATTCCCCAAGTTCCCCGGTCTCAATCGCCGCAACAACGTGCCCAAGTGGCAGGAGATTCACCAGGCCCACGATGGCGTAAGGCAATGGAACAAGGTACGCAAAAGAGACGTGTTCGTGGGAGAGTCGAGGGAGGAATTGGATCCCAGACGGGCGTGAAGCTGGGAAGGGCACACACACCTCTGCAGACGCTGATGTCTACTTTCCAGGGCCCGAACGCCAAGTACATGCTCTACCCGTACTACGGCGTTTTGATTGCGACTACCGCTGGTGCGTATATGCGGTCTCAAGAGTGGACATTCAGACACTGACAATCACTGCAGCCACTCAGTACATGATGATCCGCATGGTCTTTGGACACAAGACCCCCTTCGGTTCGGACTAGACCTCGTGCAAGGATATGACAGAGCGGGAAATGCGATTGAACAGTGAAGAAAAGGCAGACCTCTTCGTGTGTATATCATCAATTGCAATCATGGGCTTGGTTTCTTTTGTCGACCCGTTTCCCTCCAACATCTCCTACTCAAAGATCATGACAGGCATGATGAACACGGCTGATGGCATCGTCCACGCCTGCAGTGGCTCAGATCTGGCCTGGCGAAGTTCACAAAAACTGCTAATACAGATGAAGAGGTAACTACACAACCCAGAAAATCCTAGCTGACTGAGAGAGCAACTTCGCTGCATCGCAATGCATTCCTCCATTGTGGCCACGAATACCCTCGCATGCCGCATAGTATCAATCGTCTCGGGATCGTCGGCGCTCGAGGTCCAGCAGGCGCTGGAACATAGGTACCGACTTGACGACCATTTCATGACAGCGACCCTCGCTTCTCAGATGCACAATCGGCGCTGAACTTATGCCACCTATAATGAATAAACCTCGCGCTACCCGCATTTCCACTGACAGAGTGATCCTTATGCTTCTGTATCAACGACCCGGCGCCCGCAAGCACAACCCATGAAACAAAGCTAATCTCGCAATCCGCACTCTTTACATGCTAGATGGCATCCAAGCCCTCTGCTAGTCTGCACGATAAGATGCCTCTCGTTATTCCGGAACTTGACCATGTTCAACCTTACCACCACGACCAGCTTTAAATCTACCGGCAAGGAGTCCGCATTCCCATAACCCGACGTCCATTGGTGATGTGGAACACCACGAATCTCATTCATAACAACTACACACATCCCAAATGACAGTCAACCGCTGAACAGTAAAGCAGAGAAAGGAAGGATAGCACGAATAATCTGCTCATTCCATGCTTCGATGCTCAATACTGGTTCGGAACTTCAAACATTACGTGGGTATCATTAATCGGCCTTCGGCTGGACTGGGCTGTCACTTTGCAAGCGACCTCTTTATATTGTTCCACATGGAGTACATGCTTCCTCCCAAGCTAACTCAGGGTTAGCGCGTGTTAACCTCACATGTTCGCTAAACGCTGGGGAGACACTCACGTTGGACGTTTCGAATTCATCCTCTTCAGCTCTTTGATATACTCCTCTCTCYCGCTCTCCGTTCGATACGGCTCCTCGGTAGATTTTCTGTGGCCAGAAGAGCGATGACTCTTCGCTGCGGTGGAATGACGAGACCTGTGCGAGCGATGGCTATCATGCGAAACCCTTCTACCGTCTTGCGAGCGATGGCTTGTATGCGAACGGGCAGAAAGATGGCTTGGAGCACGGTTTCGACTGCTACTGCTGCGTGGCCTGCCTCCGCCATAGCCTGCTGCCGCTTGGATGGCTTGGACATCTGGGTTCGCAGGACGGTTTTCAAGAGGGGCGCGATAGCTTGGACTTGAACTGTATTGCTCTGGATTTGGGGGAGTGTATGGTCTGTTGGATTGGATGGCTGGCGATGCACCGTAGCTAGAACGTGGCGGCGTTACATGAGCTAGTCTGTCGCCATCCATGCCCGGCTGGCTTTTTGAACCATCATATCTATCTGGCACGTATCTGGAAGAACCACTGCCTGGTCGGTAACTTGGTGTGGCGTAGCTGGTCATTTTTGGAGTGTGGAGTTGATCTTCGCGGTCTAGGAAACGGAAGATGTGGCAAAGTTGTATTCAAAAAATCGACAACAAGAAAACGAATATCTTGATTTGAGTTGGCAAGCAATCGATAGTACTTTAGCCCTTCAAAAGAGTATAGGTCCGCGGAACTATGTTGCTAGTAGGATTGAGCCAACAGAATCAAACACACAGACGTGAGTTATTTTTGGGGTGTGATTGAAGATTGGAGGAGATGGGATCATTTCGTTGCAAGGGATACGACGCTTTTAACACTCCAGCAGGCCGCATAGTCAACAATGCAGATGACATTCAAGACATCCGCCCCACATGTCGATRTCGAGTGAGAAGATGGTGTTCGACTTGTCAACCAATTACTCGCGCCAAAAACGATCCGGAGATCCACATTTCGGAGGGCTGAGCCGTCTGAGCGGCATCTCTCTTGGCGGCGTGGCTCTTGGGAGTTTCTCTACAACTTAGGCAACTACGTCATTGTCGATGGCCTCGTCATTTCCTGGAACAATGAACGGTCATTGCGGCAACTGAAGCAGGCAGAGCACATGGCAAATGTGGTCACCACCTGGCAGTAACGTGTCGACTTCCACCATCTCACGGGACTACCAGCGTTCATTRCCGGATCACACGAAAAAGCAACAACAACCACAAGCAAGCACTGCCCCGCAGGCAAAGTGGTATGTAACCAATAGATCTTGGCTGCTGCGCCGCCATCGCCATCGCGCCTGAATCCTACAAGAATGTAACTTTGGACTTCAAAACTTGCTCGTGCCCTTGATATCCACCATCAAACTGTTCTTCATCAACATTCAATCAAATTTTCCTATACCGACTTCACGATAACCATGTCATACTATCCGCCCCCCGGTGGCCCTCCTCCTGGTCAGGCTCCATACCAGCGTAAGTTTTTGTGTCACATGAAGCCATCATAGCCTCTCCGCAGGTGCAGGTGGATGTTTTAGAAGGTTGAGTCGTGGTCTCGATCTTGCATTCGATTGCAACGCCATTCTGAGCATCTGAGATGTTTGGATGTCACGGATGCATCAATACAACGGAGAGGCTCCTCGTGACAATCCTGCTGACTGGCTCCAGAATATCCACCTCAGCAAGGCTATGGCCAGCAGTATGGCGCTCCTCCCCAAGGATACGCTCCGCCAGCTCCGCAACAGGGCTATGGTGCTCCTCCGCAACAGGGCTACGGTGCTCCTCCGCAACAAGGCTACGGTGCTCCTCCGCAACAGGGATACGGTGCTCCTCCCCCGCAACAAGGCTATGGCGGCTACGGCCACCCACCGCCGCCTGCTGGTCATCCTGGACAGTACSGAAATGTCCCACCTCCGCAGCAGCCTTACGGGGCACCGCAAGCTTTTGGCCCTCCAGCAATGCCATCCCCGGGTTACGATCTCCGCCAGCGCTCCAACGTCGATGTCTCACGCGCTGCTGATGAGCTGCGTGCTGCCATGAAAGGGTTTGGAACCAACGAAGACAAGCTCATCCGCACCCTTGCTCCTCTAGGCCCATTGGAGATTGAAGCCGTCAAGGTCGCGTTCCAGCAACGGCATAAGCGTGATCTGATGAAAGACGTCCATTCTGAAACTTCTGGTTATTTCCGTGAGGGTTTAGAGGCAATTATTCGTGGACCGCTCGACCAGGACTGTCACGTCATCAAGGAGGCCCTTGACGGGATTGGCACGAAGGAGAGTGCACTTRACGATGCCCTTCTGGGACGAAGCAACGCCGATATGAATGCCATTAAAGCCCACTTCCAGCACAAGAACCGTAAGACATTGGAGAGCGCGGTCAAGGACGATTTGTCCATGAAGACTGAGCGCATGTACGACATGGTCATGGCTGCACGCAGAGCCGAGGAGTCCGAACCTGTCTTGCCTCAAAATGTAGATGCTTGGGTTAAGGAGCTCTACGATGCGACTGAGGGTCGAAGCGGCGCTGATCAAGTTCACTTCTGCGCGGTCATAACTTCACGCAGCAACGGCCAGCTTCGCGCCATTGCGCAAGCCTACAAGCACAAGTATCATCGATCACTCGAGGAAGTCATTCGAAAGGAGTTCAGCGGACACATGGAATCAGCCCTTCTCTTCATTGTTGGCGCGGCTGTGGATCAGGCCAAACACGATGCCGATCTTCTCGAAGACTCCATGAAGGGTCTAGGCACCAAAGACCAAGCCCTTGTCCGAAGAGTTGTCATGATCCATTGGGATCGTCAACGTCTCCAGCAAGCCAAGGCAGCATACAAGCACTTTTACAAGCGCGATCTCGTCGAACGGATCAAGTCTGAATGCTCAGGTAGGTTGATGGACAGCTTTCAAAGGTATCGACAGTGTTGCTGACAGTTGACCCCTTTTTGTAGGAGATTACCAGAAACTCATGGCGGTCTGTGTCGCTGGTGCCTGATGGCCTGACCTTAACTGACCTCCGGCGTTTAGTTGTTTGAAATGTGAGGTAGGCGTTTGGATATACCCCGGAAACCGGAGGAGGAAATGATTGTACAGAGGGATGAAGCAAATGCACGGGATCAATGAGGCTTCGCTGCATAAACGAAGGCCACGAATGTTTTTATCAAACTACCCTAGAGTGATGATGAGAGCTTGAAGTAATAATGTATTGCTCTCAATTCGTCGTCTGTTCGAGCGAAACGTGATTGTGTCCTGTTGAGTTGAGTGCCTCTTTGCTGATCTGAGTGGGATTGGGCGGCATATGATATCAGGAGGCAATGGTCGATGTGACAAGGCAAAGGCCTCCGTCTTCAATAAACGTGAAGAAGTCCCTCACCATTTGAACGTAGCGAATTGGCTGTTACTATGAGCAAACGATGAACATTGTTCGTAAGTGTACATCGAAAGTAGCTGGCGAGGAGACGATTTTGGGGTCCCATTACCGCCAGCTCATCCAATACAAGACCCGCTTAAGTTATGTGATCCTGAGATATGTGTTGACATGCGCAAAGCCGGGAAAATACTACCCCAACCCTAACCCTGCAATTCAAATCATGTTGGACACACGCCAATCCCGCATCAATTCCCCTAGAACCATCTTCGGGAGAGCATCAGACTCTCGAAGAGTATCGATATGTGCGACAGGACAGGTAGAGACAGTTGACAGTGCGCAGAGATTGAGATCAAGTGTTGGAGTCTATGGTGTATTTCTATAGGTTCTGTATGCGTGCTAAAAGACAGTGACATATTCTGCTACTTGGGTCGTAGCAAAGGATGCGCTTCGGTATTGCTAGACGACATGTTAGACTTCGCGCCTTAAGACGTGACTTGGAAACAATATCCAACTTACAAGACATAGTCGTCTAGACTGATGAGATCGGGCTCACTGAATATCAGGTAGAAGTACCTGGGAGTTAAGGTCAGCAAGAGCATCGTAGACAGAGGTCGCGCGCCCTTGATAGTACGTACTTGAGCGTCTCCGCAGTCCTAGACACAGCAATGTTAGTAATCAGATCATGTTCCAGTGATAACCTCCAGCTTACCAAAACGACTCCATGGTATCCAAATGTCCCAAATCCGGCTTGGAGACATCCTTCAACGCAGCATACGCAATGTCCGTCCTGGTCGCAGCATCAATAGCCTGAAACATCTCCCACGCTTTATCCTGCAGCGTCTGATCTCCTGTGATGCGATACAAGACAAAGACAGACTCAATCGCCTCTGGTCTGAGAATGTATCTTGCATCGTCGACACGTGTAAATCCAGGCACGAGCGAGCTTTCCGCAATGACACTCTTTGCCTCCTCCACATATGATTCGCCAACCTCTACAAGTCCGCGATGTGACTGGTACAGCACAGCTTTTTGCCAGGCTTTTTCGTCCCATGTACATTTCTCTCGGTCCGCTTCTTCACAAGGCATGGCAGTGAAGAGTTCAGGCATGATGCCGGTAGGCATAGATTCGTACGCCCACAAGCAGCCGTCGACCAGCTCACGTGCAGTTTGCAGCTCGTCAGCTTGCTGGAAGATCTTGGCAGCGAGAGCCACCATTCCACCTGCAAAGCAAGCTAAATGTTCACCCTGCGGTATAAGGGAAAGAAGCTTTGAACGACCGGGCGATCTCTTCACCGTGCCTGGAACGAGTATCTTCTTGTTGTCCCGTGTGAGCGGGCGGAAGAATATCTTCTCCTTTGCCGTCTCGAGGGCGGAAATGTACATGTTCTTGTATTGGTCTGTTTGGCCGCCAAGTAAAATGTGCTGTTTAGGGAGGTACTCATACATGGAGTCGGCCATTCCACCGAGGGTGAATTTAAGGCCGGTCTCAAAGTCAGCTTCCAATGCGTTCAAGTTCGTTGGCCAGAGTCCCGGGTACGATGTCCTGTTCTGACATTCCTCGAAAACGTTCGTGATACGGGCAATTGCATCATAGTATTTCGGGTCCTTGGTGAGCTGGCTCAAACGCGTGAATTCCAGCGTCAAACTCCCAATCTCAGCGAGGAGCGTTTGCTTCTTAGCTTGCTGATCATAACCAAGAGCAGTGCTCTGCCATTTCCACCTCGCCACAGGCATTCGATTTGGTGTGTCAAAGGCAAGGTACAACATCTCGCCCAAAGCCGTGGCCTTCTCAAGCAGGATCTTGTGTCGATGTCCACTGACATCATATGCACTGAGGAGTCCACCCAAATAACGAATGGTAGTCTCGAACACATTCACCTCGGTGAGGGTACTTATCGAGAAGTCAATCTTCTTCAGGCTCGACAGCGCATCCTTGAAGTCTTTATCCAAGCCCATGATGTGTAGCGTGTCGAGGGTATCCACCAAAGTTGCACCTCTGCCGCCAAACGGGTTCTTGGCCTTGCCCGTCAAAGGAGCCACCTCATMGTACATCCATGCATTCTGCTTGTAACCCTCCCACGAATGCTCGAAAGCTGTCTTGACTGCCTGCTGACGATGACGGCGTGTCTGTGCGWGTGCAGCGCTCTCGGGCGGGAAGTCGTGCTGTACCTTTGGGATGGTGACATGCTGTCCGGTGGGGATCGGGGTGTAGGCCTCCACGGGATGTTTCTGCCTGACGTTCTTCCACTTGAATTTGGGCTTGAAAAAGCCCGGATTGAGGATTTGATCGATAGGCTTGACTTTAGGCTTGGACTTTGAAGGCTGACTGTAAGGAAGATGAGGAATGTATGGTTTAGCTGCCAATAGGTGAAAAAGAAGGATGAAGAAAGAAACAGCGAGGATTGTCGAAACGATCCATCGCCGAAGAGGAGGAGGCATCTTGCCGCGGGAATGAACGTCACTTAGGACCGGACGAATAGGCAGGAAAAGCAACCCATTCCTCCAAGAGAAGGATGATGAAGACAACGACGGGAAGATGATGAAGATAAAAAGAAGGGACAAGACCTGCTCAGGGGAATGACATCGTTGGTGAGGATTGTGTCGAGGATGTCAAGCTGGGTTTCCACATCTGCCAATCTGCATGGGATCGTCGCACGGCCTCTTTGACGCGTTTGGCGGACGGCGAGCCGGCGGGCGTCGCGTTGTGTGAGGAACAGAGGAAAGTGGCGTGGAGAACGAGCCTCGTCTCCTCTCCAGACGACGCTCATCGCCGTATGGCATGAGGTTGTAGCTTACGATATGTATGGATGCGAGTCTGTGTCCGTGTGAGATTGTCAACAGAGCACGATCCCTTGGCCTGTCCGGCTAAACTATCCATTCTATTTGCCCGTGCGCAACTTCCTCACTACCTAGAACCCTTGAGCGATCGCCTCACTCCTATCATCATCAGGAATCGAAAATGCGATAACATCACCAATTTTGAGATTGAAAACAATACGGAGAGTGGCAGTGTTGGAAAAATGGCGGAATCATATCCCACGCTCCCGCAATGCGCGGCTGTAGCGACAGCACTCAAAGTTCTCCTCTGGCCTGCATAGTTCGTATTCCACCAGCCCGTGCGATAAACATGCGCTGATCGAATTTGCAGCAAATCAACGGATTTCGAGGTTCATAGAAACTGGCTGGCTATCACGAACTCTTTACCATTGAAGCAATGGTACTTTGAAGTTTGTTGATTAATCAAGGTGGAGACGTCTGGCACTTACTTATGATGCACTGCTAGGACACCTCAGAGTGGACACTCGACTATCCGCCCTTTTTCGCCTACTTCGAACGGACCATGTCACAAGTAGCTCGATTGTTCGATGCAGATATGCTACAGGTCAAGAACCTGGGTTATAGCAGCTGGCAGACAGTCTACTTTCAACGAGCATCGGTCCTCGTTACCGAGCTTGTCCTGATRTACGCCTTAAGCCTGTATGTGGTCGACGTGATGCGATCGTGCGGTCCATTCTCTAACGCTTCCAGATACATCAACTCTGCACCACTGGGCTCCAAGAAGCAATCACACGCGGCCGCTCTCTCCATCCTCCTCTCGCCTGGCTTGCTGATCATTGACCACATTCACTTTCAATACAACGGCTTCCTCTACGGAGTTTTGATCATCTCGATTGTCCTTGCTCGGTACCAGAAAGGTGGATTACTGTTTGGCGGCATCCTTTTCGCAGCTCTACTCTGCCTGAAGCACATCTACCTTTACCTGGCACCTGCGTACTTTGTTTTCCTACTGCGCAAATACTGCCTCGGACCGCGCTCGATCTTTGATATCCAACTGTTCAATTGCATCAAGCTTGGTCTTGGGATCGTCGTGGTCGGAGCGCTGGCATTCGGTCCATTTTACGATCAAATACCGCAAGTGATCAGCAGGTTGTTTCCCTTTTCAAGAGGACTCTGTCATGCGTACTGGGCGCCAAATATCTGGGCCATGTACTCCTTCAGCGATAGAGTACTGATATACCGTGAGTCTATCGTGAGGAAACTTTTTTGATGATTTTCTGACAAGGAATAGTTGCGCCATACCTGAAAGTGCCAGTCAACGCAGATGCCGTGMAGAGTGTCACTCGCGGTTTGGTGGGAGACACTTCATTCGCTGTCCTTCCCAACATTTCACCGCGAATGACATTCGTCCTGACACTCTCTGCCCAAATCGTAAGCCACTCTGCCTGCTTCATGCTGAACAAATGCTGACCTCCCTAGCCCGCCCTGATCAAGCTCTTCCTGCGCCCAACCTGGATAAACTTCGTCTCGACCTTGACACTTTGCGGCTACGCATCTTTCCTCTTCGGCTGGCACGTACACGAAAAGGCCATTCTGCTCGTCATCATTCCCTTCAGCCTTATCGCGTTGAAGAATCGTCGGTACTTGGGCGCCTTCCGCCCACTTGCTGTCGCCGGTCACGTGAGCTTGTTTCCTTTACTGTTCACAGCGATGGAGTCTCCGGTCAAGATTGTATATACCAWCCTGTGGCTCGTGGCTTTCATGGTCGGATTCGATCGTTTAGCACCCGCGTGAGTGTCCATTTATCAAATTCTGCTGGGAAAGTGCTAACTTCCATCTAGTTCTGAGAAACCAAGAGTCTTTCTATTCGACCGCTTTTCACTGTTGTATATTGCGATCGCGATACCGCTGATTGCATATTGCTCGCTATTACATCAGGCGGTGTTTGGAGAGAAGTTCGAGTTCCTGCCGTTGATGTTCATCAGTTCGTATTCCGCCATTGGTGTCGTTGCAAGCTGGCTCGGGTTCTTGGTGGTGTTCTTTACGGAATAGACGACATCGATTGATAGAATAATGAATTCAGCCGCATGTCTCTGGCAATCGATATAGTTGCTCAGGCCTAATTCAGATCGTTCGACGGCCACTTGCGAGCATATGCCGCTGTTATGGAGACGCAAGAGCTGCATACCTTCTTGATTATTTCAAGTTGGCTGGATCGTGTTTGAAAGTGGCGGATGAAGCCTGCATCGTTCGACGCTCACGTCGCCAATTCTAGCTGCAAGCATCGTTCGGACGGACCCTCGGCGTAGTCTCAAGTAAGGGAGAAGACTGTCAGGTTCTTCACTCGTTTGAAATTCACTGAGACCTTATATCAACTCTCGCAATGATACATCTTCTAATTCTCCCAGAGGAGAGGAGTTGAACGAGTCCATGAACGTGGGTTTTCGTCAAGCGAGTCAGGATGGAACGGGCAAAAGCAGTTTGGTAGGGACGGGAGCGTGGAGTGTACGTGGAGAAAATTGAGAAGTCTTGAGGGAGGGCGATTTCTCGGCAGTCTCCCGAAAGTTAAACGGCGGCAGCTCTTTGTACGCGATCACCAGCCAAAAGGCTACATCCACTCCCGGGTAGTTCGCGATGTCTACCTCTTACTTCCTCAAGCTTTGCCAATCCTCTCCCTCTCTCCCACGCACCACCACCTCCACCCACCATCCACTCCATCCACCTTGACTTTTGCGTGTGTCGGGCATTCCACCCCAGATCCTCCCAAAACTCTCTCTTCCACTCGATCACCACCTCCGGGAGACCCTGCCTAGCGCAACCTGCTCTCTTCTACACGTGCAGTTTGACCTCCAGACCACAACACCACCTCCCAACGCGCCGATATCCCCATCGCCATCCACCATCGCGGTCGCCGGTACCTAGCGATTCCCGCTGACCCATTAAGCACGTGTATTATACAACTACCTCGAACGCGGTCACGACCCTCTACGTCCTCGTCACCCAGGATCCGACCCAGCCGTGCGCTGGGTCGCCGCGGACATGGTGCGCCAACACAAACGCGTAGAATTGCTGCCATTGAACATAGCCAACAACCAATTGCAGGTCCTCCACAAGAGAAAGCCCGTCTTGACGATACCTCATCCAGAGAATCTCACAGATAATACGGAGGTATGGTTGGCTTTTGGATCCAACAGACAAGCAATCGTCTGACACGTCTTAGATCTTTGTGATTAATGGTACGGATGAGATATTCATCGACTATGAGAAATACATCAAGCGGTATGCGAAAAAATATATATCGTTACCATTTTGACAAGTGCTAATCCCCAAACCAGATTCGACTGGCTCAGCAAGGTGCGCAACGCCGACCACGTCCCGTCGCGAAACAACACTAACAGTATCCAGAAGCAATTCACAGACTCGGTCAATGGCAAGTCTGGTCTGACTTATTGGGACGCGTTGAAATCCGAGGTGCGATGACATCACATGATCGCGTGTGGAAGTGAATGTCGATGCTGACTGATAGACACCAGACGAAGAGCTCTGCGACGATTGAGAACATGTTTCCAGACGCGCTCCGGGAACAGATTCTGCAAAAGGTGCAATTCTCCACCACCTCGCGCATGGACGAGCTGKGTAAGTGTCGCCTCCTGAGTGACGCTGATCAACACTAACAATCCTCCAGTAAATGCCATCTTCGACGAGTTCAAACACGACTTCTTTCCCGGCGAGGAAGTCACGGTCATTGAGGAATCGGGCGAGCAGCTTCAAGGTGTCATTCGCGAGAAGGCCAAATTCCCCATGATTCGCGCCGCCGATGGCAGCATTCAGCGCGAACCTTTTTCGAGATACTTTGTCAGAATCCATGGATCAACAGCAGAGGAGGCGCTCACAGACGACAAGCACGTTCGACGCGACCGGAAGGTGTTTACTAAGCAAAACCTGCGATCATTCTTGAAGAACTCGCTCCAGCGTGAGGCATGGACAGGAGCGCCATGGCTAGTAAAGGAGCATCTTGCCATTCACTACCGCCTGCCCATGGAGATCCCTGCACATCTACTTCAGGATGCGCGCCTGCTCCAGAGCAAGCCACATCATCTTCAAGTGAGACTGCCCAAGGCCAAGAAGACCAAGCTCAATCAAGGTGATTTCAACCAGATCAGCACACAGGAAGAGCTCCGTRTGCAGCAGATGCAACAGCAGCAGCAGCAGCATCCCGGCGCACATTCTCATCATATTCCTCAACAAAATGGTCACCACCCTGCGCAATCTCGGCCGCCACCTCCGGTAGTCATCAAGTATCCAATTGAAGATCTGGACATCCCACCAAAGCGAAATGGCACAACACGTCCGGAGCTCAAATTTTTCACCGAGGAGATTGCCGACTACATCAAAGGCACCCGTCGGGATCCTCCAGCGGAGATCGAGATTGAGTCGATGGGAATGTTGCTGGAAGTTTGGAACACGCTGAATGTCCAGTGCGAGGTTTACCAACTGGACAGCTTTACATTCGACGATTTTGTGGATGCGATGAAGTACCAATCTCTGACCACAAAGTGCGAACTCTTTGAGGAAATTCACTGCTCTGTTCTAGGGATGTTCATCGATGATGAAGGCAAATTGCAAGTCAAGGATCTTCCCAAGAAGGTGGAATCAACCTCCGTGGACGATTCCGAGATGATAGATGGAAGCGAAGCCTCTACACCGATACCCGACGCACCTGCAAGATCAACACGTAGCCGACTGAGTCATGTCGAATCGGCCGCCGACCAACCGGGCGCAGAAAAGGGTAATCTGGCGTCTGAGATGTTGGCAGAGCGGGGATGGCTTGAGAGGCTTGTGGCTCGCGACTATGCCGACGGAGGCTGGCAAGTGATTGTTGTCGGCATCCTACATCAACTTTCGGCGAGCTCGAAATTCAAGGCAAGATGCGACAGGATATTGGCACACCTCGCGCCAGTCGACGAGCCGCCCACCCGGCAGACGGCACTCGAGCAATATGCTACCATGGACATCAACTTACGGATCACAGCCCTGCAAATGCTGACGCTGCTCTCCGTCCGAACGGATACCATCAAAGACTCGCTTGAACAGTGCATGAATGACATGACAGACACGCGAAAACGCAAAATTGAGTTTCAGCGCGAGAAGAAGGTTGCGATGGAGGAGTATGCGTCGAAGGACCAGGAGCGCAAGATCCTCCTACCCGACCATCTCGAGCCGGACTCGCCAARGCCAGAAGACAGCATTATGAGCGTCGAACAGGAAGCGACAGAGGGCTCAATCGACGGTGCTAGCAGCACACCCGATCGGGACGATGAAGTGGCAGCTGGGGGTCGCTCACTACGGCGTGGCAATGATCGCAAGCGCAAGCGCGACGAAGACAACGCGCGTCGTGAGAAGGRGAGGGCAGAGAAGGCCGAAGCAGCCAAGGCTCAGAATAAATCCGCAAAGGTGTGGAACAAGGTATTGAAGGATCTTGCAGAAATTCAGAGCAAAATCACGGCACTCGAAGATCAGATTGCTGAATGCGACGAAGATCTGCGCGAGGCCAACGTTCAGCGCACCAAGGTGCTCGGCAAGGACAGATTCTGCAACCGCTACTACTGGTTCGAGCGCAATGGGCAGCCTTTCGGAGGTATCCCCAGCYCAAGCACCGCGTCGTACGGCTACGCCAACGGCAGAATCTGGGTACAGGGCCCTGATCCGATGGAGAGCGAAGGTTTCATCGAACGCACCAAGGAGGAGCAGGCCGAGTATCGTGCCCGCTTTGGAACCACAGTGCCGGAGCGCCGTCAGCAKGAAGAGGGCGCAACCGTTCTCAAGGACGCGCATGACTGGGGCTTCTACGATGATCCGGACCGACTTGATCACCTCATCGGTTGGCTAGACGAGCGCGGCGACCGCGAAAAGAAGCTTCGCAAGGAGCTCCTCGAGTGGAGAGACAAGATCGCAGAGTACATGATTGCGTATCAGAAGTTTCATGCCGAGGAGGCTGCGAAGAAGATTGAAGGCGAGGAGGAGAACGCTTCGAGGATCAGCACCAGAAACAAGGTCCATGAAGAGCAGAAGGACCAGAAGGAGAGGTGCTTGAAGTGGCGGAACACGATTGCATGGGACGAGATGGGACACTTGCATTCGGAGTACCCCAAGGTCAAGGAGAAGAAGGCACCCAAGGGTGTTGCTGTGTCCGTGCCGCGAAGCGGCAAGCATGCTACGCGGCAGGCTGCGAAGTGATTGGGATGCATGGAGCGACCACTTCCTGGACTCGATGTCCTCTGCCTGGGAACGGYAAGCCCCCTGGCCTCTTGTGAAGGTACGAATTTTGTTCGGCGCGTATGAGCGCGTGTGATGGCTGTTAAGAATGATGGGTGTTGGGACGAGTGACTGGCTCTGGCCGGTATGTGACGGTGGACTCTATTTCAAATCATGATGACTTTGCTGCATAGCGTGTTGGGAAGAAGGAATTATGGAGAGCGAGGCGTGCATGGTCCAAAAGGCATGTGTTAGATGTCATCATAGGCCGCTTTGATAGAAGATACCCAGGGGCGACTCAATCCTTTCCGGCGCGTCTGAGGTTTGCTGAATGATGGAAAGATGCACAAGAAGTATGTGAAGCCTTGGTGGGAGGATGTGAAGGTAGAAACATTCATCTACTTTTCAACTCAACCCAGGTAGTCGAACCCAGCAGTGGCCTTTAAAGTCGGATAGCCTGAGCTATCAACTACAGGCAAAAGCTTCAGCTTCCTCTCCTCTTCAATCTCGTCTGCCCTGATCCACCTCTCAACCTCGTCCTTATCACTCCAATCGCTCGTGAGCCTTTCCCCTCTACCAATCTGATGAAGTTGACTCCCAGTCCCCTGAGTATTCTTCGGCAACGGCAGGAAATTTTCAATCGCACCCGTTACCTTGCCATTCAAAATCTCGCGACAGAGAAACGGTTCCGCACCTAGTGGACGTCCGATGCCGATTCCTTGACAGGCATTATCTTGAACTGCTCGAACCATTCCGCTGGCTGTGCGGAAGCCTCCTGTTACGTAGATGATGGTCTGTTTGAGTAAGGGGCGGATCATCTCGGCGAACTCGATGAAGTAGCTTTCGCGCGCCTTGGTGGATTCTTTTTTATGTTCGAATGCTCGGCCTTCGAATGTGCCTCCGGAGAGATCTGAGGTGTGTCAGTGTGCTCTCCATTCGTTGTAGTTTGAGTTAAGGAGGTTTGCGAGAGCAGCCACGTTCTGGTCTGTGTTGACTGGACTTACCGATGAAATCTACCTTTGCTTCTTCCAGTTTGACACAGAGGTTGCGGCAGTCCTCTGGAGTCTGTCCGCCCTAGAAAGTAGAAGTTGGAAGGGTAAGCGATGGTCTAGATTCTCCGACGTGGAACATGTTCTGGCGTAGCTAGAGAGACATCTGTTTGCCCGCCCTCTTTCCTTCCGTATCTTGTAACATACCGGCTGAAACTCAACAGAGTTGAGCTTGACGCATATGATGAATTCGGGATCCGGGACACGACGGTGAATCTCCTCGATGATCTCAAAAATGATCCGGCAGCGATTCTCAAATGAGCCACCGTATTCGTCGGTACGTTTGTTCGTAGTTTCTGACAGAAACTGAGCGAGGAGATAACCGTGAGCACAATGAACTTGTACTCCGTCCATGTCGGCCTCGTGGCACAGGTATGCAACCTCTCCCCATTGCTTCACAATGTCTTTGATTTCTGGTACGGTGAGTGCTCTAGGCTGAGCGAACGAGTTTCCTGCCCATGCGAGCTTCAATTGTACGTCCGACGCACTTACGGGACGCGGATTCAGGGRGGCTGGTCCTTGACGGCCTGGCATGGATAATTGGGCGATGAAGAGCGAGCCATGAGCTTTGGCCGTTTGGGAGACTTTCTTGAAAGCGGCAACTCTACCATCGTGGTCGTCGGCCAAGATTGGGTTTCCAAAGGCCTCTACCATGTCATAACGTAGCATGATGTTGCCGGCCACTATAATGCCGATCTCACCCTCTCCCCAGCGTTGATAGAGGCGTTGATACTCCTGTCCACTATCAGCACGGCACGAATGTCTCAAGCCGGGAAGCTGCAGTCATGGCTGAGTTTGAGATGCTCTCATCAAATCGAAACAACAACAGCGTAGTCCAATCCACACCTCTGTCGGAAATCCTCGGACGTTGATGTCCTCGCCTTCCTTGTTCCATGTGCATAACCTCTCCGTCATAGGGGCTTTCAGGAACCTGTTCTTGGCCGTGCGTCCACTAAAGGGAAAGGTAATGGATTCTCCCAGCACGCTGGTGTCAACCTTTGGGCCTTTTACGCGAAGGTGGCCGCCCTGCCCGCCGTGCTGGGTGCTCTGATGAGGATAGCTCTTGGCTTCTGGAGCACCGGCAACGGTGGATTTATCATACTCCATGCCTGCAGACGTTGAAGCGTGAGAGGTAAGAGAGATGCGAGACGTGGTCTGAATGCCGCGTGCTATATATGTACATCGTACCTTACTCTTGAACGCACGTTTAAGCGGACCCCACTGCCCGCATTGCCGAGGGGCAGAGGTCTTCACAATCACAGCTTGTGGGCTGAGGTGAACCTGTGAGGTTATGTAGAGAACAGCACCTAGCATATTTTTGACATATTGACGATGCCTTCCATCACGCACCGTCAATCTCATGAGTTTTGCCGCCCGTGCCATCCCGTCGAAGCGTAAAGCGACGACACCTGATGATGCGTTGTGGTCATTCGGGCATCATCGACTCGTTGCGACTGCTTCCCTGATCTGGTGCCAGATTACCATGGCCAGGCCAGGCCAGCTCGGTGGTGACAAGAACATCATCATTGGCGGTACCAGGACAGGTCACCTCGCCCGGCAAGTCATCCGCGTCGGGGTTCAGTGTCTGCCGCAGCACAAGGTGGGTGCGGATCCCTGCATGTCTGCTACGACCATCATCTCCCACGCAGCCACTCTCCCCACTCGTCCCGCAGCAAGACCTGTCTGTTTCATCACAGAATTGATGGATGTGCTGGAGCTGGGGCATCGACGGTGGTCCTGGACTCCTTCCGGTCCTCCCCCCAAAGCCAATCCTCGGAATCTCGTATCCACGCAGCGGGTGGCGAGCGGAGCGGCAGAGCAATCTATCTGCTGGCTGTGTGCTGGCTGCCTCACGTCGCTCTACCGCACTGTACAAGACCATCGAGGCACATGTCTCCGGACCGAGAAAAAAGCTGGGAGACACGGCATCAATAAATGTGCCAGGGACTCCTTCCTAGATGCGGCTTCATCATGCACGCCGGATCGCAGCGTCGCCGCGCCTGTGTGGCCGATTTTAGCGCCTCCCATTCAGGCACCAGACGCTCTGACCCGGTGATCTACTCGCAATCTCCTCATCAAAGCCCTGCRAATCCCACGAGGCCCTCCGCGATGTCGTTCAAACCGTCCATGCACCAGCGTCGTGAAACCGGCGTCCTGGATCATAACTGGCCATCTACGAATGCTCCACGATCAATGGAATACAAACCTTCCCGATGTTCACGCTGGTATTTATAAACCCCGGCCGCCCTCTCACTCTAACCCAACATGGTAACCGGCTAGAAGCAGAGTAGAAGGTGCGGAACGACCGTCATCCCTTTTTGGTTGATCCCTCATCTCCTTAGCTCCTGTTTGCATGCCGGGTCCTTGTACTTGACATTTCGCAAGGCGCCTGTCTTCTTTCCTCCTTCAAGCGTTGCGTAGTGCTCGCTGCATCGTCGGTCTTTGCCTTCTCTTTCTTCATACATTCTCATTCGAGCTGCGTCGCGTTCAATTCTCGCCAATTCCTACCACTGTTCATTACATTATATATCTCTACCGACAAGGCCTAATTTCCGAACCCGAAGCTGGATCACCGGGAGCAGCTTGCATAGAGCAGGGAGGCGATAGCATTGATCGAAGAGACATACCTTCAGTTGTAAGGACTGTACATATTGGATACAAGCAACCTGAGGTTTGCTTTTGCTGCGCTCACCGGCTTCGCATTCTCTTCCCACTCTCCAGATCTTGTGAGTCCCGCCGAGCTGCTCGCAAAATCGCTGTGCTTTGATGCGATCGACCTTGCATGTGCAGCTAACACAATGCAGTAGGAATCGRATTATCTACTCGAGCACATCGCAAGGTGGTGTTTACCCTTCTTATCATCGCCCATTCTCCATCAGCCTTACGTCCGGTCCCTCGAGATCCGGACCTCAACACCATCCACCACGGCCGTCCTCTCAGCAAACCCGCGGGACAGTCTCGCACTGCCGCCGCACCTGCTCGGCATGCAGAACGATAACATGTCCGCCGCACCCAGCATGGGGCATCGCCAGACACAGTCTTTCGCCATGAGACCCGCAAACTCCGACGGAAATGGATATTCTCAGGGATCTTTTCACTCCTCCCAACAGTCGGTTAGCGGCTTTGGTGACAGACGCCCCCAGAGCAATGTCGCGCCAATCAATACCAACCGCGTGTCGAACAACAACAACAACAACTACTACAGCAATGGCACAGATATGGCGACCCCACAGACAGGCTACGACATGAACTTCACGCCTCTGCTTCCATCGCAGCTTTTGATGGGCAGCCCATTCCAGCCTGGCTCACCGTCGACCTTTCAGTCTCCGCAGTTTCAGAGCTTCGCCAACTTTACCCAACCCCAAAATGGAGCTCAGCATCAAAACCGTATGAGTATGAGCATGAACATGAACCAGGCTTTCCAGCAKCAACAGGCTCCGTTCTCGCCGGGCGGGTACCCGAACATGGGGTCTCCAACTGCTTTTGGCGCGTCGTCTTACTTTGGAGCAATGCAATCTCCAACCACTGGATTCAACGCACTAGGAGGCGGTCAAATGGCATCATACGCCCCAGCGATGCACATGGGGCAAGGCGTGGTGTCAGGAACCAGCCGCACAGTCTATCTTGGAAACATACCCCCTGAGACTTCGGCAGAGGAAATACTCGGACATGTACGCAGCGGACAGATCGAGTCCGTTCGTCTTCTGCCAGACAAGAATTGCGCGTTCGTCTCGTTCCTGGACGGGAGCTCCGCCACACACTTCCATTCCGATGCGATCTTGAAGAAGCTGTCGATCAAGGGCCAGGACATCAAGATTGGCTGGGGCAAGCCCTCATCGGTGCCCACTTCAGTCGCTCTTGCGGTTCAGCAAGCCGGTGCATCGCGCAATGTGTATCTCGGGAACCTGCCGGAAGAAACCACCGAGGAGGAGCTGCGTGAGGATTTGAGCAAATTTGGGCCCATCGACACCGTGAAGATTGTGAGGGAGAAGGCGATTGGCTTCGTTCATTTCCTATCGATTGGGAACGCGATCAAGGCTGTGTCTCAGCTTCCTCAGGACCCCAAGTGGCAGGCACCTCGTCGTGTCTACTACGGCAAGGATCGATGTGCATACGTCTCGAAGACGCAGCAGCAGAACGCTGCGCAGTATTTGGGCATTGCCCCTGGATATGCGCATGTCCTGAACGGAGCCGACCGCGATTTGATCACGAACGCTCTCGCACAGCAGTCCGTTGCTGCTGCGGCTGTAGCAACCACGGCAGGTGGCGTGAACAACCTGGGCAACCGAACCGTCTACCTGGGCAACATTCACCCCGAGACTACCATTGAGGAGATTTGCAATGTCGTGCGAGGTGGTCTTCTACACCACATTCGCTACATTCCAGACAAGCACATCTGCTTTGTGACGTTCATCGACCCAACCTCAGCTGCCTCATTCTACGCACTGAGCAACTTGCAAGGTCTGATGATTCACAACAGACGTTTGAAGATTGGCTGGGGCAAGCACTCAGGAGCACTTCCGCCCGCCATCGCCCTGGCAGTCTCTGGCGGCGCGTCGCGAAACGTCTATATCGGCAATCTTGATGAGACGTGGACCGAGGACCGTCTTAGACACGACTTCCAAGAGTACGGCGAGATTGAGCTTGTCAACACACTGCGTGAGAAGAGCTGCGCATTTGTCAACTTCACCAACATTGCAAACGCCATCAAAGCGATCGAAGCCGTGCGAGGAAAGGAAGAGTACAAGCGATTCAAGGTCAACTTTGGCAAGGATCGCTGCGGCAACCCACCTAGACAGGTGGTCAACCAGCAACAACTCCAGCAGCAGCAGCAGCAGCAGCAACAGCAGTCGCAGGACCCAACCAATGGGATGAGCTCTTCCTCTCCTGTCAACGGCCTTGCTCCTAGCCGGACCCATAACTCCATCTCACCGGTCAGCTCGGGTCCTTCGAACAGCTACGATCCACGCCATGGTCCCACGGCTTCGACCATCTTCAACACAGGTAGCAATAACCCGTTGACACTGTACCTCGCAGCGTCGCAGCAGAACGCGCAAGCAGCCGCGGAGCAGCACGCATTACAGCAGCAGCGTCACGAACTTGGTAGCCCTGACAGCAGCGCAGGCTACTCGCAGTCTTACCAGGCTCAGCCTAATGGCAACATGTCAAGCACGCAGCAAGCTTTCTACAGCTCTCCCAATGAAGTCACGGGCAATAGATCCATCGGTCTGGAGCCTCCGAGTGCCACCAATCACCACTTTGGTCATGGAAGCCATCAGAGTGTCAACATTAGCGCGAATGGAATGCCCATGAACTCGTCCTATTCCAGCCAGAACGCACAGCGAAGCCAGCACAGTCGGACTGTGAGCTTGCCTGCATTTTCGTTGCAGCCGCATTCTCAGCAGCAGCAACAGCAGCAGCAGCAGCAACACCAGCAACACCAGGGCTTCGGTGGCTACGGCAACGGCGCATATGGACTTGGTGTATCCGAAGGCACCCTCCCTGGTTGGGCAGAAGAAGAGACTGCTTAAGTGTGTTGAGAGCTTGCAGATGTATTGGGAGGAGAAGGTTTCTTTTCTCGAATTCTTGTCATGTCTTTACTATAATCGTTGGAGACTAATACCCCGGGCCTTTTCGTTAGGTTAGTCTGCTGTTTTCATAACGGGCGGCGTGTGTGTCGGTGGAGGAGGATATTGAAATGTTGGAATGGCGTTGTAGTGCATGCGAGCAAGCTCGAAGTCCGTCGTTTTCGCTATTTGGGACAGGATCAAGTGTGTTGAAGTTTTGGGAGGAAGGATCGTGGAAGGAAAAGGAAGCTACTAGCAAAGTCATAGCAGCCAAAAATTGAGCATGGGGGTCCTTCGATTGGACTTGCAGTTGGCATCGATCCGGGTCACTTTGTAACTGTCACCGTGCCTTGCAGACGGAATCTGACCTGCGCATCGGGCAAGTCCTCACGACGGTCATGCACGGCATGGTGGCACATTGGTGTTTTCCATGCCCTGCCCTGCCATCCGGGGAGATCCAGGCCAACCTCCGCAATGCTTCGTGAATCCGAGCTAGCTAGTTGGCGGGATGATCAGGGTGTCCACTGTCCGATGATCAGCTTGGAAACTTAGGTTCACGAAATAAATTAGGCTTAGGGTGTCTCTCAATCTTCCAACCTCATCTTTCAGAGCTCTCAACTCCCCCATCGTCATTCCTGCTCATCGGGCAATTCATTGCTGGAGCATTTTTATCCCATCTCTCTCCCCCGTACTGAAGACAACTAACTGATAGCCAACCTCGAATCTGTCAGAATGTCCGAAACTCCGGAGGTTCGAGAAGCTGCGATCGTCGACCGACATTTGCCAGAGGGCTATTCCGCAGAGCCAGAAGCCGTGGCTTACGAGAGTGTAGATGCATCTGCAACGACATCTCTGCTCCGGAACCTGTCAAGCTCGCCGCCGCAGTCCTCCTTGACACTGCAAGGTGGCGACATGCACAGGGACATTTTCAAAATCAAGGCACGGGCCAATGCTCCCAAAAGATCCGCAACTTTTTCCCACCTCACCAGCGATCAGAATCAAATTATATCGGCTGACGAACCGGCCATTGAGCAACAACTGGAGCCTGGCGGATTTCGCCGACAATATGTGCAGAGACATACGGTGCAGAGACGGTTAAGCACCATTGCCACGCCTGTGACGAGAAACTTTGTATCCTTTCTGGAACTGTATGSTAGCTTCGCAGGCGAAGACCTCGAAGACACCGACTCGGATGACGATGATGAATCGGCAATCCAGGACGATGATGATGATGACGCTGCTCAGAATGATTCACGACGAGGCGAGCGACGCCCACTGCTTGCCAAACGGCGCAAAAGTTCGAAGAGGATCAAGCGGGAAGGTGAAGCGGGTACCACCAAGACTTTCTTCACGCTTTTGAAGGCTTTTGTTGGAACTGGTATCATGTTCCTACCCAAGGCCTTCCGGAACGGCGGAATCCTCTTTTCATCAGTTACGCTTATCTTGGTCTCCATCATCACGACACTTTGCTTCCGGCTTTTGCTGCAGTGCAGGACTAAATACGGCGGTGGAGGTTATGGTGAGCTTGGAGATGCCATCTTTGGAGGCAAATTCCGATCTCTGGTCCTTTGTTCGATCACCCTGTCTCAATTGGGATTCGTATGCGCTGGACTCATCTTCACAGCGGAGAACCTCCTTTCGTTCCTAAACGCCGTCGTACCTGCGCACAAAGACCAACCATTTGGTACCCCAGCCCTCATTGCGATTCAATTCGTGCTCCTCATCCCGCTGGCACTGATCCGAAACATCTCCAAACTCGGTCCTGCTGCCCTCCTCGCCGATGTCTTCATCCTGATTGGATTGGTCTATATCTGGTATTACGATATCGCCAGTCTCGCAACTCAGGGAATGGCTCCTAGCGTATCGCTTTTCAACTCGAACTCGTTCACACTAACCATCGGCTCCGCCATCTTCACCTTTGAAGGCATCGGGCTCATTCTCCCCATTCAGTCATCGATGAAGCAGCCGGAGAAGTTCAGCTACTTGYTGTACCTAGTCATGTTCATCATCACAATCATCTTCACCTCCGTGGGAGCACTCTGTTATGCAACCTTTGGCGAGGACACCAAGATTCAGGTCATTTCCAACTTTCCGCAAGAGAGCAAGCTGGTCAACGCCGTGCAGTTCCTCTATTCCATGGCGGTGCTTGTCGGAGAGCCAGTTCAGCTATTCCYGGCCGTGAGAATCATCGAGCAAGCCATCTTTGGAGATAGGGCTTCAGGAAAGAAGAGCAAGAGTGTCAAGTGGTGGAAGAACGGACTCCGCAGTGCCATGATGCTGTTGTGTGGCGGTATTGCCATTTTGGGTGCTTCCGATTTGGACAAGTTCGTGTCTTTGATTGGAGCTTTTGCATGCGTGCCGTTGGTCTACATCTATCCTCCGACTTTGCACTTGAAAGGTGTGGCGGAGACGTGGGCCGAGAAAGCGTATGATATCACGCTCATCACGCTTGGAGTTGGCACCATGGTGTACACTACCGTATTGACTTTGAAGCAGTGGGCGGACTAGATTGTTTAGACTGGACGAGCGATGTGTAAAGTTTTGGGACCTATGAGAGCGCAGCATATGTTATATGGCACGTAGATTACAGCATCAACTACTGTTTATCAGCACTCACTGATTTCGTTGGTTGTCACGGTCGATGCTTAGACAAACGAGTCCAGATGCGCTGCATTCAAGTAGAGTATCCAGCTTCTATGCCCGCACTCTGTCGCGTTCTGCACCCCCCTTTCAGCCCTCAAAATACCATTTCCCCAAACGCCTTCATAACTCATAAACCATCCTCCCTCGCATGTTTCTCATCTCGACCTCACATTCGTCTTCTTCACCGCAAACGGACTATCCTCCGCCGTCTTATTCGGATCAAAGCTAAACAGCGTAGAAAGATAAAGTCCCAGAAACCGCACAATAGTCGCCGGAAGTCCTCGACCCTGAGCAAAAGGTGCAGGCGCAGAGAAGAGCTGTCCGAGATTCAAGCTGGGTAGGCTAGGTCCCGAAGCCACTCTACTACTACTGGATCCCGAACCCTCACCTCCAAGCGTCTGTCCTTTACTGCTGAAGACGGGACTTTGATTTGCTTTTGCGGGTCCTTTGGCGGCGTCTGCTGCTGCGGAGAGGATGGCGGATCGGAGAGCGGAGGGGTTCGCGCCGCGGACGGTTTCGATTACTTTGGAGCCTTTGAGGACGAGGAAGGTGGGCATTCTGGAAAAGTGTCATGTTAGCATTGGTGCCTTCCGTAGACTTCGATGCTGATTGAAGAAGAAGAGAGACATACGCGGAAATTCCATAACTCGAGGCTACTTGACGCTGATTGTCGACGTTGACTTTTGCAAAAGTGATGCGGCCGGGTTTGGACTCTTGCGCGGCGAGTTGTTCGAAAATAGGCGAGATGACTTTACATGGTCCGCTTCAAAGATATGACCCGGGTCAGTACTATAGTCTTGCTGTGGGAGATGAKCTGAAAGCTCCAGCAGACCAACTTCGCGTGTCTTCTTTTTACTACTTACCACCAGTCCGCATAAAAGTCGACGATGAGGTAGGTTGATGATTGGAGAGTTTGGGAGAAGTGCTGGGTGGAAGTTATGCTGATTACTTTGGAACTCATGTTGGCGGATCGTGGGTGTCGTTGAGGTGGTGATTATTGTGCCGGTGGTCGCGACGCAGATGAGATGACAAGGTGTTCGCGTCTGGTGGTCATTGAGTGCGGAATCAAATCCGTTCGACCCCACTTCCATCACTTTCATTCACTTCAATGTGTAAATCATTTCTTTGCTAGGCTGCGAAACGCCGTTCAAGGACTCTYCACATGAACGAGGTGTCAATGCGTCTTCATATCATCTCATATCATGTCAGGGTAGAACTATACGCATATGCGTTCACGAGGACACGAACCCTGACCAAGTCATTCTTTCGACACCTATCGACTGAAGCCTGCCTGGGTAGTAGTAGCCACAACAAGAGACTATAACATTCGACTTCACGTGTTGATGTGAACATGAAAGCTGCATAGACGCTGTAGGTCAACGACAGTTCTACCCCACGTGAGCGGCTGGACCCTATCGAACACAGTCCATCGATTCTCTTTGAGCAAAAGCGAGACATTGTCTCTCTTGCAGGCACAAGCTGCCTCGTCGCGAAGAGTGAACGCCAACAGTCACGGCCGAGTTTCCGCCACTGTGTCAGACGGCTGGTCGATTCTGAAGAAGCAGCAAGTCGCATATCGTGCACATCCCATGTTGAAGCATGTTTCTGACTGGATGCTGATCTGAACCATTCCTTTCTTGTCTCGTCGAGAGAACGCTTGAGACTCCCCCAGGCTTCCAGAACACGAGACGGTGACTTCCAGACTCGTAGAGTATAAGTGCTCTCATTAATTCAACACCATCGTCGGTCAGTACCGCCATCTCCATAACCAAGAATATGTTTCAAACCAGGACGAAAGCACAAGCACCCAGTCGAGCCATGTTCGTGACAAACCCAGACTCTTCACCCACAAGCAGCTTCACAGGGGCACCACCAAACTCCCCGAACGATCAGCACCACAAATTCCACCACATCTCCGAACTCTCCGCCCTCCCAAGGTCTCCCGAAGAGCCCCTCACGCCACCGGACTCAGATCCATTCAAGCAACGAATCGTCCACGAAGCCCTCCACCAGTACACCCTAACGCCTCTCCAAATAAGCGATGAGAGCAGCATCCACCTCCTAGCAGAATACAAACGGGAAATCGCCCACCTCACCTCCCAGCGCTCCATTGATCGTCAATCCATCGCCAGACTAGAAGCGGATCGCGACCGCAACRAGGACTACAACCAAAAGCGCGACATGCGTCAAAGTTGGGTGACCAAGCAATGGGCAAACGGCATCGAAGAAATCGCTCGGAAAGACCGAGACTTCGAAGAACTTCAAGAGAGCGAGAAGTTGCGGTTTGACGAGCAGACGGCAGAGTTTCGAGAGCTTGAAAGTGAGCTGCGGCAACAGAACGAATCGCTGTTGGTGGCGCTAGGCCGTTTGGAAGGCATTGTTCAGGAGCGTGGCGCTGGGGAGGAACGGGCGCGAGTCCGGATCGCGGATCTTGAGATTGACATGAGACGACTCTGGCAGGAGAATGCAGCGATGGCGCACTGCGTTGGTGCATCTTCGCGGCGCGAACGGGAGAGCGAGATCACGAGCCGAGCAACCGTCGAAGTTGCAAGAGCGGCATTTGTTGAGCGCGATAACGCCGATGCCCGCAATGAAGAACTTCGAGCAGCCATCGCAAGGCAGGGAAATCGCACTCTTAGATTCTGGGGYTCGGCGGGGTCCCTATTAGCGGCGTTAGTGATGGTCGCAGTGGTGGTGGAATCCTGTTAGCAGAAGATGAGAATGTTGGAAGCGTTGTGTAAGGTCAAAGGACAAAGCAATATGAATATCTCGGTATCATATCGAACATGATGCATGGTATTGCTCATCTGTAGAAGAACGCCTTTAATGCTGCGCCACCGCTCCACGCAAACCATGAAATCAACACCTAACAACAATCGAAAACAAGGCGCCATTCAGCACTTGAATAGCGATGCATCCCTAAGCTTTCGAAGCTTGGAAGTTTTCCCACGCAGCTCCCTGCTTAATAGCTTTGATGGAGACCTGTCGGGTGGCCGTCGCCGTTGTAACGACGGGGAGGACCCATAGGTCAGGTCTTTTGTGTCATGCAATAGGTCCGGGAATTGTTCGTCCGGTGCCTGGTCTATGTGTATAAGCTCCATGTCTGAAGCGGAATCGTCCGATTAAGATGCATCCAGCATCTTTCCTGATGTAGTAACATGATGAAAGTGATGTCTCGTGACCATCACATTGAGAACAATTACTCTTGTTGCTCGCCAATGTGTCGTTCGCTCTCGRGCTTCCAGCTGCCTGTGGAATGGTTAGCCTGTGACGCGGGAATACTATCAAGTTACATACCCTCAAACGTGTGATGCACAAATGCCATTGGGTCGTCAATGTCACCTGCACCCATCTGCTGCACACCAGGAGAGAACGAGGTGATTGGCAGGAYAACAACATCACCCAGTTTCTTCGCCTGCGTGATTCCAGTGAACTGCTGCCACGTGATGTTGCCCTTGCTCGTCGACATGTCAAAGTAGTCCGGGTTGTTGAAGAACTTGAAGATGATGTCTGTCCAAAGTGCCGGTCCGGTAAACTCCACAACGTTCTTCATGACCTGCTTCATGTTCTTCGAGGTGAGCTCGCCAGCCTTCTTTCTCCGCAATGTCTCCTCCGTAATCGTTGCAACAATGTCCAGCAGTACAGGGTGTCCGGGCTTGCTTTGGATGGTCCATTGGCAGAACTGAATCCTCCGAGAGTACCACTCATGCCAATCCTCACGATCAGGGTCGGCTTCGATGCCAATGACCAGTCCATAGCTGCTCCGTGGGACTTCGGCGGGCACCCATTCCACGGCCGACTTCAAGGCGGTCGTGTCAATGTCACTGTAGATGCCGCCTCGGGCGAGCAGGATCAAGTAACGGAAGAAGTCGGCCTTGAGCACGGGCGCCGGGAGGGCATTGTATGCTTCCTGCACTTCCGGCAGGCTGGCGTAAAAGTGTCGAATCATGTTGACGGCAACATCATCGGTGATGACTTCATGTACGAAGCTGGGATGGAGCTGGGTCCACGAAGCCTCTGCTGGTCTCAACTCCTCCGCGAATTCACCAGAGGAAGGAGCATACTTCCACGTCTGCCATATGTAGGCGGGGAACTTGCCCTCGGGATCGTAAGGAAAGGCATAAGCGAGCTGCTTGCGGAGCGGTTGTAATTGTAGGTCGGCCATTGGGATTTGCGGACGCGGTTTCTTGGCCATTGCAACACGGTCACCATCGCGGTTGGAGGTCGCGGAGGTCGCGGCATGAGCCTGTTCGGGAGCGGGATGTGGTGCTTCTGATGAGGCCTCGACGATCTTGCGGTTGTCGGCGTAGGAGCCCGTGGGCTTGGGCGACTTGTTGATTTTCAGCGCGTTTGGTTGCGGGGCGTGTGTATTCCGGAGCAGCAAGAAGCATGTGATAATGACGGCAGCCACGACAAGCGCGCGGCGAAAGGTGAGCATGGCGGCAGGCGGGCGGGCGGGCGGGCAGGCAGTGGGCTCGAATGTTGCAAGGCCGCCGTCGAGGTATAAAGGGAGAATAACAGCAACAACCACAAGGAAACAGAGCGGCAGCGAGCGAGCGAGGGTTGGTGAAGGCGGGCGTGGCACTTGCTGGTGGAGTACGAGCCAGGATGTCCAGCCTTTGATCAATCAGTCAATCTCGGGACTACTGTTGATCGGCCGTTGGAGTTTTTTTCCTGGGGATCTTCCCAAATGCCCTGCTACGCCGGTTTGTTGTTAATTGGCTGCTACATCAAACGTGCTGGCGATGACGGGTGGCAGCCATGGTCGTGCACGGGGGGTGGAATTGAGGAGCGAAGGGAGGGCGAGCGTCGTACCTTTTGTGGACTGTATGCAACGTACCTCTCCCCAAGCTCACAGCTCTCCGGTTTGGCTCCACTCACAAAAGCCGTCACCCTCGTGCGGCCAGGACAGGGCAGCAGATTGTGTGGGTGCGAGGGCGATGGCGCCGCTGATAGGCTGCAATCCGGGATGTGCACTAAAGGGAGTTAGAGCTTTTGACGCGTCTGCCGGCCCTAACACAAGCCAAGGTCTCAACCAACGAACGGCACAGCAATGATACGAGGCAGGTTGGAGGTGCGAACAAAGAACGACAGGGGATGGATTGCAACACAGGGCGGACACGCTGCTGAGATTGATCACTGTGTGTGCGACTGCAAGAAACCAGAGCAGACTGGCGTCACAAAACTATGTGTTTCCATCTTGGGGGCCTCCGTGTCGAGTGTTTCAGCCTTCAATGCTCGGGAATCGGGAGACAGCCGTGTGAATGTCGCTTGTGCGCTACCGATAGGACCGACCCAGACCAAGCAATTCATACGGAGTGTGAACTTGCAGAGGATGAGTCTACCGCTTCTCATCCAACGCCGCGTGCGTAATACGGAGTGATATACGTGGGTCGATGGTGATCGATCTCCCAGCGCTTCCGCCTGCTCGCCTTCCGCCGTTTGGAAGCGAGCTCGAGACACGCGTCGCAAACGGCCGACTCCCAATCCCCCTCCACATTGCAGCATCAGCATCGGCATCAGCGTCATAGTGCAAAACAACGGAGCGTTCACGCTTCTCACGTGTCAACGGGCAAACGGCGAACAGCCCTCTAGCGCGGTGGACTGCAAAAGCACGCCGTAATATCGCTTCAATCTCGCCGCGCGCTTCCATCAACAAGATGCCAATGTCGCATCATGCCATCGTCGAAGATCTATCGCGAAGCTTAATCTCGTCCCATGTGTGTGTCAATGACGTGTGGCGGAGTGTTCCTCCGCCGAAGATTCCATTAGAGATCCTGGAGCACACAGACTTTTAATCACCGGCTCCCCACAATAYGAAACAATGGAAGCACCGTAACATCCCGGTACCTGCAAAATCACCATTGACGCACTTGCGCGTGAGGGTGTAGTGTACAGCTACTAAGTATTGGTGCAGATGTATAGTCCGCTCCCAAGTCCGCTCCATCGAAATTGCCTTGCAGCGATGAAGGTGCCGCGTCAATAGGGTCCTGGCACAATATTCAACATCTCGCCGAGTGATCTTCTCAACATCATAAACCCATGGCTTCTCTCACAGCTCAAATCCTCACAACCCTCATGGGAACACGCCTCAAAGCAAGCAAAAAGCTTGTGGTGCTCGGCGCCCATCGACCGATGTACTTGAAACACGAGACATGATACTTTGAGGTAACCGCACCGGAATGCATCTCGTGTTCCTGATTGAGAGTGAACCTGAACAGTTTCGTATTCAGTACAACACCGCCACACGATATACATATTCATCAACAATCATGCCGGAGACCGGGCCGATGAGATCTATTCACGCACCCGCGACTTCGTGTTGACCGGACTATTCTTATACCGAGTACCGGTGGACGCATCGTACACGAGAATGCAAGCCGATCACTAAAAACTAAGTGCAGGGCAGGGGATGGAAAAACCAAGTCATCGCTTTCATCTTCTTCGATTTTTCATACAGGTTTGCAACTACATCGTCGTCTGGACCACAACAGCACAACCTTGGCTGTTCCCCGCTCACTTCAGTTGAGGCTGAGGAGATTGAGGCCTGCCCCAGAAGTCCAACGACGCAATCACATCGTCTCCTAATTCGTCTTCGTAGGCATAAAGAATCTGCGAATCTCGTCAGCTTACCGTCACCGTCAAGCATATCCCCCCAAACAAGACATACCTCTCTCGTGCTCTGATGCAAGAAGCGGATGTTCTTGTGCGTCTGTATGCACACAAGTCCGCCCGTGTCGCTCTGCCGAATTTCAATAAACTCCGGCTCGAATGCGAGTATGTACTTCTCACCCCACGTTGCGAAAGCGTTGGGTGAGCCCTCCCACAGAATCTTCCAGTCACCTCTCGCTCTCCAGCCATTCTTGTTGACATAGAAGGAGAAGTCATTGTAACACAGCAAGAACTCGGCCGTGTTGCGCTCAATATAGATGGGCTTGACGTTCTCCCTCCGAGCCACAAAGTCGAGCGAGGTGTCGGCCTGATCCAGGAGTGACTGTGTCTCGAGCGTTTCCAAAGACACGATCTCGAAACCTTTGGCGCCTCCTACACACAGCTTGCTCCTCAAGAAGTGAATGCTGTTGCTTTCCATGGGGATGTAGAACTCTTTGTATGGCTTCAAAACTTCTTGACCACTGGCGAGCATCTTTGCAAGGCCAGACTTCTTCTTCCCTTTGGTCATGGTATCCATGGGCTCAAACACCTTGACGGTGGATGAAATCGACCACGACTTGACGCAACACACCAAGGTCTGCCCGTTGCACATGCCGGAGTTAATGTAGCTAGCATGGCATATCCGCCGGCCGCGTTTTGWTGGAGCACTGGGGCTTTCCTCTTCCAAAGCCTCTAGTGGGAAGCTGTACACGGCCTTGTCGGCCAGCACAATGAGAATCTGGTGCTGCTCCAGCACCTCAAGTTGCGTGACGAGTTTGGTGTCTAGGACTCGGCGCGGCTTCATCGATGCATCTTTGGGCTTTCGCTCACAAACGTAGACGCCGAAGTCAGTGCCAATAACAAGCTTCCTTCCACCGTCCATCGGTTTGCAGCAATTGACCCGCACAGTTGCGTTGAAGTAACCTTCGTTCAACTTTGCCATGGTAAAGATCTTGTGTCGCTCCGAAAGCTTCTCCTTTTGCGTCATGATGTGCTCCATCCATTTCTCTCGTTGGGATTGGTTGGTGCAGAAGAGAGTCAGCTCATAGCCGCCCTTGCCGAGACCTTTGAAAGTGATGGGGTAGCCTTGCTCGGTAGGAGGTGGTTTGGCAGCCACTCGGCCCACGCCAGGGATCATGCTCGAGGAAGGTCGCTTGGCGATCCCCATCCGGGGCAACACTTGATCCATCTCTTTGATCTGCAATAGCTCAAGCGGGATCGGCTTGCGATAGACTCGGACTTCTTCTCGCTTGTTCACCGTCTTCACACGAACAATGAGTACCGCGTGATCAAACAAGTAAGTGGTTACGTCGGCCTGCTCAGCTGTGGGGGTCTTCTTCAGAGCGCTCTTGAAGATCAGCTGTCTTGTCTCTTCGGTCAGTTTGAGATCCATGTGCGGGATGGCTCCCCACTTGAGCTGAGCATTGAGGTTCATCAGGTTGTAATGATTCTCGGATTTGCCCGATTCCTCATTCACCCTACTCAAGAATTGTCTGATGTGTTCAATCACCTTTGGAAGATCCTTGATATCAGGGTTGGTCTCATCAGTGAACTTGAGCACATTCTCCAGGAGCAATGGATATCTCGCTAGACGAGTGGTGGGCTTCGTGAGATAACCGTTAAGCTCCAGTTTTCGCGACTCCTTCAGACGTTCGGTCCGCTCAGTGAAGCGAGCAAATGCAGGATTGGAGCCTTTCTCCTTTTCAAATTCGAATTTCCCAAACAGTTGGTTTGCACCATACCGAATGAACGGATGAAACTGCGGCACATACTCCAAGAAGATATCACCCACGTTACGGACCACAGGATTCTGCTGCTGTCGTCGCGTCAATGCCTGAGCCATACGCGAATTGACACCGTGGACTTCCTGGCAATTCGAGAATACAGTTCGGATGAATTTCTCTCGCCGGTGGTCCGGGATGGGCGAAACATCGGGCATCCTCAATGGCTTGATCCAGAAGTCGCGCAGATACTCCAAGTCCTTAACAAAGTCTCGCTCAGTGTACATGAGCTCAGAAATGACTTCCTGACGTTTCTTCTCCATRTCACTGACGCTGTCCGAGACCTCTTTCGATACCGTGTTGATCCACAACTTCTGCTCAACACTGTCGAACTCATCGTGCAAACTGGAGCGCGATGTCTCCCGCTTCAACCCCGGTGTCACCTTCATGTTTAGTCGTTGTTGCTGTTCCAGGCGCCTGGGACACGCAATCGAGTAGCAGAGATTGTCTCTGTTGCAGGTGGGCGAATAGCATTCGGTGAGCAGCGTGAATACGCCATTGACCTCGGGCGGCTCTTCGTTGATGGTCTCCTTGAACTGATAAACCTCGTTTGGTGAATCGCGGAGTCTATGCGCATATGCGACTTCATGGAAGAACTTCTGGGCGTCCAGCGATCGCCCAAGAAGTAATGCCAAATTCCTGTCTGACGTCCGAATAATATATGCAATCAACTCGACTGCCTCGTAACCACTGAATGCATTGGTATAGACCAGACCGTCCTTTTCCTTTTCCTGCACGGCAACCCTTTCGCGAAACGCGGATGCAACGTTGGAAAGCAGCGCTCCATACACGAGGGAGGGCCGCTTTTGTGCGACCATCGTTCCGGCCCGAGATAATTGGCTGTCCGAACGCCCATTCCCAACAGACGGCCGTGGCGATTGATTGTCCGATGGAGCTATGGTAGACGCCATGGACATTGTCCGCGAGCTTTGTGTATACTRGCTGCCAGAGCTCGCGTGCCTTCCATTTATACCATGCCCATTTGCCCCTCGATCGGGGTGATAGCCATTCATCGTGGGTGTCTCGCTTACGGTTGTATCTCCCGATTCCCTCCGACGACTAGGTATTGTCCTGCCACTCATTGTTTGCGCAAAGTCTTCCCGAGTGTACGACGACATGGACATTGTGCGCTCGTCCAAAGGCCTGTCGGGCACTACTCTGCCGTGGGCTGTGGTTCTGGCCAGGCTCGGATTTTGCGATGGGTGTCGGAATGCGTGCGCGGGGGATATGGTGTGACTACCGACCGCCCCTGGAGGTTGATACATCGGTCTGGGATTCATAGCAAGCGATTGGGAGCGGTATGGATCTGCGTTGAGAGCAGGACCATTCGGGCCCATGGGGCGCTGTGTGAAGGAGCGCTGGTAGCCAGGTGGAGGGGGACCGCGTCCTTCGAGTCGCTGCGGTTGACCGTAAGGGACACGATCAGGGCGAATGGGCTGTGGCAGGTTCTGGGGCGGCGGGCGTCGCTGAGGCGAAGGTTGGCCATACTGCTGTTGCTGGGGATAGCCATTTGGACCATCCAATGGTCCAGAAGGACCTGCATAGCCATTCTGCTGAGCACCAGGCCTCATTGGTGGTGCTCGCTGCGCATACTGCTGCGTCGCGGCAGACATGGTGTTGGCTCGGTCTTGCGGCGGCATAGGCCCCGTCATCGTGTGAGTTCGGCCAGGCGGCGGCCCGCCGAATATGTTGGAAAAGGCTGCATCTCGCTGCGCGCTGCTCGCACCGCCCATGCTAGGCGGGCCGCGGGCATAGTCGCGACCCTGCTGGGAGTGGTACTGGGCCATGGCGATTCGGTTGATGTTGCGAGCGTCTTGCGGCCCATATGGACCTCTCCCCGCGGCCCACGCTCAGGCTGTTGTATCTAAGACTAGGCCGCTCGTGACGGATGCGTCCGCGTAGGGAGACGAGTGTCAGCTGCGCTCCAACGGCGTTGGGTCCGGTGCGCCGGCGTCGGTGTCGGCCGCGGTGGTGGAAGCCGGTGATGTTCAGAGCGGACTGCGCGGCGTATGAAATTGGTGCAGTTGTCCGCGGTGAGAGAACGCTACGAGTCCTCAGTCTGGCCAGTGTGATCCTGGTCAGGAGCGGTGGTCGAGGCCGTCTCACACAAAGTCCTTCAATGCGCGGAGAGAAGAGACCCCATTCGTGAAGTCGGGATTAAGCTCGGACCCACGCGCTAGCGCCACCTGCTCCTACCTCGCGGGTGCATCGATGAACAGACTAGATCATCAGCCAGGACAACTCCAACTCCCTCGATTCCATCGTCTCGATCACCCTCACAGACCGTATCATCTGCACGCCGCAGCCTCATTCTCCAGGAGAGACACGACCATGGCAGACTCCGAGTTGACGCCAAAGTTTGCACCCTTCTTGGGTATGGCGGGCATTGCGTTTGCTATGATATTCGGATGTATGGACACCGCCAGCAAGATGTGACATGAATCAAGATACTGAGAGAATTGGCAGGTTTAGGAGCGGCATATGGCACAGCGAAGTCAGGCATCGGTATTGCCAATGTGGGAACATTCAGACCGGACCTCATCATGAAGGTACTTTGCAGCATGCCATATGCGGAAGAAGAACCGAGTCTAATATCTGAGCACAGTCWTTGATCCCGGTTGTCATGTCGGGTATCATCGCAGTGTATGCACTTGTGGTAGCGGTCTTGATAGCGGGCAGCATGAAGCCACCACCAGAGGTGCACTACAGCTTATATAATGGCTGCATGCATCTAGCGTGCGGTCTTTCGGTTGGCCTTACCGGGCTGGCCGCTGGCTATGCTATTGGAATAGTGGGAGATTCGGTATGTGAAGAAGCAGATGAGTTCGAACTTTGACTGACGGTATTGCAGGGTGTACGTGCATACATGCAGCAGTCCCGGATTTTCGTTGGCATGGTCCTCATCCTGATTTTTGGCGAAGTACTTGGTCTTTATGGGTATGGATTCTGATGCTCCGCATTCCTTGTGCCTCCACATGCTGACCATACCATAGCTTGATTGTCGCTTTGATTCTGAACACCAGAGCAGCAGGTTGATTCCCGCGACGCGATGCTAGCCGTCACAGTTGCCTCTTACGCCTTCGCCTCGTGCATGCTGGTAAACGCCTGGCCGATGTCTGCATCCCAAACGCAGGCTCCCCAAACTTTTAGCAGGATTCTCCAGGACTACAAGCAGGCCTGTTGCGTTCCGAGTGCTAGCATATGATCCAAATTTAGCGTAGGATAAACTACCAGAGCAACGAGATGTACTATATGACGGAGCGGGCAGATTGATGTATAGATAGAGACGCCATACCAAGTAGGATGCTCCTCAACTCTGATTTAGGCGATTCCTCCTCTCACCTTCGGCGTGCCATTCATGCTGACGTGGAGATTAGATTGAAGAAGGAGATATCAGGAATAATTTCCGATATACAGAGACGCTATACATGTTCGGAGGCAGGCTGCTGTACAGAGTTCTTAAGGTTTGCGCTAGTGACGCCCAGGATCCAACCATCCGAGATAGGAAAGGCGCGATCGCCGTCAATAGGCAACGACATTGCTCGAGGCTCCAGCATTCTGGGTCAGATGCACACTTCCGCTTTCCCCCATGAACTTGAACATCAAACACCGGAACAGCATTTCAAGACTATTACATTAGACCGTGCTCATTCACCAGACAGCGTCCGTCCATCGGACTATGAACTGGAATGGACTCTTACCGCGCAGCGCACCCCGATGCGCACATCCGGACAAGCCGCTTGACGAAGTTATATTCCGATACAAAAAAGAGCGCGCTCATAAGTCTTCATGCTCAATCGACCCACAACGCTCAATTTGCATCGTTGCATAGGAAGTATCGCATCCAAAAGGACCGACTCATAACTTGGGGTCTCGCCTGGAGCGATGACGAGAAAGGTCCGGATGGAGATATCGACGAGTCCGTTGCCAAAGCTGGACTTACCGAGACTGTGGAGAGTGTGCTGCGAAACATCCAAGAAGTGACCGAAGAGGCCGAAAGAATCAAATCTGCGAGTGTGCCAGTGACAAAGCCTGGCGAGAAATTTCCACAGCAGCCTGTTGTATTTGATGAGGCCCGGTATGAGGATCTACTTCGCGATCTGACGACATCGATTGACACACTATACGATCTATCGATCTCTCGGAGAGCATTGGCGCGAGGCGAGCACCCACGATTCGACACCGCACCGCTGGCTAAGGAAAGTGATGACAAGCCTACCTCAAAGCAACAGGACTTTTACTCCAAGCCTAGCTTTGCATCTTCAGAGACTACGCTGGTCAATCCGTCCTTTGCGCGACCTGCTTTATCCCCTTACGCAGGCTTGCCCGCTCGAATTGAGCTCTCTGCGCTGCGACTGCCCAACGAAGGACCCCCACCTTACGAAGCCATTGGTGTACCTTCAACTACGCGAATGGTTGCTTTGTTGATTAGGAAAAAGGTTTCTGATGGGATACGGAACGCATTGGCCAGGTTAGTGTCAGCCCAAGGCAGCGATCAGGCTCCCTTGATCCCCTCGTCAGGACGAGTTGCATCGGCTTCCAAAGATGTACCTTATTCAAAACTACGCTAACCTGTCAACGATATCTTTACAGTGGAGCTCCTGAAGTCCCCGTGCTCATTGAGTATGCCAACTTCGACGCGACCTACCGCGACACTGGGGTCCCACCTCCGCTTCAACGACTCGAGTCTCTGGCAACATTCTTACAGCCAATGCGAGCCGAGTCTCAAACAAACCTGAGTTTACTAGGCTATTTTGAAGATGCCGACCAACCGCGAATCGGCTTGGTATACGATCTGCCTTACTCTATACAGAACAGGCTGCAGACCGGAACGACTTCAGAGCCACTGGCTCCCTTGAGTCTCCTTAAACTGGTCCAGAAAGCCAACAAGACACAAAATACGGCGAACGATGTACCAGCTCCGGCCCTGGAGCATCGTTTTCGTATGGCACTGCGTTTGACAGAGCAACTACACTCTTTGCACGCCAGACAGCTTGCCCATGGCAACATCAACAGCAGCAGTATCATATTTACGACGACGACCAATGAGTCTGAGGCTAGTCGCCTGGAACAGCTTAGAAAACCGTTATGGGCTTCCTTCGATCTCTTCTCTAAATGCACGATCGAGGGGGTGCGGCGTGCCAAGAACTTCAACATATACAAGCACCCACTCGATGAAACCAGCAATGCGACAAGAGAGCTCACTGCTGACATCAAATACGACCTCTACGGTCTTGGGCTAGTCCTACTCGAGATAGGCCTTTGGACACCAATCAGCGATCTATACAAACCAAAGTACACGCTCCCGGACTTCAAACTGCGACTGGAGAAGATATGGATACCAAAGCTRGGCGCAAAGTGCGGCAGTGCTTACATGCGGGCAGTGGAAACCTGTTTACGCCTTTCGGATGATATCGACAGCTCTAGGCTCACGGTCGAAGGGATCTACGGGGTACTACTTCAGTTTTTGAAGAGGTGTTGCTTGCTTGATGATGGTGGGTCTTCGACTGAATTGATACCGGCTTCCGAGCTTATCTCCGTGCCAAACTTGTCAATGGCATCGAAGCTGCGGAGTGCAAAACGCCAGCCATCCGAGACCAGCTCTATTGCAAGGCAGCTTTCGGACACCAGTGAAGTCATGCGAAGACAATCCATGAATGGACCCACGTCCAGATCGGCTCCGCTGATACCGAGGAGACCTGGTGCGGAGCGAAATGCACGACGGGCCATTCCTGGCCAGCCTGCTCCCGATCCCATTGGCATGAGATCAGCGGAGAACAAGGGCCACCGATTCAAACTCACATCCTCCCCATCCTCCAAGGACTTCAAGCGTCGAATAGTTTGCATTCAACAGCTGTGGAGAGCTCGWCAAGCTTCGAGAGCCCGAGAGCAGAACGCTAGGAATACCTCATCAAAGCCAAAACGGGTTGAATATCCAGAAATTGCTCTACCGAAAGACGTCGTCGAACACTGGCAACACACGCTTTGCTTCCAGATCAATAGCATCGTTGGAAAGGCTTTGGGTGGCTCTCTCGAATCGTGCTCTATCCGACTTCTTTCGTATGGTGAGTCACCCGAGACGGCCCGACCGACTCTCATTGTCGGCTGTAAATCCACAGCGAAAGTGAAGCAAGCTCTTAAGAGATTCAAGTACGACTCGAAAATGTATGACGTTCGAGTCAAGAAGGAAGGCGATATCAGAAGGTGCCATAGATCAAGACGGAATCGGGCATCGGATATAGGGCATCGGAGCATGGCACCGACCCGCGATACTGAGGTTGAGAAGGCTGCCAATCCCGATTATCAGGAGCGTCCGGTATGCGGAGCATCGATCGGAGCCTACAGATATGACGAGCATCTACCACCCGTCTCATTCGGTGGTGTTGTTATCGTCGATGGTCGGCCATACGGCATGAGTGTTCATCACATGCTTGAGCCTGAAGACGAAGAGCCTGACGAGGAAGACCAGGCCGAGGCAGGCGTAGACGACGATGAGGATGATGCGTCAAGTCTTGGGAGTTCCGACAGCGATCCAGAAGACGATGACCAGAGCACCGTACGTCCGCCGTTTGCTGACTCCTCTGATGACGAACCTACTGCAATGAACGATACTTTTGGAGACTGTCCAGGCATACTGCCCGGTGACATGGAGGAGATAACAATCACG